AAAAAAAAAAAAAAAAAAAAAAAAAAAAAAAAAAAAAAAAAAAAAAAAAAAATAATTGATGCAAAAAGTCAGAAATGACACAAAATAATTCACGCGTCAGTACGTGCCTACACGCTACACGCTACGCTAGACGTTCAGTAGACAGCAATCCACAAAATAACTGGACGATACAAGGGAGAGTAACTGCTGTACACTATTCAGGCTCACACTCAGACATTCTTAGCAACATTGCAAGTTGGAACACTTTTCGGATCTACGTTACCTCAAAACATTCTCTCCCTTTCATATGACTTATAGCGTATTATTGAGGAATTGAATAATTTTTTTTTTTTTTTTTTTGGCGTCATAGAAAATTAGACGCCGAATTTTTGTTAAAAATTACAGCAAAACAAAAATTTAGTTCTGGCGTTTAGGCTCCTATGTAGTAGTGTAGAGGTTACACAAACATATCATTCACAATATGTAACTAAAAGAGCTGTACAATAACGAAAAAAAGAATAAAAACAAAAAGCACTCGAGAAATGTAAACAATAAATGTGCCTTTTCCTTTCCATACCACCCCCTTTGATGCAACTGGGGATATTGACTTAGTACTATTTTTATCGCGCTTTGCATGGGGGAGCTCATTCGATGGTGGTAGCTTCGAGAAATGTCGGCAGGTCCTGAGTTAAGGTAGCAGTAACAACCTCAACCACTGGCTAGCTACTCGGCGTTCCTCATTCTGTACTCAACCCAGTCAATTAAATAGAGAAGCTCCTATCGTGAAAACAGGTTGTCTACAGAGGAGAGCGTAGTTCGCTTCGAGCAACCAAGTTTCTGACTGCATTTCACAGATTGCTTAAATCTCTCGCTATCCCTTGTGGTGTTTGGCCCGTTACTTCTGACGATTCGGAAATCCAGAATACATTATTTGGCACAGATTAGTTTCTCGACAGTAGAACAGCAATGTAAGTATGTCAAAACGAGAGCTTATGACCGCTATTATATTATTGTTGTTGTTATGCTCTTAACGTGAATGTCACAAACAACAATCTTGTGACATTTTCCTTTTTCAGTGTATATGGTAGCGTCGCATGTTTTCTCTTTGTATCGCGTGCGTCCTTTTTTTTTTATAGAAAGTTATTTAACCAAATACAGAAAACATGATGTACATATACAACTTGAACAAACAAACACAAGAAGAATAGCATTTTTGGAGAAGAGTAGTTCAGAAAGGGCTGTGCACAAAATAAACGCGCATATATAAAAGTAGAACAGAACACGGCATTGGAAAATATGCAAATATACGTCCTACCAAATGCGCCACAATAACCCGGATTCGTGAATTCTATTTCGCTGGCCACAGTAAGATGCCTCAGTAGGGATACATAGCCATCCACAGGAGGTTCCAATACCAACACAATATTTGAACATCTGGTTGCAAAATTTGCAAGTATATATTAGCCAATGTATTCATAATACAAAAGTTATCTCTCATGCATTGCAAGGGCGTGCGTCTTAATCTAAAGCGAGAAAACAAGTTTATATCAAGGTGGGGACGGGGACGGGGGAGGGGTGCTGACCTCCCTTTGGATGTTACACCACTTCTTGAAATCAAGGTACGTTAATTTGTGTGTATGCGTGTGGTGTTGTTTATGTGTATGGAAAGGGTTGTGAATTAAACACCAATGCGTGGAACCTGCCAACCCAAGAATTTGACAACAATAACCTTCAGCCTTGTGTCCACTCTCTACAAACGTGCCTAAACACAAGGAATCTTCACAACAAACGAGCCAGATACATTACAGCTATTACTCTATAATCATAACACACACACACACACACACACACACACACACACACACACACACACACACACACACACACTTACATACATACATACCTACCTACCTACCTAGAATGCACCTCTTCCTCTTCCTTGGGGCGCACCTCCTTGTTCACCTTGTTGATCATTAGTGATAGTCTCATCAATACTTAACAACAATGTAGCCGCCTCAGTGGCTGATTCAATAGCATTAATTTTCACCAATGCTGGCTCCCAAATAAAACTCTTCATATTGTTGCCAATGTTTTCCGATTGGAAATCGATCCCACACCAAACATCCCCCTTTGCGTGAGCGCTTCTCAACCTGTTCAACAACTCAATGGCATCCAACCCGGCATTCTCACACAATTGACGAGGTATAACTTCCAAAGCTTTGGCAAATGCCCCAATAATCAATTGCTGTTTGCCAGCAATAGTGCGCGAATAATCACGCAAGTACTTGGACAATGCCATCTCAATTGCACCACCTCCTGCAACGATTTCGTGATGGCTTATGGCACGCTTAACAATCATGATTGCATCATGCAACGATCTTTCCACTTCTGCAATAACTTGCTCAGCACCACCACGCAATATCAAAGTACACGTTTTGGCTTGAGGACACCCTTTGAAGATATTGTATCTTTCACCACCAATTTGTACTTCTTCGAATTTAGCACAGGTTCCCAAATCCAGAGGCTCAATCTTGGAACACGTGCTTTGGATATGTCCTCCAACTGCTTGGATAACTCTATCCATATCTTCACTACTTACACGACCAGCACAGAAAATATCTCTATCTGCAAAGTACTGGGTAGCCAAATCCCCAATAGGTAACTTGGACAAAACGATATTAGCTCCTGAAGCAACGATGGCTTCCAACTTGTTCAAGATGATTTGCCACTCAGCATCAACAATTGCTTGGTAGTCCTTGACTTGATCAATCCTAACTTCTGCATTATCCTTCTCTGCCTTCAACTCCAACTCCACATTCAATGCTACTATCTTGGGATTAACAAACAGCTTTGGCTGTTGTTCAAACCCAGCATACGAAAAAGTCTTTTTGAAAGCAACGCCATCAACAAACATACTATCCTCCAATGCACCGCCAGGCACTTTCTTAATACCAATCAACTTTTCATCCAAATCATTTTGATCAAGGCTCAAAACAGCGTCAACAACCATTTTGGTGAAAAATTCCGAATTGCTGCTAATCAATTTCGACGACATAGCAGTAGTGGCACATTTTTCCAAGGACTCTCTAAACTCTTCATCATTCTCCTTCTTGACGTCAACTGCAAGCTCCTTGATCTTTTCAACACACAACTCACAAGCCTTCCTATATGCTTTCGTGATCAAATATGAACTTAATCCATCTTCGATAAACCCCTTGGCTTCTTTCAACAACTCTCCCGCTAATATCGTCACTGATGTAGTACCATCTCCTACTTCTGCATCCTGGGATCGAGAAATATCAACCAACATTTGCGCAGCGGGATGGACAATATCCAACAATTTCAAGATTGTGGCACCGTCATTCGATATGGTGGTTTTACCATTGGATGAGACTATGAGAATATCCGATCCAAAAGGACCCAATGTTGGACGTAATGTATCCTGTATTGCCAAGCATGCATTTATATTTGTGATAATTTGACCTTTGCCCTGTGAAGTATCGGTACCTTCTTTTAACACAACAATTGTTGGTGTTTGGTTTGAAAATGCCATTGTATCAACCAAATTGAACAAAATATCTCTCTAGTTCAATTGAAATAGAAGGATTCAATCGAAAGTAAGTAAAACAAAGAAGAAAAAAAAGAGTGTGTGTTGTTGTTGTTAATTGAACACCTGCCTCTTCTGATATACGATTGATGATGCAGATGGAAAGAAGATTGAAGAAGAAGAAGAAAGAAAAAAAAAATTGTTACTCGTGATTTGGTAACTGTTGCACTACCTTCTTTGTCTCTACTACTATCAAAAAATTTTCACCAAGCACTTTAAAAGCTGGCAACGACAAATACACCATACACACCATACACACCAATGCTCTCCAGGATAAGCTCTAGTAGAGCTATAAAATCTCCCACAATGCACCAGCAAGTCAGACACAAACAGACAATATCCATGGTTGGTGAAGTAAATCTATCCTCGCGAAGAGTCATGCGTAAAATAAAAATGGGCAGAGCACGTCCAGCCATAATGTACCAATTTGACACATTGGTCGAGCTTAGTGATGGATCAGTAATCAAGCGTCGATCACAAGCTCCCAAAGATGAAATCAGAATGATTAATGATCAAAGGAATAGTTTGAGGTGGAACCCACATAGAGCAGATTTGGATACTTCTGATTTGACAGCCACGGGTAAGATTGGTAAATTCAGAAGCAAATATGCCGGATTCAGTGGTGAAGAAGAAAACAAAAATGGCAAAGCGAATGAAGATAAAGCAGATACCAAAAAGGAATTGTCATTGGAAGAAGAGGAGGCGTTGAAGGCAAAAGAGAAGGAATTGAACAAGGCAAGAGATCAAGAGTTGTTTGACTTGATGGGTGAAAATGCAGAGGAGATTGTTGGTGGAGGTAAGTTGTACGACAAGAAGGCAGACAAGAAGAGATTCAAATAGGGTTTGGCGTGAACACACATGGGCAAGAGGGAGGAAGTTGGTAGTTCTAGTTGTAAATATTTACATTATGTATATACAAAACTCAGTTTACTGAGACTATGTTTAGTTAAATGCTCTAGCTTTTAGTACTTCCTTCAAGTACCCCTGATTGTCAAAGTATTCCAAGTACTCAATAACAGTACGTACGTCCCACCCACTCTTTCTAAACTCCTCAATGCACCACCGTAAACTTATATCATCTCGATTATTGATCGCTTCTTTCGACAAAACCTTCAAGCACTCAACCATTCCAAATGGTGTTAAACAAATCAACTGACTAAATTCGTCCAAGAGCCCGTACCGCTTGAAATCGACCTGCTGGTACAATTGGTTCGTTTTAGAATTTTGGAAACTAACCATCTTTAGAAACTTTGTGTAGTAACGTATTGCTTGACGGTTATTGATAGACGATATGGCTTCTATTAGTGAAATAGTAAACGACTCCAAAGTTGGATCGTCACGTTTCAATTTCATGAATTTCAAATATAACTCTTTGAAAAACACTTGGTCTTTGTTCATCCACGTATACTTGAACATCAGCAAGTAGCTTGCTTTGGTAATTTCCAAACTCATTCGTCTCATTGTAGATGCAGCTTCAGACACTTTGCTTTGTTGCAACAATTTCTCCACAATTGTGTTCAACTCTGCACTGTTGATGGTTGAATGGGCGAATATCGTCTCCATAATCTTTTCCGCATTGGTTTCATCTCGAAGTTGGATAAAGCTTTTGAGCAATGACGTAAGTGACGTTCTTCGTAGTGGGCTACGTAGTGCCTTGGTTAACACATTGAATTTTTCGGCAGAATATTGAGCATAAAAGAAAAGTTTAAAGTCAACCATGTAGTCTGTATCGATGCAAGAGGGGAGATTAGCAAGCTCTTCTTCAATAAGGTGCGGGTCATGATGTAGTTGGAATGCTGTGACCACTTTCTCCACATACGACAGCACTTGATTCGCTGAAGGGACATTAGCCAACACTATTGGTTTTGCAAGTTGCCAAATTTGTAGCGCTTTTATTGCATCGCTATTTTCCAAATTTAGTTGCAACATAGAAAGAAGAACTTGGTGCTGTTGAAAGGACGGCATATTTCTGAATTTGTCATCTCCAGCATACTTGAAAAGCAAATGGTTTGCAAAGTAATTCCCATTCGAATTCGAGCTCAAAAACATTAAGCTAGTGAACAACTCCAGAGTGTCTATTCGAGGACTTGTTTGAAGAATTTGTAACAAACAATACGCATTCATGGAGAAATTTCTGAGGGAGCTGGAACTGATGATATCAATAAACAACCTAATAGTCAGATAAGGTACATCTATCCCATTGTGAATAAAGTTTAGGATACACATTGTCGATAGAGATACATGATTTCCATCCATTAAGAGATGCAAAAACTCCATTCTCAAGCCATTTGCATCTTGACTCTGGTACTTGTACTTTGGAAGAATCTTTGCTCGATGTAATATCCCAAGACTACCCAAAATCAATTTCGGATCATCTTTCATGACAATTTCACAACAATCCTTTAGTAAATACTCCTTCACTTTTTCATTCCTCAATACGTTAAATGGTAGAGCCGCATTCTCCTTGTTTGATTCGGGTACTGCACTGATCAAGTCTTGAATGAATGTCGCGTTGATCGAGGAATATGTATCCTTCAATTCCTTAACTATATCATACGTGGACTTTAGTTTCGATAGATGCTCGATCCGAGAAAATGCAGTGTCGTAAACGGGTAAGGGTAATTTGGTAGTGAAACATCGCCTGCAGATAAAGCGGTGACGTGGAAAATGGTGTAGTCGCTGTAGTCGTATTGTTGCTTTCTGTAGTGTGGTTCTAGTGTACATATCAGCTTCTCATCATGAAATAGTAATGGTCTTCACTAGTCTGTATAGTCTCGTGCGCTAGAAATTTCTTCTTTTTTTTTTGTTTTTTTTTTTTTTTTTTTTTTTTTTTTTTTTTTTTTTTTTTTTTTTTNGATGCTCGATCCGAGAAAATGCAGTGTCGTAAACGGGTAAGGGTAATTTGGTAGTGAAACATCGCCTGCAGATAAAGCGGTGACGTGGAAAATGGTGTAGTCGCTGTAGTCGTATTGTTGCTTTCTGTAGTGTGGTTCTAGTGTACATATCAGCTTCTCATCATGAAATAGTAATGGTCTTCACTAGTCTGTATAGTCTCGTGCGCTAGAAATTTTTTCTTTTTTTTTTGTTTTTTTTTTTTTTTTTTTGTTTCTCTTGTCTACATTGTGTAAAAGCAGTCTATTATGAAAGTCCCTACATAACAACACAATCACCGAGTCCAAAGCCATACATAACCTTTTCCACATGCTTCTTTATCAAAGGCCAGTCCTCTCTTCTTTGCACAAACTCGTAGATTTCTTCTTGACCAAAAATACCATTGAACTTTGACAAATCGCTAACCAATTTACCAATGGCTTTCGAATCATCGCCACCAATAAGGTACAAGTTCCCGATTTTTTTCAATGCTTGATACAAGGGCATGATTTGTCTTTTGTTCGACATGATATTCTCCAACATAAACTCGTAGTACAAGTTCAAGTCGGAAATCAAGTTTGTAGCTCCAGTAACCGAAACTGTTCGTCGTTTCAACATCTTGACAATGACTTGGAAAAACCTTTCGGCAATTTCCTGCTGAAATACATCGACAACGGACTTATCTGCACTATCAACGAGAAGATTCATGTTTTCTTCAAGTATGCTTGTCGCTTTTTGAGCTGCAGTTGTAGGACCAAGAGTTGTGACAGCATCAGATGGAGGATTATAATCGGTATCTAGAAGCAACTCCTGATACGTTGTTTCAATTTGATGAACGAGCAACTCAATTCCCACATTTAAACCATCGGCGACATTCTTATCAACCAACGCCTCAAGCTTTTTCTTGCTTTGTAAAGATGGATTCAAAATACTGTTTTCATGCTTGACGACTTTTTTGTTCAACATTTCCTCCTTGTAGAAGAAATCAACCATTTGAATAATGACATCAGCCATGTTGATCAAGTCAAAAAATAGCACGATTGGTTCTGCAAACTTTTCATTATGCTGTGTGGTATATGTGGGCGAGTTGGGATTATATGTCTGTAAGTAAGTTAGAGCTTTTTCAAACCCCGGTGTCAAGTGTTCTATTCCAATGGTGTCCATGACGTCAATGAAAATCTCCTGTGTTGACAGAAAAATATCACTTCGCAATGATGCAATAGTAAAGTCTTTAAACGTCATAAGACGATTCAACGAATTTGTAGCATTGTTTATGATCTCAAGAACTACCTCGGGGCTAAGAATCTTGTTCAAGGATCTTATATTTTCGGACAATATTTTCGCCTTGGCTTGCATTTCTGTAAAATTTGCTTTTGATGCCGGGTCTTTTGACGAGCTGAGAGCAAAAACACTCTTGAATGATGTCAAAAAGTCATTTTTCGATTCAACTTTAACACTTTCAAGGATTTTCAGTGATGTTTCTGCCTCTCGTTGCGAAATTTGCTCGTTCCATTTGATTAACTTCTCCTGTGCATTTAGACGAAACTGGGCCACCTCCTCTCGCATGTACTCCACAGCAAACGATTCAAACATCATATCAATCAATTCACGGACCAATTTATGGTAAGATTCACCCACATTCTCTGAAGAAACCATTCTCTCGATCAAATCGGTCGTCAACTTGTCATATAAAAAAGGAACGATATTAAGGTACAAATTGTACTTTTTTGACGAATCTAGAACAAACAAGACCAACTCTGACAACTGGTTGGAAATGATTTCCTCGCAAACCTTGTACATCATTGGGATAGACTGAGGGAAAATTTTATCAATAATCTCAGACTGTTTGTTGAAAACCAGAGCAATGTTTGCGATTAATTTGTCAAACATACTTGCATCTATCTGCAGATCTGCAAAGTAGTCGTCCATACCAAGTGGGGTCAAGCCAAACATTTCCATGTCCTCATCAAATATAGTCTTTTGCAAGAAAAAATCAATCAAAGTCTGTTGATTATTAAGCGACATCAAAATCGTCACAAACCGTCGTGTTTGTTCGTAATCCTCAACATCAAAATGTATTTCCAACTCTCGCAACAATGTGTTTTCGAATTGCTCAAAGAGGTCACTGAGTTTGTCGTGTGCCAAGCCTCGTGTTTCCTCAAAGTGGTCGACTTTATTGTAGCTGAGTAAATTGGTCAACATTTTAGCTTGATCTTCTGGGGTTTGAAAGTCCTTCAACAACTTGAGGTTATCAAAACTCTTGGTGCTTAGTAGATCGTTGTAATATCGAAACAAGCATTTGTGAATCTTTAGAGTTTGATATTTAGCGTTTTTTAACGATCGATACACATAGTCCAAACACGTCAACGGGTTATCTAGGTAGGGCATTTTGGCACTCTTTCTAATCTCTTCCTTCGTGATCTGTGTTGCATGGTCCCATACCCCCATTTCTTTGAGAATGGAGACCCAAAGCGTGGGGTCATTTACAGCTTGGTGTGTGTTCTTTGATACCAAGCTAAACGATAAAAGGTCTTGAATCGGTAGATAGTTGGCTATGTTCCTCGCTATCAGTAATGGAACCACTTTCCTATTGTAAACATCTATATCTGTATTCCATATCACTTGCGCCATATCTCACAAACCGGGGACTTCTGCAAGTTGAATTGAATGTGAAATCGAGTTTTAAATTGAAAAAAAAAAAAAAAAAAAGTATCAAGTTCTTGCAATGGGACTCCTTATTCATTAACCAAAGCTACAAACTCTTATAAATGCCACTACAGTGATGCAAAGATGGCTCAGACAATATCGAGCAATTGTTTTAAATACGTATATACCAAGAGATCCATTGTGTTCCCGCTCATACTCCACGAAAACAGCCTTCTTTAACAAAAACCCCACCCAGTCCCTTCCAGAAAAGTTATCCACGTATATTTCCAACTTATTGACTGAGCAGCACGATAAAATGTTAGACCAGCCCGTTCAAAAACTAATCGACACAGTTCCTAATCTCGCAAGGGACTTGAAAAAGTCCATTGATATAGAGAACAAACTTTACACCGTGCTATCTTACGATCCTGTTCTCATTGATCCGCGACTATACTTACATTTCTACGACCCCACGGTTGGAGCTTCTGTCAAAAGGTTAATGCTAGAACGACTTTTGTATCATCAACAATATGCTGCTTGTTGGAAGCTCTTCACTGGTGATACATTAAACGATTTAGATGCGTTCCTATCCACGACCAAAGCATTTATAACGAAGCAGAGAAATGATTTTGCGGTAATAGACTTCATCATTAGTATGCCAGAGTTTGGGGAAAATGATGCCTACCAGTTACTGGTGTTGGATGCGTTGAGTCATGCGTTTAACGTCAATGCACGTAGAGTACTACAAACACATCACGATATTAATGACCTACGACAGCTTTCGGATTTACAAACATACCCCAAACACGATTTCATTTCAACTGTATTGTGGTTGAAACAGATGATGAAACGCTTGTATTATGAAGGAACTACATCTCAACAAGTTCAAGAAGTTTTAGTACAATCCTCTGATATTATGATGCGTCCAGGATGGATTAGCTCAATTTTCCCAAAATTTGAATCTTGGTCGAGTTTGGCTTTCCCAAAGACACCAAAAAGCATACTACCCTATATGGACTCCATGAATGAAATGTTATCCAGTGGTGTTCGTTTAAGTGATTTAGACACACTATATATGCTCCACTCAAACGTTACTCCTTTCTCCATTTTCCTGGTCTACAAATTGTCCCATATGAATAAACTGATACTAAACTACTTGATGAAGTGTCTAGTTGACAAGTCCAACCATGAAGAGCTAAAAGCGGCATACTTAGTTTCCCGAAAACAACTCGATGTACCCGTTGTGATCATGTGTGTTAACAAGTTGTTAGCAAATGAGGCTTATGTTTTGCCATTGATCAAACAGCTCGAAAAGTCCAAAAGAGAGAAAGTGATCTTGAATCTTGATTACCTCGGTGCATCACAATATATGGAACTAATTGTACACTTCAACAACAACCAAAAAATCGCTCGCCATCTTGTTACCAAATTTGCCAACTCGGCTCATTCACACGTTGAGAACTTGACATTATTAGCTGCCTCAAACATCAATTCAAAGAGAACCCTACTAGAAATCTTTCGCTCAACAATACTCCGAGCTGGGGTTGTTGATCAAAAATTCATATCCGTCATATTGAATGCCATTGTGGATAAAGCCATCCCCAACAAAGGAGGTTTCAAAAATTCACTAGACGCCTTAGATCAAAAAGGGAAAACCCTTATGCATAACACCTTCAGGTCACTTGGGCAATCTTTATCTCTTCTTGGTGAGACTGATTTAGCTTTAGCATTTGATGCAATTTACAACACAATTCACCATGGGTCATTCTGCTACAAGGGCGATAAAATAGCTCAGAAGTATATTTACAAGTCGTTATCAGATGAAGCGATAAGATTCATCATTCGTGAAGATAATCGTGTACAAAAACTCCAAAAAATAATGGGGAAAATGACCACATCAACATTTTGGGTCAAATACTGGCTCATTCACGCTATGGTGCTAGATGACTTTTCCAACGCCATCAAGCTATTGGAATTTTATCAAAGGAGTAAACGCGATTTGACCCAATTTTTCCCAGCAATTGTATTTGGAGTCATAAAATCCCAAAAAATGGATTTAAACGAGAAGGTGAAATATCTTGATTGTTTTCTAACTCGGGCAAAGAAACTAAAGTATGAAAATGTCTTGAAATTCAAAGCAGGAGTAGAATTGGTACGCCATTTTCAAAGGGCTGCAAGTAATGATCTGTTGAGCAAAGAATCAGTTAAGTGGCTTGCAGCATTGAGCGGGAAAAATCGCCACATAAGAGGAGCTTTTCATTTCAACAGGATAAAGAAACATTCAGTCGTCATGAAGTAGAGAAAGTGGAACGAATGCATCAACTTTTTTGTAATATCGTCATGTCATGTCATTTGAGATATTTGACATGAAGTTCTTTTGTAAATTTTGATCCGACAAGTCTATTCATCGTAAAAGAAACGACTCAAAATATCCCTTGACTACACCAGTTTGTACAGAGCTTTCTCAAAAAAGAGGTATTGTTCATTTCTTCCTTGTCTACAAACAAACTTTAAACGCAGTAGCGATTACTACAGTGAGCTGCAAAGCTGTCGAACGTATTACCATCAGCACATACGAACGCCATTTATTCCAATTGCCTTTTTCCCCTCATTCGCTTGTTAGTGAACTATTACTAAGTTAGTACTTTTATTTTTAAAGTTGCTTCCTGACATATAGGATTCGATCTAGTACATACCCACACCCTAATCTGCAAGGGTGTCACTCCGCATTTTCCAGCAATCAACTCGCGTTCTCTGCGGTTTGGTGACTGTTTGACGAGAAATATTTTCTCAAGAAGCTCTTTCGATGAAGACGACAATCGTTTCCGCGATCTTCTCAATCCGCCCCAGCTTCCGCATAAGTCTGTTTCTTGAGTGTGTTTACTTCTCACTGTGCCCCCTATTGAAATCGCTACTCGTTGTAAAAAAAAATTGCTGTTGTGTTGCAAGGGTATATTTGTTCGATTCTCCGATTCGAACTGTTCAATTCTTCTCAATGTGTCAGGAAGTTGACTCAATCCCCACTCTAATCTGGGATCAATGGGGCCGCAACTACTCTAATTTAAAAGTTAGCACGAACAATATATTTGAAAAAGTTATCACATACCTTTATGTCCTCTAAAATCTTGTCAGGGGTTTGTGAGGTTTCGCCATTGTCTACGTCAAGATTGGGACTCGAGTGTGACAAGTTTGTCGAGCTGGTTGACTTCGTTATGTCCTCTAAAGCGGATAAACTGATCAACAATGCTTTGCCCTTGTAATATTCAGAATTCATGTTAGTGGTTTTAATTCGAAAAAGGAAAATGAAGTAAGAAATAGGAATCTTATTTAAATTTTCTGCATACATCTACTCTGAAACATGACATTACAACATAAATTTTTCACCATTATTTATTTGAATACGTCTTCTGTTACTATACCATAGTTACAGCTCAATGAAGAACTACTAATCTTGAAACCGCTTGTATAGCGTCTAATTTTGGGTCTCTTCATGCGAATGCTGGACTTTTTCAACCTAAATTTATGTTTGAGAGGCTGACTTTGGAATTTGTTTTTCAGTTTCTCCGCGTCCGCCAGGGAACCAGTGTTATTGAATGCATGACTTTTCTTGTTTTGGAACACCTGGCTATAGGTCATTTTTTTACGGTCATGCCATACTGACTCTGTTATTGATAGATACTCAAAATAAGTCTTGAAGGAACTATCAGCTTGACCCCAAAGCTGTAAAATAGTTAGTCGTTAGTTCAGTTTGTATTGTCCATAAATACGTACCCGTGACACCCCTTTGGATATGATCTTTAGCTCGTAAGTGTTTTCCTTAAGCAAGCTAGCTAATGTACTTCTTGCAATAATGAAGTTGTTCCGAGATCGAAACTTAGTTTCTTTCTCCGCCAGCTTTGTTTTGAACAGGACGAACTCGGATGTCCTTTTCCTTGGTGTAACGTTAATTGACAAAACTGGGAAGGAATTTCCGTCTGTGAAGGATTTCAAATCTTTGGAGACTATTCCCTCTGCTTTTGGAAAACAAAATCCGTAGATATACATCTGTGCCGTGCTCAATGTCCAAAAAAGTTACCCATTCGTAAATTACTCGTTTAAATAATAGTGAATTCTTGGACTTCATTCCGTTACCGTGTTTCACCAAATTGCACAAAGAATGTTGTGGTCACGTGCTCTGTTTGTACAAACGCAAGTGCCAGCGTTAATAATATGCCAAAGCCCGCTCTCGTTGGCAAGTCCCCCTATTGTATGGCCCAGCATATCAGGAACGTTCAATTCAGAATAATAGAGCAAGCTTAAATGCTTGGTGCCAACATGCAAACTACAAATTCGAAAGCATCCTTCCAACCTTATATGGAAATACACAGTTTTATGAAGTCGTTTGTCTTTTGAGTTTGATCAAAGAGATTCTGGGGAGGCAACCTTTATCTATCCAATCATGGATTAAGAAGGGGTAAGGTTGATTCAAAATTTACTAGTTAAGTAGTGTATGCACTTGCATTCACAAGAAGAACTGCGATTTTATACAATGGTGGGATGAGTCCCTCACAATACATGACAACAAAACTCCTGAAAATTTGAGAAGCTACGCGATCAAAATCTACTATACTTACTATTCGATATACCGGTGTAATTGTAATAATCACCGCACCTAGGTTCAGCATATATAATCTGGACGACGTTCACGGAAAGATAATAATGAAATGAGCACGATAGAGAATCTAAGTGAGGAAAAGTCTCCGTTTCTAACAAAAATAAGAGTGAGTGACCTGAGATGGTAAATCTGCACTAGCCATCACATCTATTCTAGTTGTATATACCTTGTGTGATCATCTGAAACTGGTCGTACAACCTCGTATACATGCTGTTCAAGCTCTTACCTATTAATGAAGTCTCGACATACAGATCAATCGAGTCATCTGACAACAGCAATTGAAGCCTTTGCGCTAACATGACACTAGTGTTTTCCCCGTTATTGAAGCATGGAAGTTTTGAATCCTTTTGCATCAACTGGACCATGCTCACAATTTGATCCGACTCTTTTCTCAAAATTTTGAAGCACTCTTTACATACTTCAACGAATAGCTGGTAATATTCCGATTCAGTGCCACCTAGCAAATCAACATACTCTGTGGTTAGTTTGAATGGAGCAGCTTCAAATCCAATGTTGGAGCCTGGAGAGTTGCCCAACAAAAATCCAAAATCAATATGAATTATATGACCTTCATGATCAAGCATAATATTTCCGTTATGTCGGTCCTTGATTTGAAGGACGTAACATATGATTGAGTACGATGCTAAACTTCTTGCAAAGTTTTCTTGCGCTTGTTTGTATTTGCGACTAGACTCGTCCCCATAAAGCTTCTCAAAGTAATCTTTCAAAGTGAAAATTCTCCCTTTCGAGTTTGAGCCACTAGCGATAGAGAGCTCTGTGAGTGATTTTTTGATCGAATGTACTGACATTGCATTGGTGATAGTCTCAACTAATCCTGCGTTTGCGCTTGTGATTAGTATTTTCATTCTCTTTGTCCAGAACGGTACCTTGTATTGTTTCCAAATATTGGAAATCATAGTGATTAGTTGACATGCAAAGGCCTCTTGCGGCAAATCATCGCCATTCTTCACAATTACCGAACACAAATCCCAATTTTTCAAATGGCCATAAGCACTGGCTTTTCGAATTCTTTGTTTTTTTTCGTTCCAATCCTCACTGATCTTGAAATCGTTCTCTAGCTTGCGTTGGCCGGCATCTTGCTCGTCTGTTTTGAACTCTTTCATGGTCTCATAATCAATACTCTCAAATTGGTCTTGCAATGAAATCATTGAATCAATAATTCGAGTCTTGATTGCAATGAATTGCTGTGTATTTGCTTGCCCTGAACTCTCCAATTGTTGTAGCATTAATGACGCAATCCGCATTTGATCTGCACGGACCAGTGAATCTGCAGCATTTGCGGTTCCTTGGGCTCCAAGTATGGGACTCTTGGTCCCATCCTGTGATAAGCGTGGTGACTTGGTGTTCAATTTGGAAGCAGCCCACTCGCGACTTTCTCTACGAGATCCCAAAATGGAAAGCTCTCCCAAATCTGTTTCTATGGTTCCAATGCCTTCCAATACTTCTTGAGCAGTAATGCTTCCAACATCAGAAGAGACAGACTCAATATCTGTATTGCTGAGTTCGTAACTACGCTTAGGCTCCGACTCCTGTAGTTTTCTGTTAATCAATTTCTGGTTATATTCAGTGAATGGATTGAAGTCCAACTCATCGCTCAAGTATTCAATAAGAAGTAAGTATGGTACTCTTTCTGCCGAATTTAGTACACAAGCTTCGTTAATGCTTAACTTGAGAATTTTATGAAATTTTTTGTTTTTGTTGCTAGTGATTGGTAACAATTGCGGGATATCAATTTCCGATGGTAAAAGTGACTCATTTATAATTGCAAGCTCAGCCCTGAGGGCGGATAATCTTGCCGGTTTTGGTACCAGCGACAACCTCATGGATATGTCCTGAAGAGACATAATAAACTCCGTTTCGTTCTTGGAATAATTGACTCTCAATATTTTAAGAAGTTCTTGATACAGCTTTGCTTTCGAAGACATGCCCTGCGAACTAGCCCTTTTTGCACCAGTATCGATGGAGTATCTGCTAGTATAAAGTAACATTTCTGAATCGGACGCCAATATTTCAGGTCTTGAGGGTGACTTTGTGAGATCTGGCAATGACTGAGCACTCCTATTCATATTGTCCCTCAATGAGCCGAGGTTTTTCAGATGACTTTTTTTACCTTTGATACTTGTATTAACTTTCATTCCTTGTCCAACATTGGAAAAGGCGACTTCTTTTGAATATTCTTTTTTAAATGACAAAGCTGCATCTTCGTCATCGGTGGTATTGATTTCCGAATCATCCGGTAAAAAAGACAGCACGGCCCTTCTTCCAACTTTAGAAGCATTAGCCATGGCACGTTCATTTTCAGTGCTTGTATTCTCACTATCACTGCTGCCATTCGAATGTTTGTTTAGATTTTGGTTTTTTAACGTAAGATTCTTAGTCAAATTCTTTTGAAAGTTGGCCACATTGAATACAAAAGATCTTGGCTGCTTCGCTTGCGACTTTATAATTGGCGTGACATAATCATGAACTAGTGGTAGAGCGAATGACGATAAGAATGCTCCGCTAAGTACCAATGCCGGATCTAAATTCTCCCTAAACTCGGTCCCTTTTGAAACTGAATTGTCCACGTTGAAAAGAATACTTTGCAATTTATTAATGAAATTACGAACTGTTTGAAATGCATATGACGCCGGTTCGTTTCGAAGGTCAAATAAAAAAGCTTGCAAGCACCAGAATACAATCAAACTAAAGTGGTGAAAATTCTCGCAATATCTCAATAAGAACTCTTCTAATGCCATAGAATCAGTTTCGAACATGACCATGAGTTGAATTAATTGTGGAATGAAAAATTCTATGTCATCATATTGAAAAGAATATAGTCTCTGGACTAACGCGTGATGAATGCCAATGTTCTTTCCATTCTCTCGTATCAAGTTAATGCAGCGAAGTAAAGAAAGCAGTGGTGAATAAACCTCCTTCCTTAGCCTTTCATTCTTGAACATCTTGTCTTCAGGTTGTTAATGTAGCTTGTTCCTGGATACTTTTTTTTTTCGGCAACGGGCCTCTTATATTTGACCAGTAAATCGTACTCGCACAAAAAAATTACACATATAGAAGGCAACAAGTGTGTGTATCATTAAAAAAAGTAAAGTATAGAATTCTAAAATGTAAATTGAGCTCGTCTCAAAATCAAAGAGTAAGTAGTCTAGTTGACGAAGAGTAAAGATTGGAAGAAAACGAACTTATCCTTTGGTTTGAGAACCAACACGGTCTTTGAAAGGAGGGATGTCAAATTTTTCATTCGGTGTCTGACCTGGAAGGAAAGGTGCAGCATCCAACACTCTCTTGGTCAACTCTTCAGGTGGCTCAGCAAGGTTTATGTGTTTGTTGAATATAACTCCCAAGTCTTTTGAGGAATGGTCTTGAGCATCAACTGGTCTAAAGTACTTAGGGTGAAACTCAACGCCGTCTTCGAGACGCTTCTTGGCTTTTTCACGCTGCTCATTTTCTACTTTAAATTTCTCCTCAGTAGCAACCTCGTGATCCCTGCGTGCAAGAGCATCAACCGTTGGCTTCCATAACCTTCTAGATTCATACTCGGATTGTTCCTCTAAAGGTCTTACTAGAGGTTTGACCTGAATGGTTTTGTGGGTGTCGATAAGTAACAGCTTTTTACCCGTGCTTAAGTCTTTTATATCAATAACGTCATTCCATTTACCACTCAATTGAAATAATTGTTTCGATGTTTCGATCTCTCTAATTGTGCCCTCGATAGCATCGTATGTACCGCTGATGAAGCCCTTCGTTTTGAACTCAATATCTGCTTCAAGTCCTAATGCAGCACACTTCACTATCAAGTGGTCACCCAATTCCATCTTCATTTTACCAAAAAGAATTCCCCTGACGTATACGTTTGGTTGGGTTATCACGTACTGTTCTTCGTTCCAGTTTCCAAGAGTAACCTGACCTAACCCTTCCATTATTGCTGCTGAAGAATTACCCAAAAATCTTGATTTGGGGATCACTGTACCATCGACTCTGATCTTTTCTTTCGGGACCAAATAGAAGTAGGAAGATTTGGGAGGGTGGTGCGATGTTTGCTCCGATAAATAGTACGCATCACCTGCATTGTATGGCAAATCCTTCCAGTAGCAAGAGAAAGTCTCTCCAAGAACAGGATTAAGGGGTTTCTTAACTGCTTTGGGTGCGATGTGCCATGAGGCAAGGTACCATTTCAAGACATTTATAAATCTTGCTACAGGCTCCTTGGTATTATTGGCTTCAAGTAACAAATCAGGGATTTGAAAAAAGTTTGTAATTCTCTCCAACATAGACTTCTTTTCCAAAATGAAGGTGGGGAGGGTGATTTTTGTCAAATCCATACCTGGTCTCAACTGAGCAATAATACCCATTAAAATCGATTGCCCCTCATTGTCCATCTCGTCAATATCATCAGTATCCGCATCGGAGGCTGCACCCGTAGTAGTGACTGGTGGTTGTTTCTTTTCGGACTTATCGTGATCGCCAAGCTTAAGCTTTTCAAGTTTAGAAGTCAATCCCATTTTGTTGGTTCCTGAAACTAGATGAAAGTGTACTTCAAGGTTGAGTTGTGGAAAACGTGAGTCGTCGAACTCAAGAAAAAAGCAAACAAACTTTCGCAGTGAGTTAAACTTTCAGATGAAAACGGGTAATAACGAAAATAAGTTGCTCCGCTTTTCCCCCTCAATGAATGTTTGGAATTATTGATAGCAGAGAGCTACAATACGTAGGTTCTAAGTTCCTATAAGCTTCTTTTCAATAAGGGTCTCACAAATAATCTTAAGTTTTTATATTGTGTAATACTATATTTCTCTGAGACAAGACTATGAAAATTTTCGCAGAAATCAACTCAGTCTAATACTAAACTACAGATGAATAACGCAACCTATGGAGTGACTCCTCCGATATCCTTTTCAGACCCCACTTCAGCAGAAAGAGATCTTAATGATTCATTGATTAAAGAGTTAAAACTAAGAGGATCTTACGAGAGCGAATCCGCCACTTTGAAAAGAGTTGAAGTTTTGACCACGCTTCAAAAGCTTACTGAGGAATTTGTTTACGAAGTTTCTCTCAAAAAAAATATGGCACAGGGTATGGCAAATGATGCAGGAGGGAAGATTTTTACTTTCGGATCCTATAGGTTGGGGGTTTATGGCCCGTCTTCTGATATTGATGCACTTGTGGTTGTACCTCGACACGTCACAAGGGAAGATTTTTTTGCTACATTCGAGAAGATTCTCAGAGGAAGACAAGAACTCGAGGAGATAAATAGTGTGAAGGAGGCCTTCGTGCCGATAATAAAATTGGAATTCGCCGGTATATCGATTGATTTACTTTTTGCTCGTTTGGATATACCTCGTGTTCCTCGTGATTTGACTCTTGATGATAAGAACTTATTAAGAAACATCGACGAGAAAGACATGCGTGCACTTAATGGAACGCGAGTCACTGATGAGATTTTAAGGTTGGTGCCCAAGCTGACAGTGTTCAAAAACGCTTTGCGATTTATAAAGATGTGGGCACAAGAGAGAGCGATATATGCGAACGTTTATGGTTTCCCTGGTGGTGTTGCATGGGCCATGCTAGTGGCCAGGATTTGCCAGCTTTATCCCAATGCTGTTAGCGCTGTGGTAATAGAGAAATTCTTTCAAATTTACTCACAATGGAGCTGGCCTCAACCTGTTCTTTTGAAGCAAATTGAGGATGGACCTTTGCAAGTTAGAGTATGGAATCCAAGATTATATCCTACGGACAGACAACATAGAATGCCTGTTATCACTCCTGCTTACCCTTCTATGTGTGCAACTCATAATATAACCAGCTCCACGCAGAAGATAATTTTGGGTGAGTTTCATAGGGGGGTTGAAATTATGGGAGAGATAATCGCTGGTCGAAAGCAGTGGTCAGATTTGCTACATAGACATGACTTTTTTCACAGATACAAGTTCTACTTATGTGTGGTAGCAGCGACAAAGGCGGATGCTGAAGAACATCTCAAATATAGTGGTATGGTTGAAAGCAAACTTAGATTGCTAGTTCAAAAATTGGAGCAAGTGGAAGGGATTGAGTTAGCTCATCCCTACGTGAAGTCATTTGATAACTCATTTTACTGTAAATCCGACGAGGAAATGATGTCCATTGTTAATACGTATGGAACGTTGCTGGGAGACGAGATCACTGCTCATCTCAACTCCTCGAAGAAAGGCGAAAAGCAAGAGAGCGAAATTGAATTGAATTTGACCAAGCTATACATTGGCTTGAGGTTGAATTTAATCAAGGATGGTGAGAAAAAGTTGGATATTCAGTACCCTTGCGCGGATTTCTTTTCGATATGTAAGAACTGGTCTGAGTTCAACCCGGATATACACTTCATCCAAATTAAAAACGTTAAATTGCTGAACTTGCTGTCCGACGTTTACATTGAGGGCGAACAAAGACCCACGAAGGTAACTAAGAGAAAGCGCTCCCTTACTAAGGATGAGGGTAAAAAGAAACCTAGAAGCGTCGAATCCATAGTACCAACAAGCTAATAATATATGCTCAAGAACCTACCAGGAGATTTTTTCAAAACCAATAATTCCAAATACGTTTGTAGAGTGGTTTTTGCTTGTTCAAAAGCTTTTCTTCCTCGAGTTCCGCCCGAATCAAGTCTAGATCAACTTGCCTTCTGCCGGTATCAATGTCTATATCGTTCAACAGTTTGCAAATCTTCCAGTTTCTAGTGTATAGTTTGTGACCAACATAGAAAACCAATATGACGACAGCTCCCAAGTAGTTTTGGAAAAAGTGCTCGGCATCGGCATCTTTTGAACCAATTGGAAATAGCGCAGTCCAAAATTGAATTCCCAAGACTGTGAGTAAGAACCCCATTGCGTAGATTGAACCAAAAACACCAGTGACAGAAGTAAAAGTCAACTCTTCAATCGATCTTCCTTGTGCGTGTAATGCTTGTCTGAAACGGAAATGACACAATGCAATATTAAACCATGAAAATATAGTTGCAAGTCCCGCTACGCTCAAGAGCCAATTGAAAACAGTGCCTTGGTTCTTGTATGCAGCAAGGAAGCAGAGCAAACCAAACAATGCTGAGAGGGCTAATCCCCCCAATGGGCGACCTTTTCTGTCGACGTATGCAAAACTTTGAGGCGCCAATCCTTGAAGACCCAATGATTGTACTGTACGTGAGCATCCATATACAGCTGAATTGCCTACCGAAAGGATCGATATCAAGATGCAGGCGTTGAAAATTGAAGGGAGAGCATGGATTCCCCCGTTTTTGATAGCAATGACAAAAGGTGAAGTTGATGATGTACCAGCACCAAGCAAATCAGGTGAGTTATAAGGCACGAGTAAACTAATCATCGTCAATGAAAGGAAGTAGAACAAAATAAGTCTCCAAAAGACTTGACGAATAGCTTTGGGGAGTGTTTCTCTTGGATTTCTTGTTTCTGCACTTGCCAACCCCACCATTTCAGACCCTGCCATGGAGTACGACGCCGTTACAAATGTAGTTGCAACCCCTTTAAACCCATTGGCAAAAGCACCTTTCTCGACGTGCCAATTCCTTCCGCCAATAAAGTCATGTGTTGGTCCTCCACCACACACTAGTACAACTCCCAATATTATAAACCCGACGATGGCTATGATTTTGAGAATAGTCAAATAGTATTCAGCTTCGCCGTATCCTTTGACCCCGAATATGTTTATCCCATAAATAAAGACATAGAAGATGGCAACCCAACTTGCGGGGTTTATCTCATCATTCCAATAGGTGATGCACATTGCTGCTGCAACCAACTCCAACGGCAACACAAACAACCACATGATTGCGTAGTTCCAACCAACAGCAAACCCCCATGATTGGTCTATGAATCTTGTTGCGTATGTGGAAAAAGCACCATTAACTGGGAATGCAACACACAATTCTCCCAAGGCATGTATGACACAAAATACCATTGTTCCAACTAAACCCCATGCAATCACCAAACTGGCCGGTCCACCCTGACTCAATGCTCCACCTGAACCAATTAACAATCCGGTCCCTATTGATCCTCCAAGTGCAATCATTTGAACATGTCTATTTTTCAAGTCACGATGTAGATCTCCTTCGCTCGACGAATTGGCTTCTAAATCATTGGTTGAGCTTCCTGAATTAACCTCGGCTTCTTCAGCTCTTTTGAAAGAATCTTTGAACCGTGTCCATCGTGAAGAATTGTATTCAGTTGTGCTATATTCTGCGCTTGTTGTAGGCTCTTCTTCCTTGAAGCTCATATCTGTGCAAGCGAGTGTGCAATGTGGTTGAGAATAGGTAGAGGATTTCGCAACGCCTTTACTAAAGCTCTTTTCCAACGTTATATAGAAAAAGAGACGAACAAAGGCTTCTTGTTCGATTTCATGGGGAAACTGCAAAATAAGGAAAAAAAAATTTTAATGCGTCAGCTCGTATGACTGATGAACGGCGTTTTGCAGTCAAAGAAGTAAAAAAAAGAAGAAAATTAAGAAAACGTGCAGCAGGAGAAGTGTGGGATCAAAATTTAATCAAATGCGAGACACTTTACGCTTTATAATCACACTGGAGGGGGAGAGGGGAGGGGGGGGGGGAGGGGTCAATTTGAATCATTCCGCTACTCTCTTTCATATCGCGATGGTTGTTGACGATTTTCATGGAGATCACCACCTTCAACTTCACCCCTTCCGTTGAATCAATTCGGGCCGAGGCATCTCCACCTAACATAAAGGAGGACAAAAAAAATGCTTCAAATTGCCTTATGTACGGTCGTGTGCGACCAAATGTCAAAGGAGAAGCATGTGCTCTATTGATACGTGAAGTACAAGATAGAAGATCTGCCGAGTGAAAGTGAAGACAAAAAAAAAGTGATAACGGTAACCTATATGTGAGACTGAAATTTGAAAATTTGTTGGAAAGACAAGGTTGTATTTATATGGTTTGTTCAATTGAAGCAGGCTCGCTTATTGACGGTAAACCCTTAGTTTTGAGCCGCACCGGTGAACCAAAAGCGATAAGTGCTACCTATTGTAAAATTGGCTACAAAGCCGTTTTCGAGAGCCTCATTGAATACAAGGAGGATACTGCAAGCGTTGTTGAAGTTGTTATTACGATTGGAATCGAATATGTATTCCTAGGTATTATTTAAATTTGCATCATTTTGCAGCGAAAGAATGACAATGATGTACTGAAGAAAATCCAGCACAGGGATGCCACGATTTCCAAAATCTCTTCTCACCTACTACAAAACATTCCATAAATTTCATAATCAGGTCCATTTATCGAACTCTTCCTAGTAAACCCTCGAAATATCTAAGAGTTTCATGCCAAGGTCGTGGTCGTGCACGGAAGGTGCCAAAATCAGATAAACGTTTAGCATCTTGTACACGACCTCAAATTTTAAACCAAAACTGTAAAACTGTGACACACTATCATTAATACTCATTAACAGTAGACGTCAAAACACACCAAAGACTAAATCCCAAGAGCAGATTCTGTCTATCATTATATTTCCAGGAATACCAACTTGTCAATAAAGGGTTCGGTTTTTAACAAGTACCCTTTGATATTATAGACTTGTGTATCAAAGAGCAACCGAAGCAAAAGCTACTTTCACAGAATGCCTTTCGGTAGTCAAGCAACACCTATATTCTGGAACGGTGAACAATACCTGTCACCTAGGGCGGTAGACCGGAAAGAGGAATGTGATCTATATGTGGGTGAGACCGAATTTGCAGAGTTGAATCAGGAGAATATTGCATCTTTTAACCAACAACAACAACGTGACCCGTTTGATTCAATGCATAGCCAAACTGAGAACATGCAGTACAGTACTCCCAACTTTTCAAGTGGAAACGATAACTTTGCAATCCAACAAGAACCACAACTAGCGTATGTTGCGTCACAGAACGGATACCCTTTCCATAACATGCAATCTCAAAGATCGAACCATAATTCGCAAGGTCACGCCAGTTATGTTTCGTCGGATTTTTCCCAGCATCAGGTCAACAATAGCCATCCTTTGTCGCCAGGAACATCTGAAACTTCAACAAATTATGACATTGACAAAAAGGTTTTGCATGAGCAAGCGAGTAGAAACACCAAAAAATCAAAGAGAGCGTTGTTGGATGAAGAGGATGCGCTATTGATCGCTAGGGACGATTCGGAGCTAACCGAGGAAGAGTTGCAATTGAAGAGGAAAGCTCAAAATAGGGCTGCACAACGTGCGTTTAGAGAGCGTAAGGAAACAAAGTTGAAGGAGTTGGAAGCCAAATTGTTACAAAGCGAAGAAGAGAGGCAGAAATTGATGGAGCAGCTCGATATCATCAGAAAGCAGAACTTGTCCATCAGTACGGAAAATGAAATTTTGAGAACAAATGAAGGCTCAGCGATAGGGAGTAGGGTGCCAATTGACAAGTTTCATTTCCCACAATCGCAGGATGATTTCATCAACGAAATAACTCGTGGTACGAACCACCAAGTGAAAAGAGAATCTATCAACAAAGTGTATGACAATTCACAAGGAGAGAAATTGTTGGCCCTTGGTGCCGTGTGGGACTATCTACAAATTAAAGCAGAGGAGGCAAACTTGGATTTGACAACTATTGATTTTACTGAGGTTATGGATAAATTAAAAGGCAATGAAAGATGCCATGGATTTGGTCCTGCCTATCCGTTGAGTTTAGTACAACAGGCTGTAGAATCCAGTTTTAGATGACTAGGAAAAGAGAGAAGGTGTATAGTTGATTTGTAGTGGTATACATTACTTGTGTGTGTGTGTGTAGAAGTAGTAGTAATAGTAATAGTAGTAGTAGTAGTAGGACAAACGAGACAATGGAATATTCTAGCAAAAAATAAAAGAACAAAAAAAATATTCCTTTTTCAATTGACACTGACAAAAGTTATATAAAAACAAGGATTGAAAATACTCTTAGCTTACAACAGTCCTCGATCAATCTCAATCTATCACACCATAATATGACCACGGCTGACGAGTACAAAGCAGAAGGAAACAAATACTTTGCTGCAAAAGAGTTTGAAAAGGCAATTGAGTCGTTCACAAAGGCGATCGAAGCCTCTCCAGAACCAAATCATGTTCTCTACTCCAACCGTTCTGGATCATACGCTTCTTTGAAAGAGTATGATCAAGCATTGAAAGACGCAGAGGAATGTGTCAAAATCAACCCTTCATGGGCCAAAGGTTACAATAGAATTGGTGGGGCTCAATTTGGTTTAGGAAACTTGGAGGATGCACAAAAGGCTTATGAAAAATGTTTATCATTGGACTCCAACAATGCTCAAGCTAAAGAAGGGTTGAAGTCTGTCGAAAATGCTATTAAAGCACGTAATGCCAGTGGTGATATGGGGTTGGGTGCCATCTTCAATGATCCGAATTTGATCACGAAGTTGAAGAGCAACCCAAAGACCAGTGAGTTAATGAAGGATCCTGATTTGGTTGCTAAAGTTTTGCAAATCCAAGCCAACCCTAAAACAAATGCCACCCAGCTTTTGTCTGACCCAAGATTGATGACTATCATGGCAACATTGATGGGTATAGACATGGATTTTCCAGCTGATGCAGGCAACTCTTCATCTCAAGGTGGAAACGAGTCTGCAGCTGCACCAAAGCAAGAAGAGGAAAAGAAGGAAGAACCAAAGGCCACACAAGATAACACAAAGGAATCCAAAGAGACAAAAGTTGACAATGAGGGAGATGTTGAAATGAAAGATGCAGAACAAGGTGATAAAGAAGCTGCAGACAAAGCGAAAGCAGAGGGTAACACATTTTATAAACAGCGCAAGTTTGACGAGGCAATTTCCGCATACGACAAGGCTTGGGACTTGCATAAAGACATCACCTACTTGAATAACCGTGCTGCTGCTGAATACGAAAAGGGGGATTATGATGCTGCTATTGCTACATGCAATAAAGCAGTTGATGAAGGAAGGGACATGCGGGCCGATTATAAATTGATTGCTAAATCGTTTGCAAGATTGGGAAACATATATTTGAAGAAGGATGAACTAGAACAAGCAGTCAAATATTTCGATAAATCATTGACTGAACATCGTACACCAGATGTTTTGAACAAGTTGAGAAGCACACAAAGAGAAATTAAAACAAGAGAAGCCAAGGCTTACATTAACCCAGAGAAGGCTGAAGAAGCTCGTTTGGAAGGAAAGGAATACTTTACCAACGGTGACTGGCCGAATGCAGTCAAGGCATATGGTGAAATGATCAAGAGAGCTCCAGAAGATCCAAGAGGGTACTCAAACAGGGCTGCAGCATTGATCAAGTTGCTTTCATTCCCTGATGCAGTGAGAGACTGTGATGTTGCCATCGAGAAAGATCCGGATTTCATCAGAGCATACATCAGGAAAGCTAATGCTCAATTATTGATGAAGGAATACAGTCACTGTATGGAGACTCTTAATCAAGCCCGTGAAAAGGATTCGAAATTAGGCGGCAAGAATTTGCATGAAATTGATCAGTTATTCGGCAAGGCCAGCACGCAAAGATTCCAAGCTATCGATGGCGAAACTCCAGAGCAAACAATGGAGAGAGTTTCTAAAGATCCTGAAATTGTGCAAATATTGCAAGACCCGGTAATGCAAGGTATTTTGTCACAAGCTAGAGATAATCCAGCCGCGTTACAAGAACACATGAAGAACCCAGAGGTTGCAAAGAAGGTTAACATGTTGATTGCGGCGGGAGTTATCCGTACTAGATAGAGGCGGGGAGGAATGTATAAAGATTTGTAGATAAAACAGATATAATTTGCTATAAGCGGTGGAATGTCCGCCCTATGTTTTGCGGATATACTAAGGAAAGGATGCAGATTGAGTCAATAGAGCTGCATGATGCACCAAGAGTAAAAAATAACGGTTTTTTGTGACGCAGCCCGCCTTGCTCCATGCTTTGCATTAAGCATGGGTGACATTAGTCAGCAGACATCGAGTAAGTCTAGTAAACTTTGTGTGTAGATCGCTGAGGATATACAATAACGAGAACAATACGGAAGGTGTTACAAAAGGGGACCCGTTAGTCACGGTACTGAAAACGAAGTTTCTATGGACACGGCATCAACACGGTCTATTGTTCCTAACTAGATGGCCCTTCTTTCTCGCGTCTTTCTTTCCCAAAATTACGCACATCAGTTCGGCTCGGCTACTCGTTTTGTTCACGTCGCGGAATTGCGGGACAAGTACACGATTAAGTTCAAGTACATGAAGGTAGACGTAACTTGCCAGATGAACACAAGCGTTAAGCTCTTTCTACATATGTCTTCTATGTATTAAGCTAATTTGTGTAAACTTTTATCTATATACGTTGGTGATCGCAAATTTCAAGTATTGGAAAGCTGTATCTTTACTCTTCAAACAGCCCTGGTGGTCCATCCGCCTCATCCATATTTGACCCGTTAACGAATGCGTCATCGAGCTGGGTCAACATACTCGATTGCTGATTATGATCACCAATATCATTTCCAGGATTAAGCGATGCAAACATATTCGGCACCATACCTACCAAATGCGGATCATGTGGGTTTAGCGCAGGGGCCATATTGTGCTGCTGTTGCTGCAGTTGTTGTTGCTCAGAGGCATTCTGCCCCCACTCAAATTGATGGAGTTGGGGTACAGCGTTGGTGAGATACTGATACTGATGAGATGTAATGGACGACGCATCCAGGTTTCGAGGCGCATACGTTGTCATATACGTCAGTGATGGATGTGGTTGCTGATGAATAAAAGGCTGCTGCATCTGATCTGGTAACTGATGCTGCTGTACTCGATTCCGAAACATAGGTCGATGTAGTGAATCTAGCATGTGATTGGGTCCATCGGGTTGCGAGGCCATCGTAACACCTTCCATGAGATGTGCCTGCTGTGGGTGGTGGATGCCCTCATTGTAGTGCAGGTGTGAGGCCAGAGGCGTTTGAGGGTAATAGCCACTGCTATAGATTCGCTCGTCTATTCTCGATTGAGGTGTATGCAGTCGATTAATGGGCATCGAATGCGAAGCGTGTTGTGGGATGCGGAAATTCAATTGTCGGTCTCCCAGTGGATCATCATTAGCAACGTGAGTTTTCTCTTGCTCTTTTCTGACCTTTGTGGAGTTCAGTGGTGATATTGCATGTTTCAAGATGTTGTCAATCTTTCTCTTGGTTGAATCCTTTTCACTTCTTTCTTTGCTTATGCGGGTGGTGTCACTTTCAGTACTAGTAGAATTGCCAGACTTGCTGTTCTTACTGTTGCTGGTGCTGGTGCTGGTGCTGTTGCTGGTGCTGGTCCTGTTACTGTCATTTGTGGCGTTGTCATTATTAGATGAGGATGAATTAGAACTTTGCGCTGGAGTACCGCCACTGCCACTAAGTTCAGATTCAATATCGACAATGTTATACGAACGAAACCACATCTCAAATACCCTCGAACTTGAACTTGGATTTATACCTATTTCGCCCTCAGTTGTGTAAAATTCTGGAAATTGCTGCGGCAAGTCCAAATGTTTCTGTAATGTCTTAGTCCTTGAAAACAATTTGGATTTGATTTCCTCGTTGCAAATGTTTATAAGGATCCGCAACATGTACCTTGTTACCAAGTCATACAATTTCTGTCGAATGCAATTGCGCTGTATATGGGCGGGTGTGACTTTAGTCCTATAGCTAAAGAACTGCGTTGAAATCTCAATCATCAATTTCAAATCAGTTTCAGCTTCAGAAGTGTTGGGTTCAGCAAAATGCACACCGGCTAGATGACAAAAAGCAATAAAAGGTGCATATAGAAACCAACTAAAGGTAGAAAACGGCATAGTTCTCAAATTCAAAGTTTTGGAAATGTGGAGAATGGTCCTGGCACTTTCAAGGGAAACGTGTCTATACTCTCCAATCCTTTTAATCAAGGGTTCATTCTCCGCCGTGGGTTCGAGGTTCTGGATTGCGGTTCGATTCACCGTCATCAAATGCAAATAATAAGTCATATACATTGAAAGGATATTCTCATGTGCGGAATCAAACGCCAAAACCCGATCCAGTGGCTTGTTCTTTGCTTTGAAAAAAAACCGTGGATCATTGTGAAAACAAATTGTGATTGGTGGCTGGAACATGTTTGCTAGGGCATGCATGTCCTTGTTGATTTCATCAATGTATGTGAATAGCTTGCTTAGTTTAATGTTTCGAGAAGCAGCACTATAGATCCATTCGTAGGACTTCAAGCGTATTTCTGTCAACTGATACAAAAAATATGCGGCACTTCTATGCAATGTCTTATTCTCAGACAATTCATACAAATTTGAAGCATCCTTCAGGATCTTTGCCTCGTTCCACAATGCTCGCAACCTTTCGATTCCTGAATGTACAATAATGGAAGTTGACTTGTCACCGTCAATGAGTTCCCGTAGTCCACTCTCCCTCTCTTGAATCTGTCTACCATACCGATAACACGAACCAACCTCATAAGTTTGACAAAACCACCACAATCGTTTACGCATATGACGTTCGTGCCAGCTCAATCCTTCGTAGGTCTCTATTCGATTGAAACCCAAATCTCGCGCGTATCTGACAGCTAGTGCGATTGGGCTATAGGTCAGCTTCACACAGGAGATTACGCTTTGCAAATAAATCACAAATAAAGCCATTGCTTGAACAGTTTCAACCCCTTCGCAAGCAAACACTAATCGATTGTAGTAAAATATTGCCGAAAAGAAACATTTGGTATGGAGTTCAACCAATTCTTTGTCACTTATAGATTCTATTATAGGCGACTTGTGTTTGGAATGCTTTCTTAATGTGTCAACGTTTCTCTCATCCACAACGGCCGATATGCATAACCCAATCAGGAGACACATTATCATCAATTCAGACCAAGTGAAAGACCTCAGCTTAGAGTTAAGGCCCTTTGTATATAACTTCTTGTTGTTCTTGAAATAGCTGTCAAATAAGGTTCTGATATGGGAAGATTCGCAGATGTACGAAACAAGGTAAATGTCGTCAAGGTAGTTAAGTAGTTCAAGTGGAATAGTTGAATCTGTAAATGTATTGTCGATGAGATCAGTCCTGTTTCGAACGACAGTCTTGATTGGCTGACATATAGAATCAAAAAACGCATGGGCGTAAAAATTGAATATCGAACCAACGTGCAAAATGTCTTTGACTTCAGTTCGATTGTGCGGTCCCAATCCCTGAAAGAGAGATTCCAAAGTCGATTTTGAAAAGATGTCAGTAATCGCATGCGAACCTAACTTGTTGTTTTTGGTAACAGGGGATGACGAGTGAGCCATAGTATCCTTACCATCTTCTCCTCGTGTGAAGTTTTCGTTTGTACGATCACGATGATCTATATTGTCCACTGGCAGTTTCGATTGGTGTCTATCATCATAAGTCGCTGTTCTTCCTCGTCTTATCTCTTCAGTTAATCCAACTAGTAGTTCTTCGATTCTATCCATTCGTAAGTTCAACTGATCAATAGCTTGGGCTTTACTTTGTTTCACCGAACCGGGGGAGTCGGTCTTGGCAGCTTTTACGATTCTGGGAATTTTGGGAATTTTGGGAGTTTTGGGTACCTTGGGTACCTTTGACACCTTGGGTTTCCTTTCCTGATCAGCGGGATATACACAATCTCCGTCATTATTCTCCCGACAATTTGAACATGGTAAATTTCCATCACACTTGACCTTCTTTTTTCGACAGTATACACAAGCTTTTGAAACTCGAGGCCTTTTCTTTCTGTTTCCATCTATTATTGTATCCTGATTGTGAGTTGCTGGAGTGGGTTGTTGTCTTGGAGATAGCAGAACTGAGTTACTATCTTCAGTGATTGTGCTACCACTTGTTTGAGTAGACTGTAGTCCAGACCTACGAAGCAATGTGGGTCTCGCTAACGGTGACTCGCCTACTGACAGACTTGGAGTTTGATGTAGTTGCCGAGATGAAGACTCTGTGGTGTTTGATTGCGATGCGAGGCTTTGAGACGCCAGATCAGACTTGAAGTTGGGTAATGGATCTGGCATACGACTTTTCTCTATATTCGGAAGCCTTCAATGGTATGTTAGCTTTGCATGGGAGACAATCAGAAAGAATCCAAAACAAGGACTTTTCAGGTGGTAATAGGGAAGCCAGAAAAGGAAGCGAGTGGGTTGAGGGTGGAAATCTATCGGTTAAGCTCACTTCAATAGAGACTGGCTATTGGCTCTAGTAGATCTGAAATGAAAGTTATCTGTGTCAGCGAGTAGGATTTCTGACTTTATGAATCACAACCACAGACGAAGTCGAGTCGAGTTAAAAACTGATATTGGAGACTGGCTGGGAAAAAGAATGAGACTGGCAAAAGATGTTTGGAATTTTGAAGAGGAGAGAGAGAGAGAGAGAGAGAGAGAGAGAGAGAGTGTGTGTGTGTGTGTGTGTGTGCACTTTGTTTCCGTTTACTTCCCACTGCCTCTACTGAAGTGAAACAATCTCCCCAATTATAACAGTAGAGAGAAATTTACCCATTTGGCGTATACTTACTATTGTATATTGTTTATTGTGTGAGTTTTTGTACTCTTCAGTTTGTGCGCTGTATATAGTTTGAGTTATAAAGGGGATAGAAAATATTCAAAGAAAATTTTCTCTTCTTCTACAGCATTTGCCATAAACGACACAATAACGAATTATGGCTCACCCATATGTAAATCCAGAGAAGAAGAAGGATCGAAAAAGAAAAAAAAAAAAAATAGAGACAAATAGGGGAATGGATCCGATCGAGTCCACAAGTTCTCCAACCCCTCTAACCATTCGAGGGAATTTTATTATTGGCTTTTGTCTCTGATTGTCTTGTTTATTTGCGGTGACAGCAAGCGCCAGAAAAAGATTTCAAAGACAAACATCTCCTTTGTTGCATGGCTGCAGTGGGAGGAGTCACTAGACACTAGCCAGTACGTAGTTACATACACGATTTGCATAGTATTCGAGTCCTCGGCACATTCCGAGCTCACTGAGCAAAAGCTTTTGCCAACTACAACCATCCTGTTGGCTTCCAGAAGCCAAATGGTGACCTCACCTTTCTCGTTTTCAAATCACCCTGCGTCAAAGATTCCATCTTAATTCTTCGAAGTTCTCTCACCGTTGAAGTTGTGTCGCTACACAAATGGGAGTGTACACAAAAGTGTGGGGCGAATTATACTATACTGTCTCATTTACTTAGCAGCAGTCGTTGTTTCAGACAATAATGAAGTAAGCTTGAGGAACACATATCCAGATATGGCACTGTCAAAAAGTGAGACTAGTCTAAGAAAATGCAGTCGTCGGTTATGCTTTTCCCCGATTCCTTTGAAGTATACGCTTCTATTTTATTCTACTTTCTTTCTATTTTGTTCAGTTATGGGGCTATACAATAAGGAGGAAGTATGTTGCGTATGCAAGAGATTAAAGTATTACTTCTTCAGCAAAAATAGAATGCCTGGGGGGTACGCTGGACTGGTTCTGCCTCAGTTTATTCTATCCGGCGGGAAAACTTTCAACCCGATCATGTTTTGCCATCATCAGTGTTTTCCTTTTTTTTTTTCCTTTTTTTTTTTCCTTTTTGTTTTCTCCAATTTGTTCTGCTTTATCAACCTGTAGGGTGGACTTTGTTGTTCCTTACACAAATTACTTATGTCGAGTAGGCAAGAGTATTGTGTGCTCACCACTGTATAAATGGTTTTGTTACCGTTCTCGAACTTAAAAGTCAAATTTAAGCGCTTCAACAGCCAAACTATAACTAGTGAGATATACAGTTAGCGCCAACTTGAAATAACACGTGAAAACATACAATACTCTATTGAATAGAGTTGGCATTTATTATTTTTTTTTTTTTTTTAGTTTTTTGTTTTGTTTTTTCTTTTTCATAAAATGCCTAATTATTGACAACTAAATCTTTAGGATGTTCATATTTTCAGCTTGGGTCAATGCTGAGGGGACCAAAAAAGACAAAAACGTAAAAAAAAAAAAGCCCCCTCCTTAGCAACTTAGTTCGGTATTATTTCTATTTTTATTTTTATTTTTCGACCCCCCCCCCATATTAAAAAAAGTTTGTTCTTGGTTACTCCTTTTCAAGATCCTTTACATATTTTCCCAAAGATTGTAACATTAGTCAATAGAAAACAAAAGTTCTGTCGAAAACAAGAAAACTGCACTTTGTGCATTTACGATGAACGTACCAAGTGATTTGTAAGTTGAATTTGCTTTTGCATATGAAGAGATGAAATGGTCGTGCAACAAGGTGAAACATTGGAAAACAAAACAGAATTAGTTAATGTAACACAAAACGCAATAGAAGAAGAAGAACACAACGAAACTTTGGTTACACAAAACTAGCATAGATTCGATTTGAATCATCCTGCGCTACCAGCTAATAACAAAAGTTGGTGTGTTGTTTGATTTAAGCGAGTTGGCAAACACATCTTTCCTTGTTCCGCTTTTATTCTCCACCGGCAGATTCCACCAGGCTCGTAAGATTAGCTGGTGAAAGCTTGTTTAAACGTGTTCCGACATGAACCCGCTGTTCCCCGCTTTCTTTCACTGTTTATGAGTCACAATTCTCATTTAATTGGTTTTCAATTTTGTTTGTGAGCAACGGTTCCGGTGCCTCACGCCGTTGCCTTTTATTTTGCCACAAATAATCAAAACACTAAGAAACGGAATATATCTCAGTACGGAAAACTTGAACAGATTGGTTTCCGTTCACCATGGTTGTTTGCACTCCGGGAATTGAGCTTATTTAGCTCTACCACTAACTCCATGTATGGTTTTCTTCTACTTTGGAACTTTCAATTATGGCATTTTTCGTTTTTCTTTTTTCTTTAATTTAGTGCTAGAAAAGTTTGCTTATATACTACTTCCATGCAGAACAATTGAGTACAATAACCTCGCTAATTTTTTACCCTAGTTATTTTGCAAAATTTTAGCTCAGGAGAAAAATCCTACGGTTTAAATCTAGTTAACTGTTGTAATTACGAGAAGTCCTATTCTTGAACATACTACATAACCACGCTTGCCCGCCGTAAAATGCGTATTCGTATTTGTGATAATCAGCGCAAGAATCAGCGCCAATTTTTTTCATTAAAATCAACCACACATCTGCGCAAGGGCTTGTTTCTCATCTTTCTTGACTATACTACCCCGCACTAAACTCGTAAAGTTGACAAAAGTGAGATAACAAGCAGGGAATCGTTTTATCTTAACATTACCAGCTCTACTTACAGATACAGTTCAGAATTACACATTGGAAGTGAAATTTCCAGTTGAAACTTCTCCAGCTGAGAAAACTATCATCACTACACACAATCCAGCCATAGTCCATATTCCTTCATATACCTAAGTTATTATCAAAGAAGAAATTAGGCATATTGTTAATCTGAGCTAAAAACATACTCAGCGCACCATCTGCGCCTGCATCGTATGGTGCTACACCGTATCCATTCATTTCCGGCACCGAACCAACAGACGCTGTATTCAAAGGTAGGTTGGACATGGGCACTTGAGTCGATCGCAAACTAGCGCTACTCGGATGTTGATTCAGCGCGTGATCTAATGGGTGCACAAACGACGGAATTGCATTCAACGGATTCGGAGGAACCCCAGGTAACTGGTGCTGACGAGACTGCGCATTGGAAAAGGATTGAGGGTGATGCTGAGTTGAATATTGTCCATTTGAGCTACCAGCACTAAAAGAAGCACTGTTATGGTTGTTGTTGTTGTTGTTGTTGATGTTGTTGTTGTCTTGGTCGGAATGCATAATATTAGATAGGGAAGGATTGTACCTGGGTGAAGAAGCAAAAGGACTCACCGTGTTGGGCTTGGACATCGAAGACGACACCTCCAGACTCCATTCGTCACTAGTTTCAAAAAACGATTGACCAAAAAAAGCGGGGAAATTGTTGGAAAATTCTGCAGTTTCTTGATATAGTTCGGGGAACTTCACTTCAACACTATTCAAATGCGCCCTCAATGCCTCATCATTTTGTAAAACCTGTACTCCAGTTTCATTCTCATAAGCGGTTATCACAACCTTCAACATTAGCCTTATGATCAACTCAATTGATATACCTCCCCGCGTTCGCAAGTGTTTATCGGGCCTCGAAAAATCACCTACAAAATCGAAAAACCCCATTGATGTCTCAGCCAACAATTTCAAATCACTGGGAACGTTGGGGGAGTGTGGATGATTTAAAACTGATCCTCCCAAGGTTAAAAAGGCAATTATAGGAAAATAAATTACCCAGTTTATGAATGTACATTCCACCGTTGTGCGGTCAACCTGTTTCATCAACACCAAGATCGTCCGTGCTGCATCCAACGATGTATTACGGAACTTCAATATCTGACATCCGGCATCAACTTTGTCAGTTTGCACAACAAAGGGAAACCGATTGATCACCATCAAATGAGCAAAAAATTCTAGTTGTCCTCCAAGCATGACTCCACGTTCCGCCTCAGGGACTTTGCGATCGAGGAAGTGAAACATTGGATCATTGAAAAACCGGGGCCGATGTTCTTCTGACATATGTTGAGCCAATTCTAACATTTCCAGGTTTAAATGTTCCAAAGCATTGGATAATGAATCAAAATCGCGCAATCTCGCCGAGGCTGAAAATAGCAAGCTGTATGATTCAGATTTGATCTTGGCCAAAAGCATACCGAAGAAGTGATAATAAAACGATTTGTCATTCAAAGATCTCAATTTTTCAAGTAAACGGAAACTTAGTGGTTGGGTAGGATCTCCTAAAAAGGCTTCGTCAGCTACTGCCATTGTCACTTGGCGTTCCGCCGCGTCAACCTCACAACTTGAATCAAAATAAGAAGTTGAACATTGAATACACGATGAAAGCACATCTGCCTCTGTGCATGTGGTGACATCATCGGTGTTGATCACAGGTGGCTTTCCGAGCCTAAAACACATATCAGTATCGTAATAATAGCAAAACCACCAAACCAATCGCCGCCTTTGTTGCTCTTTGTCATCCAACTTGTTGAAGTATTCTATTCTGTGCAACCCAGTTTCTTGGGCGTACCTTACGGCAACTGCTTTGGGTATGTAGTTGATATGATTCGTAATCCAATTGCCTTCACAATAAGAAATCAATAATAAGATACCTTCTATGGTTTCTAAGCCTTCACCAACGAGACTAAGCCGGTGGTAGTAGTAGATAGCATTATCTAGCAACTTGTCTTGCAAATGGTGCAATCTAGCATCCTTCTTGTACTTTGTTTTGTCCAACAATACATCCACACCCATCAACAAGACCGAAGTCATGATCAATAGTTCAGAAATGGTAAAATTCCTCTTCTTTGTAGGGTCAGCAATTCCATCGTAGTAAGAGACAAACATTGTTCGCACTGTGTCCACATTGACAAGAAAGCTTATCATAGGTATAGACCCATAAGCCTCAACCAACTCCATCACCAACATGGAGTCTGTTGGGAACGGTCTTTGCATCAACTTTTGTCTTGCGTGGGCGTCAATCAATGGTGGATCGGTCCACTTTTTCAAAAACATGTTTAGCTTGTTGTGACACACAAGCAAAGTATTCTTCAATGGTGTTATACATTCCGATCCGCGAGGTCCCAACTTTTGTTCCATCCAATCCAACGACTCCCTGGAGAAAATGGAAAATATTGATTGTGTACCAACATACAGGGCGGGTTTCCCCCCCACCGTTGTTAGGTCCAATGCATTGGCGCCACTTGGGTCATTTGCTCCTTCTTTTGATTCACCATATAATCTTCCATGACCCTCTTGACCATGCTCTGAGTTCGATGATGATGGTTCATGCGGGTATGGATCCACAGAATTTGCCTTTTCTGAAGTGAATGTGTCAGCTTTGGTGACCCCGGCCCGATTTGCGAGTAATTCAACAGTGCCTGTCAATCTTTCAAGAACGCTTTCAAGCTTGGACATTCGAAAGTCCAACAGATTTGTCAGATCTGTACGATTAACTTGCGTCGACAGTGCAGGCACTGTCCTTGATATGTGTTTTTCATGGTGATTCTTGTGATCCAGCTTCAGTATTCTCGATCGTCTTCGTATCAGCCTCTCCGTATACAGGCACACTTTAGGCTTTCGAGATTGAGTACAATTCTGACACGGATATGATCCATCACACTTGATTTTCTTTCGTCGACAAACATCACATGCTATTTTTATCCGTTTCTTGTTTTCATCTTTTGACTCAGTGTCGGTTCCGGGACTGTGGGTATCTGGAATCATCGCATTAGCATTGTTTTCAATTGTATTGGTGGTGTTGCCATTTACACCAGCTGTAGTCACTTTATCGTTGGTTATTTCTGTCATATTAATACCCAGGAGAGATCACAAGCAAAGCTATCACGAATCTGCTGACACTCTAGCTTTTTGGTTTTTTTTAATTTTTGCGGTTTGATTAAGAAACGATGCTGTGTCTGATGTAGGACACAAATTTTCTTTTTTGGTTTTCTTTTTCGGTTTGTCTAATTACGCCAGGAGACGGAGTACAAGGTGGGGGCTTTGCCAAACATCTTTGAGAGACAGAGACGTGATCTGTGGGATCGGAAGGATTTAGCAACGCTATTCTCCAGTTTTTGTAAGCATATCACACTTTACTTTTCCTTCAAGAAAACAGTCTGCTTTGTCCCCCCCCCCCTTAATCCGGATCGGCAAAGAAACACGGAACTTGTAGATACCGCCAAACACGGCGAAGTGCCCTTTACAACGTACATGTTGACGTAGCCTCTAGTGATGCAGTACCGATGAAAAGTCACCCATTCAACTGCAAGACTACAAAGATTTCATGCGTAACGCAGTTCAGTCGTTTTAATAATGTCTCTCTACACTGCAAACCTCTGAAAGATATATATTCATACAAATACAGACTGAAATTGAAATTGCTCATCAAAAATCAAGTGTTTAAATCGTAATCAAAAAACCCCGACAATTCATTAATCTCACCAAAGACAAATTGATTAAAGTTTTCCTCATTCATCAAATTCTCAAAATCAATGACTTCACCCACTGGTGGCATTCCGACTCCAAAAGCGTCCAGTTGCTCACCGGGTTTACTAGCCAATTGGTAACTGTTGGTATAACTGGATAGTACTGGCTTGACACTAGTGTTGTATGACCCTGATGACGAAGAGGAGGAAGTTGAACTAGAAGGTGGTGCAAGCGGAGGTTGGCTGTGACTCGGCGTAGGATCTCTTGTGTTATCGTCGGAATTGGGCTGGAATATTTCCGGGTACTTTGTTTGCAACGATTCAATATGTTCCTTTAAGCCAGGCCTCATCCTGTAAAAGTGTACATTGGCTTTTTTTTCCATAGTATCGATCAATATCCTCAACACTGAGCGACTCACCATATCACAAAACATTCTTTTGTTGTCGAGGTTGCTCGACTGGGTCCCTTTATAGGCAAAAAAGTTCAACGAAGCATCAATCAATAGTAAACAATCATAATACGAGGAAGGTTCCGTAGGATACACTAAGCAATTACCCAAAATACTCAAGAATGCCACAAAGGGGTAAAATATCAAAAAGGGGAAACTGGCGTCATCAATTTTCCACAACGAGTTTGGGTTGGAGACACATTGCAAAATATACCTGGCAGCTCGGAGAGACTTATTACCGTAATGTAAAAGCCTATCATCTTCAATCTCAAATTGTTCAAGGAAAGGAACTCTATTCACTGATAGAATGTGTGCATGATATGACAAGTGGAACAGAAGTACATTGAATTTCAATATCTCCTCATCACAATCAAACTGAGGCAATGTAAATGGATGGTCTCCAACAGGCTCTATGATTCCAGGCTCTATTAGTTGGGCCAATGTCTTCATATCGTCATTGATCTCATTGACAACAGTGAGCGCTCCTTGTGTGTTGATACTGGATGGAAGTTTTGAGTACAACTTGTAATAACTTTTTGCCTTGATCCGTGTCAACATAAGCACAAAATGTGCAAAATAAAACACAGCACCTTCCTTTTTCAAAGATGCAATCAATCTAGGTGCATTTCTTTCATAATCAGGATTGACAAACAAGTTTCTTGGCACAGATATAATACAAGGATCTACCTCACTTAACGTGGTGACATCTTCGTTGTTGATCAACATTGGCTTCCCACTCTTGTAACTAATTTCAACACTCATGTACTCACAAAATAACCACATCTTCCTATAAGCCAAAGCGGATTCACGATCTTTTTCCTCCAAGACTTCTACTCTGTGAAAGCCGAGTTCTTTGGCATATCTTCCCATAATACTCACAATAATGTAATTCACATGGAAATCCGATATAAACGACTCTTCAATCACCAAACTTAACAAAGCAAGCCCTTGAAGGGATCTGTACCCTTCATTGTGTTTGGAGACGTAGTCATAATCATACATTGCATTATCAAAGAGTTTGGAACGGAGCTCTTCAGCTTCTGTGATTGTTAATGCCGACAAATTCGGATGGTGTGAACCAATGATACGTTTCGGCGATGTGAATTTGGATAGCGATAACACCAATGCTGAATTCATTATTAAAAATTCACTTCGGGTAATGGTTGATAATATGGAACTATTATTTGTAGAAATTGCATAATAGTACTTGTCAAAAAGGTCTTGGATTTCGTGCCTTGTACACACAAACGACCCCATGCAAACTCTTCGATAATAGGCTTCCAACAATTCCAGGTACAATGCCTTGTGTGATGGTGAGAAATAAGTTTGAGGATTTTGTGGCTGTCTTTGTTTACTTAATATGTTTGTTGATCGATCAACTGCATCAGACAACACTAAAGGAACACTTTTCAAAGGAGCATACAACTGTGGGTTAACCAAACTGGCTCGCGAACCTTGAAGACGTTCTTTTACCCATTTCATTGAGCGACCAGAAAGTGTGTACATTAGAGAGTGAGCGCCACAAAATTCGGAGATACGTTTCATGGTTTTCTTTGCCATGCAATCCTTGTCCTTAGCAGAATAATGCGGTTCAAGCATTTGCTTCATGGATTTTGCGTCGCTGACCAAGCTTTGCTCTCTATAAGGAGAGTTGTCTGTACTTGCATCATGCATATCCTCATCGTCCGATACCTCATCAGACATGTTGCCAACGGAATCATTTTCCGCAGTCAGTTCCTGATTCCCCGATATCTGAGCAAGTATGCCCATTTTATCGGTGGGGTCCAAATTTGTCACTAGTCTTGTGACTAAACTTTCCAATACATTTATCCTAGCATTCAATTCATTTATAGTTTTACCTTGTTTAGATACCTTGGGCTCCCTCTTGATTGTCTTTCTAGCCTCAGCACTGCTCATACGTTTCTTTCTCTCCTTTGGTACATATGAGTAAACACACTCGCGCTTGCGACTAATACATTTGGAACAAGGTTCTTCGCCATCACATTTGGACTTCCGTTTTCTGCAATAGTCACACGCCACCTTCGTACGCAACCTTTTTTCGCCGTCCTGGGTGTACTCAGGATTGATTGGATTATTGAGACTTGACATTTGTATGTGAAAGTGGTCGGGTCTTTTGGAATTTTTTCAATGAATCAGAATCGGAAACCTTATTCGGGATAATGGCGCTTAATATAACCATGTCAATATATCATCCGTCCATATCCCGCTCAACAGAATTTTTTTTTTTTTCTTTTCTTTCTTTCTGTGCAATGGATGTACTATATGCAGTACACAAAAATATGGAAGGCGCTAACTCCGAGGGAATTACCTGTGATGTTGGGTATCTTGACAGCTTACTTTCATCACTACTTGTCTATACTTCTTGCGTGTTCTGTAGATAGAGATCGATAGCATTTTGATAGTCGATATAAGATGCAATAGGAAATGTCCATTAAGAACTAACTATGGCCTCACCTAAAGTCGTGTCGCGCACAATACCAAAAAGACGTTGATATAACAATGCTCTCACCAGAATAGATCAACCACACTTGCCCAAAAATAAACACAATGCAAGGTTTATTCTTTGAATGATTTGTCAGCCAGCTATCTATATAAGCAGTTTTATTGTTCAGTATGCAAGCCCTGTTGGTGCTTTTGTAACTGACAGATATTGGGGACACGAATTTTTAATTTGCAGCTCTATTGTCGCTTCTATAATGTATATGCCAAAATTAATGCGCTAATGCGCTAATGCGCTATTGGGATAAGAAATTAGCTCAAGAACTGAGTCGTATGCTACTCTAACTGTAAATAGTACAGGGGGTAGCCTACACAAACCTCAGCTCTACTTGAACCTAATCATCCATATGCTACTTAGACTAGAATGGTCTCTTCTACGTCACGTGCAATCACTGCTACCAACTGCGTTTTTTAATTTTTTTTAATTTTTTTTTTTTTTTTTCTTTTCGTTCTTTCGTTCGTTCGTTCGTTTTGTCTCTCTCACTCTCTCTCACTCACTGTCTGTCGCATCTGCGTCGAGGGATTTGAATAATTTTCAAGCATCAATAAGACTTCCAAAGTATTGGCCCCATTATAGACCACGCATATCAATGGCGCCGAAGAAAGCTACCCCGATATTTGCCAACAAAGAAGATGCAAATTTCAGAGAAGCGTTGCAACTCTACGACCAAAAACAATACAAGAAGGCATTGAAGCTTGTGGATGCAAATTTGAAAAAGAATTCAAACCATGCTGAATCGTTAGCTTTGAAAGGGTGTATCTTGCATTTCACGGGGAACAAGGATGAAGCAGTGACATATATCAAGAAGGCAAGTGATAAAGACTCGTCAAATTATCTTGTTGATCATTTGGTTGGGCTATACTATCGTGCATTGGAAGACTATGTCGAAGCGGCAAAGTGGTTCAAAGCAGCAATGGACAATGGGTCCCCGAATAAGCCTATACTACGTGATTTATCGTTCATGCAAGTGCAAAATCGCGACTACAAGCCCTTGACCGAGTGCAGACAACAATATTTGGAGCATGCACCTGGTTACAGAGCCAATTGGACGGGTCTTGCTGTCGCCCAGCACTTGAATAAAGATTATTCCGGGGCAGTGGCTACACTTACCAAAATCGAAGGAATTATCAAGGACCATTTAACAGCAAGTGACATGTATGAGCACAGTGAAGCAGTCTTGTATAAAAATCAAGTGCTTTCTGAATCAGGAAATTTCAGCAAAGCTTTGGAGGTGTTGGAGCAAGATACTGATAGTATTAAAGATCGTTTATCGTACTTGGAATACAAAGCAAAGTACCTTCTTTATTTGGGGCGCAAGAAGGAAGCATCTTTGGTTTATAGAGAACTATTGAAGACCAACCCGGACAACATGCAATATTACATAATGTTGGAGTTGGCATTGGAAACAAACATTATGGAACCTGAAGTTAGAGTTAGATTATACGACAAGTTGACTTCATTTTACCCAAAGTCTGACCCTCCGAGGTATTTGCCATTGACTTTTTTGCTGGCGGATTCCTCATTGTTTGAACAAAAATGTAAAGACTACATTATCCCCCAGCTTTTACGAGGTGTACCTGCCACGTTTGTCAATGTGAAGCCATTATATGGATACCAAGGGAAACTCGAGGTTATTGAAAAGATCGTTTTGGATTTCCTCATCGAGGATGCACCAAAAAATCCAAACCCTTCCGTAACCGTGTGGACCTACTTTTATCTTGCACAACATTATTTGTACAAGAAGGAACTTGATACAGCGATGAAGTATATTGAGTTGGCAATTGAACATACTCCTACACTTGTTGAATTGTACATTATCAAAGCTAGAATTTTGAAACACAAGGGGCTCTTTGAGGAGGCATCTAACGTTATGGATAGTGGAAGAAAGCTAGATCTACAAGATCGTTTCATCAATTCCAAAGCAACAAAATATATGCTCCGTGCCAACAAGGTCGATGAAGCGATAGATTGCATATCATTGTTTACCAAGCTTGACGAGGACGCGGTCAATGGGTGTAAAGACTTGCACTTGATGCAAGTCAATTGGGTATTGATTGAAAGTGCCGAAGCTTACACAAGATTGTACCATGAACAAGAAGCTAAACTCGTAGCATCGGATCTCGGTAAAGATAGCGAGGAATATACCGCATTGCAGGAAAATGTAGCCATTTACAAAGGATTAGCCTTGAAAAGATTTCAAGCAGTTGTCAAGATATTCAAAACGTTTTACAGTGATCAGTACGATTTCCATTCGTATTGTTTGAGGCGAGGAACACCACGTGATTACATCGATATGTTGAGATGGGAGGATAAAATTCATGCTACGCCAGTATACGTTCGTGCCTTGAGGGGGTTATTGAACTTTTATGTTGAGCTTTACGAAGAGCAACAACGTGTGTCTTCTGAACAATCTCAAGATGATTTGAAGACGAAAAAGAGTGGTAAAAAGCAGAAGAAAGGAAAATCAAATAAAAAGAAACTGGACCAAGCTACTAAAGTTGAGGCTGAAAAAGACGACCAAGATCCGTTTGGATTGACTCTTCTTCTGACTTTGAAGCAAACCGATTTCATTGAACAGTTGTCGAAATTAGTTGAACCTCTTGCGTCTGAAGCTCCAACGTCGAAGGATACTTGGGAGTTACTTTTCAAAATTTACACCATTCAAGGTAAGTACGTGTTGGCGTTACAAGCCCTTAAGAGCTTGGACAAGATACTCAATGGGGACGGAAGCAAGAAGCTTAAAGAAGTCGGGGATCGGGCTCGATACTTGTCTGAGATGAGCAAACAAGACGCCAAAGCCAACCAAGCTATTGTTAAGGTAGTTGAAAAAGGGTTATGCTCGACCTTTCCCGAATTTGAAAAGTTGTCACCAGAAGAGTTCAGAGCTGTTTATAGTAAATAGAGCAATTGAAAAATAAAAAAAATAAAAATACCCGTACATAGCCCTCCTCCATCTATTCTATTTACGAATTGATCCAGTTTTCCACTTGGCCCCTAGCAACACCGCCTGCGAGATTGAGTGTTTGTCGGCCCAAGGGGAAATAACTCACAGTGTACCATAACGCAGCCACCAACTGAATTGCAGCAAATATTATTGACAACAAGGTACTCTTCAAGCTTAAACTGCTGATCAACGTCAAGATTATGCTTGCACCAAACACAATCGTAAAAATGATTCTCGTTGATGAGAACAAATGCAACAAATAAGCCTGCGCTCCTTGTAAGACGCCAAAACTGATAAGGAAGAAGATCAGTCCCAATGACCAAAGTAAAGCAAACTTCCTTGGTTTCAAACTCAAGACAGGGAACAAAAAGATACATATAAGCCAACAACAAAGTGCACCGGCAAAACACAATGCAAACACTAGCATTCTGTCCCATCTGGATAATTCAAACATACCTGGCTCAGATGTGACGTAGTTGTCATCATCTTCTAGATACACTGATTGACTGCGGAAGGGATTTAGCTTTTGGAGCCTAGTTTTGAAGGAGTGGGAAGAGCCCGGTTGTGTTACCGGAGGAGGCAATGGGGCACCATCGCTGGTTGGATTCTGGCTCAAGGGGGTATATTTTTGAAAAGATTGAAAGAATGACATGATGTCTGGAGAGTTATGTGTGAGTGAGTGAGTGAGTGAGTGAGTGAGTGTAGTAATTGTCTCCTCTGTCGTGTTTGTTCGGGCTTAAAGAAAATTATCTCCAGCGAAAAACTACTCTCTTCATTCAACACAGGACAGAGTCACACAATCACATATTAACCCTAAACCAAGATGTCTACACCCTCCACCGCCATAGCCACTGCCAATTCAGAAAGACAGTTTATTGAGACATACACGCAACTAATGGGGTTATCTGAAAACACTTCACCCAGTCAATTCTACTCCACGCATGATTATGACAAGTTGCAATCATTGGGACCCAGTTTGCCCAAATTCTCTTATAAATTTCCAACAACAGTCAGCGCTAAAGCTGATGAAGGCTCCTCAATCAAGTTGAAGTTCAAATCAATCAAACCGCCATTCAAGATCACCCACGAATTTGATGCACCAACCACTTCCACCGTTTATAAAATCAAGTCCCAATTGATTGAGGATGTTGATACATTGAAATCAGCAGGCGTTTCTCCAAAAGATGTGAAGTTAATGTTGAAGTCTAAAGTTGTTCAAGATACGTCTACATTGACTTCGTTGGTTGCGGAAAATTCAGAATTATCGTTCAATTGCATCATAACGCCTCCACCGGCATCTAAAGAACCAGAGGTTGAAGCACCAACTAGTCTCAGTGATTCAGCTTTCAAGCAGATCTACAACATAATCAAACAGGATTTGAGTGATCCATCTAAAGCGGATGAAATTTTCCAAAAGTTCAAGAATAGTATATAGATGGTATATAGATGACTTAATTATTATTCGACACCCACTATACCCGGTTTGTTACACCCAAGTCCTCACATTATAATCCAGTCCTCCACCTGTAGATGCCTCACTTGCAACCGGCTTCCTTTCCACTCACTTTCCCCTCCATTCTTCAAATCTCTTTGCAACTAACTCATTCAATGTGTGTCCCTCGGCACGACCCACCCTTTGTTCGTACAAATAATATGAAGCAACACCCATTCCAATCCCTATAATAGGATCTAGAGATCTGGAAATCAAATATGGATACTGCATTGTCCTCAGTTCGTAATACTTTGGAAGCCTTGTCAATTGACTGTTCTTGTACCACAACGGCCTTAGCAGGATCAAAATGAAACAGTGCAAACCAATAGTCGTGTACACTTGCACAATGAAACTTTTGGCCTCTTTTGCACGCAAAAAATTTTTCACTTTCTTTTTCCTCCTCAGAGAAGAGGAAGAGAAGAAGAACAGAAAATAAATTACATGACATATAATTTTACTCTTGGTTTGGTTCATAATACAAACACACACACACACATATATACCCACCCAAGTACCAAAAACTACATTTCGTTTAGTTTTTGATAGAAAGTTGGAAGAGAGGTTGAAAGAAAAGTATTTGAAGAAACGAAGAAAAGATGGCTGCTGTTTTCCCAAGAACGTGTTACAAATGTGGTGAAGCTGGCCACGTTGCTGACGATTGCACTCAAGAAGAAAGATTGTGCTACAACTGCCGTAAACCAGGCCACGAATCAGGTGATTGTCCAGAACCAAAGCAAAACAACACTAAGCAGTGTTACTCTTGTGGTGATGTAGGTCACATTCAAACCGAATGTCCTAACCAATCTCAAGGAGCCAAGTGTTACAACTGTGGTCAATTTGGTCACATCTCAAAGGAATGTGACCAAGCTCCAACTGGAAATGCTGCTCCTTTCAGAAAGGCTTATGGTCCAAGAGGTGGCTCAGCTGCAGGTACCACCTGTTACAAGTGTGGTGGTCCAAACCATTTTGCTAGAGACTGCCAAGCTGGAAACGCCAAGTGTTATGCTTGTGGTAAGCCTGGACACATCTCCAAGGACTGTCACTCTGCTGCTGGCGGTGCTTCTGCTGGTGCCAAGGCTTGTTACAACTGTGGAAAGCCAGGCCACATTTCAAGGGAATGTACCGCTTAAGCTTGTTGTGTCGAGTTAAGGTCACAGTAGTGTGGTTGTTATGACTATACCTTGTGTTTTTTTTTGTTTGACATCATGCTTATGTGATAGCATTTGGTGTGTTGTTTTTGCAAAATATGCGTTGTGAGTTGATGCACATTTCTATCATTTGTTTATAGTTGTTTAGTGAGTTATCAAAAAATAAAATTTTAAACGGGTGTGTTTGAACTTTGTATTAGATATTACGTTGAAGGGGAAGAGGTGGATTTATATATGTATTACCGTATTAACCACAAGGGTGTTTTTTTGTTTGGATGTTAATGTACCGCCATCAATGACACTTTTGTTTTGTGGTAACACTACCTTTCTGGTTTTCAGAAAAATCTGAAATACACCCAAACAATAAAGATTAAAGTCAATAGGAATAAGCGCCCCTGTCTTGTGCCTCCCAACCATATACCGTATCCAATAATGGTGTTTGATAAAGGACGTATCACATTCTGTGTAATATTATCATATGTTGTAGGTTTCAAATATAAGGTGGTGGGCCCGCTCACCACATTTGAGCTACGCTCAAGTGCTTCAAGACGAGAGGTTTCATTCAAGAGAACACCCGCTTTCAAACCTGCAGGTAAGATTTGCATACATCCTGATAATGGCGATATAATCAGCTGGGGCGGCAGAAATGGAACGGATATTTCTAAATAAATAGGGCGGTGGTCGGACATCAAAAGCGAATCCAATGAATTATACTCTTTAACCTCTGGCAAGGACTGGCGTACGATTTCGTCATGGTTTGCTTTGCTAGAACTGGTCAATTTGGGAAATTGTTGCCCCAAAGTATTCGGTCCAACTTCTTCGTATGATGATAAGTAGACAACTCTGTCGCACCAGGATGGCGACCTTTTGGTATTGTAAATTGCAGTGTTCAAATGGAATTTGTATGTTGGGGGGAATGTTATCTTACCTTCTGAAAAGTTTTGCAAAACGTCCCCATTCTGCATACTCATCTTCAATTCATCGTACTTATCAACAAGCTCTTCAACTCTCTTGGAATATGCAGCATCGGTAGCAGAAACATCAAGTAAGGAGAGTAACTCTTGACTTTCTGCGTCGTTTGGAGTATAGTTTTGACTAGTCCTGTAATTCAAATCACCCAATATGAATACATGATTCTCGGGTTTGATAAGGCCGTACCCATCACCAAAATTCAACGAACGTATGATATTGTAGAGGTTAGTGTTTCTTTGAAGGTAGTAATACTCACCTTCATATGCATTTAAATGGGCTGTGGCAAACGACAACTCCACATGATCCGAACTGTCAAGAGCCCCCTCAGGATAATACGACACTCTTGCTCCGACACCGCCTTTCAAGCTGGAATACGCATATCCACAACTAGTTGTTGCTGTCCGTACATTTTTAAACTTTGCCGCATACGGCGTTATGATGATCATTCCTATGGCTCCGATAAATGTCAGTGAAATTGTCAGAAACCCCGTCGGTTGATGGTACTTTTCCTGCAATGCCAGTTGTAGCATTTGGTTGAAATTGATTAGTTTAGCACTTGCTGATGATGCAAAAAGACCGTCCAATACTGAACAAAACTCTTGGAAGCCAAATACATAAAGGGATGATAATTGGTCGGGGAGGATCAGGACTAGTTTGGACTTGAAGACTTCGGGGATTAAATCTTGTTGATTGCAGTTGTAAGTGAAAAGGAACAAAGGGATTGGAACATGCTTTGTGGTAGGAATTGACGAGGAAGGCATTGTGTAACTGTGAAAGATTGGGACAATTCAAGCGGGCGAGGGAGGGATTGAAGGGTATCGGATTCACCGTTTCATTATCAGTTGCTGCGTATCTGTTTAGCCTTTTTTTGTTTTTTGTATTTTGTTTTTTGTTTATTTTTGCTTCATCACAAAACAATCCTGTCTCTTCAGTTTTCTCCACCCACATTTGAATCCAGTATAACACACACACACACACACACACACACACACACACACACACACACACACACACACACACACACACCAATGAGCAGTACCTTAGAGTCACAGCGATTGGCTTTGGAGAACCTTGATGCCATTGAAGATGCTCTAACACAAAGGTTTTTGAGAAATCCCAATCTTCTTCCCAAATCATTACGAAGAAAATACGACAATATCCCACCACTCGGGAAAAATAGAGCATACACTAAACGGTTGTTTCGTCTTCAACAACACGAGTTGAGGCACCTCCTGCAAGAATATGATAGCAAGTTGAAACAAGTGTTATCCTCTGTGCAAAATGATGCAGCAGCCATTCACCAGGAGCTACAGAGTATTGAGGAAGACGGCACATTTGAAAAGTTTGAGCAGTTGATTGCACCACTTTTGAAAGATACAAACGAAGGACCGGTGGTTAGAGGAGTACAACAGCAGTACGCATTGTTTGGTAGTGCTGACCCTAAAACAGTGAAGGTGAAGCTAAAGAAAAGGAAAGGTCAGGAAGTGGTAATGGCGAAAAGGCTGGATTTGCTAAGTAATGCCGCTTCGCATATACAGAACATCGAATTGGATGACGTTCTTGATCTAAAGCAGTTTCACCAGTTCTATAACGAAAACTTCACATCTAGCGAGATCCCATACGTCCAATATTTGTACTCTTTTAACAAGTTCCCCTACGAGAAATCGAACAAGGAAGTTTATCGCCTGTACTTGAAGTCGCTATACAATTATTTGAAACAAAAATACATAGTGTTGTATCCATTATCAGATATTGTGACCATTTTGAAAGAGGTTGAAAGTACTGTTGAGAACAAAGCTTCACAAAACCAGAATGGTTTGGGGTCTGAACTATACTGTGCCGTCTGTGACAAACATTTTGCGACTACAACCGTCTACAAAGCTCATCTAGAGAGTAAAAAGCATCTCAAGAAAGTCAAGAAAGTAGGTGAGACGTTTCAAAATGAAGAAAATAAGCCCAATGCATGGTACGAACGATCAATACAGATATTGGCCACGCATCTAGACGAAGCAATTCACCAAACGGAAAAATATTTGGTACTGTCAGAAAGAGCAAGATTCAATGAGGAACAAGATCAAATCGACATTGAAAATGAGTATACAGAGATTGAAAATAGCGGAGACTCTGATTCCAACGGAGAGTCAAGCTCCGACTCGGAAAATGATGATGATTTATTCAAAAACTTGCCGTTGGGAAGTGATGGTACCCCTATCCCATACTGGCTTTACAAACTACAAGGTTTGCATAAAACGTATCGGTGTGAGATATGTGGAAATGTTGGTTACAAGGGCAAACAAGCATTTGAACGACACTTCAATAGCGCCAAGCATCAAAAGGGTTTGCAATTATTGGGGATAGCTGAGGATCAGTATCAGCTTTTCAAAAACATTCTGCTGATTGACGAGGCACAGAACTTGATGGATAGGTTAAAGAAGGAGGCAAGGTTGAAACAAAGTGAATTACATGATGCAATCGAAGTTGAAGACAAGCAAGGTAATGTGATGAGTTATATAGATTACTTAGATTTGAAGAAACAAGGATTGAAGTAAAGGATGCCTTTAAAATTGGAAAGAACTATTCCTTTATAGTACGTGTAGATTTTACGCTGCGCACAGTTTTTTTTTTTGAAATCATTAGGTTTCACTACCCATTCCAGGCAACTCATTTTGTCAAGCTGCATCGTATACTTAGAAAAATGTGCTTGGATGGTGCTTCGTCCGGCATCAAAAGAAGCGGGTCTCCGTCACAGGGATCCAACCTACAACAACGCGCAGCCAAGGTTCGCGATGCACAAGGATTTCGACTTCGTCAACAGGAAAGAGATAAATCCGAAAAGACGGCATTTGATCAGATGGGAGGGTCGAATGGAGAAGACGCTTCTTTGGTCGAGGGAAAGACCATTGCGGAGGAGGAAGCAGAGGGTGCCAAGTACATAATCGATGGCAAGTTGAGAAGAGTCACTCCTTATTATTTCACGTATATGACCTACTGTAAATTACGTTGGAGAGATCGGACACTAATAGATATATTCACCGACGAATTTAGGGATAGAACTCCAGAAGCATATAAAAAGGCAATTGAAAGTGGCATGGTTAGTATCAATTCGAAACCCGCCAACTTGGAAACCATTGTTCGAAATGGTGATTTAATCAGCCACAGAGGGTTCAGACGTGAGCCACCGGTGAATTCCGCCCCGGTCAAGATCGTGTATGAGAACGACCAACTACTTGTTATTGATAAACCATCAGGCATACCTGTACACCCCACTGGTCGATACCGGTACAATACGATTACGAAAATTTTACAACACGATATGGGTAAGACTGTGCACCCTTGTAATCGGTTGGATAGGTTGACTTCCGGGTTGATGTTTTTGGGTAAGACTGCACAGGGGTCTAATGACTTTATGAAACAGATTCGGGATAGAAATGTGTCCAAGGAGTATATTGCTAGAGTGAAGGGGGAGTTCCCAGTAGAAGACTGCACTATAGACAAGCCTTTGTATACTTTGAGTCCGAAGCATACTTTGAATGTTGTTGATGAAGAAAAGGGTAAGGAGGCGGTTACTGAATTCAAGCGCATCTCTTATGATCCTGTTACAAATACCAGCGTGGTCAAATGTCATCCCTTGACTGGCAGAACGCATCAGATTAGAGTTCATTTGCAATATATTGGCCATCCAATAGCCAATGACCCGATATACTCAAACCCGTACGTCTGGGGAGACCAGCTCGGAATCGGCGGCAAGGCAAAGTATGATGACGTGATTTCGAGATTGGACTCGATTGGTAAAACTAGGGCAGCATCCAGTTGGATACACCCAGAGGAAGATGGAGAGGTTCTTTCCAACGAAATATGTCCTCACACCGGGTTACCCTTGTATACGGACCCCGGTTTCAACGATCTCGAGCTCTGGCTACATGCATATTCCTACAGTGCCGATGATGGTTCCTGGTCTTACAAAACTGAATATCCCGAATGGTCACTCGAGAGTAGTCGAAAGTATATGCTTCAAGCGTTAAAAGAGGCCAACAAATGTGGAGAGACGCAGACTCAATTCAATGTCGGGTGTATCATTGTTCACAATGGAAAAGTTCTCTCCACTGGACATTCAAGAGAACTCGAAGGCAACACACATGCTGAGCAATGTGCGTTGGAAAAGTATTTCGAACAAACTGGGAAAAGAGAAGTTCCCTTGGGAACCGAACTTTTCACAACGATGGAACCTTGCTCTTTCCGCTTAAGTGGCAATGCCCCTTGTGTTGAGAGGATATTGGAAACACCTGGAATCAAAACGTGTTTTGTGGGAGTTGTTGAACCGGACGTTTTTGTAAAAGATAATACATCTTACAAGATTCTTACTGATTCCAGTATAGCATACGTGCATATACCCGGATACGAGGATGAGTGTTTGGAGATTGCCAAGAAGGGCCATGATAAAGTTGTTACATAGTATAGATACATAGTCTTTGATCGATTACTTTTAATGTTCTTCCTCTTGACTTGAAAGATCGACAACAACCTCTTTTTTCGCATACACGTAGACATTTCTTCTGTTTCTGCTGGTTGTAGAGGCAATGGTGTTGAAATCCAGCGGTCCCTCAGTGGTGACACCATCCACATCAGACCTACCAGCGGCAACATTGATAGTTTGTGGTGCAGGATGAGCTATTTCATGAGACTCGATTGGATGATTGTCTTTTGATCTGCCGCTGAACGAATGTGTTGAAACGCTTACAGATCTAGGAATAGCAAAGCCAGCTGCTATAATGGTATCCGTTAGCGACAAAAATGCCTGCTTAGATATTTGCAAAGCATTTAGCACCTTTCTTGTAGCGGATGTTCCACCAGCCTGTAAGTCTCCTTGCTCATGTAATCGAGAGTTTCGTGATTGGTTCAGAATTCTTCTTGACCGAGCTGCCTCAATATCACCACCAGTGTCATTCGATGCTCTTCCACCATGTTCATCATCACCACCATCATCATTTTCTTCTTCTTCTTCTTCTTCTCCTTCTTCGTCATCATCATCCAACGGTATTTGCTCTTCGACGAAAAGTTCAAACCTATCGAGCTCATACGACTCATCTTCGTAAAATCTTCGACCAAGAACGCCTTCTTTTTCCTTTGCTCTCATAATAAGGTTGAATTTGTTGCACCATTCCCATGGTATCACTACACCAATCACATAGTTGACCACCGAAAAGATTTCGGACAACTCGTAAATAAACGCATTCGACACATCGGCAATGAAAAACGCAACGGGGCTGTAAATTAAAATCAATGTGAGAAGCGTCAATAGCCAAATACGTCGGTTCGCTAAAATTATTTGAATCTTACTGATGAAGTAGACTGTAATGATGGCAGCATAGCATAAAGCCATGGCTATTCTCACCAAGTAAATGAACGCAGGCAATATATCCCCCGCCTCGTTGTTTACGTCAAAATAATGGAACTGTGCAATACTCCAAATGACCTGCGATGCAATGGACGCAGCACAGCCAACATAAAACGTAAGCCGTTTGTCCTTTTGTCGCTGAAACAACCTCATTATTATTTGCACTTGATTAATTTGTAAGAGTAAAACCACAATCAAATCAATTATATTGACGGCCTTGTTTTCGTTTATTTCACTCAAGACTTTTGCTCCATGAAGATACCCCTCACGCTGTTGCATGTGAAGAATAATTATTGATTTGATGACAACCACCAAGATGTAGACCGATGAGAGCAAAGTCGACAATTTCAACAACCACGACGGTTTAATGGTATAGTTTGTAAACACAAATATTGTGAGAAACCAAGTGATGACAGCCAGTACAGCTATTGCATAGACTATGGATACGACACTGTAGCTAAATAACCCTCGAGTGTTGTGGTGGGTAAAGTTGGCCCATGACTCTGCGACTATAGGTAAAGGTCTCGTGAATTTGTCAATCACTAGTCCCACATTGGTATTTAGAACGGGTATTGCGTCATGATAGCAGTTTTGCACGTATTGCGCTTGCAGAATGTATTGTACTGGATAGTCTGGATCATGTGATATGACCATGCCCTCATTTAAATTGATCTCCTTGCATGATGGGTAAGGTTTAGCGTCCCACCATGAGCTTCTCCAATACATGGCATATGTAGGAGGGTGTTTCGTGTTGTACGTGAGTGCTGATCAGTTGGTATAATCTGTTGCTGTATGTATGTGTGTATGTATGTGTGTATGTATGTATATTTGTCTGGAGTCCCTGTTTGAATTTCTTGTTCTGTCTCTTGTTTTATTTTTTTTTTTTTCTGTTTTGTTTTGTAACCCTTTTTTTGCAGAGAAGAACACGGCACAGCGGTTAATGTTATTCCATGGCTTATTGATACACTTGCGAATCCAACTTACATCTAGAAATAGGTAATGGTTTTCTACTCGCGCAAGTCTCCTACCCCCTTGTTTGGACACTGGCAATGAAGAAAAACGTGTCTTCCAGAATAGAGTAGTGTATAACCATTTACCTTGTCCAAACTGGTTCTAGCCACAAAACATGCCAGCAAACATGCCAGCAAACATGCCAGCAAACATGCCAGCAAACCAGTCCAATTCCCTTCCTGTGGCTATACCCTCGATCAATTTCAAGCTCAACAACTTCAACTTAGTTGAGCCTTAGCCATCTTTTTCTACTGTCCTCTCGTATATTTCCTGTGCTTATTTGTTGTTGCTTTCGCTTTGTGTATCATGATTAATGCGCCTGATCTGCAACTGGAACAGAGAACCAGTAAAATTTTGAAAACGGCGTTTCAGGTACTCATTTTCTTTCTTCATCAGCACAACCTGACTCAGGAACAATTCAGTCACTGTTGTATCCTATCTAATGATTCACTCAAATCACTAGACCTTACCAAATTGCAGAAGTTGAAAAGCAAATACTTGCTAAAGAAAACCAATTACAAATAAATATCATATTATAGAACATCATACAACGCATAATACCATGACCACCTCGATTGACGACAAAAACAACAACAACCAATTTCTAAGCATCGAAAATAATAGCATCAGCCAAAATGGCAACTATCAAACACTTGATCCGGGATCACAAAACACACGCACTGACGGAAAGGTACTGCATCAACGTAACGAATCATCATACTCCAGAAATTTCTCAATACTTGACACATATGCACAAGAGAGCCCCTCTAGACGAAACAGTTATGTAGATGTTGGATTAGTACCATCACCATTGGAGGATATAAACTCTGAAGCGTCAATACTCAAGAGTTTTGATGGCTCAACTCCAAACAACAGCTCAAATGCACTTGAAGCAAATGCAATAATCTCGATCGACAGTGCTTGCAATACAGCAGTCGAGAGTGGATCGAATAGAGACGTTTATGTGAAACCGACTACCAAAGCCTCTGATGCAGAAGTTCTAAAGTCAAATTTCGATCGATACGGCTTCAAAAAGTGCTCTTCAAACGGGCGATCTACTGAGGAATACAATGCCTGGTTTCAACACTATTCTGAATACACAATAAGGCGGAAGAAGAAATGGGAGAGGACAATGAAAGATCATGGGTTGAATGTAGTGCCACCGCACAGTTCAACTTCCACAGAGCAAGAAACAGAAGAGGTTCCAACTCGTTTCCCACCCAAATCCGACAAGATCAAAAAAATGGTGAGACGTGGCATACCTTCTGAATGGCGCGGTAATGCCTGGTTTTTTTACGCAGGAGGATATGACAAGCTACGAAAGCACGAGGGGCTTTATGATAAACTTGTGTTGGAGACGAAGGATATACAGAATAAAGAGAGCGAAGTGATTGAACGAGATTTATTTCGAACTTTCCCAGACAATATCTATTTCAATTCTTCCATAGATGGAAACGGCCTTGGTTCGCGTGAAGCAAGTTTTGTTAGAGATGAAACTAAACTAATAAAGTCATTGAGAAGGGTCTTGATTGCGTTTGCTCAGTACCAACCACAAATTGGGTATTGCCAATCACTAAACTTTTTAGCTGGCCTACTCCTCCTTTTCATGGACGAAGAACGTTCCTTTTGGATGTTGGTTATCCTAACGGAGAAAATCATCCCCAATGTTCATCTGGCTGATTTGGAAGGTGTACACACCGACCAAGGGGTCTTGATGCTCTGCGTAAAGGAGTACTTACCAGTATTGTGGGATACTTTGGGAACCAACTTTGATGGGGAAAAGTTGAAAGAAGACAACATTTTGTCCAGATTGCCTCCAGTGACCTTGGTCACGTCGTCTTGGTTCATGTCTCTTTTCGTTGGGATCTTGCCGATTGAAACAACATTGCGTGTGTGGGATATCTTGTGGTACGAAGGGTCAAAGACTATATTTCGCATCTCATTAACAATATTCAAATTGTGTATTGATTCACCAGAGTTTCAGAGTAAACAGGGTCCCGGCAGCGACGAGAGTCAACAAATTGAATTGTTTCAGTTTATGCAAGGGTTTCCTAAAACAGTCTTGGATCCTAATTTACTTGTTGATTATTGTTTCAAAAAGATTGGCGGGTATGGGTTCGGTTCATTATCACAAGGGGAAATTGACAAGTGTCGAGATTTTGTGGCGAGGCAAAGACAAAAGATGCATTTGAATTCGAAACGCAAAGACTTGACTGAAATGACAGAAGAAGAAAAACAAACTTTGTTGAATATCAATGGCGCCGATAAGGAAAACATTCATGATGTTTATGGATTTCATAGGTCCATCATGAGCGGGATTGTATGGAACAAGAGTATCAGCAACAAAATGAAGAAAAGACTAACGGGAAAAAAGAGATAATTACAGCATGGAGATAGCTAGGAATGCACAGTATCCGCATACAAGCAAAAACATATATACCTGTATCTAGATTGTCTCTAGAACACGTCTTTGTAGATTGCATCACTAGTAATCACAACATCTTTGCATTTGTCAACATCATGAACTCTTACGAAATCAGCATGCTGCTGAATAGATGAGGTGACTGTTGCAGCCGTAGCCATCGCCCGATCCGAGGGCGTGTTCAACTTGCCAGTTACTGTTCCCAAGAATTTCTTTCTTGAAGTACCAATCAACACACTCATTCCGTTAAAGCTGAGGTACGACAGTGATTGAGTTTGGATTGATGTATCTCTCCCCTCCTTATCCTGTAGATTGACTTGGATTGAATACTTCTTGAAGTAGGAGCTGTTAGCCACAATGGCCAAGTTTTGTTTCAAGGATTTTGCAAACCCCACTCCTGGATCAAGAATGATTTGCCATTTTTTGACACCATATTTGAAACTCTTTAATATTTGCAACGAAAGTTCACGCGAAACACCATTGAGAAAGTTGCTCAACTCTGGATTGTTGACATTTTCTTGCTGACCCGATTTCGGATCAATGAGATACTCTACAATATCGTCATTCTTGTTTGGTTCGTATTTGGTCAACTTGGACATCGTTTGTGGAGTGCCTCTTGAATGATTCATGATATATGGACATCCATACTCCGCCACAACTTGAAAGATACGCTCATCGTATCGACCCATTGATATGTCATTGATGATGTCAGCACCTGCTTCAAGGCACTTTCTTGCGACATTCGACCTATACGTGTCGATGGAAATCAAAATATTGGCCAACGCAGCATCTCTAGACTCTCGGATTTTTTGGACGAGAGGAAGCACACGTTCAATTTCTTCTTCCTCTGATGGCTCCACACTTCCAGGTCTCGTAGATACACCACCAATGTCAATAATCTGTGCTCCCTGTTGAACAAGTCTGGCCGCCTCGCCAACTATATTATCCAACGAGGATGAATAATACTTTCCTCCATCACTGAATGAGTCAGGAGTCATATTCAAAATTCCCATGATCAACGTGGGTGACTTGTAATTAACCTGATCGAATCTCATGACATTGTCCTTGGTTGAGATTCTCGGCACGGGAACCAACTGCAACAAACTCGAATCCGTTTGAACATGATCATCGGGTTTGTCACGCAACAACTGCAGCAAGTGATCATGAAATGGCTCAGCGCTAATTGGGTGCGTTTGGTCTGGTGGCAACAATTCGCATAGTGGTTGCAAAACAAATGTCCTTTCCAACATCAGTTTATGTGGTACTATCAAATCACTAGTGTTTATCTGTACGTTATCATATAGCAAAAGATCCAAATCAATAGTACGAGGACCGTTTTCAATCTCTTTAACTCTTGCTAAGTGCTGATACTCAATCTCCTTCAAAATTTCCAATAACTTGTGTGGTGAATAACCCAGAAATGAAACTTTTGCAGCTGCATTGAAAAAATCAGGTTGGTCAAGATGGTACATTGGCTTCGATATATACATGGATGAAGTGGATTCAAGAGTGATGTCGTAGGCTTTCAATTTCTCGAGTGCTTTTGTGATGTTTTCCAATTGGTTGATATTGGAGCCTATTGCAATATAAGCAATGTGCTTTCCCTTGTACCCCTGTGTAGCTTCATTCTCTACAGGTAAGTTGAAACCACCGTTTCCCTGTCGCGAATATTCTAGGGTCAATGGTTCGACATCGACGAAATTCCTTGGTGTCATTAACGAACTCACGCCAACTCCTTCAACATGACTGAACGCGTTTGGTTTCGTTACTCTCGCATCAACTGACTCAATTCCAACACCATGATGATTTTGAAATGTCAATTGGCCAATCTTGAACACCAACGCTTCAACTGTTTTGAAATTGGAAGACTCGACATATTGTACAATATCTCCCACAACCTTGTGAAAATCTAATTTAGGATCGTCTTTGGTAATTTTGATTTTCAAATCCACATCAACAATCTGCTTCTGAAGTCTCTCAAATGTAAATACCCCAATGATTGTCAATAGACGCAACTTGGTGACATTATACGCATCGTAATTCGTCAATCGATCAACACGACTGCGAACCAATTCATACTCGACGCAATCAGCCCTAATCTCAGATTTCGGGCTCTTCACCACCACTTTGGCAATTTCACTCCCTCCACTCTTTTCATCTAGGGCAATTTGCGATACTGCTTCCGCAATGCTACCCAACGACTTGAAATTCCGATGCTCATTTGACTTTAAAAAATCGGAAATGTGTCTTGTCAAAACGGCATAATTGACACTATATTTTAAGTTATCGGTGACTGATGCCTTGTGGAAGTCGGTGTTTAAATATACCGAAATGGTGATTGGTTGTGGTGTTGGTCTATTCCAGGCATCTTTGCCCGTTATTGCAGTAGCAGAAATATCTTTGACAAACACCAAATCTGTTGACATCTTGGGAGTCAGCTGTAGTTTTCTATTGATAAACTGTTTTGGAAAGTAAACCCAATTGGGTTTTAGTTGTTTGGGGAACAATATTGTGGATGCTTATCTTTGGCTATATTGGCCTGGGCTAGTTGATGAAAAAAGAGTGGATGTTGAAATATATATACATTTGTTTTTTTTTTTTTTTCACTCAGATCTTTGCACCCAAGTTGGAAATCATGAAGCACGATGGCTGCAGAATTGTCGTCAGCACTCTGCTCATAGCTAGTCCAAAATCTAACTACGCTATACTACAATGCGGAAAAGGTACCACTTCTGCAAAGGGTTCTGTATATTCTAACTACGTATCGTGTCTACATATCATTCTCAATTTCTACTTTATCAGCAATCACAATTCCATAATCCGTAGACTTTTCACAAAACCGTTCGGCATCATCATAATCAAGTTTCAAATCCTCCATAATCAACCGTATTATAACTTCATTCGCCAACACATGAATAGCAAAGCTCGGTATCGTCCAGTAACTAATGGCAGGATTCATCCTGCATCTATTCAAAGCAAGCTTACACGCCTTTGTGATTTCCTTGCCTATAATTGACTGTCTTTGGAAGCCATAGTATCCCCCGTAAAACAGCTCCCAGTCAATCTTTGTCTGCTCTTTGGCTGTCATCGTCTCGTGTGGTGACAGCCTTTGCTGCTCTTTGGCTCTTTCATAATATACCGAAGGTGTCTCTTTGCCCTTTAGTATCGGCTCTATACATCCAAAATGTTTCTGGGCTCTTCTAATCAACTCCAGTCGTGTTTTGATAGGTGGCGGGATACCTTTTGATTTATATTTTTGAAGAACATCACTCCGACTTCCATACTTGGCCAGCTCAAAAGTGCTCAACAGATTGGGTGGCTCAATTTCAGTCACATGTTCACTCGTCCGTGCCATTTTCCTCTCTCTGAACTGTTTCGCATCTGCACGTATATCCACTAACCCCTCAACTTCTCCAAAATCAAATTGCTTCCTCTTCTTCTTCTCCTTCTTCGCAGGGCTCGGAGAAGCTCGGTTCACATTGATAATCCCAAACTCTTTGTCGTCATCATCGTCAACAGCAGGATTTAGCTTAGTGGAGTCTAACAGATGTGGGAATGCTGAGACGTCTCGAAAGTTCAGACCGTTTTGGTCTGAATTCTTGTCGTTGTGGACATAAACCGGTCTCCTTTTCGGACTTCCTTTGTTCTTAGGCCTAGAGTACTTCTTGTTGGTCTGGTCTGACAGTTTTTCAGGTGAGAATATCGACGGTACAGAATTCATGTGTGGATTATCGTGGGGTTTAGAATTCCGGTACGGAACGAACCCGGTCTCGAAATTAGCAGGACGTATTGGTTTAGCCCGTGGGGTGGGCTTGGGCTTTGCGTGGGTGTTCAAACTACCGTAATCTTTGTTCATTAAATGATGAACCAAATCTGGTTCCTTCTTATGATTAATACCTTCCTTTATCAGATTACATGAAACATTCAATAAAAAAAGAAGAAAAAAAAAAAAAAACAAACAAACAAACTTTAGCGTTGCAATGGGGCAACAGATTTTGTACGCGTCACTACACAAATGATGAAGGCACCAAATCATAAAAAATTACCATCAATTAACTAAACACCACCTATGTATACAGTAATAATTTACAACTGAAATCTAAGATCAATCCTTTCTCTAACGCATATAACTACCTAGCGCGGAGGCTGCTGTTGCTGTTGCTGTTGCTGCTGCTGCATCATCTGCATAAACATCTGTAATTGAGCTGCAGTTGGCATACCTGCCCCTTGAGGCATTTGAGGAAGGGAGGGGAAACCGTTTCCAACAGGCTGTTGTGCTTGCCCTTGTGGTGGTGGATATGATGGAAATTGTTGAGCTTGAGGAAACGATGGCTGTTGCTGTTGTTGGGTAGGGCTGTTTCCAAACAACCCTTGTAATGGATTGACAGAGGACTGATGATATGTATTGAACCCAGGCAGAGACCCGTGGCTCATTTGAACCTGTTGGTTAGGGAGCAACGTCGTCTTGACAAACTCTTCATCTGGCTCTCCTGGTCTATTCGATTTCGGACCATTCCTTGCCGAGTTAGTGGGCATCTTCTTTGACATGGCTTTGGAGGATATACCCGCTCCAATTTCAATATCAGGCTCATCAATAACCATACCACTTGAAATTGGTTGGCCACCAGTACCTCCCCATTGCGCGTTAACAACCCAATTCCTATCAGCATCAGTCAATCTTTCAATTGGAATTATCGAAATTCCGTGCTGATAATTGCAGCATTCTCTGGGCCCGAACCCGACTCCCCAACGAGTTCTCAATGGTAATGACTGGTCCTTATTGAAAGACGTAATGATTTGCTCTGCTTCTTTTCTTGAGTACACTTTAACAAACGCATGTTTCCTCTCACTGTTTAAAATAACCGATTGAATCTCAGCAAACGGTCTCAAAACTTGGGCAAGAACTCTTTCGTCCATGTTTCTTGGTACACCACCAATGAATAAAGTACGTGACAACACCTTTATTGTTCCCTGGGGTACACTAGGGTCAAATCCGAGATTCCTCGGACGATAATGAGGTGTTCCTGGAAGGTTCATCTCAGTGTTCATAGCGGTTGGAGGGACAAATGCAGGGTCTTTGTGGAACTGTTGTTGATGGCGACCGTTGTTTCTACTATGATTGTCTTGATATTGCTGTGGTGGGGAGTTTGTTTGGTAACCATTACCGCCAGCTGCAGCGGCGGCAGCTTTTTGCTGCTTCAAATTTTGAATGTTCTGCTGTAAAGCAAGTACCGACGAAGCAGCTGCAGGAGATTTGACCTGTCGTGTGGGAGATCTAGATCTACTTCTCTTGTAGTTATTGTTTTGATCACGACTTCCGCCACGCCTGCCAGAACCATAGTCATCAATGCCGCCACTTAATGCGTGTGTGCCAACTGAGGGCTCTGAAGGCGGAGCGGTGGGTCCTCCTTGCAATTGCTGCAACATATTGAATATAGCTTGTTGATCATTTGTTTGACCAGGCTGTTCATGTTGTCCTTGTTGAGAGGTAGTGGTAGTGGTAGTAGTAGTAGTAGTAGAAGAAGAAGAAGCAGCGGCCAAGTTTGCTAATAAGCTAGCAGTATCGTTTGAGTTTGCACCATCTGTATGAATCGATGCTGAAGGGGCAGCAGTAACAGAGTTGGGGTTGGACCCTGTTGTGGAGGTATCAGTGTCGCCTTTTGCCAACGACGCCAAGGCCAGTAAAATACTATTGGAATCCCCTGGTTCTGAACTTGGTTTTATAGGTTCAACACTGGAGCGTGGAGGTGAACCAGGGGGTGTAGTTGACCCGAAATGTTTCTCCTTGATCTTGTTCAATATTTCAGAGTCAAAAGTCTTGTTCTTTTCCCAAATCTCAACCAATTTACCAATCTTATTGATGATGACTGGATCCAATATATACTCCAAGGCATCATCCATCAAACTATCAATCAATTGGCCGATTTTGTACACCGCTGATGCAAAAGTTCCATCAGGAGCAGATGCGTCTATAGTTTCATTTGATGCCACAGCCCCGTCTTTTAATTTTCTAGCTACCGAGTCAACCACGTACAAAGTACCTAATTTATGTGAAGGAGCAGCAGATTTACAACTAGAATAAAGTGCAGCAATAATCTTACTTTCTTTTTCCTTGTCAAAGTCTGTAGTCGCAATGTTAGACAACTCTTTAATACGCGAGCCAGATACACCGGGAGCCTCCAATGAGGGCAATTCCTTAAGGAGTTGGTCAAATCTTTCCATCAGCATGATTTATATGTCCTTGCTAAGTCTGCTCTGTGTTACTCTAGTCTTTTCCAATAGTTAGCTTCCAAATGATTACAAAAAAGGATTCAAAAGCTAGGCGATGTAATTCACTTTACAATGTGATCAGTACGAAGTTAAAAAAAAAAAAAAGATAGAAGAATACGATGATTGGTTCTGGGGGGGGGGGGGACGTTGGGATGGGTTGTGGATGGCACTACTGTTTTTGTTACGCTTTGGTTGGTTTGGTTTGGTTTGGTTTGGTTTGGTTGATGAAGTGTAAGTCTTTTAGTTCTCCTTTCTTGTTACTGGTGGCTTAGTTGGTCCAGATCGTTTACTGCTAGTGTTTACCAAATGGACTTGAACAACGTCAAAGCTATAAAGAAAACAGTGGTTAAAACTTCACAGTTTAAGCAATAAAAATAAAAATAAAAATATTATAAAAATAAAAATAAAAAAGTAAAGTATTAGAAAGACCAAAAGTGTGTCTTTTTTATATATTACCTTTGATGTGTCTTTAGTAAATGATGTAGTTCCTCTTGTCTTGTAGAAGTATCAGAACTAGTAATACCAGATGATTATCGTTGTGGTTGTGTTGATTGCTCTTGGTTTTGGTATGAAGAAGAAGAAGAAGTTGTTGTTGTCGTTGTTGTCGTTGTTGTCGTTTTGCTGTTGGTTTGTCAACAAAAATTTTCTCCTGTCTCTCTCTCTCTACGTTTTCTTGATCTAGTTTACACGACCTTCCTTTCCCTTTTTTCTATTAAGCGGATCAAATAAGGATTACGAAAATTTTTCAATCTCAAGAGGAACAGTCCTGAGCAAGATATATCCATGAATTCCCTTGGTCTTAAGATAAGGGGGCCTCTAGCTACTCAAATACGAAACTATGCAGTAGCGCAGTCTGCCACCACTGCTTCAACTAACAGCAGTGCATGTACTACCACTACCACTACCACTACTACTTCATCACCATCCATATCGCTGACATTAATCTTATCACGTCCTCCAATTATAACCCAGGACCTCGCCCCATTCGAATCCCAATTCTACAAATACCAATCCGAGCTATGGAGGAGACTCATGTGGACATTTCCCAAATGGTTTTACTTCAAACAAGGAACAATGGCAGAATTGAGGTATCGACAAATCAACAAGAATCCCGTCAGTTACAACCCCAAAATATCTTCATGGCCCAAGGGCAAACCAGACTTGAAGCATTTAAGAGATAGGAGGTTCAGACAGTATATCAGGGCTCCCAAGACATATAGAGAAGAGGATGAGATTGTTGAAGGACAAGACCAGCTGGAATTTAAAGAGAATGAAATCTCACGGAAAATTGTGCCTGCCTCACGCACAACTGAAGCTGACAAACGTCAAGACGTGACTTCATTGGAGAGAAAACTAAGTAGGACCTTGTATTTGATCATCGCGGACAAGTCCAGTGGAGAATGGAAGTTGCCTAATTTTAAAGAACTGAGTGGACAGTTGCAGCCTTTACATGTGTTGGCCGAGGAAGGATTATATGAACTTGGAGGTAAGAAGATCAACTATTTCAATGTGTCAAAAGTGCCATGTCATCACAACAAGAACAAGGAATATTTCATCAAGTCGCATATCTTATCGGGAACTTTTGAGCCACAATCCGACTCAATCCTGTATCAATGGGCCACCAAGGAGGAATTGAAACAATTGTTGCCAAAGGATTATTATTCTGATATACTGCATTTATTGAGTGATGTGTGATTAAAAAAGAAATAAAAAAAAAGAGGAATTGTTAAAAATCGTTTTGTAAATAGGAATCCCTGTATAATTTTCATAGACCTGGACTTCAATGCTTTTGTTGATAAATGCACTCTTCCAACACTTGTCACCCTCCCCTTGCTCGACCCCCGTCTAGTACAAAACTTTTATTCACTAGTCTACAAATCCCATTCTCTCTCTCTCTCTCCCTCTCTCTCTCTCTCTCTCTATAAATCCTTTTTACCTTTTATTGCCTGTTGTGCAGCAAAAACACTACGATCCATCAACGAGCCCACCATCAACACTCCAGCAATCGAGCTGACAACGCCCAAAATGAACCCCAGTCGGGTCTTGGCATACTCCTCACGATTGATAATTTTCATTGGCGAAATATCGAAATTGAAAGCAACTCCAGGAACTCCACCTCTGGCATGCAATGTATGTTGGTGATCTTCATCCTTGCCACCGGCTAATGGACGATCATGGGTGATTACTGAAAACTGATTGGTGTCAAATTTGTGTTTTCCATCTAAACTTTCAAAACGGGTGGCAACAATCTTGAGGAAATAATTGATCAGGTGGTACTTCTTATGCTGAAGAAACTTGTGTCCATCTAATGGAGTGATTGAACCGGTGTCATCCAATTGTGACTGTGGTGGGTTATTTCCAAACGACAAGTGATTAATAACATGATCGAAATTGAACTTGTCCCTGTACTTTTGATACAATGACAAATCATGAACGTGGCGCCCGTCTTTAGTCATTGATGCACCGGGTGCGAAATCCAAAGTCCCAGCAACACGATTGATCTTTGTCGTTCCACTAACTCGACAACCTTCATTGTCACTAATACGCTGCTTCAAACGCTGCACATATCCTTCTTGTTCACATTGAGCAATATTTTCTCCATCGAAAAATTGCCAATTGGCTTCAGCATAAGCACGGCGTACAGCAGCACACGTATTACAACAAAACTGCTTCTTGTCTTGGGGCACAGCTCCATAACATGACCCACATTCTCCCTCAGTTTGTCCCTCAGGCAAGCCTGGTGCAATTTGTTCTAAAGGTACTTCGCGTTGCAATGCCAATTGGTCATCCTTAATCTCCACCGGTTTCGAAGAATGGCCCTGTTTGATGATCCTATGCTTTTCCAATTGCGAGTTTATAATATCCAATTTCAAATCGCCCGATTCATCAAACAAATCAATGGAGACTAAATCACAAGGTAGGTTCAAAAACGATATGTCCAAGTTTATATCCAACTGTTTGTTTATATCACGATCGACAACAAGTTCGGGTCTAGCGATAACGGTAGTGTAGTCAATGTACTCATTGCGAATCAAGAATAGTGCCACAAGAATACAGATTAGAGTGATGATACCACCGGAAGTAGTCTTGATTCTGGCATCTTCGACTGTCTTGGCAAATGCATCCAACGAAATCAACTTGGGTCGTTGAGACGACATGAGAGTATGAATAAGTGAGTGAGTGAGTAAGTGGGTGAGTAAAAGGAGTGACAAATAAGTACAGCTCGATCTCTCTCTGGGGTAGATGTACACGTTACGTGGTTCAATCTTTCAATTTCTATTTCAATTTCAATTTCAATTTTTTTTTTTTCTTTCAGAGAGACGGAACGAGCCAACGCTTAGACACGGATCAGTACAGTACAGCATTTCCCAGACAGACACCAATTTACCCAATTCTATAACTCACAATGACCGACAATGCCCATCTCATACATAACCGGGCCTATTTCAAACAACTAACTCCACAAGTGCTCCGAGACAAACCTCTAGCAGGGCACACATCAACCTCCTCCGAAGTAATCACCATCTCCATAAACAACTGCGGCACCCGTCTCGTGACCTCACGCACCGACAAATCGTTGCGCATATGGAAATGTCTTCCTGACCGCATTGTAGATCCGATAGTTGTTGAGGATGCCCACTCGAAAGCGGTTGAAAGCATATCGTGGGATCCCAATAGTGAATATACTTTTGCAACAGTGGGAAGAGATGAATACGTAAAGATATGGCGTGGTGCGACTGGTACGTTGGAGAATGTGATCAAGACTCCGTTGGATTATCTAAAGTTGGTTCGGTACTCGGTAGATGGCGAATTAATGATTGTTGTTGATCGAAGTGCAAATGTGTTGTGTTTTGCTGTTAATCAGAATTATAAGGTTGTTTACGAGTTTAAAGTGCTGGATCATGTTTATGATTTACAGTGGTTCAATTACGGTCATGCATTTTTTGTGATGGCAATGCACGATGGGTCGTTGCCGATATATAAAGTAGCTGACAGTGTCGTTGATAATAATGGTAATGGTGGAGCTCAAAGCAGTGCGCGGGTTGAAATTGAGCTAAAAACAACATTGAGAGGACATCGTTCATCTGCGACATCAATATCCATCTCCCCCAAAGGTGGCCATTTTGCAGTGGGAGCCAGTGAAGGAGTCGTTAGTCTATGGAGCACCGGCTCAATGGTCAACAATGGAGTCATAACCAGTATAGATGAAGTTGTATCATCGTTGGAAATAAGTTCGGATGAAGCATACGTAGCTGTCTCGTTTGATAAGGATTCAAACTCGACCATCTATGACATGACCAGTGGCGAACTAGTGTTTGAAATGCCCAATAGTGCTAGTGGTAGTATGACTTTTAGCTCAGTTTGCTGGTTTCCCAACAAGTCTATACTTGCATACAGTTCTGACTTCGGTACTACGGTAACCTGGCTCAAAAAGGATCGTGCAAGGAAAGATAGAGAGGAAAGAGCAAGTAGTGTGTTGGGATTGGCAAATGGGCCAAGAAGAAAATAAGCATGCATACTTTGCTATACATTTTTTTTACATAGATAGTCTGATGCTCTAAATATATTAGACAGATTACCAAATTTAGGAAAACTCCTCTGCTATTCATGGTAATCTCTTTCATACACGCTCAGCAGTCCAAATAGCACCTCTACAAATCAACTTAATCCCCTCAGTCAACAAAATATAAGGCACCGCCTTCTTAGCATCGTGTTCAACAGCAGTATCCAAATGCTCCAACTCATCATCCCTAAATTGACTAATCTGATTCTTCAAACTCTGCAACTCCTCACTAACTTGTGAAACTTTACCCACATCCAGCTTATCAACAACTTCCCCCGTCTCCTTATCTTGCAACTTCACACCGTACTGATTCGTCAACACCCGTAATTGTTGATTATAATGACCACCAATCACAGTCTCCACAGCAACCGTACACGCCATAGCCGCTTCTTTGCTAATCAAAGCCGTGCCCATACCGATCCCCAACGCGCCCAATTTCCAAAGCGGTGTCAAGAGCGAAGGACGCACACGACGCTCACTTTGCAACTTGTTGAATGTATCGTGGTGGTGTATTTCCTGGTCCCACATGTGTTGCAAAACTGGCTTCAAATGCGGGTATTTGTTGGCGAGAATGAGGTATTGGCCCTTGTAGATGTAATTGGCACCTAGCTCGCCGGCTTGGTCTACTCTGATGACACGGTCGAGGTATGCTTGTTGTGCCGGGGAAAGCGGGCCGTATTTTATATCATTTTTGGTGTAGGTCTTTTTCTGGGGCTTGTTGTTGGGAGATGGAGTTGGTTGTTGTTGTTGTTGTTGTTGTTGTTGTTGTTGGTTGAGGAGGGTGGTGGTAGTAGATAGGTGTCTTATACTGGCGGATTGAGCACCACGTTTGGCAAGCATTGTTGGATATTCGTCTCGAAGCAAAAGTAACAGGTGATTTCGTTCCTAAATCAACTCAAGGGTTTTATTTTTTTTTTATTTTTTTCTTTTTCACTCGAGAGAGCAATAGGGATTTGACACAACAGGAAGAGACTTTGTGCAATGGTATATACCAAAGTTGTTGATTTTCTACTCGCTATTTCTAAATGAGCTAATTATTTTGAGCATGGAGATACCAATGTCAAATGGTACTTCCTGAGTATCTCTTGAGTTTGTCACCGGCTTGAATTCATTAGCAGGGATTTTCAAATGTTGGAAAAACTTGTTGGGGACGTCTTTAATCAAGAGCCATTCTACAGGGAAGATTCCTTTCCATCGAGTTTGTTCACACCAAATATCACTTGTTTTGCTGTAGTCGATGCATGATTTCATTTCAGACACTCCACAAAATTTACCCAGGGAATTGACCAGAAAAAAGAGAAAGATCTTGCCATCCAAGTCTGGGTTATTGGTGATTTGCAAATCGTGATAGGCTTTGTCCAACCTCTTGTTGCCTAGCTCGGTTGATGTCCAGATCTTATGGTCAAACGATGCGTTAACGTCAAGTACGTTGTATGATTTGATGACAAAAAACCTTGATTTTGGAGGAACTGTGAATATTGAGCCACTGTACGATCTGAAAGTTAAGTATTGGTGTTGAGGGTATGTAGCTGGGGCAGCAGTGGTGGTGTTTGTAGCAATTGGTGTTCCGTCAAGTTGAATAGTAATAGGTGCAACTGCGGATGGATTGAGTTGATGCTGATGGACAGCTTCCACACTAGGTTTTAGCTGCTGGTGTGGGGTCTCCTTATTCATTGAAGCATATTTGTAGTACTTTTGAGTAAACAAGTCAATTTGTAGTTGTTTCTGGGACTGTTTTGCTTGTAGCTCTTGCTTCTCTTGTTGCTCTTGTAACTCTTGAAGCAGAAAGTGTAGTTGTCTCGGTGATTCATTCTGGTTCTGTTCCGGTGGTAAATTCAAACCACTACTAGCAGCATTACTCTGCCCGTCTAGACCACTTGACGAATGTCGGCTAGCCCAGATGTTCGGTTTCAAAATAATAGGTGCATTGCCAATGACAGCTTCAATTGATTGAGTCGACACAACAGATCTCGGTATGTTGTGCAAGTTGGGTAACTGGTGGTTCAATTGTTCGAAATTGGGGTTTTGAGGATAGTACTTTGAAAAGTTTGCCGAGGTATACTCTGGAGGTGTATGCATGCAAAATTCCTTCATTGAAGGGATAAAATAGTCTAGATTGTCATTTCCGTCGTCATCTTTGGCGGAGTCGACATCAAATTCGACTGGAGCAGTATTAATTGTAGTGGCTGTTGCAAAAAGGGTGCTGTCGATGTCGCTGTTTGTGATGGTGGTGGTATTGTAAAGGTGACTTTCATTCATTGGAGCATCGTTACTGCCAAAATAGCTTTCAGTTTCTGGATGGAAGTGAGTAGTTGACGTGAAGGACATGGGGACGGTGTTGGGACAGTCTTGAGTTGAAGGTGGTGGTCAAAAAGTGGGCACTTCGGGTACTTTTATACACACTCACACTCGCACTCATATACACATACACATACACATACACATTCAGACTTTGTGTCCCCAAGTGTGTCTTTTGCTGTATAAACTACTCTCAATCAAACGTACGGTTTAGGGGGGGGGGGGGTGTGGAGTGTCACTTTTGCCAAGAATGTGGTTAAAAGGGGAGTAAGCTTGGTAATATCAACACTTTCTCTGTATGCTTGGGATTGTTACTCAATTTGAGGGTGTCTTTTTGGTGTATAAAAAGTGTGGCAACCACTTTTGTGGATAGTCTGGTGGTGGTGGACGGGTGGTGATGGACGGGTGGTGATGGTGTTGTCTAAATTTGGTTGCAAAGTGTAGATAAAAAAAATAAAGTATACTGTCCCTCTCTTCACTTTGCATAGTGATTTTTGTGTTTATTTTAGTCAACATCAACAACCCTACAACAATTTTTTTTTGAAAAAGAGGGGAAAATGATTGTTGCAGGATTGGATATTTGGCTGGATAAAGTGGTTGAAAACGCAACAGACACATACACACACACATTCAAGAGATACCACTCGAAGTAAAAGAGCAGAGCTGTTTACTTGTATACTATAGTGTGAGGTATTCATATAGAATGGCATATGCTATGTGACATTGTGCTTGCAATGTGTTTACGTTCATGGATGCTTGTACTTGACAGAATCTAAGGTTTCGGGTGTTGTTGAAGTATTTGTGTTTTTTTTAAGGTGTAAGTGTATGTGTTGTGTTGTTGTTGATGTTGTTGTTGTTGAATGTTTACTTGTTACTCGTCACATTGTTGGTATGTGTGATGGTGGATGTTATTGAGGAAATTGGTGTACCTATTAACTTTATTTGCCCGTACAAAAAATGTGCAAAGCTATCCAAGATTCTACGGGCACCGATACAAGACAAGGACACTTAGAACATCGCTTTATATACTATTCACTGCAAAACAGGATCTGAGGACATACAACTCGCACAAAGTAAATATGCACATTTCTACACATACTAGGAACCACAGCACGTGCTATTCTTTGCCGTAGATGATACTCGTTTTCTACTGTGGCCTTGAACAATCCAAATACTCAAAGCTTGCTGCATTCTCTGTGACGACACCAATGTTTATGTATTCTGTTAGGGGAGTTGTTGTTGCAAAATATACACCAAACACCAATGTCTCACTTTTCTATTTTGCGACACTTGATATTTTTTCAGTCACTCCTTTTCTGCATCCGTCAACAATCAAACAACCAACAAATCTTTTTCCCATACTGTACAACAGGAAACCAATTTTATTTCAGTAGAGTGTGAGTATCAAAACACATCAAAGAACACAAATAAACGAGCTTATACTCTCCCACAAAGGACATATTGGAACATTTACCTGGTGTTTTCAAAAATGTCTGAGTCTAATGAAATGCAAGTGGATCAACCACTGGCTCAACAACAACAACAGCAGCAGCAGCAGCAGCAACAGCAGCAGCAACAGCACCACCACCACCATCATCATCACCATTCACACCACCACTCTCAGAAAGATCAAAACGCAAACACTGCCAACTACATTGGCAAATACCAAGTACTTAAAACTCTAGGCGAAGGCTCCTTTGGTAAAGTCAAATTGGCCCAACACACAGTCACAGGTCAGAAAGTAGCCTTGAAAATCATCAACCGTAAAACATTGGCCAAGTCAGATATGCAAGGACGAATGGAACGAGAAATTTCGTATTTACGTTTATTAAGACACCCCCACATTATCAAACTTTACGACGTTATCAAATCAAAAGATGACATTATCATGGTTATTGAGTTTGCCGGTAAGGAGTTGTTTGATTATATCGTCCAGCGCGGTAAGATGCCTGAGGATGAAGCTAGACGGTTTTTCCAACAAATTATTGCTGCTGTTGAATATTGTCATCGTCACAAGATTGTTCATCGTGACTTGAAGCCGGAGAATTTGTTGTTGGATGATCAAATGAATGTTAAGATTGCCGATTTTGGATTGAGTAATATAATGACTGATGGAAATTTTCTCAAGACTAGTTGTGGTTCACCAAATTATGCGGCCCCGGAGGTTATATCAGGTAAATTGTATGCTGGGCCTGAAGTTGATGTTTGGTCAGCTGGGGTTATTTTGTACGTGATGTTGTGTGGTAGGCTACCATTTGATGACGAGTTTATTCCTGCATTGTTCAAAAAGATTAGTAATGGTGTTTATACCTTGCCTAGTTACTTGAGCCCTGGAGCAAAACATCTTTTGACAAGAATGTTGGTGGTTAATCCTTTGAACAGAATTACTATTCATGAAATTATGGAGGATGAATGGTTTAAACAAGGAATGGCTGATTATTTGTTACCACCAGATTTGTCGAAAAGCAAACACAAGAAGATTGATATTGACGAAGATGTGATTAGAGCTTTGAATGTGACCATGGGGTACGATCGTGATGAAATTGTGAATGTTATTGAAAAGAGCAATAGACATTCATCACCTCAACTGCAAAAGAATGAAATCTTGGATGCTTACTTATTAATGAAGGAGAATCGTACATTGGTTAAAGATTTACGGAAATCGAAACTGGACAACGTTGATAGTTTCTTGTCATCTTCACCACCTCCAACACCAGGTTTGAGTGGGTATAATAATGCGCAGGCTACTTCAGCAGGGACGTCTGCAGGTAGTAATACTAGTGGTAGTGCTGGTACCGACGGAGCTGGCGTTGGAGCTGGCGCTGTCACTTACCCCTCGCATCCAGCTACTAGTTCAGCACCAGGAGTTCAACAATCATTAACCTATCAAACATTGGCTAGTGTGCCCGATTTATCACAACTTCCCAACTCAACAATTGCCATTTTACCAACAAGTTTACCTTCGATCCACCGAGCATTCATGACTGAACGCCAAGCTAACCAGCAACTGTATCAGCCAACTCCCACAAAGAAGTCCAAAACGAGGTGGCATTTTGGTATAAGATCAAGGTCATATCCGTTGGATGTGATGGGGGAAATATATCGAGCATTGCAGAACTTGGGTGCCGAATGGGCCAAACCTACCGAGGAGGAGTTGTGGACGATACGTGTTCGATGGAAGTACGATGTGGCTGCTAGCTCCTCCTCCTCCTCCTCCTCCACCACCACCACCACCACCACTGGTGACAATAATGTTAAAACGCCTAATTTGATGAAGATGCAAATACAATTGTTTCAATTGGAGCCTAATAATTATTTAGTAGATTTCAAGTTTGATGGATGGGAGTTGGCAGAAGAAGAATCGGGACATGGAGAAGACTCGGCCAATGCTTCTGCTGCTACTAGTGTCAAGGATCCTCATAGACATCAAGATTTGGATGAAGTTGGAAGTTTTTCGGCGTATCCATTCTTGCATTTGGCGACTAGATTGATTATGGAGTTGGCAGTCAATAGTCAAAGTGCGTAAAGTTGGTTAATGTAACTCTACTAGTAATTTGTAATTAGTGAGAAAAATGAAGATTTTGCTTTCACCATTGGCACATGCGTCACTGAGTCGAGGATAGAATTTCGAAGGGTATAAGTAATCTAATATCGTACTCCACCCTAATTTCTTATATCGAAACCCAGACAACCTCAATGCCTCTCTATATGCAGCTCTATTAAAACCACCACCAGTACCATTTTGCTCCTGCCTTCTGCCCTCCTCGTAAACAAGTACACTGTCACCTCTGCTCTCATCAGTTATACCAGCATCTACATCCCGATGTGGACCGAAATCAACCACATTGATCAATCTTTGAATAATAACATGTTTAATACATTCGGACAAATTGGTAATCATTCATGCCTAGGTGAGCAACTTACAGTGTGCGCTTCTTTCGCTTGGAGTAATCTTCATTAATGTCTCGTTGCCTTTGGATTTGATGCCGTAGTCGTGGGTGGTGGTCTTGCTGTAGCACCTGCTCAATTCTGTCATTATTGTCAGCGAGTCATTTAGATTTTCAAATAGAACTAGGTTGGTTGAGATATATAGTATGTCTCTGCAGCCAAGTAATGGACTTTCCATGATTACATGTCGTTGTTTCTTATTGTGGTGATTGAATTTATGCTCCAAGCATTGCGTTTTCTATATGACCAATACGAAAGGGTCTTCAATTCATAAACTATTCATGTTACGTGAATGTGTCACTTTAAGTTTGTTTTTTTTTGTGTCTTTGGAATTTTGCGCATCTCTATAATTCTCAGACGAACAGATGCACGTGACGAGACAAGGACATATGGATTACCCAAATATTCCATTGAACTTGTAATATCATATATTCAAGTTATATCTTGTCGTTTCTTATTCAGATATCATGTTATACCTTTTTGAGAATTTCAATTTTTTTCCTGCAGTATAATTGATGTTGATTCTTGATTTTTCGTAAAAATTTCTGGCGTGGAGAACAAAGTTACACCAATATCTAAGGGTTAACGCTGTTACATTACTTGAGAATATATAGAAAAGACACCAAGCACAAATGTGTATTCTATCAATCATCTACCGTGTACTGTTCTGCACTGAAATGATATTTTTGTGTATTACAGATGTATGTGTGTGTATGTATTTGTATGTATTTGTATGTATTTGTATTAGGTGTATGTGTTGTTATGATTTGTTCCCAATTGGGTTAAATTCTCAGGTGTATCTTATATGCAGGTATTTGTTTCTATGCAAGTAATTTTCTTTTGTTGTTGTTGTTGTTGTTGTTGTTTTTCTTGCGTAACCGAGGGAAGCAGCATATCCATCAATCTACTTAAGACAGAGAAGAAGGAGAAGAGAAAACCATTCACCAAAGAGCAAAGATATAGACCACATCATTTCCCATCGTACAAAAGATAGTTTACTTTAAAAGAGATCAAGTCCATCTTATCTCATTAGCCACTGACATTACTTGAGAAAAAAAAAAAGACAAAAAAAGAAAAACACACAGTTCTCCGCCCATATCTATTTCTCAAGTTAGGCAGGTTCCAAAATTAGGCAGGTTTCAATTTTTTTTTTTTTTTTTTTTTTTTTTTTAGCAACTCAATTCCAACATTGGATGAGAAGTTACACACATACCACAACATTCAAAATCCCTCCGTTCCTTTTCACTTTGCTTTAGCTAGACACTATACTTGTCGCTACTCAGAGAAGCCCTTCCTTATTTGTTACTCCCTCAAAAACTCCCAACACACAGCAACACCAGCCAGACCTTCAAACTTCAATACCTTCCATCAACGATGCATACCATAAATCTTGACAATTATAGTAGTGGAATATCTGCCGACACTTCAATAAAGCTCAACGAAGCTATTCGCTACATTTCCAAATCCAAAAAGGCCACCGTCATCACAGGAGCAGGAATTCTGTGTAATGCAGGCATACCCGATTTCCGATCAGAAAATGGGTTATACAACATGATTAAACATAAATACCCCAAGCAAGTTGTACGAGGACAAGATCTTTTCGATATCAACTTATTCCGCGATGAAACTTCGTTGGAGATTTTTTGTACATTTATGGAACGATTGTATCATTATAGCTTACTAGCTAAACCTACTGAATCTCACAAGTTTATAAAACATCTAAAAGATAAGGGGAAGTTGTTGCGTTGTTATACGCAGAATATCGATTCTTTGGAACAAAATGTGGATTTGAACTTGGGAATCAATCAACAGGATTATGAAAACGGAGTAAATGCCAGTGTCTCCAGTAGTGGTACCGGTGGTGCTGGTGGAGGAGGAGGAGGAAAGTTTCGTCAATTTTGGAACAGCTTGGATGTGGTTCAATTGCATGGAAACTTGCATAAACTCTCATGCACCAACTGCTTTGCTGAGTTTGAATGGAACAATGAATACAAGAGTATGTTTAATCAAGGTGTCAATCCCGAATGCACAAACTGTTATTCCAAGTACCAAGAAAGGTTGTATCTGGGAAAACGAATGACTGGGAACATTGGGTTACTAAGACCTGACATTGTTTTGTACGGAGAAAACCATCGCCAACTGGAGATTTTAAGTCAAGGTTTAAACAATGATTTGAAAAGTAAGCCTGATTTATTGATTATCATGGGTACATCTTTGAAAGTTGATGGTGTTAAGAAACTAGTCAAGAGCTTAAGTAAACAGATTCATGAACGTGGGGGTAAAGTTTTGTTTATCAATAAGACCAGTTTGAGCAAAATGTGGCACTCTTATGTTGACTATGAAATTTTGTGTGATTGCGATCAATTTATTCGTATATTAAAGGCAGAGATTCCTGATTTGTTCTTGACTCAAGAACAATTGGACTCGAAAAAGTTAAAGAGTAAAGCACATGAGGTGATACCTTTGCCTAGTGATGCTTACAAATTGTTTGTTAAGCAGGAGCTGGGTTATGATGTTAAAGTGAAGCAGGAGTACAAGGGTGTTCAAGTTAAAGTGGAAGCTGGTTCAGGTGCACTAAGCTTATCGTCGTCTACCTCACCATCATCAATACGAATAAAACAAGAAACCACAAATGATATATTGACTCCACCAGATACCCCAACCAAGAAAAGGAAAAGAGCTGTAAGCACGTCTACAACATCTAAGCCTCCACAGCAAAAGAAGATACCGTCTTTAAAACGAGAGCCAAAAGTTAAACTTGAAAAGAGTGAGAGCGAAAATGAAGGAGGAAAGAGAATGAAAGGAGCAAAGCTTGCAACGCTTGCAACGCTTGCAAAAGCAAGTGGATCGCATACATCCTCGTCCTCTTCTTCTTCCGGTGAGTACATGACACCTCCTTCATCTTTTGATGGATCAATACCGTTGAAGTCGTATTCACTGCTGCAATTAAACAAAATACAACAGTAATGTAAAAAAAAAAAAAAAACAAAAAGAAGTGTTCTATAATTATGTATTACTATAAAACAAATTGAACGTACCACATACCTCTTAGACACGCAAAAGTATAATCCTTTCACGCTTTGCACTTGGCTCTGCCAGAGGTGTTCATTGATCTTTTCTGTAGTTGCTGCTAAAAAATGTAGCAAAGAAAAAAAAAAAAATATACATGCAGTTACACTGATCAGTTTGGATGCAACATTAACATCCGCCACCTTTTGAGATATCCACCAACACGCAAAAAAAGCTGTCACCGGCCACTGTCAGTCAGTATAAACTAGAATACCCTGAACTTCACGTGCATAAGCTCCCAAGACGAAGACTTTTCCTATTGGTGGCAAAAAGAGCAACGAGAAAAAGAAGGGGAAGGCCAAGGAAATTGCTCCTGATTTGCTATCGGAATTAAACACAACTAGATCAAAGAGCGACACAGATCGATTGACACCACAAAGAGGTTACTCTACTCGACTTCAATTTCCATCTCGCGTTGCACCTCTCAAAGAACTCATTAAAATGGAATCGGTAACGAGCTTGCTAGGGAATATCCTATCACTAGATGACGAAACTAAAGCTAGCAACAGCAACAGCAATGGCCACGCAAGACTGAACGTGTCACAATCGACTCCAGGTACTTCGCCACTGACCCCGCATCGAAAACGTCGGTCATTGGATTTGGATTTCAGTTCATTTTGGAAACAAGACAAAGAGGGTAGCGATGACGGCGATAGTCTAACAACATCGAAAGCTAAAGCCAACGCTACATCATCCACGACAGGCACCAATGCAACTAGCTCCTCTGGTACTGGGGGTGCTACGACATCAGATACTTCTCGAGCAACAACGACTACATCTGCCGCTGGTGCTGCTGCGAGCACGGCTTCGGCAGCTGCCGCAAGCACTGCCAATGTTTCTTCCGCCACCAGTCAGAATTACTACGCTGACAAGTTGATGGAGAAAGCCATCTCCATGATCATCCCCAATGAAATCTACGATGATCAAACCAACAAGATGTTGCAGGATCGTCAAATGATGGCGAAATTGCGACCACCATTGAGTTTTGCACTAATGCAGAAAAACTCAAACAATTTACATCAACGTAATTCCGACATTTACATCTTCTTTAATCATGTGTTGAAATACGTCAATTGGATGGATCCGTATTATACTATTGGAATCACCTTGATCATAACCCACATGATTTTGAAACCAGTTTTGTTTTTGTGTTTGCCTTGGTTCTTGGTAGTTGTGAATACGCTAATCCCCCATTACTTGATGATTTACCCACAGGATCCTACTTTCAATAACGAGTATTTGGAGCAGAACCCCAAGCCACTGGATCAAGCTTTGGAGTTGGCCAAAGTGCCCAAACCAGTTGGTCTTTTCAGCAAGGAGTTTTTCATGAATTTAACCGATACGCAGAATTTCATGACTTTACAGAGTCGTGTGTTTGATTTCCAAACTTGGTTGTTTGCCGATTACTTGTATTTTAAAGATGAACAAATTAGCTCGGTTATTGTGTTGGGGTGTTTGGTGGTGATTGGTGCCCATTTACTTTGGTTTCATCTGATTGTAATGTTTGTGATGAATCATATTTGGGTGGTGAAGATATTGTGGGTTATTATGCTTTGGGTATTTATTATACTAATGCATCCCAATCAACGGTGTAAGATATTGTCTTGGATATATGAAGAAGACACTCGATTGGATATCCAGAATAGAGTTAATAAGATTGAAGATACCTTGACTTCGGTCTTGGTTGATGAGAATTTGCAACTGGATTTGCAGCGCAATAATAATCAAGCTACAAACTATGCGGTGGCGAAACTAGTTGAAGTTTATGAGTTGCAGAAATTGAATCAAGAGACCAAGATTTGGGAGTTGGTGGGGTTCACTCGTGAGTGTTATTCGATAAATGATGGGGTACGGAAATATAATCACAAGATCAAACTACTCAATCAAGAAATTGCTCGTGCTCAGTACAAGTCAAGTGTGATTGGTGGCAGTGCAATTTTGGATGATTTGGAAAATCACAATGATCTCAACTCACACCCACATACCAGCAACGCTATTAATGTTGCGTCGACAATTACTGAAACTGGGACGCCTCCTGCTGCAATGGGCGCTGAGGGAGAGGTTACTGGGGGTATTGGACATGAACACGACTACATCCAAGCAATAACTTCCAAAAGTGAATCAATCTCGCAAGTCAAGCCTCCGCAGGGCTACAAATATGTCCCGCTGAGCAAATGGACCATTGATTATGACGTTGCAAGTTGGGTGCAGTCGAATTTCATTCAAGATTTGGTCATTGTTGATGATGATGAGAAATGGGCGTATGACGTAACGATACAAAACATAACTATTAGGAAAGCTGCTGCCACCAATTTGGAAGATGATGGGAATACAACTAGCGGGAAATGGCATGACAAGAATGGAAAGGATGACAACGATGATGATGATGATAACGATAATGATAATGATGATGATGATGATAAAGGTGTTGTTCAGGGAAATGGAGTTCAGCAACAGCATGAAGGTGAAGTTGATGTATTGGGTGATTTAGATGATGGCGAGATTTATAGACGAAGAAGATGGTTACGGTATGTGGTGCGTGAAACTTATAAAGATATCGACCGTCCACCGGTTCAACAATCACATCTAGCTTCATGGGTGACATAAAAGAACGAAAAATGAGGGAGAAATTTGATAGAGTGGTGCGGTGATATGGATTGAGACATGATGCTAGGTTTGTATGTATAAAATTTGAGAATGTGTATACTTGCGTTAGCTACTGAATAAAGATCAGATGAGTACTTTACTTGAGGAAATCTGACAAGTTTAAAGAATCTAATTTAGACGATGATGAAGCCGCCGAAGAAGAAGAAGAGGACAACAATGACTGGTCAGTTTTGCGTTGTTTCAAACTGGATAGTAAAGTCAACTCTGCTTTCCTCTTTTTAGCCCGTTGTTTAGCTGATTTGTTCTTGGCGTTGACGTTGATGGGTTGTTGTGTCAGTGGCTGCTGCTGCTGTTGCTGTTGCTGTTGCTGCTGCTGCTCTGTTGGTGGTTGTGCAGACGGGGAAGTGAATGCAGTATGGAAACTTGAATCTGAGGTTGATGGGGGAGATATCTCCAGTTGCAAATTTGTGGCTGTTGTAGATGTTTGCACCGGTTGTGGAGTGGCTGCGGCTGCGGCTGCGGTATTGAGCGATGAAGGTTTTGGCGTCTTTGCTATTTCATGAGTAGCAGTAGCGCGTCTTTGCTGTTGTTGCTGTGCATTTTGTTGTTTCTTTTCACTGCCATCAAGCAATGATTCATAGGTCTTGTCACCACAGCTCAAGCATTTAAATCTCAATTTCCTGCTGTAAATGCCACAGTCAGAGGTCCTCGTCGACTCAGGGCCCGTCTCATTCTCTCCGTCATTGGAGGTCCCAATTTCAGTCTTCTTTTTTCTCTTTTTCCTATTGGATTTGTTATTTCCATATTTGATCCGTATAGACACGTTAAGACCAGGAATGAAAAGCACACCACAAGCATGACATATTTTATGACTAAGTAATTGCGATGAAGATGGCGGTGGAGGGTGAGGGTGAGGGTGAGGGTGAGGAGTTCCAGCTGAAGTGGTTTTACTTGCACTATTAGTAGCAGCAAATCTATTCACATTATTGATTCTATCAAATTGTAGTGAGTATATCCTATTCAATGGTGTTGTAGATGTTGCGTGGATCAAATTGTATAAATGTCGAGACCGTAATTGATCAGCATCAAGATTGGCCGTTTGCGAGTTTTGTTTTGATTTGTTGCTCTTTGAAACAGACGAGAATGATGTAGGTGGCGGTGATGCAGTAGAAAATGCCATATTGGGCTGCTATTGTGTCTGTGTGGTTGACGGGATGAAGTAGTAATTTCGTAGATGGATCTTTTTGGTTGAAGGTTTTGTCAGTGTCGCAAAATGGCACTGTGTATTTTCTATTGTTGCGACAATCACATTCCCCGTGAAACTCTCTTACAGGTCACACCTACTTGCGTGAAAAAGTCATACGTAAAATAGGATAAAGACAAGCGCCTCAAACACACCTTTTGTACCCCTACCAACAGTGTTTTGTAAGTCTTATTTATATTTTCTTTCAATTTTTATTTTTTTTTTTTTTTAATTTTTATTTTTGGCTATGAAATTGTTGCAAAAATTACGATAAAGTTATTGGGTGACTATGTCTAAACATAAGATTCCAATATATTCGGTTGAACCTAAGCCAGTACTTGAAAGTCATCACGATTTCAAAGAATTTCTCCACAATATTTTTGTCTCAGCTTTGACTACTAGGGCCCTTTTCAAAGAAAGCTTTCTCTCAGCTCGATCCCATACATGACAAATTTGATCCATTTGATTGGACAAGTGGATACACATCACACAAGTGAAGTTTGATTCTTCTTTTGTCCTTTGTGGTTCAGGAGACTATACTGTGTATATCGCAAGACACAAAATGTGGTGATAACTTTTGACTAAAATGGATTCAGTTATTGGATGGTGGCCAAAAGATGACACAAAAAAACGCCAAAGTATGGAAACACAATTTGATAGGTCAAAAGATAGCTATGTATAACCACTACACACATCATACCTATTGTCACAAATGCCTCAAGCTCAAACTAAAGTGAGGAACTATACCTCATAAGAGACACTGTGGTATTTTTATTGCCCTCATAATGTATGGGTGCAAAACTTTACATCAACCAATAAGAAATAGATCAAACCTTTGCTCAACCTATTTTTACTTTTTGTTACAGTGGCGGTATCGCTTTTTTCTTTAAACTGAGATACGGCAGAGTGACTCTCTACATAGAGTTGTAAACACGTTAGTTGCTGCACCATTTTACCTCCTCTCCTTCAACCACACAACCACATTGTTACCTGGATTGTCTTGAAGCTGCCTTTATACATGGAGACATATATGTGTTGTACTTTTATATTGAAAAGAGAGCTCATTTGACGGCTGGCAGTGTTTATTATCCTGCAGCTTTGTAATGTTGTTGAGTTGTGCAATTGAATGCAGTGAATAGAGTGTTGCAGTGGAAGGGTATGCGATGTTCGGAATTTGAAACTCAAGAAATCTTCTTTTGTGTCACCACGCACATTTCATTGATCAGCCCATCAACCAATCACATCTCACGCAACTTTGCTTACCACTTCATCTTGCCATACGGTATCTACAAAGTGCTACAAAAGCCTATTCCCCCAATTGTAGGAGTTATAAAGTAAGCTTTGTGCAAACGAGAGTGTCGAATACATATAATGGACTAGAAAAGAAGCACCACGACGTTCAAATACTGAGTCATAGAAAGGACCCAACCTATTTGTCATATCTTCATTCCAAACAAGAACAACCAATACTCCGCTACAAAAAGGGTAACAATCTGAAACAGATACAGAAGAAGATAAACAACACGCAATATTTACTCCAGAGCAACCACTGAAACAAAATTACCAAGCCATCACCATCATGATCATGTCATTACAATCGCAAAATCGTCTTAAACTTATAATACCAAAATCAATCTCAAAGTCCGAAAGGATTCTCAAAACGTGTTCTCGATGTCGACAGCACAAGATCAAATGCGATGCTTTTGAGACTAACCCCAATCCATGTACTCGTTGTCTCAAGAATAATGTCAATTGTAAATTGGAAATTCTTCACAAGCCAAATGGTAGGGTCAGGACATTGGATATTGTGGAACGATTGTCATGTGAAGTGAGTGATTTGAAGGTCCTCATGACTGATTTGATACAACGAAGGAATGACCTTGTTGAGTTGTTGATTGAGAGGGGGAGGCAGATTGAAGAGGAGGCATCTTCTCAATGTCAGAAACAGCAGCAGCAACAGCCGCAGCCACAGCCACAGCCACAGGTACAGATGCAAGTGTCTAGTGGCAGACAATCATGTACCCCTCCAGTTTCTGCTATGCAGTCATGTTTAAATACACCTTGCACATCACCACAAGACACAACTGACCCATTTACACAAGCAGAAGAAGAGACGCCACATTCATCTGACACTTCTAAATTTTCATTAAGTGCCAATACCGAAGCCAAGCCAATATCCATCTCACACAAGCAAGCACAGTCATATTTCACAAATTATGAGCGCAACTTCAACAAATACCTACCCATTTTCCCCGACGAGTTTTTCCAATCGGTGAATTTGATTGAATTTCATAAAGAAAATGAATTGACATTTTGGTGCATCATTTTGACATCACACTTGAATCATCATGATCAAGCTAGCAATTATAGAGTGTTGTCCGAACACGTGAAGTCACTAGTGGTTGATAAATGCTGGTTTCATACACCACGCTCAGTGTACATCATTTCATCATTGTTGATATTGACCACATGGCCACTACCTAGTCATCAACGTACGAAAATTGCCGACAATTTGAGCGTCAAGTTCATAAGTTTGATGAAGTCATTATCGTACCAATTTGGACTACACAAATTGGAATTCATTTCTGAATTCAGTCACAAGACCAAAATCAATTTATCTCAGGAAGTTAACTTGAATAATCGAATTAGAGAACGAATTTATAAATTTGTCAATATTAATTCGAATTATTGGTTGATTAATTTAGGACTATCGAATAACAATTGCAATGGGTTCAATCAGGACTATATCTTGAACAAGGCTTCTAATATTGATATTCATGACGCATCAATTATATCTTCATCGAGCGATGATCACTACATTGATTGCTTATTGAAGGTGTCTATGATTCAAGTGAAGTTGAATGAAAATATGAATGCGTTAATTGGTGATTCGTTGGAGTATGGCGATGACCATACAACGATGAAGTTGTTGCCTAATCAAATCAATACAACAAAGTTGATAAATTTCAACATGTTTGAGATAATCATTGATGATTTAAGATCAACATTGGCAAGATTGCAACAGCGACAACAGCGACAACAGCAACAAGAGTACGAGCAGAGCGAATCATACTATACTACGTCGACTAGCACTGACTTGTCAAATTTGATACAAATGTCAACCGCATATACCAAGCTACAGTTGTTTATTTACTCATTATCGAAATCAGATATCACATTACAGGAATATAAGGTGTACGTTAAAAAATTGGTAACTTGTTGTATGGAGATATCCAATTTGATTGAATCACAACAAACCAATTATTTGGAATTACCAATTTACTATAAGCTCCCCATTGAGCTAACCTTGTTGACGCTATTACGTGTTTTCAAGTCACCAGTATTGGACACGGTTGAGGAGTACAAGGTTGTCAAAACATGTTTCAATAAAATTTACACGACTGTGTTTAAATATGAGAACTGGCAATTTATGACTACCAAACTACATCGAATCATTGAGTTGTTTGATCATTTGTCTAGGGAATTTATCGTTCGTCAGGTGATACATGACGAAGAAGCAGATGAAGTCCAACAAAGTAACGCAGGCCAGCCTGCCCCACCTTTTTTGATAACAAAGATGAAAAATTATCTTGTTTCTAGCTTACAATATGAAATGATTTGGTTAATTTATCAGCATGAGCATTCTTCAAAAGAGAACAACATTGTACCTAAACAATGGAGTACCCGACAATGGAATTCAATTGGAGTTTATGACAATCAATTGATAGAGTACTTGAAATTGAAAGAATCAATACTACAAGTATAGGTGTATCCACATGGTTACATTATATAATTAACACAGAAATGAATATAACCATTGAAAAGTAATTTTCTAATCTATGGAGTACTTTCTCTACACACAAGCAAGCTCACTTTTTCACATCCAACCATTGCGATTTCAACCTCTTATTGGCAACGTAAGGTTTGCTAACAATGTAAACCACAAACAAAATGACAATAGTAGCCACCAATTTCAACTTTTCAAATTTAGGATTTAACAAATCGAATGATAAACTGGGTTGCAACAATGAACAATACCGCACTTGATCATTAACAAAGCATACAACAACCGTACTTTCAAAATCAGTAGGTTTAATCAATATCGAAGAAGAAGAAGAAGAAGAAGGATGAGTTGACACGCCGTGGCCACTGCTTGTTACATCCTCATGCTTCTCACTTACCCATAGCTGATACTTGTGGTTTATGGTTTGGAAATTGTTTTTCGCCACAACGGGTTCATATGGCGTCAATCGGAAATCATCTTGATATTCCACCGGCTTCATTTCATGCCGAGGCCGTCTTGAGTTCAATATGAATTTAGGCAATTCAACAAGATTCCCAGACTCGGTACACGCAATGATTGATTTCAAAGTTATGCCATATCTTGATTGTGTTGATGATAAATCAAGGATACGTTCGGGATAGATGAAGGACTCGCTAAAAATTTGACCAATTCTGGCCTTGGCCCCAGCATCACCTTTTGTAGGTTTGGTACGACCAGTGAATAAATCAACCACATTGATGCGTTGTTCTAACCGCGGTTGTTTTGTGAAGAAGGTATACACGATCCAATTATCATCAATGACCAAATTGACGGATTCGGGGTCAACAATTTCCAGTTTATTGTGTGTTTGTTGATACAATAACTCGCCTGAGATTCCGTCAAGTAAATGTAACTTTAATTCATCTTCCAACGTCAATACGGCAATCAAGTTGCGATTAAGGTACTTGTACAAGACAGACTTATCCGACTTGGGGATTCCAATGGCTGATATTTGCGAGTCGAGGTTGTTGATACGCGCTTGGCTCACAATTGGCCCATTGAAGTTGAAAGACCATGTTTGAGTTGAGCTTGATGATCCGGGTGGGATAACGTGTCCGTTAATCTCATTGTTATTGACAGTCTTGGCAAAGTATAATGGTGTTTTGTGGGAGTTTGTGCTGGATAAGGTGAACTTTTGACTATCTTCCAACGCATAGTTTGTATCACCATCGATTGGGATAACATTGACATAGTCGTTTTCGTTTGTAGTTACCTCAAGAATTTCTCCATTGTAAGATGAAAGTCTATAGATTTCAGTAGGAAAGACAACAACAATTTCACCTTGCCCTTCTTTAGCATCAAGCTGCTTCAAAGCGAGAAGGTCGCTTGCACCTCCCAATGGGGCCGATTCCCAAGCAACCTCACCATCGTATGAGTTCAAAGCAATAACCTTGTGCTGACTTGAATCATAAAATACAATCAACTTGTTGAAAACGTCCATCGAAAGATCTTCAGACTCAAACCAATGTTTGTAATCAACAAGGTATCTACCCAATTCACTCAAGTGTCTGATAACACGATGTAACCAATTGGTGAAAACCAATCCATTGTTTGACTCCTTGGCTAGATTGTACACTTCAGATATGATCTTGTCGGACTCTGGCGCATCAATCATAATGTAGATTCCTTTCTCGGCAGAAAATTGTGGCTTGGATGGTTTGATGGATTTGAGTTTTGCTCCATCAAATAAACTAAACACCTCGCCATGGAGATTCTCATCGAGCCCAACGTATCCCAACTGCAGATTGGGTGTAGTTGCTATCAAGTGGTATGGATAGTTTTTATCCATTCTGAATTGAAATTTCTTGATGCTGTTGGGCTCATGAGTATGCAAGAAATCAGTCAAATCGTAAACTTGACGTAACGTTTCGTCACTGGTAATTAGCAAATGTTGCAATGCAGTTGAAAATTCTTCAACTAGCGACGTGGTTTTAATTTTGTAGACTTCTTTTGCCCTTTTTTCGATATTGATCAATTTAACTTCTTGCGCAGATTTCGAATACAAATATCTCGAATCAATAATACCCAAATTACCAAACTCGTCATTATCGATCCGTTTAAAAGACTTGGAACGGTGGTCGAGTTTGAAAATTTGATCGTTTTGTGTAATAACTATACCAGATTTGAATCTTTTAATTGATCCCAATGACACTTCCTTTTCAAATAACTTTTCACCCTTGATGGACAACTTTATCAACAATGTGCTATCAGTAATGACATGAATATTACCATTGTAACAATCAGCAACAAAACTTGCAACATTTGAATGGATGTGATGAGGCAATCCTTGATGGTCAATGTACATCAATTCACGTTCGGTAGTCAAGACAAAAACGCCACCGTAATTGCACTCAAATAGTTGGGCAATGCTGACACTTGTATCAATAAAATTGACTCTTCCATTTGCATCAACTTCGACAATACCCGCCTCATTCGGCTTCCATCCAAGTATCTTGTCATTGGTGAACAAAAGTTCATGATCTTTGGTCACATCCAGATTTAATCTCCATTGTGGTGAATTGCCACCAAATATGTCAACTCCGATCCATTTCTTAGCGGAATTTTGAGCCACTACTATGCCATTGCTCAAAATGTGTAAGTTTTGCACTGGAGTCTGATAAAGATAGTTTATTGATTCTGTTGACGTGAACGCTTTGTCAATTAGAACCGCAAAAACACAATTCGAAAGTAGAAGTATGCTCGCAAGAAACGAAGACCCTGTTATAGACCGCATACCTTGCATAAGTTGTGAAAAGAGTGCAATGGTCAGGAAATGGTTCAATAAACTGTTTTCGTAAAGTAAGTTTTATGTGGTGCTTGATGAATGTTCGTTGGAGCAGAAAAGAAGCGTTACATAGAGAGCACGTGATAAGCACGCGATACACCAAGATACTTTTTTTCTCAGGGTGAAAATTTTATTCCCCATCCAATCCATCCATTCATCTTCTTTGGTCAATAACTCTACTTACCCAACTGCATATACGTCAAATATCAATATACGTATCATTCAACTCCATCTTCTTGACTCATACATTCAATGTAAAAGGTTAATTACAGACCTACAATCATCGCATAAACTTAAGTTGACCGATACGAGGATTTTCTTTTAAGAGACTCACTCATTGGGCAAGTGGCAGTACTACCTGTTCTACCTTGTCTCAAATCCATCGGTTTCAATGTGTCAATATGCGTAAATTGAAGAACCACACGTTCAGCACAACTTATAAACCATGTCTTGCTTCATATTTTATGGGGCGAGTTTATTACTGAATTCTGATTGTAATATTGGGCAATTATGGCAAAGCTATGACTAAACTTGATTATCTAGGTTAACTTTTCCCCGGCGACAAGCCCAGATGATTTCGTTTTGAAGTTCCATGTTGGGTTCATCAGCAAGTGGATTAGTGCTCCCGGTTCAAGTCTATCGTCGTGTTTTTTTGTCTTTTTTTTTTTGGATTAGGAGTACTTGTGGAACAGGGGCAGTTTTTGTCTCAGTACGCTTTACTTTGAAACAGAATCTGATATGTACACGTCGTTGCTCTTGCTATTGCCCATTCCTAATTCTTTGAAAGTGGTGTTTTTTTTTCATTTTTTTTAAATTACACTACTTTTGGTTGAGTTTTGGGTTTATCGGAATCAGAAGAAAGAGAGGGGATCAGTGAACATTTGTTTTACTTTTGGTGATTCATCCTTTCGTGATGATTTGTGTACATTTCAACACATGAACTTCTATAAATACCTCTCTCTCAATCTCTGCCTCTCCAAAGTCGTTTAAGCATTCTCAATTGGGTCCACCCTACTTTGCTGTTTTGATAAGATACAACGCTTCAATAGCATAATTACGCACCGACAAGTTCTTGGTATATTTTTCATCAGCAGCTTCTGTAATACTTTCAACAATCCGCAACTCTTCAATCAAGTCCCACATCATCTTCTCAAACATTTCAACCATTTCTTTCACATCCAGATTGGTTTCAGTTTCCAAAACAGGTATGATTCCCAATTCATGTTTCCCCAACTTGTGTAATATTCTTCCCAAGGTTTGTATACTAATACAACGTTGACCAGGTACTACTGATCGCGATAAATGTACCAACTCACTCAATGTGTAGCCTGCCATGTGAGGATTATCGGAATGATGATGTAGACCGAGGTACGTTGGTATTCCCCTTGAGTCATCCTTCTCTTCATCTATATCAATCTGAACCAAGTTCCCGTTGAAATCAAACCTCATGTCTGATATACTTTCATAGGTGGTGGAAACTTGTTTGGGCATGGGGGTTGTCATCCACGATAATTTCTCGGTTTCCTTGGGTAAATCTGGGAAATACTTTTCATGTAACTTGTCAAAGAACTCAGGGTCATTTAGGTCCAACCCATCTTGACTTGGCGTCGGCTTTGTGAAATGTACCGAAGAATTGCTGCCGTCAGGCGTGTTTTCATCTTCATCCAGATTCAATTGGTACCCTTCAGGAGCAACCGCATCTAAATCTGGCCCGACTTGCACATTGTTGTGGTCACTTCCATCATGGTCACGTTCAATATACTCTATCTTTTCAACTTTATCGTCTGCAAATCGGACCTTACGATTCGAATCTATTCCCATTATCTTGTCCACCTCCTCCTTTTCCAACTGGGACAAGTCTGTTATTCCTTTTGGCGATTTAAAGCCACCAATCCAACCATTATAACCCTCTGCATGTTCATGGTGATCATGATGGTGATCATGATGGCGATCATGGCTGTGGTTAGACATGGGTTTCCTCTCCACATGCTCGCCATCCGTATTCCTATTCTTCCTCCTCAACAAACCCAGCACGATTTTCGGATCTAGTTGGTTCAAAAGTTCTTGTCTCTCTTGCAATATTTCACTTTCTGACATCTTGGCCATTCTTTCACGGTTTTCTTTATCAATCTTTTGCGCTTCAGTAAGTGACTCTGTCACAGGCGTATTTTGAGTTGGTGGCGTTTCCGTACTAGAAGCCACTTCCTTTGCTGGTCCCTTTTGCCTCCATCGCGAAACTTTCTTTACCTTGCGTGGATCAGGGAAGCCACCACCAACATTCACTGGAGCGGGTTCCACGGGTGGTTCGATCTCGTGCTCTATTATTTCTCCAACAAAGTCCATCGTAAGGGGAAGAGTATTTGAATAGAATGAGAGATGACGAAGTTGATTTCTGTGCAATTCTTTTGGATTGCGCGTTTTGTATAACAACAACAACAACAACAACAACTCACAATACACTACACTACACTACTCTACACGGCACTATTATTAAATGCATTCTATATTGAATTACGCTAGACCATTCTTTGCTGCAAAATAACTGGGAATATAACAATCTCTTCTATTTATCTTATCCTCGATCACTTGCAAAAATTCGGGACTAACCTCGCTTGAATAATATTTGAACTCTGCAACCGTTCTTTCCATACCAGACGGGAGATTCTCCAAGTCCAAAATGGCTCTTCTTCGACGTAGTTCAAAAGGGAGCTCAGCGAATGGTAAAAGCAAAACAGCCATGGCCTCTATGAACCGCGCGGTAGTATAGTCCCCTTCATCTCTACCTTGAGTCCGATTTCCATTCAACACAAGGTTGATCCAATTTCTTTTCCATCCCATATTGAAGGGACGCACCGACACATCATACTCAACAACTAGTCTGAGATTGTCCCGCTTCACATTGACATATCGTTTTCCTTCCTCCTTTCTGGGCATTTTTTGCGCTAAGCAATTAAACAGCTTCGACCCACTTGCCCCTTCATTTTCATTTTCATTTTCATTTTCATTTTTATGCGATTTCTGTCGACTCCTCCAGCGCTCATACCTGGCTTTTTGCTTTATAGAAATCTCATCCAAGGTAGTCACATTGCGACAGACGTAACCAACGTGCGCAATGAAAAGCGCACTGATGCAAAGTATCCAAAACCCACTCATAATGTACAATAAGATGAAGTTGTGGTTGATTTCACCTCCCCGGTCTATCGACAGCCTCGTGTACCGACTTATATAAATCAACATTATAATGAAAAATGACATAAACCAAATGCAGAACTTCATGAAATACAAGTAATTCGTTAGACCTATACTACTTCCAATCCATAGGCAAAAATGATCAAATTTCAAAACATTGTAGCCCACGTACTTGGAGTAGAAAGATCTCTCAATCCGTAAAGACTGCAGCTTGGAATCATAAAATGGGAATCCAAACTCATCACAGAAAAACACATCGGGTAACGGCAAAAGATCCTTGTCGCCTACTTGATAAATATCCAAAAGTGGGAACTGAGGAGATCTGCCAGGACCAACATACAATATCAAAGCCCAGTAGATGAAAAGCAAAACTTGACAAAATCCAGATAGGCACCATAGCGTTATTGCGACCCCATGTGAGTGGTGGTTGTAAATTTCTTGATACCCAAGCGAGTAATTCAATGCAAAATTCAAATACCCTAGGCCTACAATGATCCCTAGTGGTACAATGTACATTCGAATCTTTTGTAAAGTGCCAACACGCATCGTCTAGTATATATCCCTCATTGGTATTCGGTAGCAACTTTATTGAGTTGTAGCTAATTTGTAGTTTCTCTTTGCTTTGCAAAAATAAAATAAAAAGGGAAAGAGGCAACGCCAAAAAAAAAAAAAAAGACGTCAAAAATATTTCAAGCGCGAGAACAGAGGAGAGTAAACAAACAACAGCAGTACCGCTCACTAAGGCCTGCTTGAGTATATCAACCACGCGCGATCCACGGGCCAAATGAAGTTTCTACTATTACCACAGGTACTACACGATGGTGAAATACATTGCTTAGCAGTTAGTGACGACAGCACAGTGCTAGTAACTGGTGGAAAAGACAGCACCATCAACTTGTGGAATGTGGCCCAACTACTTGCCATATCAAACATTGAAAACGATTCCGATTCCACACAGGCCCGAGCGAGCATTGAACGTCTTCGTCCACTTCAAAAAATCAAGCTTGAAGAATCGTTTGTGAATAACATCAAGTGGGTGCCAGGGTCTTACAATAAATTCTTGTCAACTAGTTCAACCGGGCATATTTACCGGCATGAAATTGGATTTGATGCCAAAGTATCGAGCAAACGACTTTTCCCATTCCTTGAGGAGCTGGAGTCTGATTTGAAACCAATTGTTGATATATCAATTTCGCGAGATGGGAAATTAGTGGCTTGGAGCACCAATGATGGGAAATTGAACCTTTTCGATCTTCACCGCAACACTTTTCAAGAATTGTTATCACCACCTTCCACACAAGAGAGCTTGGTGATACAGCGGAGTGTTGCTTTCAATGGTGTAACAAATTACCTCGTCAGCATTGGCGATGATACACAAATAAATGTGTTTCAATATGAGTATGACTCTTCTACCAAGTTATACAAGTTTCGATTGATCAACAAAATATCCAAGCTATTCAGTAAGAACCCATTGAGTGTGCGATACAAAAGAGTGTCGTGGTCTCCCGATGGTGCTTTGGTTTCAGTCCCTACTGCAAGCAAGAACCAAACATCGCTTATATCCCTACTTTCAAGTGTCCAGAACTGGAACACGACAGCAAACTTGGTGGGCCATGATTTAAAATGTGAGGTGACAAGATTCAACCTGTATCTTTACTCAGAAACCTCCAGTGGAGAAAGAAATTATTACAATGTACTTGCATCTGGTGGTTCTGATGGAACGATCGCAATTTGGAACACGTCCAAATCTTCGTCCATAATGGTCCTTAAGAATGTTGTTGACGCTCAAATCCACGATCTTGTGTGGACCATCACCAGTAGCGTTTTGTTTTGCACTTCAAAGGGGAACTTGGGTATTCTTCGATTTTTGCCTCATGAGTTGGGCTACGCGTCGCCGACCAGTGAGTTGAACAAATTGAGATCCAGCACTTTAAAAGAAATGAAGCCTATTAATTACAGATATGAGTCTGAACAAGCATCTGGTATCCGAAAATCTTTGCCAGCAATTGAATATATCAATCAAGCGAGTGCAGTTGCTGTAACAGTAGCTGAACATCTTGAGCCAATGAAGAAAGAATTGAAAAAAGCGGATTCAGAGCCACAAAAGCCTACTACCGCTATGGAACGAGCTGAAGTAACTGCCTCTAGGGGTCCAATTAGCCCGCAGGTGATTTCTGCCTCGCCACCTTTGACAAGAGCTGATGCATCCCCTACAAAAACAGCTGTATCACCTAAACCAACGAGCGAACTGGTCACAAATGAAATTAAGTCTAGCTCTGGAATAAAAATTAGTCCAGAGGGGCAAGTACAATCGCCAGAACTTGCACTGCTTTTGCCACCATCGAATTCAGCTCAGAATGCAGCTCAGAATTCAGCTCAGAATGCAGCTCAGAACGCAGCTCAGAATGCAACGCCGCATGCAAAGCCTCACACAACACCGCTCGAGGGGCCGAAACAAGTGCAGGAAACAACACTGCAGCAACCACCAGAGAAAACTACACAGCAGCCAAAACAACCTAGTCTTAGCAAACAAAAAATCACAACAAAGAATGGAAAAAGACGCATTCAACCAATGTTGATCTCCAACAATGGCACCAGCTCAACTAGCAGCTTAAAACCAACTCAAACTCAACAAACCTTGCTTAGCACCGCTAAAAGCGCTATGGAATTTGATCCTCCTTCTTACTCAGTCTCGGAGGAGTTTAGTCGTTCCAAACGATCCCAAGGTGAAGACCACTCACAAGCATCAGTAAATGGTGACGTTGCAAAGCGGGCCAAACGAGAAATGGAGCCAGTGAAATTCATCGGTTCGGTCATTTTGAACCCCAATGTCTCCTTCTCCAAAGTTCGTTTACCAACTCCAAAAATCCGCCTTGGATTTCAGCTAAACTGCAAGAAAGTAGGTGATGAAATCTTCACGTTGGATGTAAGGAACGGATCGGGAAATGAGGCGAAGCCTTCACGAATCACGTATTATAAAAGAGATAAGGAGATCTGGTGTGATTTCGTCCCGAAATTTATTCATTTAGCATGCGAGGGCGACAAGTTTTGGGCAGCTGTCACTGCTGATGGAGAAGTCTTGACGTATCTGCATATCTCCGGTAAACGACTTTTGCCGCCGCTTGTGCTTGGAGCGCCAGTGTCATTTTTGGAAGGTCAGGGTAAGTATTTAATGGTGGTGACTTGTATTGGGGAATTGTACGTTTGGGATATGGAATCGAAAAAAGTTGAATTGAAAACATCAATTGATTCACTTTTGGAACTAGGGTCGAAATTACAAGAGTCAGGGTTGGTCAAGTCGGAGTTTTTAACGTTGTGTGCCATCACGTCGCTGGGTATTCCCCTTGTGACGTGTTCGAATGGGTCAGGATACTTGTACAATAAAAATCTCGGAGTCTGGCAAACCATAACTGAGTCATGGTGGGCATTTGGATCTCATTATTGGGATAGTGTCGATAATGCCAAACCAAACACGCCACAATCTGTCAATATGTTTGGTCAAGAGGGAGGGGGAGACTCGATACTTCAATTATTAGAACAAAAGACAAACGAGGAAATCATTCGCAAGTCTCGATCTGGGAGAGGCAAATTGTACAATAAAATTTCAAAAAATATGATTATGAAGGAAGGATTTGAAAGTTTGGAAAATACAATTTCGCTCAGTCATTTGGAAAATCGGATCTTATGTTGTGAATTGTTGGGCGACGACAAGGATTTTCATCAGTATTTTAGAATGTATGTGCAACGTATTTGTGAATTGGGCCACAGGGCAAAACTATATGAAGTGTGTGATGAATTATATGGACCTGATGACAACGCGGAAGATAATGTGAGTACCTCTGACGTGAACAATTGGCAGCCAAAGATTAGTGGGTTTGAAAAACGCGAGTTGTTGAAAGAAGTAATTGACTTGTGTTCACAATATCGAGACTCACAACGTGTGTTGTATCATTTCAGCAAAAAACTCGGCATGGTTGAACAAGAGTAGAAATGGATGAACACTTTATCAATCTATTTACAAAAGGGAGGTCTATAATTTATATACATTGGAATTGTCCCACTTCTTCTCTCCAAGTAATCCAGTAACTGGCCCTTGCGCTTTGTGTACCAAATCCTTAGCCCCCGACACGTGTTCAACGTATCCATCGGGTCCACAAACAATGGCTAACGCAGCTGGAGTTTTGGGTCTTGATGCGGTGGCGATTGCTTGTTCCAAAGCAGTTTCGTATCGTTCACCACGTTCACTTGATGATTGGACCAACTTTTTCACCTTTTCCAGCTTCATTGAGGCTTCATTCTGCTGCATAACTTGCATTCTCACATTCAATGCTTCTTGAGGAGAGAGGTTTGCTGTGGCTTCGTCCAATTTCTTTGGTGAATAATAGTTTGGTTTAGATGGTGGTTGAATCTCTTTTGATGTCAACATGGTGCTTGGATCGCTATCGTAATGGTAGTGGATACTAACACGATCTAGTTTATTCAAGAAAAGTAAAAATCTCAGCAAAATGCCAATTTCACCTGGTTTTTGAGCCGAGTAATGGATCGTAACATGCCCCAAATATGGGTTTTTGGAAAACAAAACTTGCAAAATAGGAGCAATACCAGTGCCAGCCGCAAAAAAATCTAAATTGTCAACAGCAGGCAAGTCCAGATCTCTCTTGATTGATTCAATCAAGTTATCCGGCTCGACTTTCGATGGCAAGTCTTTGAATATCGGACGTTGATGAATCTTTTTCAATGGATGATAGGGGAACTTGTACTCGATCGTAGGGCCTCTCAACTCCAACTCATCACCAATCTCACGATCGGTAATGTATCGCGATACTTCACCCTGCTTATACCTCTTCACATAAAGACACATTGTGCCATTCTTGTCCAAATCGTCCGCTTCAGGATTCAAGATTCTCAAAAGCGGCTTCTTTTCTCCAGATCTAGTATACTCGGACTTCATGTAGTACATAGGCAATGGTGTGTACGATCTAACAACATTGATATCGGGTTGTTTCACCTCAACCGACCATATACGATCTCCGTCCCATAAACATTTCTTGTCTGGGTTAGTGGCAAAACTATACTCCCACCGGTCGTATTTCGACTTGAGCTCAATCATATAATGGTCATCGTCAATTTGCTCCTTGTGAGTCACAATAAACTTGTGAAATTCATTTGGATCTAGTAATTCATTACTATCTTGTCCTTCTTCTGGGTCATCCCAGTACCAAACTTTGATAGTATACGCAGCCCAAGCCACACCAACCACGGTCAATATCTTGGGGATATATCTCGTCCATCGCGAAATTCGCTTCGGTTTATTGCTGAGGTTATTATACTGATCTTCATTGGGGAGCTCGGGGTACTCAAAAGTGACCCTTTGGTGTTTAAATTTGGGGATATATGGTTTGTTATTCTTTCTCAATAGTTGCTCTACCCCGTTCAGCCCCATTGGAGCTGGCGCTGATTTGGACGTGGTTTGTTTGATTTTGAATTGTTGAATGTGAGTATCATCATCTCTTTTGGAGACAGATTTGTCATTATCACCATTATTCTCCTGCTCTGTGTTGTTCTTTTTAGTTGAGTTGAATCTTAGATGACTTCTACATGGACCTCTTCGTAGTAGAATAGTTTGTATTGAGCGGTTCATCAACATTTTTCACCACCAGTTTGAGCTCCTTTATGTTTGCAGAGTACATCAAACCAGGGAGAAGAAAACAAAACAAAACAAAAATAATGAAATCGAGCATCAAAATTTTCCACTTCATTCTCCTGATTGCAAAATAATAATTTAAAAAAAAAAACAAAAAAAAAAAAAAAGAACAGCCCAAACCACCATCACTAAAGCATCTCCCCAGCAGCTTCCATCTTGCATATCATGCTCCAACTCATCCAGTCAATTCAATCACACACAGACAAAGTATGGAGCATATCAGCTCACCCAACATTACCACTCTTGGCCACTGCGTCAACTGACAAATCAACCAAAGTGTACAAACTATCTATTGCGCAAAAATTCCCCCAGATTGCCAACTTAGAAGACACACACAGGCGATCAGTACGATCGGTTTCGTTTAAGCCTCCCATGGGTGGAGTGGACTACAAGCTGAACGTGTTGGACTTGCCTGCATTGGCCAGTGGTTCATTCGACTCAACGATATCGATATGGGGTATAGATGAGCCCGATGAGAATTATGAAGTTGAGGAGATTGTGGATAATCAAGCTGAGATATTGACGAGTCCTTCCAATGAGTGGAACTTGATGGCGATAATCGAGGGCCATGAGAATGAGATTAAGGCGGTTGATTGGAATTTTAGTGGGAGGTATCTTGCTTCGTGTTCGAGAGACAAGACGGTCTGGATTTGGGAAACTGATCCAGAAACGTTGGAGGAGTTTGAGTGCGTTTCTGTATTGAATGATCACCTGCAAGACGTAAAGAATGTGACTTGGCATCCTACTAGTAATTTGTTGGCCAGTTCATCTTATGATGACACTATAAGAATCTACAAACAAGATTTTGATGACGATGATTGGTCATGTGTTGGGATATTGGATTCACATGAGGGTACTGTGTGGTGTTCCAAATTTGAAAGTCCAAAGAGCCCCCACGCTACAAAAGATAGAATCAGGTTGGTATCAGTGAGCGATGATTTATCAGTCCGCATATGGTACAGTCAAGATGAAACGAGTAATGATGCAAATGGTAGTACTAACGGGACCAATTTGCCCTCTTCAATCAAGCACACCTCCGAAATGGTTTGGGAACAGGAATGCGTGTTGCCCAAAGCCCACACCCTTCCCATATATTCGGTGGCGTGGTCATCAAAGACGGGCAAGATTGTGACTTCTGGCTCAGATGGACAAATTGTGGTTTACAGTGAGATCGCAACTGGCAAGTGGGAGATTGAAAATGTGCACCAATTTGCTCACGGTGTTCATGAGATCAATTGTGTCATTTGGGCAAATTTGGATAATGAAAAAGAGGAGGTTGTAATATCAGCAGGCGACGATGGTTGTGTGAACATATGGAAGGAAAAAGAGTAGAGTTGGTGCAGAACTTACAGAACACGGGCACCAATTTCTCAGTTTATGTATAATTCTAAAATACCAACCCTATTAATATAATGAATCCCAAAACACCCAATAAGATCATCAAACAACAAAATAAAGTACCACTAGACCTCTTTTGATAACGATGAGCACTTCTCAATTCATTTGAAGCTTGCCTTGCATTCGAACTATATGTGAATATATTATTTTCAATACTGTCAACTTGAAATTGCTGTTCATTGATGATTGACGAAAGATTTGAGAAAATATTGTTGATTTCGTGGGTATCTTGTTGAATCTGATGTATTTCTCGTTCTCTTTCTTGAACTAGGAGTGTTTGCTGCTCTAGTTCCTCTGCGTTAACTGGTTCGTAAGTGATTTGTATCTGCTGTTGATGTTGTTGTGGCGGTTGTAGTTGATCGGGACCCTGTGACTGGTTATCTCCTAGCGGTGGTAATTGACTCGATTGCTTACTTTCAAACCTTCGTTGATAGTTTTTGAAATTGTTAAGACTATCCCTAATCAACTTGATTTGAATATTTTCCTTTTGCTTGAGGTAATTGATAATCTCAACGTCCTCACGATCATCTTCAACTGATTTGATGGTATTGTTCAACTGTTTAACGAAATCGTTCAATTTGCGATACGAGTCCGTAGTGGATTTGAAGTTGGCGCTGAGTGTTTCCGCTATGGATGCATTGAGGGGATCTTTTTCATATTGTAGCAAGTCATGCTTGATGCTTGATAATTGAGTGCTATTGATATGATGTAGCTGATTATCAATACTGCTTGAAAGTGATTCAAATTCAGGATAATCTTTGTATTTATGAGAATGATTGGTTGCTATTCTCTCTATATCGTTATCAAAGGGGTCATTGAAGGACATGATGATATGTGGGGTGCTGTTATCTTGAAGTGCTGTCTTCTCGAAGTGCTGTTATCTTGAAGTGCTATCTTCTCGAAGTGCTGTCTTCTCGAAGTGCCGTTTACCTTCTAATCACAGCCGCTTCTGCTAACGGAATTGATGATGACAGGTTAACAATAATCTTTTGGCTCACAGTACACTACTTTTTTCAAACAGCATCAAGCGCATATTACATATATAGATTACTTACGGTGAAATCAGTTGTTACAATCTACTACACTTCAAAGCATGGACTGTAATATCGTGCTCTTGTATCAATTCAGAACGTATGCAGGTAGATAGACTCAACAAAGATCAAAATCCACGGTAATCTTTGCAGTACACCACTGTTTAAAATTGCACTACTTGACGGAACTGTTTAGATATAGAAATACCAAGTCACCCCTCATCTCTCTAAGAGCTGTAGCTATGGTGTACTAGTCAATGCAAGAATGGCTTTTGGTAGTGGCAGAAAGCATAACAAAAAGAAGACCCCATTCTCAACCAAAAGATATTGCACAAACGACAAATGCGATTTTATCACTTTTTTTTTTTTTGCAACCCTTAAAACAAAAGCTGGATACATGGTTAAGTAACTACTACTAACCACCTCAAACTTCAATAATTAACCCACATATCCTGACATCCAAGATCAATGTTTAAGAGGAAGAATAAAGCCAAGAAACCGCAAGATTTAGCCATCCCTGATCCCACCAATACTTCCAGCAAAATTGATCAAATTTCATTGCTTGTTTCACCAGATGATATCCCACTTTTGTACTACTCCATGAAATCGATCGTCACCAAGTTAGAGCCAATGATGGAAGTGGCAGGCGACTTGAAGAATAGAACTGGAAGCATGTATTTTGTGCCCCGCATATCTTCTGTTCTGGTTGACACCACTGGGCTCGAATCCAATTTGATCAAATTTGTCAATGAAGTTGAGAACGACCCGCCAGTTACAGCAGATGATGATGATGATGACGCAGTTGCTGCTCCCAAGAAAAGTTTGGATTTGAGTATTGCTGTAACTTCGACGCTGCATGGTAGGGAAAGCGAAAGAACGACACAAGCGGATCTTGTATCTCAGGACATTGACTTGAATCAACAGTTGCCCTTTCAAAACGCCCACAATGCGGCAGTAAAGTCAATGATGGAGGCAGCTACTTATAACGCAGTGGTTCAAGATGAGGATATGCAGGACGTAATGAAGCTTGGTACCAGTGCAACAACAGTCGAACTCAATGAAAGAGATGCAGCTAGTGCTAAAGAGTGCAAAGGTGAAGAAGAGAGACACATTCGAGAAATTTCAAATCCTGCTTTGGCCAGTTTACTTTGTGAATATGAGTTGGAAACTTATGAATATCAAATGAAAGAAAATATGGCTGATGATTGCACTTCATCGTTTGCTTCAAATGACGGTAATGAGGATACAATCAAACGAGAGAATGAGACTTATCAACGGCCAGTCAATGTTGGCCAGTCGACTGCACCACAAGAAAGAGACGACTATTTAACCACCATTCTTGAAGAGTATTCCCCATTTTACAATTTCCCAACGGATGAAGAGATCAGTGAAGTAGAAAGGACATATTACAACCCATACAGAGTTGTATTTACTGGTCAATTCTAGAGAACAAAAAAAAAAAAGAAAATAGACTCCAATAAGCTCCTTGCATAACCAGGTTATATTACACTGTATCTATATATATCTTGTCTATAAATCCATCCCCAAACATTAAGAAGGGGGGATTGATATTTGAATAGTGTTTCTGTGCATGTGTTTCTTTGCAATCCTAATCTTCTTGTTCGGCGATAAACTTTTCACACTCCAAAGCTGCCATACATCCAGTACCAGCAGAGGTGATAGCTTGTCTATAAATCTTATCCTGCACATCACCAGCAGCAAAAACACCGGGAATTGAAGTTTCAGCAGTGCCTGGTTTAGTTTGAATGTAACCACTTTCATCCATCTTCAATTGGTTTTCAAAAATCTTGGTAGCTGGGATGTGGCCAATCGCGTAAAACAATCCATTAACTTGCAAGTCGGAAGTCTCTTTAGTCTTGTTGTTGTAAATACCCAACGAAGTCAAAACCTTTCCATCTCCCTTAGCTTCCTTGGCTTCGGTGTTCCACAAAATCTCCAACTTGTCGTTATTCATGGCTCTCTTTTGCATGATGGAAGAGGCTCTAAGAACATCTCTCCTCACAAGCAAATACACCTTGGATGCATACTTTGTCAAAAACAATGCTTCTTCACAAGCAGAGTCACCACCACCAACAACCGCCAATGGTTTGTTTCTGAAAATAGGGACAGCACCATCACAAACAGCACAGGCAGAGATACCTTGTTGCCAATAGGTTTCTTCTCCAGGCAAATGCATTCTCTTGGCACTAGCACCAGTGGCAATGACGAGAGCATCAGTGGTGATTGGCTCTCCATCTTCATTAAACTCAGTCCACAATTTAAAAGGTCTTTGAGACAAGTCACACTTGGAAATGGTCTCGGTGATGATTTCAGTACCAAATCTCTCTGATTGCTTCTTCATTCTCTCCATCAATTCGGTACCATTGATACCTTCTGGGAAACCAGGAAAGTTTTCGATATCGGTGGTGGTGGTTAATTGACCGCCAGCAGCAACACCATTAGCTAAGAAACCTTCGTACAAAGTGGTTTTGATCTCTGCTCTGGTCAAGTAGATAGCGGCAGTGTGAGCAGCTGGACCTGATCCAATAATTGTAACTTTGTGATGTACCATTCTCGTAGCAGTAGTTGTGTGTGTGTTGTTGTATATGTTTGATAAAAGTTTAGCAGTAGTTGTTGTAGTGGCTCTAGTAGCAGTAGCTCTATTTATAGTTGACCAAAAAATGTTGGATACTGTTAATATTAGTTGTATAAATAATTACAAATCCCGATGTTGGAAAATCGTATGCTTATATTTATTTTATTTCTTCTCTCTCTCTATTGATTAAATTTCTTTTTTTTTGCTCTTTTCTAATTGGTAGCTCTGAATATTAGGTAAGCTATCACATACTGTATTACATAATCCACAATACTAAGCACGGCGTCTGTTCTAGAACTTAGCAAAGATGTTTTGTATTCAACCTCGGCTTGCTATACTTTATCTATTCCATCTACCATATTTGTATTGTACATATTAGACTAGTCTCATTTCATTGTATTCTTCTTCTTATTTTTCTTAGTATTTGTTTTAACTACAACAGAACTATATTAAACGTAGTGTTTTACCTTTCATCACCACTCTTCTACTTTACCCTACCCTACCCTCCCCCCCTCCTCCCAACACAAACTGCTTTACAATTGTACCCTTTTGCAAAACTGGATTCAACAATACACTACTCAAGAACCACTGCAACCCCTTTCGTCTCTCTTCTAACCAATTGGTACTCATCACCAATCTCTCAAAACTAAAACTATTCTTCGGTGGAGGCTTAGGTATCACAATATCGGTTTGATCCTTATAGCCCTCGATCAAATCGTCATACAACTGTAGTATTTCCAGATATCGCTTGTACAAAACTATAGACGAATAGTCCAAGTCATTGATCGTAATCTTGATCTGCCAAACTACATATTGGTTGGCGGTTGATGTACCCGTCGTGGTTGTGTTGCCTTGTACTAGATGGTGTTCGCCGACTCGTACGTCAGTTATGTGACTTTGATGATTATGTTGGTGCATTTGTAGATCTTCTCCAGAGTTTAGCTCAATTGGCAATGGTAGCACATTGTTTAGCTTAGTCACTGTAGTAAATTTCCTTCGACTCATATTTGTATGTACACGGTGTATAACATATATCGGACTTTTCACTCGGTGGAGATGTCCTTTGTTTGGGTCCCATCCAGTATCATCGATTAAAGCAAACAGTGAAAAAAAAAAAAAAAAATAAAAAAAAAAAACCAAGTTTGGATCATTAAACACTCCAACACATAACCCATTCAATCCACTTCTTTCCCCACCCCCCACTACAAATGGACGTCATAAAACAAAAACACCCAGCCTGGAAACGTCTACTACATAAATGGCAAGCAAGAAGAGACATTCCCTTCCGCCGCAAATTCTTTGTTGGATACGATTTATATGGCAACACATACTGGGAATTCACAATCGACGGCAACTTAACTCGCTTACGCCGCAAATTGGAACCATTCAGAGAGGAAGTGTTCAAAGTCGACTATTTTAAAACTATCCCGCCACAATGGCTTCAGTGGTTGAGGAGAACGCGATTGGATGCTCCGAGCTTGGATGAATTGGTTCTGGACCAAATGCGACAGCAACGATTAAAGATATTGGCGAGACAGGCGGATGAGAAGTGGCAGTTGGAGAAATTGAGATTGGAGGAGGAGAATCAGGTTAAGTTGCAGCAGGAATTACAGAGAGTGGAGTTGGAGAATGCACCAGAGATTAGTAATGTTAAAGGAGAAGGACAGAATGGTGCAAAGGTGCGAGAGTCACAGGTGAATGACAAGATTGACGAAGATCCTTGGAAACAAGCAGATGAAACACGCGGTAAAAATCCTATACAATCTACAACCATCAAGCCACGTTAGATGAATAACACAGACACACAAGTAAATATATATCCTATCATCGGGCTAGGTCTAAACAGACCGTTTTGTATATAAACGCATGCACCATATATTCAATGTTTGTGGTGGTGCTGTAACTCCATAGTTCACGCGATCGTGTGCATCCTTACTCACTCACTCGCTGATTGACGATCCTGAAAGTTTAGCCTCAACCAACTCAACCAATTTATCACTATACTTGCTCAAAAGATCATCTCGGTTACTGCCATTACTTGTCGGAACAATACTATCGTCCAATTTATACCTCAATTCGTTTATCTTATCGAGTAATACAGCCCTTTCGTCTTTTTGCAACTCTGAAACCCGATTCATCAATTCATCGAATTGGTTCATGCATCTCTCCACCAACGACACCGTCAGCATGGACTCATGAACGCCTGCTTTCAAATCGGATGTAGAGGACCTAGATAGACTTGGTATCACTGGCACTTGTGAACCATTTTTGAACTGCGGATCCAGAGTGGCTCTGCTTGGAGATATGGGCCGTTTTGGAGGATGAGCGGTGGTGGTTGGCGACTTCATCAATGGTTGACTCAATTTGGATAATGTTCCATCACCATTATCAATGGGTGGTGAGATTTTGCTATTCCGCGTAGGAGAGCTAGTACGCAAGTTCATGAGCGGCGCCCTGCGTGAAGGGGACGTCGATTTGGACCGCGTTAGCGAAAGCGAACCCGTCACCTTTGGTGAGGCTGTTGGACTGCTGCTGCTGCTGCTGCTGCCGCAAGCATGGGTACCACTGGCACCCATATTCCTGCCATTACGAGATTCAATTCGCTTCAATGTGGCAGCAGTCAACTTTGGTGTGGGTGAAGGTGACGCCACCGTTGTTGTGGTACTTGTGGTTGTTAGCTGCACTCTTGGCTTTGAGCCTGTACCAGTTGCTGCGTGCTCCAATCTATCTAGTAGTTTCTCCTTCTTCGGTGACGACGGTCCAGAAAACGTTGCAGATGACGGTGCCTGTGGTGGAGCCCGTGGTGAAGCCCGTGGTGGAGCCTGCGGTAGAGCCGCTGCGGCTGCTAATTTTGGCACTGTCGGTAAGATTTTTCTCGTTACTTTTGCATATGCCGGAGATGGCAGGCTTGCAACGACAAAACCATCATCTAATGCGCTTTTATTGCCTTCATTGGGCACTGTATTGGCTGTAGTTGCCGATTCAATTATACGCCACGTAAATAAACATCCATCATTACCAATTGTTACAAGCTCCGAAGTAACTTCACCGTCATTATCATCATCGTTGAAGCCGTCCGTACCTTCAACTTGTGTTGTCCCACCCTCTACGAGAAAAACCCCAAGCAATGAGTCCAGATGTCCCCAACTAACACCTCGAGGTTTGCCAGTAGCATAATCAAACACTCGAATAGACTTATCCGAGGCCCAGACAATCAACGCATTCTTAAACTTCTCCATCATTTCCACCTGTACACTTTCATTCAATCTCTCATTGATCAACTTCATTGATCTTTTCAAGTCACAATCGTTTCGCAAATCAAATACAAGCAACTGCTTATCGCTTGTTGACACGACAAGATCGGAATCAAATATTGACATTGTTAACGGTGTGCATTTCAACGTTATGGATTTGGTCTTGACCAACGTCAAGATTGGATCCGTGGTTATAGAGTGGACGGAGATTGTCCTATCAGTTGAGCAAACATATAAATATCCCTCATGGAAAATGGCCTTGAGTAGATTCCCATTGTGCACTGGTATGGTCTGTAGCAAATCCCATTTAGATTCCACTTTCACAAATATTTGAATCATGCGATCTCTCGATATGCTGCATATTAGTTCATGCTCTTGGTGTTCAAAGTAGACAATGTCATTAATTGATGAAGAGTGTGCTTTTATTGACAATAGCACTTTTGTAGAGTCTGACTCTTGATCAACAATATACAATGATCCAGATCTGTATCCCAAGATAAACAAATTCTCCCTTTTATCAACTGCGGTTAAACAGTCGGTAACCACCTCAATGCCCGGTGTGGTAAAAGCTAACGCTTCCACAAGGTCACCCAAGTTTGGGCAAAATTGTTCTATTGTGCCAGTCTTGGAAAAGACAAGGTAGTTTTCATCGTAACTTTTCTTAACTCCACTGGCATGTCGAATGATAGATGCAGCTAAAGGTTTAGTTTCTCCTAAAGTTTTATTCCAAAACTTAATCTCTTCATTTGATGAAAGGTATAGCAAGTAGTCATTTGACAAATTGAATAATCGAACAACTGAAGTAACTGAAGCTTTACCTGGCTCCAATCTAAAGACCCCTGACAATTGCTGCTGTAATTGGTTCGAACCCTTTGAAGGAGACGATGCAGATCTCGCACTTTCAAACTCAACAAGTATTAGGTCTTCAATCTTGATACACTTCAAGTTCGTATCTGTGTCGCCCAACCAAATCACCTCCAGCTCAGGATCAGCAACTATCGAGCTGATACTATAGTCTGGTGTTTGCAAGGGTAGCAATTTCGGTGGATCAAAATTCAACTTAAGCAACAACAACTGATTACCATTGGCAATCACAACCACCTCATCTTCATTAATCAATGACATGTCCATAAAATTTGAATCCATAAAATTACCCAATTGAACATTCCTCCCTTTCAAAACAACCGGTTTATTACCGCCATCATGGTCAAACCTCCACAACTTGATGAAACGTAATCCAACAGTGACAATAACATTTTCATGCCAAATGACCTTATGTATAATATTGGAACATCGATTGCTCGCTTGTAGTTGAACAGAATTGGTCCCCAACTTCCACACATTGATACATCCATCATTAATGACCCCCAAAGAGCATAGATGCTTTGAGTCCGGGGAAAACACCAAGTTGTTGACGCCAAAAGTGTGCTCGTAAATCGCCATCATGGGACATTGTCGTGAGTCTTGAGCGAGTGAAAATAGTAGGATGCGTGGCTGGTATCCCGACTCTCCAATAGCCAAAAGCCGCTTGTTTGGAGAGATGGCAATACATTTGATTGATCTGACTTTATCTTTTAATTTCGATGGAGATGCTTGAGCATTGACTAAAGGGCTCAAATAAGCACTGGTGCTTTCGTCTATTTCATTTGGTGAGAAGGAGTTGCCGTAAATTTCAATAGGGTGTGTAACAATTGGGTACCCATACTGGTCTCGTATCGTTTCCTCTTGTGAGTAGTCGGGCTTGATCATGTTTAAATAGGCATTGGCGGATGAGACACCAACATGGTTCAGCAGTTGCGACTTTGATTCACTTGAATTGGCACAAAAGAATCTCTGGTTTACAACGTCATTGGTTTCTTTATCGATGTGACAAAGTACAACACCCCCACTTGCGGTGTAAGCGACTAGATCATCCTGTACTGATATTTGTTGTTTGTCTGCTGCAGAAGTGCCTATAATTCGATTTATTCGTAGCCGGAAATCACATTGCGACAGGGAGCGCAATGGGGGCAGTTTATTGATTATCGAATTGTGACAACTGTTATGTATGTGACTCATTGCGGTAAGACTGTACTAGATACAAGTGACTTTTTCAAGATCAAGTATCGTCGTCTCTTTTGGAATGGAATAGAATAGGCTCTGCAAAAAAAAAACAAATAATCAAAAAGGTAAACAAAACGAAAATGCGGGTTTATTTTTTTGTGTTGTGGAAAAAAATCATTGTAATGATTCTTTCGCCTGGCACAGAGGACAGCATAGTGTGTGTAGCAAACCAGGACATGTCACAGGAGATATCACTAAGCTTGGAAGAGACAAACAAGATACGAATTCAACTAGGCTTAGAACCTATAGTGGAGAAGCCAGCAACACAAAGCAACGTCATCGAGTTGTCACTCGAGGAAACGAATAAACTTCGACTTTCATTAGGGTTGAAACCAATACCAGATGAGTCATCGACTACCAACACAGCCAAGGGTGTTGAATCTAAGTCGATCAACAGAGTTAATGATGAGCTACTATCGCAAAAACTCACCAAGGCAAAAGTAGCGTCTGAGAAGCGTAAATTGATGGAAACCTCACAAGAAGGAGATGATGACGAAATAGATACCGATAGCTGGCTACTGAAAGTTGGCAACTCCCAATCTACAAAGAAACAGAAAATAGAACAAGTTCCCTCCATAAAAGATTCCCATTTGGTGAATGCTCATATTGGTCATAGTACACGAGAATTGCAAAATTTGCGCAACAATGACATCTTGACACTCCAGGACACCAATCTATTGAATGATGACGACGACGATGACGGTGAAGGTGATGTGCTTGTGAACGAAGCTCTAACTGCTGAGGCTAAAGTGAAGAATAACTTGAAGGAGAGAAGAGAAGCGGAGATGATCAAGTTTAATGGACGTCATTATAGACGTAACAACGATGAAGACGATGATGATGAGGGTGATAGAATGGATAAAGGTAATCGCACTGATGGTGTCATCAAGAAGAAACCAGTCGTAATAAAAAACTCCAACATCAACTTGAACAAGTCTGCTGAGGTTGAAATGGACAAAGCTGAGTCGCTACCTGTGAATACAATGAAATTTAGCAACTTTTTTGGCAATTTGGAAAAAGAATTGAGTGGTGAATCTACTCCAAAACCACAAATCAAGATGAAGAAGTTAAAGACAAGGAAACCCTTTGAGGGGGCTAAACGTATTGCATCACCGAGAGTTAAAATTGATGATTTTGAACAACTACCAAATATCGATGAGAATGAGTACGATAATTTGCAGGAGAGCCTTGTGGCCAACGCAAGTAAGCTGAGACTGCAAAGAGCAAGGCAAAAAATGACCCCAGAAGAGATTGCAATTGAAATAGCCAGAAATAAAAAGATTGCCATGGAGAGAAGATTGGAAGAAGAGTCAATGAGACGTCAGTATCTGGCACTATTATCCAATGAGATTCAAGGTGTAGAGGACCTTGACACTTTGGGATTTTTGAGCAATTTGGAAAATAACATTTTAGGAGAAAATAATGGTGAGGAGCAAGACACAATCGATGAAGATATATTTGATTCGCATGAGAAACAAGTCAATGGCACTATTCATGGTCATACCAGTGATGGTGCTAAAACTAGTCAAGTCAATGGAAGAATGAGCTCTAGTACAAACGATCCAAAGGAGAATCTGCCCGAAGCAGTCACCATGGAGACAGATCAACAAAAATCACAAACACGGGGAGCATCTGAGAATGAAAATGACAACCATCCCAGATTCAACACTGGTCTAGCAGATACCCTCAAATTTCTCAAATCTAGAACAAACGATAATTCCATTCTCCAAAATAGATCCGACACTTCTTCAATCTCGATACGTGAAGAACTCTCCAAGCAAACTGAACTTTTGAAATTAAAAGTTGACATAGAGGAACGAATACTTCGAGACGAATTGTCCACGAACAAAGAGTACATGAAACTATCGAAACTCGATCGAGAAGTACAGTTTGAAGTTGAGTTGGACAAGAGATTGGCCGAAAAGGGTATTGTTGTTGAATCTGGTCAAAGCAAGAGATTCAATCAAAGTAATGGACGTAAGACTAGACTGGGTAATAAACTGGTCACCAGTGAGAAGAATCTGACACTTGGATCATCAAGTGGAAGTGACGGCGATAAGTACTCTACCTACAATCCCAAGGTGGAGTTGCATTACAAGGATGACGAAGGTCAGTCGTTGGATACGAAACAGGCGTATAAGCATTTGTCACACAAGTATCATGGTATGACTACAAGTCAGAGATTGGCCAAGAGTATGAAGAAAAGGGAAAAGGAGAAGATTGGTAAAGGGCCAGTGACAAGGGAAAGTATAGTGGATTAAAAGCGGTTGCATATACGGTGTGATTGTGTGATATAAAAATTCAACGAGTGTCATGATTGCATAGTCGAAGAATGCACACACTAGTAGTAGTAGTAGTAGTCAAATGCTTACTTTACAATTTGATAACAGAAGAAATAGCTATTAAGATTGTTACTCCCCTCGGTTTGCTTTCTATATCACGAATGAATATTACCGATTTTACAATTTTGACCTTTCTCTCTCTCTCTCTCTGTGTGTGTGTGTTGATTGGTTGTTATTCATTAGTATTGTGATACTTTGTTGTATAACACCTTTTTTTTTTTTGTCGAGAGCCAATACGAGTAGAGTATTATTTGTGTCGAGATGGCAATGTATAACTGATGGAATAGATTAGCTATAAAAAGAAGGTCGTGTACTTGTTACTAATTTAATGCAGGGTTATTTTTTTGTGTGCATAATTTTTTTTAACCAATGGCAAATAAACCTATGCCATCGACATTTATGATCATGTTAGTTATTTTGTTCTTTTTGTTCTTTTTTTTTTTTTTTTCATTTTCAGTAATTGTCAAGAGTGCAATGAATAAACAAACTAGTCAATATACTCTCATTAGATGATATTGTTTTGATAAAAGTGTATCTTCATATACATGTAAGCTACTGTCATTCTCTCTTTCTCTCTTTCTCTCTTTCTTTCTTTCTGTCAAAATAAGTTCTTCTGCGTTATTCTACGTTATGTAAATTTATTTTTAATTTTTAATTTTTAATTTTTTAATTTTTAATTTTTTTAATTTTCTCTTGTTCTGGTCCCTTAAATCCAAAGATTACTAACATGTATAGATACATATATATATATATATATATACTAACAGAATAACCCATTCATTGCATTTAATGACAATTTCTTACATTCATCACCTTGTAATCCAACTAATCAAAGCTTAACACATCACAGCACAGGACAACTACAGTATCAAGAGTACTGCAGAGATCTATTGCACTCAATCATAATCAGATCTTTTTTTTTTCTTTTTTTTTTATTACCCAAACAACTAGAATTGAATACAGCTCCACAGATCCCCTCCCTACTTTGTATTTACAATGCCATCTTCTACTTCAACAAGTGGCATAACACACTCACTTGTATCGATACAGGGCATGACTTGTGGTGCGTGCTCTGCAAGCATCACTGAAGCTTTGGAAAAACAAGATGGTATAGAAAAGGCATCAATATCATTAGTCACAGAGGATGGATTAATCACCCATTCTATCAACTATGACCCACAAAATATAATCACTGTCATTGAGGATTGTGGATTCGATGCCCAATTACAGAAAAAATCGATTCTCAAGTCCAGCACAGGTTCACAGTCGGAGGTGTTGAAGCAAACTGTGCTCGGAATAGTGGGGATGACATGTGGTGCATGTTCAGCAAGTATAACTGAAGCGTTGGAGAAAATAAGTGGTGTGTCATATGTGTCTGTATCACTAATCACGGAGGAAGCTTTGGTGAAACATAATTCAGCTGTATCTTTGGATCAATTGAAGGATGCGATTGAGGATTGTGGATTCGACTTCACACATGTGCAAACAACTGATACACATGAGCGAAGCAACAAAGACCCAAATCTTAACGGTGAACCATTGGACGAGATTGAGGAAACAAGCTTGAGGATAATGGGTCTACATCCTGATACGGACTTGGTTGGGTTCAAATACAATCTTGAAGCACAATTGCAGAGCACACCTGGGGTATTATCATTTGAAGTATCATGGCATGATGAAGAGGATGGCACTGCACAAGACTTGACGTCTCTGTCTCTGCCAAGGACATCTATTGAAGAACTGGCTCTTGGTGTTGGTAACGAATTGATTGTATCATATAATCCAGTAATAACAGGCATTCGTGATATAGTTGACGGTCTTGATACTTTGGAGCCTGGAGTCACATTTTTTGTCATCAACTCCTTAGACCAGTCATCAGCCACTCAGCTCAAACTACTATCTAAAATCAAAGATATCAAGTACTGGTCAAACATCGTTATCCAAAGTTTATTATTCGGTATACCAATAATCATTCTCGTACACACAGAAAACACAAAGTTGTGGAAGACGACAACTCTATTCCCAGGGCTTTATTTGGTGTCATTGATTGAAGGGTTACTTGCAAGTTATGTCCAATTTCGACTAGGTGCAAAATTCTTGCGTAAATTCTCATCATTTGTGAAAAACAACTTTAAAGGTGCGTCAATGGACGTGTTGGTATCTATTTCAACAATGGTGACATACATTTTCTCAATTGTGTCGATTGTGGTTAGTGTTTGGCGTGGTAACACGGAGAAACCGCCAAAAGTTTTGTTTGACACGCTAGCAATGTTGGTGACATTTGTATCTTTTGGTAAATTATTGGAAAACAAAGCCAAAGGAGCCACATCCTCTGCATTATCGAGGTTGTTGTCGTTAACTCCTTCCACGTGTACAATCATTGCCGAGTCAACTCAGTATATGAAAGAAATGGATGGCAACAATGACAAACTTCAACAAGATTATCAAACTAGAACAATTAGCATTGATTTGGTACAAACTAATGACATTGCGATTGTGTTACCCGGGGGCAAAGTGCCAGCGGATGGGGTCATTGTTTTCGGAGAATCAGAAATTGATGAAAGCTTGATCACGGGTGAGCCTTTACCCATCCACAAACGGAAAGGAGATTCTGTTATTGGTGGGTCAATCAATGGACCTCATTTGATACATCTTAAAGTCACGAAAACCGGTAGAAAGTCCCAATTACAACAAATTATTAACTTGGTTAAAGAATCGCAAGTGAAAAAGGCTCCAGTACAAAGATTTTCCGACTATGTTGCGGCTAGATTTGTGCCATTTGTCATTATGTTGGCGATTGTAACATTTACAGTATGGGCTATTGTATGCCTGACAATGCACACTGATGGGTTACCAATGATTTTCCGTAGTAATGAAAATGGCAAGTTTTTCGTTTGCTTACAGTTGGCAATCTCGGTTATTGTTGTTGCTTGTCCATGTGCTTTGGGATTGGCCGCGCCCACTGCTGTTATGGTGGGTACTGGAGTCGGGGCCTTGAATGGTGTCTTGATCAAAGGTGCTGACATTTTGGAGAAAACAACGTCGGTCAATATCATCTTGTTTGACAAGACAGGGACATTGACCACTGGTGAAATGAGTGTGGTGAAATCGAAGCCGGTAGCAATTGATCAACCCGAATCAAAGCTTTCGGTATCTGATTGGTGGAAATTGATTGGTTCAGTAGAGTGCAATTCGGAGCATCCGGTTGGGAGAGCATTGACTAAGCTGGCTAAGTCATTTTGTGGCTTGAGTTTTGAAGAGGACTCTTTTGATACATTGATAAAGGATGTTAATATCTTGCTTGGGGCTGGTATTGAAGCTAATGTCACTTTGCACTCATTCGAATACAAGATCTACGTGGGTAATTATAATCTCATAAAGGAAAAGTTTCCTCAGTTGATGCATCAGATTGATAATGAAGATTTCAATTCTATAAACACAGTCATCTACGTTGTGATCAATGGACAATACTCTGGTTATATTGAACTTTCAGACGCATTAAAAGAAGGTTCTCGTGAAGTTATACACTACTTGAGAGAATCCGAGGGTTACATCATTGGTATGGTTACAGGAGACAACAAGGGGTCAGCCTTGAAAATAGGAAGAGAAGTTGGCATTACTGAGCAAAACATTTATTATGAAGTATCTCCTATACACAAGGACAAGGTCATTTCCAACTTGAAAACCAGATTTGGTCCTAGTGCAAACATTGCCTTTGTGGGTGATGGAATCAACGATGCTCCAGCTTTAGCCAAAGCCGATATCGGAATGGCAATCAGTTCAGGAACGGATATTGCCATTGAGAGCGCCGACATTGTTCTAATTGGAGGTGGTCAACGCCAACAAGCTGATTTGTATGGAGTCATTAATGCATTGAAAATCTCATCAACGACATTCCAACGAATCAAATTAAATTTTGTCTGGGCTGTCATTTACAACATCTTTATGTTGCCATTTGCAATGGGGTGTTTCTTGCCGTTGAACTTGATGTTGCCTCCCGTGGCTGCAAGCATAGCCATGATGATTAGCTCGTTGAGCGTGGTTATGAATTCGTTGTTGTTGAAATTCTACAAGGCTCCTAGTATTACTGACATTGTTGATAAATCTGATTTGGAAATGAATGTGAATGACGATGACTTCGACTTGAAGAATGGCACTGCACAAGAGTTTCAATTGTGGAAAAGAGGCAAGAGTAAGTGGGGAGGTGGGGTTGTGGGGTTAAGGTGGCTCAAGCTGGTTTTCACAAATAGGAGAGTGAGCAGAAGAAGAGATAGCCAAGCGTATCAGTTAGTTTCAGGAAGTTCGAGGGTATAAGGAAGTATTGCATTTTTACTGTTGTTATCTTTTCTAATTCTTTTACGTTGAATTCGTTCTGCATTTAATGAGATGAATTTTTTTTCGGGGGGTATGTTGCAGGAGTTATGATTATGGAGATGTTGTTCCTGGTTACATTGATGGACGTTTTAGGCTAGCATTTTGTATTTTACTTTTATATGAGATTGCACTAATAGCGACTAATGTATAATTTCTATTTTTTGCAAAGCATAGTGCCTCATTTGCATGAAATTTAACCGAATGACGATCCTTTAGAGTAGAGCTTTCTCTTGTCTGGGACGGGACTAAGCGATGTTGGTTGTCAAAGATTTTTCTTTGTTCTTTGATTGATTGAATTTGTTATAGTTACAAAACTTCCTCAAAGACTGTGCAAGTGGGTGTTGCATTACAAAAAAAAAAAAAAAAGAACTAAATCAAGACAGCAATCACTATAGACTATTCACAATAGGAGTATTGCACCAACTTCACCGCTAGATGCAAGTCTAATCCCTTCCTTCCTCCCTTTCCCCTAAGCCAATCACAATGACACAAATTGCATTTCTTGGAAGTCAATTAGGCGAAATTATTGGTATGAATGGATTGAATTCTGGGTTACTTTCTTGTTGTTTTTTTTCTTATCTTTACTTCAACTGATGAAACAACCCACCACCATTTACTTACTGATCCATATTTGTTAACCAGAATGTTCCATCAGTGCCAAGTCCAAAACACTGACAGCCATTTGGTCAATTGGAAGCTATAATGGTCCGTGCAAGGAAACTGTTTGGTTTGAACAATCACATCACCAACTTCAATTACGTTTTCACCCTGTCTATAAAAGGGTCGACAAAGTCTCCCTGTGGATGCTGATGATGTCGATTTACCCTTCTCTCACTATTCTTCACTTGCACCCCACAAGTCAGTAATAAGCCGGCATCGTAATTCTGAGTCAAATGAAGGTTTGCAACTTGTTACTTGTTGCTGCGGTTGCCAACTCGTTGGCTATCAAAACCCCGGAAAAAAATGCTGCCAATGCTAATGACGCTTCCAAAAAGACTGGCAGCCATAGACTTGGTTTCAAACACCACAATGCTATGAGATTGAGAATGCCATTCAAGTCGGCCAATTCAGCTGCTCAACAACAAGATCAAGCCCAAAATGAATGGAGTGTTGAACATCAAGCTGATTATGCATTGAGGACTAAGTTTCAAGATGATTCTGATAATGAAGATAGTGCCCATGTTGATGGATCTGAGTTGGGATTGGGTAATTTTGCGGAAGTCTTGGCTGATGAAGTTGCTTCTGATCCTACTTTTACCGCCAAGTTTAAATCTGGTGGGTTTGGCGACATGTTTTGGCTGTTGTTGAGCATTGGCAAGGATTTGACCATGGAGAAGATTAACATTTTGAAGGATATCTTGTCCATGTTGGATCAGATTAAGAATGCTCGTGCTGAGCATGAAGAAGAGCCAGTTTCGATTAAAATTGTCGATCAAGCGCCAATTTCCAAGAGGGGTGTTGAGGAAACTGCTGACATTGAAGATTTGAACAATTTGATTAAGCTCGATAAATTGAAGGATCTTTTCAAGAAGGGTAAAGGTGGCAAAGGTGGCAAAGGTGGCTGGAAGAACAAGTTTGGTAAGGGAAAACACGATGATGATGTGGAAAAGGATGACGAGGATGATTATTCCGACAACGACAATGATTCTGAATATGATGACGAGGATTGCGAAGATGATGGATATGATAACAGAGGTTGGGACCAAGGCAAGAAGAAGTCTGGATACAACAGATCATCCAGCAACAAGAAGAACGGTTTCAGCAAGAACAAGAGCTCAACTCGTAACAGCAAGAATGGATCCAAGTTTGGATATGGTAAAGGTCAATCCAAATCCAAGGATTGGGATCGTGCTGAAGTTGTTGATGATGAGGACTTGAAGCAACGTGATTTTGATCGTTCCAGATCTGACTCTTCTCATTCTGGTAGAACTGATGGAAGCGACAGATTGAGCGGTGCTCATAAAGTTCACGGACGTCTTGAAGATTGTGATGATGATTTTGATCATGGAAAGGATCATGGAAAAAATCTTGACAAAAATCGTGACTTTGGTAAAAACCACGGTTGGAAGAACGAGACTGATCATGGAAGAAAGAGTGGTAAAGGCAAGGATCATGATTGGAATAATGATGAAGACTGTGATGACTTTGACCGTGACAATGATTCTCGTGGTAGAGATTGGAACAGAGGCAACGGATCTGGTAAGAAATACCGCTCATCGAAAGTTTCCAAGAATGAAGAAGTTCATTTGGCTGTGAGAGACTTGAGTAAATTGAAAAAAATGATGGGCGGTAAAAAGGGAAGGACCTCTGTTGCTCAAACTACTCTTGCTGCAACTACCGCTGCCCCCGAACCTGAACCAACTGAGGAAGAGGAATGTTCTGAGGCAGAGCCAGAAATTGAAGCACCTACTGTTGTTACCACTACTGTCTTGGCTACTCCAACTGGTAAGGCAGGTGGATTGAAATCAAAGTTGAAGAGCATTTTCAAGAAGGGTGGAAATGGAAATGGAAATGGTGTCGGAAGTGGAAGCGGAAGTGGAAAGTTGAGTGGCTTGAAGGCCAAATTCTCAAAAAGTAAGGCCACTACTAGCTCATCTGTTGCTGCCATTATCACCACCGTCACTGTTGACTGTCCTGAATCTGAAACTGAAACTCCAAGCACTGCTCCTGTTGAAGATGAAGATTGTCCAGAAGACAAGAAATTGGCCAATGGAAAATCTGATAAGGCAAAACGTGATGAAGCTTTGGATGTTTCTGTTGATTCTAGATACTTTGGATTTGGTGGTAACAAGAATGGTAAATCTGGAAAGGGAAACAACGGAAAGTCCGAAAAGTCCAAGCCAGACAACTTTGATGATGAAGACTGCGATGATGAAGAAGGAGCAGCAGCAGAAAAAGAAAAAGAAGAAGAGAAGAACAGTGGAAAACAAAACGGCGGAAAAAAAGATATCAAAGGTAAGTTGAAGGGCAAACTCGGTGGCTTGAAAGGCAAGATGGGCGGTGGTGCTGGAATGAAGGATAAACTCGGTAGCTTGAAAGGCAAGATGGGCGGTGGTGCCGGAATGAAAAACAAGCTTGGTGGATTGAAGGGAAAATTCAAAAAAGGTGGCAAAGCCCAAAAAGATGTTGCTGATGACGAAGATTGCGAAGATGACATTTACGATAACAATGGAAACGGAAGCAAGAATGGGAAAACTGGAGGCTTTGGTAAGGGCAAACGTGAAGTTGAAGACAATTTCTTTGACTCAAGTGCCGAATGGTGTCATGACTCTGATTGTGCCGATGAAAGCTTTTTCACCGATAAGGTAGTGGCTGCTGCAGGGAGCAATCGTATAGGGCTGGAACCCCAATTTTTCGCTCAAAGCGTTGTATCTAAACATGATTTAGTTGAAGATTTGTTGTTGAAGGTTTTTTTGCAATTGAAGCATTCTGGCTTGATTAATGATATCATTAAGATGTCCTTGACTGATGATCTTGTTAGAGGAGCTTTGACTGATATTACCATCAAGTTGTTGAATGCAAATGTTATTCCTTGGGATGAGATTATCCTTGCTATAAAGACCCATGGTCTTGTTCTTGATGTTACCAAGTTTACTTTGACCAATCCAGAAGTTAGACAAGGGTTGGCTTCGTTTGTTTTGGAGCTCATTCCTGGTTTGCTCAAGAGTGGTTCATTGACTGCTCAACAAGTTGTTGAGCAATTAAAGGTTGAAGATAAGCCATTTCCAGGAGTACTTGGTAAGGCCAGAGACCCACGTATCCAACCATTAGGTCCATTTCCAGATGAAGAGTTTCCTCATGATCACCATGAAAAGAATCACGTCAAGACCATCAAGGGTCACGAAGAGGAACATCATTATGTAAAGGTTCGTAATGCTACTCATGAACACGAAATTGAGAATCACGAACAAAAGAATAAGGATATTGAGAAGTTGCACCATGAAGAGAGCCATCATGGTGATCACGAAGAAGACGATTACGAAAGCAAGCACCATGAGTCTGAAAAGGATTACCATGAGGAGTCCAAACATGGTGGTAACGTTCGTGAAAAGGATCTCCATGAATTGAAGAAGGATCACCACAAGGAGAACCATCACCAGGACTTGAACAGAAACGGTGAATTGCGTGAGGAGCATCATGAAAAGAGCAACAAGGAATTGCAAAAGGAAAACCATGACCAGGAATTCCAAGTTGAAGAGGATGTTTCCAACCAGCAAAAGAGGGAAGAATTGGACCATCATGAGAAGGAAATTCACAAGAAGGAAAAGGATTTGCATGAATTGGATCTTCATGAACAATATGATGAAGGTGACGAGCATCATAAAGTTGACCTTCATGAAAAAAATAAGCATGGTTTGGAAAAGGATCTTTACGAAAAGAATGAACATGAAAAAAATGAAGGACATGGTAAAGATCACCACCACAAGGATGAGCATGAATTGACTCAAGATTTCCACGAAAAGGACCTCTCTCAAATTGATGATGATGCTGATGGTACTCATTATGATAAGAATTTGCACGAATTAGATGGTGTTCAAGTTGAAAAAGATCTTCACAAGGATTATGTGCGTGAAGTTGAACACAAGATGAGAAAGAGACATGAAGTTGAACATTTTGAAGAGGATTTTCACAAGAATGTAACTGAACACCACGAACATGATTCCCATGAAGCTGTTGATGGCGATTCGGTGCATCATGAAAAGGACAAGCATCAAAATGAGGATCACAGTGTTGAGCATGATAAGCACTTGGTTAATCACCACGAAGAGGATCATGGTGATTTTGACTATGAGAAGGATTTCCATGACTTGGATGAATTTTTCAAGGAGAAGGACCACCATTCTGATTACTATCATGAAGTTGATCACAAGAGAAGAAAGAGGCACGAATTGGAACGTTCTGAAGAAGATTTCCACAAGGATGTTAAGGCACATCACGAAGCTAATCATCATGAGAGTATTGAGGATCAATGGGGTCGTGATGAAAAAGTTCACCACAAGGAGGATGATTTTGCTTTGGGACGTGACAAGCATGCTGTTGATCACCATGAGGAAAACCACAATGACGGGTTGGACTATAGTAAGAATGTGCATGAGTTGGATGATGTTTCAAAGGAGAAGGAGCATCACAAGGATTTCTACCATGAAGTTGAACATGATCTTAAACGTCGTGATGTTGTTGGTTACGAACACGATCAAGTTTCTCAAGGTAGAGAGTTGCATGATTTGGACAAGCATTTCAAGCAAAAGGATAAGGACCATTTTGCCAAGGATAATCTCTATGGTGGAGAACGTCATTACAAGGAACATTATGAAAAGGAGCACCATGAGAAGGAGAATCATGAAGCTACTCCTGATAGAAATCATTATGAAAAGGAGGAGCATGACAGAGAGGAGCACGGTAAAGAGAAGCACGAAAAGGGACCTCATGAGCATGAAGAGTTTTCAAAGGAGCATGGGAAGAGTGTTGACAAGAAGGAGTCTAGTGAAAGTGCCTTTGGTAAGAAGGAGCATGAATTGAAGGGTAGCTTGGGTATTCAGTTTGTTCCTGTTGATCCTGCCTCCGCTGCTGCCTCCGCTGCTGCTGCTGCTGCTTCTGCTGGGGGTCCAACACAAGCTCCAGGACAAATTATTCCTCCAGTTGGAGCTTAGACTGTGAAGCTTTACAAGCTTTAATTGCAGTCATTCTGGTTTTTTATTATTATTATTATTATTATTATTATTATTATTTTTGATTATTTTCATGAACCAGATGGAATTTTGATACTTTTTTTTATTCATTTTTTTGATTTTTTGATTTTACATTTTGCTTCTTTTTGGTTAAGTTTTGATTTATTTACTTTTCAGTTTTGTTGATTGTTGAGTCTTTTGCCAGATGGTTGGATTGTGTTTGAATGATATGTTTCGACGTGGTTTATAAAAGTTGATTACAGTTTACTATTTTGCCAATATGCCCCCAAAATTTTTCTTTTATCCACACACACATATATATATATATATATATACTTTCATATTTGATAATTTATGCCATTCTTTATTAAACTTAACAGGAAGAGGCTTTCTATTGCTACTGATTGCACTACATTGACTATTTTCTTTTTTCAACCTTGTGATAATAATACTAAAGACCTCTAAATGTAACAACTATAAACCATAAAAGAATAAAAGAAAACTCCTAAATACCCCTCCATTTTGAAAAAAAATAAATACGTAATAAAACTCAGTTTCCGTGCAAAAAAATGAATCCTATTTCAAAACCTGCAAACCCAAATAGGGTGAGATTTAAACCAGCGTATGTAATGTAAGTGTGTGTATGTGGGGTGAGTTTGTAACAAGTTTTCCTTTATCTCCTCTTAGTCAATAATAAAAAATCATCACATTTACAAAGCCAATAAAGCACCAGCAGCCAAAGCAACGGCACCAGCAGCGTATTGCTTAGCAGCACCGGCTTCGAAAGTGGAGACACCTGGAGCAGTACCGTTTGATGGAGCGGTTCCGTTACCGGCAGACGAAGATTGAGCAGCAATGGTTGAAGCTGGACATGATGAAGCGTGAGATCCACAGTCGGTGATGGTGGCCAAGGTGGTTGATTCAACGGTTTGGGTGATTTCAGCGTTGACGATGGCGGCGGTGGCGGCGAATAAAGCGACGATTGAGAATTGCATTTTTTTTTTGACAAGTGTAATAAGCGAAAGACTAGTAGTTGGGATTGATAATTGATCTGATCTGATGAAGAAAAGAAGAGGAGGAGGAAGATTGAGGACTTGGATGGGGATACCAAGGGTTTATATATTATTTTTTTTCTTTTTGCCAGGTTTGGGGTCATTCAATTGACACAGTGGAGATAGAGATTCAGTGGTTGTACTGTAAATAAACCTCAGGCGACTACTCAAGTTTGTGCAATGATTGGCATCAGTTGTAGAAGAATAGGTTCATCGTGTATTCATGGTTTGTCTCTCTATGTTTATGTTTCTTGGTTTATTGTGTCACAAATTGTGTTGTCATAACTACGCGACACGAAAAAAAAAAAATAAAAAAAAAAAAAAGAAAATAAGCAGATTCTAATTTTGTGTCACCCACCAACTCCAAACAAAGTGTAAACAGTTCATAGCTGTGTATTAGGTATTGCTAGGAGAGGCAGTAAGAGTCACATCAGCGCCATACCCCCCCCCCTCCCCCACATTACTATGCTTTGCTTGCTCATGCAGACAGATTGTTGACTCTATTTACACTTCTTCTGCCCACCAAGGGTCCAGCTGCCGAGTTCCCAAAAAAAAAAAATAATAATAATAAAAAAGGGAAAGTCAATTCCAAGAACTAGAAGCACATCAGATGACACAAAATTTAACGACTTTTTGACAGAAAAATAATTGTGTTGATGGATGCGTGACTGAAAGTTACACTGCTGTACTGAGAGCTACGCAAGTATCCACCCAAAAATTGCAATTACTTTGTTTGTGAATAACACTCGTAACCCGCCCTCAGCTCTTTATTTTACTGTACAAATATCGTGCGAAATTACTCCATTTCTCGCTTCCGTCACAGAGCGGAATGCCAGGAAGTTTTCGTGGCTCATTGTGTTGGGATTGAGAGCAGCATCTGACCGCTTTGTCTCACCCATACACAGACTCTATTGTTTCTGCCTCTATATTTGCCATGGCGTTTCGTGTACTATGCAATACCAACTTGTGAATTATCACAGCCACCTCGCTTGATCTGCTTCAATGCTGGTTCTAGATCTGGCGAAATGCAGTAAAGAACTTTCCTAAAAGAGACTGGTGTCTCAAGTTTCACTTTACGCTATACTAATCCTAATTGCCATCTCCCTCTCTTATTTCTTTTCCGACTCCCTTACTACTGGAGCAGATGTTGCTCACTGTGAGAATAAAGTATTCTCTTCAGTTTTCAGTGTGTAAACAAACTTGGCCACTGGTAGTATCTCATTTGGTATACAATGCAAAATAGACGAGCCCTCGCTGGGATAGTAGTTAGTTCACGACTCACCACTTGCGTCCCCAACCTCCAAGTCAATCAATAAATGCACAAGACCAAAAGTAGCTGTGAAGTGAACACGATCAAACCATAAACAAAAGAACGCAGAGTGTTTGGCGTTTCTTTGTGTAACAGTTGTGCAAGTACACAAAAGACCACAGAACCCACAACCAATCAAAGTTCACAACAAAACAAAACAAACCCCAAATACAAATTAATGGAACCGACGCCCGCATCAAGCATATTAGTTAGTTCCGGTTGGCACACTTGCTGTTGCTCTGATTTTAAAAGAGCTGCGCGATTGACGACGATAGTTTATCCGCGTAGTGGAGGGCAGTTTTTTTTTTTCCTTGCATTTATTTTTAACTTGGCATGAAAAATGATATGCAATTTATAGCTATTTGTGTTTCCTTATCTCTCTCTATCTACATACTGAGGTATTGCATTTGGGGAACTCTCTCCCCCCCCCCAACGTACTCATTATATCTCAGATCGAGGAGTCACGTTCTTTCGAGAGTACCAACTAATGAAATCCCTCAATGCACTCCGTACTCTTCTGTTATCCTTATTTGGTATAGCCACCGACACCGTCTCAATCAACCGATTTACTTCATTGCTTTGCACGTCAGGCAAACTCGACACAACCTCACGTAGCCAATTGACTGCTAAATCGACAGATGGCGTCACAACCAATATTTTCAAAAGCAAATCACTTGCATCTTGTTGAACATCAATGTGGAATTTGAAGATAAGTCCATCTAACACAACCTTTATCAATTCGCCACCATGATTGTTGACAGTTATGAACTGTTTAATACATTCCCTCAAGGGTGTAGTATCCCTACTTTCAAACAACGAAATAGGTGGATGTGGCAATCCCCAAGATATCAAGTCAATAAGGAAATGGATGCAGGAAATGATGGGGTTGTACTCATTAACAACCGTCAATGTAATTTTCGCAGTTTTAATTATCGAATCAAGGAGATCCAATGTGGGGATCAACCTAAATGGGAAAAACATCAACAAGTCATTCAACATACGGAAAAAGTCTTCGATAACATCGGGAATTTGTTTGATTTGGCCTTCATTTTTATTGAAAAACTGTTCAAAAAACGATTGGCATTGTTCAAGTCCAAAATTATAAGCAGCTGATGTGATTTCTTGTGACGAAAATTCATCATCACCAAATACTCTAATCACAACACCCGAGACCCACAAATAACAACCAAGTTGAGTTTGCTTGTAGCCTTGGTGTAGTATTTTGGCAATTTGAGGCAACACGGAATTAAGATACGAACTAAAAGACTCAATTGCCACTTTCACCAACTTCATGCATTTCTCACTAACTTTCAATACCGAGGCTCTTTTCTCTAAGATGGAAGTTAGCAATGGCCAGATCTTTTCAATAAACAAGGAGGCAACTGGATGACTTGGCTTGTCAAACTCATCCACTTTCAAAACTTGTAGAAAGATAATCACAATCTCCAACTGATCTGTGATTTGAGTATTCGCCTCATCAGAATCGCCACCCAAGTTCAATTCTGCAACTTTTTGCAAAGAAGGCTCCAAAAACATATCCGAAATCTTGTACAAGTTGTCTTCGGGGACTTTGGCAACAACGTGGGCAATACCATCAGTCAACTCGTAATTCGACTCAAGATCAATTTTATCCTTCACTTGTCCATACAACAAGTACAACTGTTCAAGATAGTTGACCAACAACTCCGAACAATCTTGACAAAAATACATAAGCGCATGAGACGTGGCCATAAATATCTCATTGTTGTTGGCCCCTTCAAATCCTTTGGTGATGTAATTCAATTGCGGTTCCAAAAACTCGGGGTTTTTAGCCGTCCATGCAGTGTACCTACCCAAAACCAATGTTGCAGCGTATCTAATCTTGGGATGTTCCGGTAGTTGTACCAAAAGTGACATGATTGTTGGAAGTATAGTCTTTTCCTTAGTGGGCACTTCCTTCGCCATTGTTCTCATCGAAAACAAAGGAGCCTCAAGGTATTGCCAATGGCCCTGTGAATTGGACAAGATGGTTTGTATTTGGCTGAAAGGGATTTGCAATGCTCGTGAAGCACCAACTACAGCACAGCAATCCTTCAATACATCTCCCATTTCATATCGGAACTCTTTGAACTTGTCCTCTTGTTCTTTGTCCCCGTTGAAAAGGTTGTCATCATTGGCCGCAATTGGGTAAGTTAAATGTTTGATTATGACTGATATAAGTTCAAGATAACAATCGCTCAATATCTGGCGCGCTTCTTGAAATTTTGGTAAAACAATCAACTGCTTCAACAAGAACCAGAACTGGAAGGTATACTTGACTATATCCAAATCGTCGTCGTATTTACAACAATTCAATAAAATTTCAACCAATGGTTTGAAATGTTGTGGGTTTCTCGCAATCAATGCGCTCCAGGACTCTCCGCACTCAACATATAATCTGGTCAATCCATCGACTTTTTCCGATTCTTCCAAACTATCTGGGTTCTCATGCATAAATTTGTTCAATTGTAAAATTTGTTGATACAATGCATCAATGATCTCGTGGTTGTCAATATCACGGGTTTCTCGAATAATAGTGACTAAGCAATCGATGGCCTTGTCAAATGTGGCATCATTGGACAAACTTTGAAACACTAACGACGTCAAGGAATGAACAGATAAAATCTTGTCAATAGGGCACTCGGTAATCCAACTGTTTAAAGCATCCAAAATGGCTGCGTTCAATACTGGGTCGTTATTAGAGTTGCTCTCGGCAAGGTTTTTCAACGTCAACACAACCGATTCAACTTGATCTGTAATCAACTCCGATGATCTCTTGTTATATTCTTCGTCACTCAAATGCGACTTTTTCACATCAGAAAGCTCTTCGGGCAATACTTTTAAAAACTCCAACAAAACCAATGTTAAATCACTAGACAGGGTGAAATTTGCCACTATTTCACTCATGGCATCACCCCAAGTCAAATACTGTAATGCCAACTGAGCTAATGCAATTGATAGTTGAGTACGAATTAATTTTTCACCATTCCCATTGTACAACTTGATCAAACTCAACACAGATTCCTTCAAAGCGGGATAATTCTCGGGTTGGATTTGTGACGACAAGTCATAAATGATCTTAGATCTTAGCGTCTGTGCCGCAAAGAGTTGCAACTGTATGTTTGAGCCGTTATTCTTATTACTCAAGATTTCATGGGTGATTTGCCATGCATCGCTTGATTTCTGAAAGTTTTCCAAGAAATGAGTAGCTGTGGCCTTCTCCTCTCGTGACGCATTGGAGTACATTGTCGTCAATGCGTTTTCAACTTGCTGGATCTCATGTTCGTGTGATGGCATTCTTTGAATGTATTGGTAGTTGACAGCCAAACAGAGTACTACTTTCGGTGGTTGGTTAAAAAAAAAAAAAAAGCTTTTGATTGACTTCAAAAGGAAGTAAATTTTTCTGCTGTTTTGTAAAAGCACACGACTTTTATTTGTGGGTGCAAAAACTAGCCTTGGGTATTGATGAGTTTGTATCAGCAGTGGGTACTAGTTTAATTCAAAACCGATTCAAAAGCTTTTGACTGCTTTTGAGGGGGGGGGAGTAGGTTTCTGTGTGTTCATAAGAAGTGTTCAAAGAGAACACAAGTCTAAGTAGTACTTGAAATATTGAAGATTATTGCTTGAGAAATTTTGCAAAAAAAAAAGTACCAACTTGAATTCAATTGTTTCGACCTATGTAATAGCTTCCTTGACGTCTATTTCATTTTTGTTTTCACCAGTTGAGCAAACTTCAGCTAAGCAAACAACGAGATGCCTTCAACAACAGTTGGAAGGAAATTCACGCTTACTGAACGCATGGGTTCAATCTTCACAGCAGCTTTGTATACAAGAGGGTAATGTTACAAATGAATATATGCTGTCAGTTTTTTACTTCTACATCAGCGTCGGGTCCAGGAATATCAACCTACATGGTATTATCGGAGACTATTGAGTTCTTTATGGGTGTGAATTGTGTAGTCCAATCGCGTCACAAAACAAACAAACTGTGGACACATCCATCCACGTAATTTTTTTTTTTCTTTTTTTTTTTTTTTTTTTTTTTTTTTTTTTTTTTTTTTTTTNAAGGAAATTCACGCTTACTGAACGCATGGGTTCAATCTTCACAGCAGCTTTGTATACAAGAGGGTAATGTTACAAATGAATATATGCTGTCAGTTTTTTACTTCTACATCAGCGTCGGGTCCAGGAATATCAACCTACATGGTATTATCGGAGACTATTGAGTTCTTTATGGGTGTGAATTGTGTAGTCCAATCGCGTCACAAAACAAACAAACTGTGGACCCATCCATCCCCGTAATTTTTTTTTTTCTTTTTTTTTTTTTTTTTTTTCTTTTTTTGTTTTTGGATTTTTGAAATCCATTTAAAGATGTTTATACGAAATAGATCAGCCATTGCTGTACTCACATCGCTCAAACGTCCATTAAATAGTTGCATACCCAAGCGTTCTTGGAACACTCAAGCTACAATGTCCTCTTCCTCGTCATCATCATCATCATCATCATCATCTACTACAACTAGACCAATTGTCATTTCTGGTCCTTCAGGGACTGGTAAATCAACTTTACTAAAAAAGTTGTTTGCTGAGTATCCAAACAAGTTTGGGTTTTCCGTTTCAAACACTACAAGAAAACCAAGAGAAGGGGAAGTTGACGGTAAGGATTACCACTTCAGCACTGTCGACGAATTCAAGAAACTAATCGATGAGAGCAAGTTTATTGAATGGGCACAGTTTTCTGGAAACTACTACGGAACCACCATCAAAGCAGTCAAGGATGTTGCTGACCTGGGCAAGATTTGTTTGTTGGATATTGATATGCAAGGTGTCAAGTCAGTTAAACAAACTGATTTAAATGCAAGATATCTATTCATCAGCCCACCTTCCATTGAAGAGTTGAGAAGCCGATTGGAAGGCAGAGGCACTGAAAGCAAAGAGAGTTTGGAAAAGAGGATTGCTGCCGCTGAAGGCGAGCTTGCATATGCAAAGACGGGTGCTCATGATTTGGTGATTGTCAATGACGATTTGGATAAGGCTTATTCTGAATTCAAAAAGTTTATTTTAGAGGAGTAGATAGATAAAAAGGTGCAATATATTTGACATTAAGGTATTCTCAACTTTTGCAATGCCATGTAGAAACTAGCAATGCCTGGGGACCATTGGTACAACGTATTTTTTGTGTTCTCTGGTGGTGGAGATGCCGGTCTGGATTTTACTGTCACAATACAAAATCAAACAGCAAAAAAAAATCAAAGAGAACCAATTTTCTCGACCTAGCACCGCAAAAGATCACACGCCACGGAGCACACTATCGTCACCGACTTGTCCACTTCACCTATACCCCTAAGAAATACGAAATGACGGCAGGACTTCCATCATCCGTGAACTTTGGCGATGAAGAGTACGTTTGATAGGTGCACATGCTCCATCTGCTCCCACAAGAACCCATCTATGAACAATCACATACTAACATTTTTAATAGCGAGCCAAATTTCTTGAGAAAATTAGCAGACAAGGCCAAAGAGCAACCACTTGTCCCCATCGGGTCCATCCTCACGGCAGGCGCAGTGATATTAGCAGCAAGGTCAATGAAACGAGGCGAAAAGATCAAAACACAACGATATTTCCGGTACAGAATTGGGTTCCAGTTTGCGACATTGATTGCATTGGTGGTTGGAGGTATGACTTTTGGCGTTGCTACGCATGAGCAGAAGAAGTCCAAGGAGGATATGTTGAGGGAGAAGGCTAAACAAAGGGAGAAATTGTGGATAGAGGAGTTGGAGAGAAGAGATGCCATCATTCAAGCTAGGAAGGAGAGATTGGAACAGTCGAGAAAGGAATTGAGAAACTTGGCAAAACAGGGATTCGATGAGGAGAAAGATAGTGGAAAAGTAGATGACTCAGAGTTGGAGAAGGGTAACTAAATCAAAGAGATGAAATGTTGAACCACTAGACTCTGTCCCTGCCACTTGCAAAAACTAACAAACACTCTTTGTATATAATTGGATAAAGAAACGACGTAATGGGTTTTGATTGCACTAGCTGTAAACGATAATGAGATGACGACTTTAGGACCACAAACAGCACGATATCTTCTCTTTGTGAGACACACTTGCTCTCTTGTCTCTTTGATCTACCTTCTCACAATAGGATTTATCTTGTAGAACTCCATCGGCGAGTACACAAATCTGCCATTGTGTGGAGGTTGTGGGAAACTTGGGATGATTTTGTCCTTGTGTACTTTTTCCAAATGCGACTGGAACATGGATAACCTATTCATTGCGGAGGACATTGTGGATTTGTAGTGGGTTAATGAAGTTTTGAAAAAGCACCAGGAAGAAAGTTTAGATTAGTAGTTTCAGAAAAGAAAGAAAGTGTTCTGGACAGGTTATAGGTATGATGGTTAATTTGAATTGAGAAATTTGAAAAAAAAAAATTGAAAAATAAAAATTATTGCAGCATGTCTCGTGATCTCGGACTTTTCATAAAGCGAGACGCATTTTTTCCCCTTCATAATGGTATATTGTTGTTACAACTACACTGCTTTTGAACATGGTTTACCTAAATGAAGTTTACTCATCAGCGTTATTTAGATTGTACAATTTAATGTAATCATCATTCAAATCCTTCATCATCTCAATTACTCCGTGGTTGCTAAAACGATCCTCTTTTTGGTCTTTAACAGCACCATCTTTACTTCCACTACCAGGTAATTTGACTTCACTGTACAAAGCCTTCACAGAACTTTCAATCTTGACTGAACCTTCCCATGCAACCAAATCACTCAACGCCAATAGCAAAAATGGGGAAAAGTCAGAATACCATCGATGGTTCCATACCAATAATCGAACTATACTCTCCAAAATCTTTTCGCTCAACTGGTTCATCATTTTGGAATAGTTTTGAATAAAGTTTGGATTACTGTTAAACGACGAGGTGTTTTTAGTTATAAGCCTCGAGTGTTCCTTCAAGTAGTATTTCAACATTTCACGTTGGGATTTGGCGGAAAAACGCCCACTTAAAGCATTTGAAAAGGCAACAGCTCCTTCTTTAAAATGCTTCAACCTGTATGCTATCAGACCAAGTATTTCCCACTCCAAAGTGGTCTTTTTGTACTCCATTTGTTGTGCTTGGAAATGCAAGGACTCCGTTTGCCACATGGTAAAAGCTCTCAAATCCTCATACAAAAGCATAAACAAATTGTCCAACCACCTTTCACATAATCTCTTTTTCTTAAACTCTTCATCGTAGTTCGTTTCGTCTTCCACAGTTGGTGCTTCTGGTGCCACTGATGCTGCTGCATCAAGTGGCTTTTGTGTTGGAGACTTGACGGCCACAGTCGATTCGACATCACTCTCGACAACTGAAGGCGTCGCGGTGGTACTAGCGTCATTGACATTGACATTGACATTGACCGATGATTGGGTTGAAGCTTTGCGAAGGTGGCCATTGGCAGTTGTTTTCTTGTCTTTCTTGTATTCCTCTTCCATAACAAATACCTTGGCACGATATTTCAACAACTGTTCCCATCCAGTTTTGGCCACAATCTCTGTTAACAAGTCATAGGCTTTGGCGTATGTCGATTTCAAGTTCGCTGCTGGTAAGTTGGCCAATTGCGGATCCAAGTTTCTATGTTCATAGCTGATATCATTGCTTTGCAAATTGGAAACTTCATCCAATGTGACATCCAACGGTGATGGCAAATGCAATTCATCATGAGTCTTGATTGGCACAACCCTCTTCAACTGATACCTCTCCTTGTGAGAGTTCATTGGACACGAATTCAAAGTTAGAAGCGCATTTTCAAAATCACCCAATTTAGTATAGCACTTCACCAAGACTGACCAAGTAAAGTAATCGGAAGGAGAAGACTTGACTGCTTGTTTTGCCAATTCTAATGCCAATTCAGGCTTCTTCTTATCTAAACAGTACTCGGCTTGCAATACCAACGTGTTTGCGTCCCTTTTGTTCTTTTGGATCCCCTTGTACATTGTCTTTACTGCTTCAATCTCATCTTGCTTCAACAATTGGAGTTTAGCAATGATTGAAATCAAACCAGGCTCAGTTTTATACAATCTTTGCAAAATCTCCATACCCTGACTATAGCTTTGGGTCAACTCAACCACCTTCAAGAACCCATCAACAAGGTAGTTGTTTACAGCGGTTGGTTGTGGGAAATCAACATTACATCCCAACTTGGTACCTTGGAAAAACAATTGCTCAAACCCGGTGAAATAGTTATTCAACAACTCTTTTGAGGCAACTCCATTATTGAACGGATTAATCTTTCTAATTTCAACAACCCCGCCCAACTTATTGGCATCTTCATTGTCTTCACTTTCTAATACAGCTCTAGTAACAGAGGTGACAAATGTTTCGATCCACACCTTGTCCAATTGCTTTTCATTCAAATTGTCCTGAATCATCTTACCATCTTGATTTAAAATTTGTATTCCAAACTTTCCCGGGATATGAACAGTGACTCTTACATCCAACTTACTGAAGGCGTTGAAGGTACAATACGTCAATTGAGGAACTTTCCAATGTTTCTTTTCTCCAAACCAGTATTGCGCCTTTGACGTCATTAAATTGGCCAAGCTCTGCAAGTGTGCAGCAATTGACGCTACTGAGGAAGTATCAACTCCAACGAAATATAGGAAAGTGCCAATTTCCCCACTCTCCCTTTTGGCATTGACTGAGTGCTTGTAAATATTACATAAATCAGGAGGTCCCAACTCAATGAACTGAAGTAGCCTGGCGGTACGTTCAGTAAGGCATGCACCCGGGTACTCCTCTTTAACCTCTGGAATCGATCCTAACGACGGAGGTAGCATTGTATTGGTGGCTGTTGGAGTTAAAAGTTACAGGACAGGACACGTTGGTTGTATTCTCGTAGTTCTGTTTTTTTTTTTTTTATTTTTTTTTTTTCTTCTCTTTGGTTTGTTGAAAATCTGTGGTGAACTTGGCTGTGTCCTATACTTTGCTGCCAAGCTCAAGTTGCAGCGGTTTCTAAGAATGGTCTTCTTAATACCTCTACATTGACTCCTCGGTATGTGTAATCCTTAATAAACTATATTGTTACAATTGATTTACAAACTACATGACTGTATAGGACATATTACCCCCCCCACCACCCTCCTTTACTAATTGGGTTTAGACTTTTTCTTCTGCCCGCCTATTTCATCACCTTCAGGCTCGTCATAGACACTCTCCCAATCCTTTGCCGTCAAACAATACTTTTCAGGAGGCAAATTTAACCCCCACTTCGGTATCACTGGAGGCAAGGGCTTGGAATTTCTCTCTTGTGCCAACTCCAACATTAGTTCCTTTGGCGGCACCGGCTTGAATTGGTAATTTCCCCTCGCGGCAATGGCAAGTCTAATGTCATCTGTATTAACCGTTGCGTTGGCGTTTGAATTCACATTCGAGCTAGCTGGTTTGGCATGGTCGTTGTATACAAGTGCATCCTTCAAAATGGACTTGGTGTATCTGTGAGCAAAATCCATCAATTGTAGCGGCACGTGGTCTTGATAGTTCTGTATTCCTTGAGTGGCAAATATTAAATGGAGCAATCGTACATCACGAGGTACTATCGCCTCCTTCTTTTCCTGAGAGGTCGGCTGTTGTGGAGCTTGTGGTTGTGCTTGCTGTGCTTGCTGTGGTTGTGACGACTGGTTTTGCGTTGAAGGCCTAGACGCAGAAGTGTGTGGCGCCGATATCGTGTCTGCAGAACTTGGAGCAGGGACACTCATATTGCTAACTTAGAGACAATAGAGTGGATATTGATTGGGCAGTGAATCTTGTTGCACTATTTGGATGTTGTCAGTTTTTTTATTTTTTATTTTTTTTTTTTCTATTGTCCGCACTTTGGCACTGTCAATTTTTCGACACACACCCGATTTCCGTAGCAAAAACACCATGTCGAGTGAAGGAGAGGTGTTTGAAAGGCCAGATACTGTGGTTGTTGACCCTCCGCTGGGGAAGAATCACACAATTGAGCCATTTGCATTTCTCACATCGGAGAAAGAAAGTGATCGAAAACACAATGTTCTTCTCATATCAAACCAACCGTTCAAAATCAATCTCAAAGATATTTGGATCCATTGTGGATTGGTAGTATGCGCAGATGGGGGCGCTAATAGACTACATGATTATTTTTCCAATGACCAAGAGCGGGGCGAGTATTTGCCAAATTATATCACAGGAGACTTTGATTCGCTAAGAGACGATGTCAGAAAGTTTTACCAATCAAATGGGGTCAAGATAATACCGCAATACGGGCAGTATAGTAATGACTTTCAGAAATCTGTTCGATGCATACAAATACACTTTTTGCTTTCAGAGCAGGGTAAATCGTGGCCAGAAGTAGATGACGACGATGGGTTAAAGTCACTATGGGAGAATGAGATGGGAGGTGAAAGCACGATAGAAATTTACATTTACGCATTATCTGTGATTGGGGGAAGATTTGATCAAACTATACAATCAATAAACCAGCTTTACATTCTCCGTCAACAACAACCAAATTTGCATATGTTTTTCATAACCAATGATGATATAATTTTCTTGTTGTACAAGGGCGTCAATTTCATCACTTATCCAAACCGAGCCATCTTCTGCAAAAATACATCGTCACCGCCATTGTGTGGGCTTCTACCTCTCGGAGGAAAGGCTGTCACGTTGAATAGTTTTGGGTTGCGGTATGATGTCAAAAATTGGGTAACGCAAATGCCGGGTCAGATAAGCTCCTCGAATCGAATTGTTGGAGAGAAGGGGTTTGTCATTGAGTGCAGCGAGGATATTTCAATGAATATAGAATTAGATTTATAAGGAATAGACAAGATAGAGCAGATTACCGGAGTAGATTTTGTTTGTAATTTCATTTGGTAGCGAGAATCACAACTCAATTTTTTTCCCACAAACTGCGATCAAAATTTTCCAGTTCAATTTAAAGAGACAAATCTGGCACTGGATACTCTGAGGCTCTCCATCCATTATGTTTAGATCGCTCGCGAGAACGTCCTTTAGAGGCATGAACCAGACGGCGACTAGATTTGCCTCGCTGTATATTCCACCGAGATCACCAATACTATCATCACTTTCACCACTTTCATTTTCATCGTCATCATCATCATCATCATCAAGTCCATCAACCATTTTGCAAACACCAAACTTGGTCCCCACAGCTAATGAAGTCGCATTGAAGTTGCCGAATATTACATCCTTGCCTTTGTCAAATCCCCCTGCTAATAAGGATTTAAGTATTGCCATTGAAGTTGAAATAGTGGGCGATGAAATCAAGTTTGAGATTGTTGATGCAGGAGAGAACAACAACGAAATGTATGCTGACTCTGTTTTACGTAAGAGGAGGTTGAAGATGAAGAAGCACAAGTACAAGAAGAGAAGAAAGGCACAACGTGCGTTGAGAAAGAGATTGGGTAAGTAGAGAGGATAATACTTGTATATAGAGGAAAGAAATGGACACACTACAACGAGCATACGATGCTTCACTTCTTGAGTCATGTATAGCAGTAACGATGTGCTTGTTTGTGTGCTACTACAGTCGTGGTCGCATCTGCTCTGAAGCAGACGGTTTCTGGTTGTGGAAAGTTTAAAGCAACATATCGATTCTATTTCCTCCTTGACAATTTCCCGGTTAAAAAGTCTTTTTCTTTTTTCTTTTTTTCTTTAAGAACGAAATAGAATCCTCAGCTTTCTTAAGCAATGCCTTAGCAAGAGATATCCGATCTATTAGTTTGTCCATTCTAAGGAGATCAATTTCCTTTGACTCATTGAAGAAGAAGAAAAAAAAAAAAAATAAAACATAAGTTCACTCTGTTGCCAAGTAGTGTCATAGATTTTGCAACTTTTACAGATACACCACAATCAGCCATGTCAACCATCACATTCGTCACAGGAAACTCCAACAAGCTCAAGGAAGTTCTTGCGATCTTATCTACTTCCTCGCAAGATTCCAACAAAGTTGGAAAATTCCACATCACAAACAAGTCTATCGACTTGGATGAAGTTCAAGGCACCATTGAAGAGGTCACAATCCACAAAGCGCAATCAGCCGCCCAACAAATCAACGGACCGGTACTTGTTGAAGATACTTGTTTAGGGTTCAACGCATACAACGACTTACCTGGCCCTTACATCAAGTGGTTTGTGAAACTGATTGGATTGCAAGGGTTGGTGAAGATGTTGGCTGGATTTGAAGACAAAGGCGCCAATGCAATTTGCACATTTGGGTATTGTGAAGGACCTGGTAAAGAAGTCAAGATTTTTCAAGGAAGAACTGAAGGCACAATCGTTGACAGCAGAGGGCCAACTGATTTTGGATGGGATTCCGTATTTCAACCAACTGGGTTTGATCAGACATATGCAGAGATGGACAAATCAGTTAAAAACACTATAAGTCATAGATACAGAGCATTAGATAAAGTGAGAGGTTACTTGTTGTCTCTCTAAAGTAAATACATACATCATCTGCGAGGAAATATATCGTCATCATAATCATTAATAAACAAACTTTGAAATGCAATATTCTATACCATCTATCTTTTCAAGCGAAAATCTCTTTAATCTTTTCCAAAAATCCTCCCTTCTTCTTATTCTTCTTGGCACCATGCGACGAAACACTGTATAGCGCAGGAACGCCTTGCTCATGCTCCGACGACGACCTACTTCTTGAGTTCAGAATGACATTACCAAATCCACCACGACCCACACTAAAGCCTCTGGAATTAGTAGCTTGCAAATCGAGGCTCTTGACCTTAGTGAGACCGTCGTTATCATCAACATCTTGTAACTTTCTCGTCAACTCAGGATCTTTGTTGTCAACCATATTTCCAAACCCACCACGACCTGTCGTCACCTTCGGGGTCGTTAGACGCGGAGTTCCCGATCCCACTGGCGCCAACTTGGGAGATGACATCTGCTGGTCCGATCTCTTGATATTACCTGCTCCTCCTCTCCCAGTAGAATAGTATGTTGGTCTCTGCTCGCCTTCACCGTTTGATGGTGTATTGCTGAGGTTCGGCAGTATATGGTCTCGAAGCTCGTTCGAGTTTGTGTTCAGTTCCGAGGTTTTCTCGTGTGAGTGATGTATGTTACCAGCACCACCTCTACCTGTGGAGTAAGGCATTGTTGTGGATTAAATATTGTATGTATATGTGTGTATGTGTGTATGTGTGTGTGTGTGGGGGGGGGGACAATAACCGCGGATAAAAAAGTTACGAAAGTGGTCAGCCCTGGGGTGAGACGATGGATATCGTGTAAGAGTAGTAGACCTAGATAGCAATGAGATGTGTACACCGTTCCAAAATGGAGTGTATGGAGTAGAATAGTTGATGGATGAAGAAGGAAAAACTGTGGTGGAATCTCAAGATGGAGCAAAAGCAAGTGACCAACAAGGAGAAAACAAAAGAAAAAAAAAAAAAAGAAAAAGAAATAAAAAAAGAAATAAAAGCCGCATAAAACGTATTGCCCAATATACTGCGGTTTGGATGTATATCTAAGGTGTAAAGCCACAAAAAGCCATTTCGGGTGAAATGGTTGGTGCCGCACGGAAGTTAAACACCGGACTGAATGTTTAGGCATCTCAACCGCAAGCTCTCGTAGTCCTGTTGACCGTTGTAAAGAGGTATAATAGTAACAGAAAGACGTTTACGGGAGCTTTAACACTAGCATACCCAATGAATGTGCATGCAGTTGTGAGGCAAAGATTTTATCTACTGACATTTTTCGCAACAATCTCTCCTCATTGTCTTGTCAAATGCTGTGTAAACACAACCAAAACGTTGTCTCGAGATCTAAATACACTAAACCAGAGCATATACTCTAATAACGTTCGTAAAAGCTCACCCCCCCTTCCCTCCCTCTCGTTCAAGCATCTAAACTGACGACACTAGACGCAACATCACTATCAAATCGCCCACCAAAACTTTGCTCATCATCACCATCATTAGAACTGGACCACTCAACTTCACAAAGAGAATTTAATTCAATCGCCTGGGTTTGCGCTTGTGCGTGCGCACTCGCCATAGTCTTTACCATCATCATAGTCATCATCAGTTTCAGCTTGGTTGAGTTTGCATCAAATTTGGCCACTCCTTGCATTGCATTAGATGGTACATGAATATTAGTGGCAGTGGTATTATGGTTACAGCCGGCTCTATTCTTGTTTCTCGTCAACAGCAGCGGAGCAAATTCGAATTGTCGCTGCAATTGCTGTCGATGATAATAAGAAGCTTTGGAGATGCGCATAGATGTTGAAGCGGCAATTGTATTGCATGTAGTGGCTGATGTGGCTGCAGTGGCTGCAGTGGCGACCGTTGTTCCATTACCGTCCCCAACACCAACTTCATGATGAACTTCCTCCTTATTATTTTTGATGAAATAAATTGCACCTGTCAAATCATTCTCTTTTTCAGTTTCATCAGCAACGTAAAACCCATCGGAATCAACAATGCATGCTGGAAAGTGATTTGAATCTAAGAGATCAGGTTCACCATCACCGGTAGAATCATCATTGTTGTGGGTATCGTCGACGACATTGATCTTCAGTAATTGCTCGTTTATGTGCGAATACAACCCAAGTTGCAAATTTGGCATTGGATTGGAAGTATTTGGTGTCGTAGCGACAACAGCACCAGCACCAGCACCAGCACCAGCTTCATCATGGTCAAGCATAGATTTCATTTGTTCCTTTTCCACAACGAATCCATCCATTTTTTTACTTCTTTGATGATGCAGCTTGATTAGTTTCAACTTGGTCAATTTCGCATTATAATAACAATGGAGTCGATCCCTCACTTGCACAAACCATTTGTGACCGTAGTTACTGTTGCCCTGACTTTCAGTTTCCCGCGTACCAGTGACAAGATCTTGAGACTCATCACAGGATGTAGTAGTCAGTTCATTTGTTTGTTTATAGTTTGCTCCTCTCTCGGCTTTACTTGCGTTATTCATTCCTCTCTTTTTACCTAATAATGGCATATGCTCCTCGAATTCTCGGCAATCAACGTCATATTGCAGCAATTGCATCAGTGTCAGCAGTTGTACGTCAGTTCCATAGTCACTATCAACACCCGAGACGGCGCCAGTAGCAATAGGACCAGTATCATCTCGGTTTGTTCCACCGGTAGCAATGTCTCCACATTCAGTCTTGATGTCACGAATGGACGCATGTGCACTAAGCGAGGACGATTTCAATCCTTCTTCAACAACACAAGTAAACTTCTTGCCAAACTCAACCTGTTGGTGATGGAATGAAGCTGCCGTGGACTTGGAATCATCGACCAACGGCGACGTTGACGAAGTCAATGATGATTCGGTAGGTACTTTAGTGGCATTACTGTTATTGGTGGTGTTTGTGGTGTTTGTGGTGTTTGTGGTGTTTGTAATTGTATTGGGCGTGGCTACTCTTGATTCCAACGTGCGCATTGAGCTCCGCTTCTTGAGAAAGCTTGGTTGGTAGGAAGCTACATCTGGGATAATGTTGACTTTGAAGTTGTTGATATTGAAACAAGGATCAAATCGACTACCGAACCTAGCAGGTGAATTGTGAGGTGTAAGTGGTGCAGTATTACCGCGAGCTGTGACAGGTGCAGAAATTGCAGCAGGTGGTAAGTTGGGGTAACCATTTGAACCAGCTTTGGCCGATCCATTACTATGTTTGCATGAGTCTTGTCGAGTTTTGGTTGTGGTTGAATTTGTGTAACTTGATCTTGCAACAATTGGTGTCATTGCCTTGTACCTCAAATTAGCACTCCTTTCTCCATTGATTGATGCAGTCATCGTAGTGGCTGTTGTAGCAGTGGTTGCAATGGATAAAAATGATGCATTGTCTCCTGCACCAACTCCCCTTCTAGCCGATCCCACAGTATCAATCACTTCGCCACCATTCTCCTTTTCACGAGCACGAGCACCCTCACTGCTCAAACTCATCTTTCTTCGAATGCTTCTTCTTTTCCGTTTACTCCTTCTCTCTTTAATCGCTCTACCATTTTCATCACAAACAAAGACATCCAGTTCATTTGTTTGTCTTGTTTTGAAGTTCAACAAAGTACCACGATGGGAAAACTTGAGCTTGTCAACTTTAACTAGTGAGTAAAAGGCATCGTGTAGTGCAAGGGTGGGTAGATTGAAGCTCAGGGTGATTGAAGAGGTTGACCCAATTGGCAGTAAATCCAAGGAGGAGACCGAGTCGGGTGGCGCTGGCGTTGGTGCGGGTGCTGGTGTTGCTGTTGCTGTTGCTGTTGCTGTTGCTGTTGCTGTTGCTGTTGCTGTTGCTGTTGCTGTTGCTGTTGCTGTTGCTGTTGCTGATTGCACCTCCTTCCTAATTCCTTTGTCTGTATGGTTCTTTTCAGTGGCAAAACTCTGTCTGATTGAAAGGATAGGGGATATCGGTGACACCAGCTTGAAGGACGAATACGGTTTCGAGGATGTTGTCAACAGCTCTTGATCGGTATTTGCACTCCCACCTACAAGTGATTCCACCTGTTTATTTGGTAAAGAAACTGCACTCTTTTTAACTCCCCTTCTTTCACCACCATTGTCATCTATATTCACTTGAGAAACAGGTTTGTCAATGTATGGATTATAGTTTTTCTCTGCTTTATTTTTACCATGTGCTCTTGGCTCTAGGTTCAATCTATCAAAAAGCTTGCGAACTATAGTCATGATGGAGTAGTTTATCGATGGCGAAGCAAAATAGCCGAGTTCAAGAAAGTGGAAGAAAGGAACCAGTATGAATCCAAGTGTGGTGTCCTGCAAGCTGGGAAGGCCTCAAAGGACTTTCTTTCTCTCTTGTTACGTCATTAGTAAAGATGAGGATCCTTATCTAGTGGGTTATAGATTCCCAAATCTATGAGGTGGCATCTTTGTGGCTAGCATTAAACGTGGAAAATCTGGGTGGCAACAACTAGCAAAAGGATACAAGAAATTTTGATATGCTAAGTTCGAGTTTCCCCAAAAGTTAATCATTTCATGTTATTTTTTTCATTTGAATTTTTATTTTGTTTAGGTTTGGTTGCAAAAAGTACAGAAGCTCCCGATAAGTGACGCTAGAAATTAAACAGGTTGATTTGGATGAGGGATCGCGAAACAGTTATTGACCGAAAACAAAAGCAAGTAGGGAAGTGGTGACCTGCTATTCAAAAGTGTGGATGCAAATAAAAGCTTTGTTCGCTTTGAAGTACAGAACCATCCAACGGAAACAGTAATAGTCAGTCGTTGACATGGCATTGGCTATGCCCATTCACCTCTATCTGTCCTCTTTAAATTACCATCAAGCTACACGTTACAGATCTGGGGTCTTGAAGATACTGGGGAAAACAGAGGAAGTTACGAACAACACAGTCCCCTTGCTCACTCATGCATAATGCACAAAACATTACTCTGCCAAAGTGACTCAGGTGCTCAATTACACGAGTTATGATTGAAGTGTAGCTTGAATAGCGTGACGGATGGTTTGTGTTGATACACTACTCTGAAAGCGAGATCAGAGGACTCCCTGTCAATACCACTGTCCTATTGTCCACAAAGACAGCGAGAAGGCTTCGTCTGTTGTTCTGCTTGTTTCTTGCTATTGTTTAAGGGAGTTCTCTCTCTTTTTTCGAATATAGACGAGGTCAAATATAATACGACAAAGGAAGTCTCTAATAGTGGGGTTATATTGTTGCTTCTAGCTCAAAACTACATTTTCCCCTATTTTCGTCTATAATGAATTTCGTGAATTTCGTGTTTTTCGTGTTTTTCGCGTATTAGACATTTTCATACCTTCTTACAACTGCGCCCCCCTTTCGTCTTTTTTTTATTTTTATTCTTTTTTTTTTTTTTCTCTCGAGATTTTCGCGTTTTTATTGTTTTTATTTTTTTTTTGCTTTGCTAAATACAATGCGCATAAAACGAAGGTCATAATTGGGGGTGAAAAGAGTCTGCATGTTGTGTCAACACCTGTGTTTTCTGTGTATACTCAGTAACACACGATAGCCAGCCCATACTCCTTAGCTCACGTCACCACCCTCACTGCAGGATAAGTCTATTAGAAAATATGATGTCCTCCTCATTTCTTTGGTGTGTGTGAGCATACGTTATTAAGCTTTGCCCAAGATTGTGTAATATTCACACAGCCCCCCCTTTTTAATATATTTATTTTTTCTTTGTTGCTGTCAAAAAAAAAAAAAAAAAAAAAGAAACGACAATTTTAATCTAAACTGTTCTGTAAGGTCGTGCTGTTTGGAAAAGATAACTAATTTTGTTTTCTCTTTTGTTATTTTTGCACCTTGGCCCCAGCCGCACTAACAGGGAAAGATAAGTAACTGCAGATTCTCGCTGGCAAAAAGCTGATACAAGGGAAGCAAAAAGAGATATTGGGGGAGGGGGATAAGTTGCCCTGTAATAGACGTGCCCTTAGTGAGTAGGGGTTGGAGGCATACCAGCTCGAGTTTGAAGGTTCTGGTAAGAGCGAACTTTTTCTTTTTGTCTTTTTTTGTTTTTTTTTTTAAATGGCACGATGGTAATACGTTTTTTAAGTCTACTTTTCCCCACTTTGTCCAACGCAAAAGGAGACACATTTTGTTGCTTTGTTGTGTGGCATAGAAGAATATTGCAGAAGATTATGATTTGTTTGCCGCCTTATAGAAGGAAATCAAAATCAACCACGTTGGCCCCAGATTGCGCATTGCGAAATTTTTTACTTCTCGTAGTTGAGTCGTCTTGAATCATCGTCCTCATCAACGCAATACACACATCTATTGTCACAGCATTCACAAAGTTGGCTGAAAAGGAAGAACAAGAAGAAGATTAAGCATGAAACACCAAATCCAAACGTTTGAGATTGATATTTTATTTTTTTATTATTTTATCACTTCGGATAAATTATAGAGATGAAAATTATAGAGATGTTTGCCATTACGTAACTTTCGTACGATTTTATTTTCTCTCTCTCTCGCTCTCTCTCTCGCTCTCTCTCTCGCTCTCTCTCTCTTTTTTTTTGTCTTTTTTGTCTTTTTTGTTTCTGCGGTGCGGGTGGGGGTCTAAAGTGGAGGAAGTGGGGCAAACGACACCCCCTATTTTCCTTTTGCTCTTCTGGAGCATTGTATCTTTTACTCCTTTTTGAACAACTGCAATACAAGTCTATTCCAACCTCTTGAAAATACAACTGTAGTTACTGTATCCTTCAGTTTAACTTAATTTGGTTAATGATGAAATTAATACAATACACGTGGATTTTCTCTACTTACGTCAAGTATTACGCAAAACTGTATCTAGCACAAAATGTAATTGAATATAGATTTCAGATTTCAGAAATGAACTTTGTTTGCCACTAGGGCCGCCAGGTTTCTCGAACTATAGAGTGTAGACTTGCTAAGGTTAGTTAACATAATATAGAAAGCAGTGACAATGGTAGAAACAACAGAGACTGCTTGCATTAGTTTAGAGAGATTTATTGAGAGGGTATTTGAATGTACCTTCACACACCTCCGTTCAAAAGAGGCGTAGACTGTGGCTCTGCGCACGTTGAGTTCGTGGTGGCAAATTACCAAAGATGCGTTATTAATTATTCTGCTTGTTAAAGAGATTAAGGCGGAATAAACAACGAGTTTTTTTTTTTTTTTTTTTTTTTGGGGGGGGGGGGTGATACTTGGCTGGTCGGGGCTATGTACATGCACAAGAGTTTCACTATATTATGTAGTACTGCAGGTGATGGTTTTCCTTTAAAAAAAAGAGAACAAAATATTGTATCAAGAGCAATCAAAAAGAATTCAAAATCTTAACCAGGGCCACGCTACAAAAAAAATAAAATAATAATAAAAAAAAAAAGAAGGATGTTTTTTCTTGTAAAGTATTGATGTAAAGGTGTGAATCATTGCCAAAAACGATAATAAATTAACCCAATTAGGAAAAATAAGTCTACACATTGGCACGTGAATCAGTGTCTAAAAATAACTTCCCAAAAAAATACGTCTAAGCCTTCATCACAATGTGTAGGTCGTGTATCCGAAGCCAGGAATCCTAAAAATACAATAATAAGCAGAGAATGTAACATACTAATAAGTGCGCCTATATGCAGTACTTTTACACACTACCATGAATTTCTTTTTTTCTTTTGTTTTTCATGCGAGTATGACTCAACACAAAACAAGACTAACCAAAAAAAAATAAAAAAAATAATAAAAGAAAAAATAATAAAAGAAAAAAATCACGCCTGAGTAAGAAAATTTTTTTTTTTAAAGAAAAAACACAAAACACAATTTTAATATTCTCACAGCGTGTGTTCCCTCTGTACAATTAAATTTTTTCTTCTTCTTCTTCTTTAACGGTAAAATCTAGAGATTATATAAAGGGACCTCAATATCCAAAGACAATTCTAAAGCTTCCTTTTAGTTTTTCTTTTCCTCTTATTCAGCTAACCAGTTTTTACACTTTAACAAAGCCACACATTATCTACAACAATGCAATTCACTCAAGTTATCGCTTCATTGGCCTTGGTCGGTGCTATCCAAGCTAAATCTTCCAACTCAACCGGAGGTGCTGTATCCAACTCCACTGGTGCTGCTGGTTCTAACTCTACCGGTGGTGCTGCTGGTTCTAACTCCACTGGAGGTGCTGGTTCCAACTCAACCGGTGGTTCTGGAGCTTCAGGTAACGCTGCTAACGCTCCTAACGCTAACATCTACGGTGGTGCTGCTTTGGTTGCTGCTGCTGTCGCTTTGTTGTACTAAGCGTGCTGTTGCTGTTTAACTGCTACTACTACTACTACTCACCACTACCGCATTTTTTTTATGTCTTGTTTTTTGTTTTTTGTTTTTTGTTGTATTATGAGGTCAAACCACAGACACAGACTCAATGCTTTTAATAAACTACACTAACTTATAAGAGAGCTTTGTGTTCTGAGAGGTTTGCAGAAATACTTTCAGCATAGTCTTCACATTCTAATAATTTCAATTTTTTTTTGTTCCCATATTATCACATTTATTTATTCAGCTCAAAGTTGTTGTTTTTTTGTTGCAAAAAGGGTTTACTTTATACATTTTTTTTTTTCTTTTTTAATGTAAATACAACAGTTCTTGCGTTGTTTTTATTGCCTTTTTGTCTTGCTTTTGTTGTTTAAGAACTCTTGGTTGATCGTTGTGGTTTGTCCAACAAGGATTACCATGGAGACAATTATATAGAATATAATCTTAATTTCAAAACTTAATTACGTTTCGAAATAGTGTCTTGTAGTGGATCTCTTGGCTTTATCTCTCGCCACGCAAAAATGCAGCATATGGGTGATGATTTAAAGCACGAATAGAGAAGTGGCAGGGTATAGTCACTTTGACATAAAGGGTATTCTGACTCGGGAATGCATGACATCATTATTGTCTAATTGGTCACCGATTCCGTCGAGTGTGATAAGGTTCCAGATATTCCGAAATGTTAACAACGCCAAAAAAAAATAAAAGAAGGAAATTATCCCAGTTGCATAGGCTACTCTTTTCAGGAATAATATCTAAAACCACCCTATCTTTACTTTAAATCTCTACCATTATAGGCCTAGGTTGACGAAAAAAGAAAAAAAGAAAAACTCGTTTGGGTAATTTGTGACAAGGATGGCTGGCTATAAAATTTGACAGATGTAAAACAAGCGAGACTAGCACAAACAACTGATTAACACACACACACACACACACACATACTCAATGTTTGAAGTAGAACTTGAATAGAGGAGTAAAGAACAATAAGCCATTGAGGGGGGGATGTATATGTCCTAAGAAATGATTGTTTCTGCAGGATGAAGTGCATGCAACACTTGAGCTCTGCTGTTGAACACTTGAGCGACGTAAACAAAAGAGAGTACTACACAAGTCAAATGCAACTGACCACGAGTGTCACTATTTTTCCTATATACCTAAACTTACTGTCCTACCCAAATAACAAGGTACCACTTCAACCTTCAAAAGTCTCTTCAACTGTTGGCCTTGTTCTTGCGTAAGATATATGAATCAATTGTAGTTGAATCAGCAGTTACTGACTCAAACTCTTCTTGAGGATTGAAAATCTCCATCAATTCCCGACTGATCTCATCCATCTTGCGTTGGAAATTAGATTCACTATGATGATCACCAAGATTGGCAGTATTAGAAAAGGACTCGTCGAAACTTTCACCAATGTCAAACTCACCTCCTTCTACTCCATCTTCTTGCTGCATTGGGGCTTCAAATTCTCCAATTCTGCCTTCCCCCAGATCCAAGTTCTCTAGTCTCAATGCAACGGTATTGATCAAACTACAAAGCTTGAATTTGAGCATGTTGATATCATTGTTTTTGGCAAGTATCAACTCCATCAACAAGTTATACTGGTTTAGCAAGTTGTAAAATTTCGATTCAAAGGAAATACCAGAAACACCAGTCCGCGGAGTGCCAGTTATTGTCGATTTTGATTTTGATTTTGTTGTTGTTGTTGTTGTTGTTGTTGTGGTGGTGGTGGTGGTGGCAGTTGCAGTGACTGGTCTCGATACAGGTAATGACGTTTGTTTCCATTTCTTGGAAATACCCATATCTTTCATGACTTTTGCCATTACATCTCCCTCTCCTTGCTCTTGCTTCCTTGTCCAATTTCGAGCATGATTCAAAGTTATTTGATATGGGGGTGGCAATTTTATAGGTGCGAAATCTACTAAATGGTAATGTACTTGCTGCAAATGAATGAAGATGGCATCAAGAGTCAATGGTGGTTGAGTTGTAGGTGATGCAGTTGGAACTGAGGCTGTCAAGTTGGGTGTTTGTCTCCGTTTGATGAATGAAGAAGAAGTTGCCAGTGCTTTTGCTTTTGCTTTTGCTTGTGCTTGTGCTTGTGCTTTTGCTGGTGTTATTGGTTTTGGTGTACTTTTGAAATTATGGTAGCTTCTGGGCTCTAAGGCTGACTGGTTCCGATGATGATATGGTTTGTCGTACATGACTGAGACTTTGTAGCAGCTAAACAGCGAATGATGTATCCCACTCTGAGAGCATTGAACAGGAAGTAATTTGTCATAAAACTATCTTGTGGCTGCCAAAAAAAAAAAAATAAAAAAAAGGATAGGTAATGCGGGAAAGAAAAAATTGTGAACGAATAGCAGTTGGCTTGTGCAAGACTAGCATAGACAGCATGATAAGAACTGGTATCCCTCCTACACCAAAACTCCTCTGAAACACGTCCATCTGTACATTCCATAAACACATAAACTGATAATAATATTTTCCCCACCTAAAACACGTCGGGCAATCTCTCCACTACATACGAATGTCCACCAACACTAATAAGCGGCACACCAGGAACTTTCCTAATCCTTCTCTTCAAATCAGCATCATTCGTAGCCACTATAAAACACTTGTGCTGCATCACTCGATTAACAAGACAATCATCCGCATACGTCCCCGGATGACTGCAGCTCAACCGTTGGATGCGTGGGTCCTTGGCTAGCTTCAACGCTATTCTGTACTTGGCCCCCAACTTCTCCAATTCGGCCATAACGCAATCGGTGATTATAGGTATACATTTCGCCATCAAACAATCCATCAAGCCTCGTATAATGTCAATCTTCTTTTGGATACTGAAGTTGATGAAATTCGTATCGATCAACACTTGGTATGGCGGCTTGATAGCCTCGTTGAATTTGAAGAAAAGCGCCGACGACACTTGTGGTACATGCTGGGTCAATTCTGGATCCTTTTGTTGTGATTGTTTCGATAGTTGGTTGGGGTTGACTGATTTGTTTTGCGTTAGACGCGGATCCTTTTTGGATAATGTACGTTTGACAGCGGCAAATTTTCTAGTCTTTTTGGCTTTACCCATGGTTGAGTTGCGAGATATGGTGAAAAGATTGGTTCAATATTCAGAGATGAGATAAGTTGAGATGAGAGGGTTTGAGCACACTTTTTTTTTTTATTTTTTTTCTTCTTTGGCAAGAGCGAGATAATATACGAAAGAGCTTGGAAGTCGCTATTCACCTTTACTCTATTTACTTTGATATATCAACTGAGGCTCCAAGACATCCTTGTCATTCTCTTTCCTCTTCCAACTCAATATCCTCCTTTTCTCAAAGTCAACCTCAAATAGTCTAATCTTGCGCACATATTCTTGATGGATTGTAGTTACACCCGAATCACCCGTGATTGAATTATAACACAACCAAATTGACGGCACATTGTCACCACCTTCTTTTGTTCTTGAAGTCTTTTTTGGTTTTTTGGCCAATTCCGAAAGGATACATGCATCATTTTCATGTTCGTGTCCAACTGACAATACTTGGTATCGACAATTGATTATATCGTCATGGAACTTCACATTGGTCTTGGTGTCGAGTGGGTGTTTTTCATTGTAGGACCCAATGATTTTGAATGTGCCGGCGGGACGATATTGTGGGATAGGGTAGTGGAAAAAGAGTAGTTTGTAATCAGTGGATGTGAAGTCGTTGTTAATGCGGTACAAGTAGTTGATTTGTGTTTCATCAATGAGATGATCTTGCGAGTCGAGTATGGTTATCGATATTGTTTGTTCGTCAACTTGATCCTTTTCCCTTGTCACTTTATTGAATATTTGAAGATTGTCATTGGTAACCCCATGTAGATTTGAATCAGCAAATGGTACAAACGTGTTGAGACAATTGGGTAAAGACGACAAAAACTCTACAATTGTTGATTTATCTTCTTTGCTAGGCACTTCGTCCCCAAATGTGTAAATGAATTTCGTATTTGACGCCAAGATCGGCTGCAAACTCTTTAACAATATGGACTTGTAATCCAACGATCGTTCAACATCAATTAGGTCACCGGTGATAACAATCAAGTCGGGGTGTTCTTGCTGTATTGTTGATTCGATAAATTTCAAAGTTTTCAAATCAGAACTGCATTTCATATCAGTTGCAGTACCGGCATCGCTCCCCCCTGTTCTGCTACATCTACCCAAATCCTGTCCAAAATGCAAGTCTGATAATTGCATCACTTTGTATTTCTCCTGACTCGTTTCCAATATTTGATCTTGTTTAACTAAACTTTTAGCCTCTTGGGAAATCTGCTTCTGATACTCTTCCTGTTGCTCAATACTCATCATTGAAATTGATAAAATTGGATGTACTGCCTCCTCATTGGATAAATGTAAAGTGTGATGGAACAATCTTGAATCTATCAAGTCGTTGCTACCAAACAAGACATCAACTGACCGTAGCACAGGACTGTCTCTTGACAACGGGGTTTCAGGGTTGTTGATGGTGTATTTTTTGTACAATTTGAAGAACCGATCATCTTCATTGTCATTGACTTTGATAACCTCGTATCCTTCATGGTTTTCCAATGATAGCCCGGCAATAATCCTTGTAGTTTCGTCCAATGATGACAACTTTAATGCAAGATAATACTCATGTTCATACAATTTCTTCTGCAGCTTACCTGTAGCATACTTGTAGAAAGTCAATGATGGGTTAATGGTTGTATACCCTGCCGGTACTTTACAAAACTTGAAGCTTCGACATTTGACAATTGTCACGTCTGACACAACCAGATTCAGTGCATGAATAGTAGTCTCCAACTCATGTTGTAGCTTTAGTAGTGTGCTTTGTGGTATGGGTGTATTTTGTATCGCCTGTACTGTGATGTAGATGAGAATGAGTAGACTACTTGTTGCGATTGTTGCTAGTAGTTTGATATAGTGTCGGTTGATGAACATAGCGCTAGATCGAGTCTTTGCCATATCGTATTGTAATCAGTGACGTTGTTTGGGAATCGATTTGCAGGGTTGCTTGTGGTGGTGAGTATCCGGCTCCGATGAGTTTGGCTTTCGAGCTTTCAAAGATATATATATATATATATATATACAACGCTGATAGATATAGGGTGAGTGCGATGCCTCTAGGATTCAGTGGCAGGCTAAGTAGTGATCTATATCGAATTGCATACAGAAGGAGAAATATTTCTGGGTAATATGTATAGTCTTAAAAAGCTTATACTGCACTATAAGACTTTCTCGTATATACGATACATACATTGTATTACTATGCATACAATTTCTCTCTGAATATTTTGAAATTCATTCACTTTTTGTGTAATGTATATTGAACCCGCCTTAACTTGCGACTAAAACTCTGTCCAGAAGAAGTAGAAGTTAGACCTGTTTTTTAACACATCAAACGAAGCGGTAATATCAACACGCTGGACAATCGTTGTGAGATACGCTACTTGAATCCACACCTTTTGATAATTTGGCGCTTGCAATAGGGTGTGGAGAAAAAAAAAACTACAAAAAAAAAACACGGAATTGGCAGAGCAAATGTACAAAGTATTGAGCCCATTTTTGTTCTAGACCATTTTTCTCTTTGTTTCACTTCCAAAATTACGGGAATAGGAATTTATTTTCTTGTCTACTTCTTCTGGTATTCCTCTGTTCATCATGATATTCTTCAATTGCAATGGAAAAAGATGCTCACTATGCTTTGCTTTAATGGGGGGGGGGGGACCACTTCAATAAGCACATGGGGGACAAGAAGGTCATAATTCTCTAACTAGGATACACTCAGAAGCGTGAATCAACGAAGAATATTTTATTTCTTTACTGTATAACACTTGCATATTAATCAAACCCCAAATCGGGCTACTCGCAACCCCAACTGGGTAAATGGTTTATTTTGTGCGATTTTATCGCAATAATAATATGGATTGACGACGGAAAATCCCTACGTTTGATATTACGCGAGCGAGTATTAACATGAGCGCTGCATTTAGAAAAAATGTCGACTGCACTAATACTGCAAAGCTGCTTTAGTACATCTCTTATGTACTCTCTGATGCCATAGATTTGACCTTGTGGGCCAAACAAGGCGGTCTATACATGTAAATGATCTGGGTAAAAACTGCAGTTTGTACTACCTTTACTTATCACTGCAACAAAATGAGGACAAACAGAAGTTACACACAATTTGAATGCTTGAAGTGCACGTGGTTGTGAACCAGGACGACACCCGGTGTAGTCTTGTAGTCGTTGCGTCCATTGAACCCAACTACAAACAGCTCTCTATCACAGCCTATGCTTGAGTCAATCTGTGACCAACATGTGGAGCAACAAGTCCACGATGCAATAAAGACATAATAAATTACTTTCTCTATTCAGATATCCTCATTTGCACGCTTCTTATTTAACCTACCTTCAAACTCCTCTTTTGATTCACCTGCACTCCATCTCAACTTATAAGCTGGATGCAGTTCTAACAAAAACCCGGGATCTTGGCGATCACTGCCAAACAATTGTTCCCTAAATGTCAATGGACGTCCAATATCTGGATAATCATCCCACACCAACCCACGCTTTTGTAATTCTGGAATCAAGTACTCCACAACTTCTTCAAAAGTAGTTGGTTGCACTGCGTAAGTTATGTTGAACCCATCAACATCGGATACTTCGATCCAGCGCTCAATTTCATCAGCAACTTGCTCAGCAGTCCCGTAAAAAACAGGGCCCAATCCACCAACGGTAATTTGTTTGGCAACATGCTCTCTTGTTTTCTTTACGTGTTCCGGCTCACCAGGAGCTTTCTTGTTCCACAATTCAAGGAATGATTTAACTGCATTGGTGCCGACTGCAGTGATGTCTTCCCCATACTGGTATTGGCTAATATCGATACCTGTCCAGCCAGAGAACAATGCTTGCGCACCTTCAATATCACCGTAGCTTTGATACTCTTTGTACTTGGCTTCTGCATCTTCTTGAGTAGCGCCAATAATAGGAGTGATCAATTGCAAAAACTTGATTGAACCTTCAGGGCGACCAAATTCCTCAAGTGCAAGACGCTTTATCTCGGTAATCAGTTTGGCAAGAGCCTCAGGTGCAAACTGGGTGACAAACACGACTTCAGCATGCTGAGCTGCAAATTTCTTACCAGCACTCGATGTACCAGCCTGGATAATCACCGGCAATCTTTGGTACGGGTTGGGTTCGGCAATAAATGGGCCTGGAACTTCGAACCACTTACCCTTGTGATTAATCTCTCTAATCTTGTCAGGGTTCGAAAACACCCCATCCTTAAGCTCCACCGCATCATCAGCCCACGAACTCAAAAACAATTTGTAAATGACATCAATGTACTCTTCGGCACGTTGGTATCTTTCCGCATGCGGTGGCAAATCCTCCCCATTCAACAAGTTTCGTGCAGCCGAGTCCAAATATGAGCTCACCACATTCCATCCAATTCTTCCCCTAGTCAACCAATCCAATGTTGCCAAACGCCTAGCAAAATGGTATGGTGCTTCACTAATTGTAGAAAACGTGATTCCAAAAGCCAATTTCGAAGTGACGGCAGCACAAGCACTGATCAACGCCAGTGGCTCAATGTTGGGGAACTGAGCGCCTGATGTTGCAGCAGCAGTGAAGTTTCGCGGCCCATTGTACACGTCGTATGGTCCCAATACATCAGCAATGAATAATCCATTAAACTTACCACGTTCAAGTAATTGAGACAAGTTTGTCCAGTACTCGATCGTGTTGTGGTTGCGTGATTGATCCTTTGGGTGCTTCCAAAGACCAGGTGCTTGGAGTCCAGAACACCCCATCTCAAAAGCAAAGAGCTTCAACTGCTTCTTTGGTTTGGGTGAAGTGGAGTTTGCATTAGTCTTGGAAGATGGTGCCATTGCGTAGCGTAGATGCAGGTTGATGATAATCTCAAATAAGGAGGACCTATTTGAGAAGAAGAAAAAAAAAATACCAAAGAGGGGGGTTGGGATTGGGGTAGGGGCAGTTTTGCCCCATATTATATCTATCGCAGTTAAGGATGAAAAAATTGTGGATGCAAAAGAAAAAAAAAGAAAGGAATTACATATACGATTGTTGATCGGCTCGCGGAATTGACAAATCTTACGCAAGCCCTCAAAAACCCTCACAACCGAAAAACTGTGGCTGGTAAACTACACCGCCGCATGTGAATGCTGGACCAAATGTGTCCCTCTTCGTAATGAACCATACAACTCAGCAAAACACTGAACCTGCAAGATATAAGCAAGCTCTTGTTTTTCACATGTTGATGCGCTATTTACAATTTGTATACTTATAACCTCTCCACTTGTAACGGATTACCACTGTTTTTGAAAATATTGTATCCCCAGAATCCAACAACATTCAACAATCCAACTCTCCAACCATTAAACAATCCCAATTGTTTCACCTTCTGGATCGTAGTAAGTTCTTCCCCATCCACTGACGAGCTCACACCATTAAACTCCACAATCATGTTCTCTTCTGGCTTCACAATTGTAATAACCTTCTTTTCATCATGAACTTTTGGTTCCAATAAGAAACGAACCTGCTCTTTCCGCAACAAGTTTTCAACTGGCAACTTGACAAAGAACTCACCAATCAGCGAAAGCAAATTGACAAATGTGTAAATCGTAGGCGATGAGTAAGCATCAATATTGAATTTGATGTACAACAAATATGGTGCCATTTTTCTGAAAACACTGGTTGATAACTGGTACAATGTGGTGAAAAAGATGATTGGCGTGGGTGGATGCTTCAAATAATATGTTGGGAAATTCCTAATCGATTCTCTAAAGGACCTTGTATTTTGAACAACTTCTTCGGCAGCCTTCTCCAATACATCCTCTTTATTGGAAGCTTCATTAGTCAAGGCAAGCGAAGTTGGTTGTGTGATCATGAACTTGACACGTATCAAATCCAACGGAATCATCACCAACCCGGTAAGCACACAAGCTGAAACTGACAACCACAAAGATTTGAACGGATCGTTCGAATGAGTCAAGTCAAGAAAGAAGGGGTCTGGAATACCCAAAAATGGCGATACAAACCCGGTAATGTAAGCTTCAATCATATGAGTCAATACTTGATAAAGGTACGATGCATTAACACCTCTAAACAAAGCCAAGAAAGAATCCTTGTTGGCGATTGCAGACATAATTTCTATAGTGTGCAATGATTTTGGCTGGATTTTGTACACCCTGAGTCTCTTTTTCGTGCTCAATCGTTTGATTGGCGGTGGCACAAACTTGTCAGCGGAGACTGAAGGTGGAGCTGGAGTTGGCGGCTCATAAGTAGTGTTTGGATTGGCCCACACTTGCAGATCACTTTGTGGTTGGAAATAATCAATTGGTTCATCCTGCTCAGCAAAGCCAAGTTGTTGGTGATGATGTTGGCCCAATGGTTCAGGGCCCGCACTCCCACTCCTCAAAGATGCGTTAGATGAAGATAATGAGTGGGTCAGATCCAATAATCTCTTCAGTTTCTCCTTGCCATCCTTCTTTTTCGCGTTGAAATTGAATTTGCCAACTTGTAAAACCAATCGAGTGATTTCCAACGGTTGTGCAAGCAACACTTTAACGTAATCTTTAAACATTGTCCAAAATAGATTCTTTAACAACTCAAGCATATTGTTGACTTCGAAATACTCGCTAAACTCCAAATCAGATATAAAGTTCTTGTCCCCAGCAACTTTGTTAGACTGTATTCCTACACCTCCCTGTCTATCGAACGCTCTTCGTATTAGCCCTGGTGACGATCCAAAGCTGCTTTCACTCACTTGCTTTTCTATAGCATTTGAAGATAAGTTTGCTGTTATCGGTTTACCTGTTTTTGTATCAATTAACCCAACACCCTTTTTGAGGATGACTGAATAGCCAGCATCAAAACTGTCATGATCGTAGTATGGCCTTAGTTGTTCTGGTCCAAGTTTCGTGTTAGATGTCATTTGGTGTGTGTGTGTGTGTGTGTGTGTGTGTGTGTGTGTGTGTCTGTGGAGGATGAGGGGAGATTGCGGAAAAAGAGCAGTGTTGTATAGTCTAGCTTAACTTGAGATGTTTCACGCTGATTGGGATTATATGAATATTGAGTACGACACGACCTTTTAAGCTTTTAGCATGAAAAGCGGTCTTTACACTCAAGACGAGTCCTTGAATACTATAAATATGAGACTAGTTTGGAGGTGGAGGAGTAGGTCTGTCCGACTTCAAAACCACCCAGACTTAGTCGTTTTTTTTTTCTTTCTCCCGAAGCTAGTTATACGCTCTTATGGGTTTTGCTTGATGCTGTTGGTGTTGGTTTTGAAAAGGTGGTTTGGAGGAGAGAGGTTGTTTTGTTTTTAAAGGAGCCGCCCTTACTGGTGGTGAGCTGAAATGGTAAAACAGGTTCAGCATGTTTTCATGTGCCGGCCTGTAGTATTTTGCTGGTTACTCGCCTTACTGCTTAATGTGCAGTGTGGGAGAAGAAGAAACGCATTATTTTATTTTATCATTTTTTGCATTCCTACCATATGTTCCAGAATTCAAAAAACAAAAGAGGAAAAGGGATCAAAGTAAGAAAAAGGAACTTTTTTATACTTTTTTGTTTTTATATCTTTTCTATATATTATACGTTTACATAGCTCTCTCTTCAATTGTCACTTTTACTTGATTGCCTCTCCTCATTTGACCTTCCAATTAAGAACTCTCCGAGGTATTTCAACGGGTCTTCCGGTTTGACTTGCCCAACTTCTTTCAATCCGTCCAACAAGTGTTGTGTCAAGTGTTGATTCAAGTACCTTCGTATTGATGACCCGCCCACAATTTCTTGCAATGGCGGAAGATTGGTATCACGAGATATTGGCTCTTGCTTGACCTGTTTGGTTTGTAATTGAGGAGTTGGTGTTGTGCCTCGTGGTGTACCATTGACTTCCTGTTTTATAGGTGGTTCTTGTGGTGGTTCTTGTGGTGGTACTTGTAGAGGCGCTAGTTCTTGTTTGACTTGCGTATTGGCTGCCTCTTGCCCAGCTGCGTCTCCATTGACAACAGGAGTACCCTCCTTTTCCTGAACTATATCTGAAATATTCATCTATGAACCGAATGTAGTGATATCTGTGCCAAGTGAGTCAGGATGTTTTACTGCAGTGTGTGTGAGTTCACAAAATTATTCCAAACGAAAAACTACAATCCAAAAGTCACTCTCCATCACTTAAAGCATTAATCCCCACCAACCAAGCAAATAACCCTACATCGCCATGGACCCATTCAATGAAGTTAAAGACGACGCATATGCAGTTGTGCACAGATTAGAAGCACTAATATCACAACGGATATCAGGACATCCACCAACCACTGAACAAACACAAGATTTCGGCAACAATTACGAAGAGTTGCAAGAGATGCGGGATGACCTACAAAGTGCCCTAGAGCAAAGTGCTAAAAATCCATCCCAGTTCAATCTAACCAGTACCGATATTTCTGAACGACAATCCATCTTGCAAGACCTCAACCAGCGGATATCGCAGTTGCTGCAATCATGGCACAACAGCAGCAGCAGCAGCAGCAGCAGCAACAACAAGAAGCAGTTGCGTGATGTGACTTCCATGTCGAATCGAATAAGTCAGGATGACGACGGGAATCCATTCAATATCGATACAGATACGGGTGGGGGTAATAACATGACAACATACCAGCAACAAGAGTTGATACAAGAACAAGATGTGCAGTTGGATGATATACATAAAACAATGATGAATCTAAACCAACAAGCTACAATGATGGGGGATGAGTTAGAGGATCAGGGGTTTATGTTGGATGAGTTGGACTATGAGATGGACAACGTGGGGAATAAATTGGATAGAGGGATGAAGCGATTGAATGTGTTTATCGAGAGGAATAGAGAAACGGCTAGTAATTGGTGCATTGGTGTTTTGGTAGTTGTGTTATGTGTATTGTTAGTCTTGTTGATTGTTGCATGATACAAAAGTAACGGAGATATTTTAAAGCAAATGAATTCCTGTCTTTAACTACGTACTCCAAAATATTATAAAACTTATCCATCCAAAGCGTATCCCATATTCACACCTTCAAACTCTCTTGCCAAATCAACCAACTTCAGTTTCAACATTGCCAAGTCCAGGTTCTTTGGCTGTAAACGAGGCAACCATTCAGCTACACCATGCTGCAAAACTCCCTTGGCTCTAGCTTTGCCATATTCAACATTCCCATAGGATCCATGTAAAGTCAATCTCTTATTCTTTGACGAATACGCAGCACGATGCAAGATATTGTTGTTATAAAACACAATATCTCCAGGTTTCAAATTGACAGTAACTTGACCAGAGATAAACTCCTGTCTTCTCGATTCATCAACAGTCTTGTCTCTTTCCTCTTGTGTACGCACTCTCTTGTGAGATCCAGGAACTGCAATAAGACAATCATCATTAGTCAATGCCAAATTAAATTGAGCGCCAGCGAAAGGGTACTCCAACAACTCCTTCGCTTCCTCCTCAGGTGTAACGTCCGGTTTGATTGTATCACGATGCCAATCCAACTCGAAATCAGTCAATGGATTAATCAACATATTCAACAACTCCATTGATATTTCCAGTTTTTCAATTTGCAAAATATCCGAAACCAAAGTCAAAATCTTGTCGTTGGCATAAAGATCATGGAATGGATACGATAATTCACCCAAGTCAGGATGAAGTAAACCGGAAATTCCCCAGATATCAGGGCTGAAATTCTTGGGCCAGGGTGGGAATTGCTTGCCTCTGGTTCTTACATTGGGCCAATTTCCAGCACGTGCATAGTCGACTAAATCTTCACTGGCTTTAGTGTATCTGTCAATTTCTTGATGCGTTAAAAAGTTGCGAACAACGGTGAAACCTTGATCCTCGATTTCGTCGTGGTGTTTGTGTGAAAGAGTGGTAGGGACAGGCATGTCTTTTCGATTCTCGTTAAGTTTTGTAGTATTGATGTTTGGATGATCTTGACTGGGAGAAAGTTTTGCAGTTCGTCTGAAGCTCTAGTACATATACATATATATATGTATAGCTTGGTTTGGGTTTTGGAGTGGGGTCCGGGTTATGAATACCTTTGCTTTGATGGCGATCGTGGAATTGCAATGTGGAGAACGAGGTACTAAATTAGGAGAGGATCAACACTTTGATTGCAAGGTGGTGACATTCGCTTCAATGACGCAATGGAAGCTAAACTATCTCAACCCTTTTGCTTCCTGGTAAAAGACTAAAATTGTTATTGTGGGAAGAAATGCAACATCATAACATTCTTCACAAAAATGTAATGTTGCATCTTTTTTTTTTTCTTTACCTTTGTGGGACACATACGAGGGGTTTGAATCCCGCTTGTAACCGGCGTTCAGTAAATATGCTGGGTAATGAAGAGTAAGTGGATAAGGAGATAAAGCTGATGTCTTCTTGGTAAAGAAGTAATCAAAAGGCTCTTACAAAAACTGTCCTAAACATCTGATAGTTTCATAAATCCTAATTGAAGAATATTCGATAAACAAACACACATATCTCATAACTAAGTCAACAACACGTTCATGTTCAAATGACCCACATCATCCATAGCGTCTTCATGTTCGTTATCAAAGTCCACCAATCCAGCCAGCACACTCTGCACGGTTTGCAGCAACATTTGCACCCGCGATTTCTCAAAAGTTGCTCCTTCAATCTCATCTCTAGTTGAAGAAATCGGTAGCGTCGTGATCAAGAGTGCTGGATCAAACGATAACAATGACGTATCGTATTTCCAAGCCGGGTCAGTGACAAGATTTGTGCGAGATGCTGATGATGAGATTGGTGTCGGCGATTTTGTAGAAAGTGATAAGCTCGCTGCACCGCTTGGGGTAGTTGGCAACGATTTGAGACTGTCTGACGCTGTTGACTGAGTGGTCGAGTATGCTGATGATTTCGCAGTTAGTGCTCGCTTTGTGGCGGAACCACTTTGTTTCGGTGCCCGCTTACTGCCAGTTTTTTTGGACAAGTCTGGCCATATACATTCTTGGTTCCTCACTTGGCACGCTAGGCATACGGGTGATGTTTCGTCACACTTCTTCCTAAACAAAAGGGGTTAAAAAGTTAGTACTCCATTTTTTTCGATATCATGATAATGCACAATTATACATACTTTCGTTTGCGACAGTTTAAACAACCGGTCTTGCTACGGAACCTTGTTCCTATGATGTTGTGCTGTTTGACTTGTTTCTGCTTAAAGTCCGAGTGTCGGGACACTCCCGGAGTTGAAGTGATTTTGCTCGATTTAGATCCTTTGGTGTAAGCGTTGGCATTGGCGTCGTTCATGGAGGTGATAGTGGTGGTAACGTCTGCCACTGCAGTCTCTGAGGTCAAAGTGGCTAGCGGAGTTTCAGGAGGGGTGTGTTTCCTATTAATATTTGCGAAGGAAGTAGCATCAAATATTGAAAACATGATTATTAATGAAGGATTACAGTCGATGGTTGTGTGTTTCGCCTATATTGATGTTTTGTCCAAGTGTAAATGAAAAAGAAATACAACCGTGTCTTCCAAGTATCAAAGCATAACCCTGTGTAGTTAAGCCATAGGGTTGTATTGGATTGTATTGGATTGGATTGGTCTGACTTGAAAAAAAGAAAAAAAAAAAAATAAACAGTTTCAATACCTTTGTTAGTGAGGGGAAAAGGTGAATTGATAATTTTTTTTGACTCTGGTAAATGTTATCCCTCAACAATAACAAGATGTAGATAAGCACAATAATGGTAAGTATTGAAAAAAAAAAAAAGAAAAAAATATGAAGCGGAATTGTATTTATCCACAATCAACAGTACATTTCCAACACTTTCAGTTCTACAAACATTAAATTCACACACCTACGTATCCAGTACTAAGCAATATACTCAAGCTCCTCTTCTCCAACATCATCTCATCTACTTCAAAAAACTGTTATCCAAGTGCAATTCCATCTCATATTCCGGTTGGAATTCAGTATACAATGTTTCAGGATCACCATCATGATGTTCGCAATAAGCAGCCTCTTCATCACCAATCGTCTTCAATGACTCTCCCGGTAACAATGCCAGCTGAGCAGCCAATTGGATCTGGCAGGACTTTTCCAACAATGTAAACAAATATGCGGCCTCATCCACTGTGGAGCCGACTGTTAACAAACCGTGATTTTGTAGAATAATTCCCTTGCCATTACCCAAAGCAGCGGCAATCTTTTTACCTTCTTCGGCTTCCAAAGCCACACCTCCAAAATCGGTGTAAATTGCATGGCTGTTGTGGAAAGTACAAACATCTTGATTGATCATGTCCAATTTCTTGCCCAAAGCTCCAAAAGCTTTACCATAGATGGAGTGGGTATGGCAAGCAGCATTGACATCAGGACGTAATTTATGGATTGCAGAATGAATAGCAAACCCCGCTGCATTCAAGGCTATTTGGTTACCATCAGGTAACAAATTTCCATCCTCATCGACGTGAACCATATCACTGGCTTTCATTAACCCGAAATGCTTTCCCAAAGGGTTGATCCAGAATGTGTCAGGGTCTACGGGGTCACGTATTGAGATATGTCCTGCAGTACCTTCAGTGTATCCCTTCCTTGCAAACACTCTGAATGCAGCTGCCATATGTTGCAAGGCCCATTGTCTTTCTTCTTTCTTATTGGTAAACTTGGGTACTGGAAATGGGTGAGCACCACCTTTAGCAATATTGTGTGAGCCTCTTGTACCCATATCATATCCTCTGGAAGTGGATGTTTGTGTGGCGCCGGTGACAGTGGCAGTAGCAGAAGCAGTATCTTGTTTGAGTGTAGGAGACATTGTTGATCGGAGTGTCGGATGAAGTGGAAAGGGGAAAAAAGGGTTTGGAAATGAATGTAGGAGAATATCAACGTTCTTCCTCTACTTCTTCTTCTTCTTCTTATATATATATATATATATAGGTTGGTCATGATCAAAGACATTTCAATAACTTGTGGACAGGTACTGCATGTAACTATGTACTAGCGGAACAATTACTTAATTGGGATGAGCGATATGTCCGCTAAAGTGAAGCAACAGCGATGCGCAATAATTACATTAACTGAAGTTAATGCCGTGCACTCAATCAACGTGGCACGGAGGAGAACTTAATTCCAGTAAACCTAGGTCATAGCACACCTCAAATGGTGTTGATATGCGCTTGCTAGTGTGACATATAAACTTGCGTTGTTACTCTGATGAGTATGTTTAACCAATAGAGAAAGATCTAAACACACCAACAGCAGAAGCAGACTAATCAACGACGTTATATAATCTGATCGATTATCCTACGACTTTTTTCTTCGTACAATGTATAGTCTACTGAGCCCAACCAAGAAAGATGAAACTTTCATAATCTTAAAAAGTTATTTAACTTTTTGTGCATTGTTTCCAGAGTCTTTTGAGACATATCGTAAGTTGTTACAAATTTGAGAAAAGACCAGACTCTAGATGCATGCAATTTAAAGTTGTGGAGTAAGCTTTTTTTATTCCTCAATGTAACCAAACGATGTTTCTACCAAACATCAAACAACTGTGCTCAATACCCTCCACTTCCCCTCCCCCATCCACGACCACATCAATTAAGAATATAGATCACAGTGAGTTACTTTGTATATAGATACATACAACGCACAGACAAGGAGACGGGTGTGACACTGAAACATAAGAATCAAAGAAAGAAAAAAAAAAAGAAATTCACAATTTTGTAACTTCAGAGAAATTGGTAGCAACAGTGAGAAAGAGAAAGAGAAAGAGAGAAAGGCGGATGTAACCAGGGTTTCTTCATAACAGCAGTTTCCCGAACCTACAGATACCATTCTTATTCCTCTTCCACAGAATACAAGCCTGCTAGTGTCACCAGGAGGACCACAAAAGGCTCCTTACATACCAAGCGGAATCGCATCTTACTGTTGTTTCAACAGTTTTACAAACGGAATTTTTCTCAGCTTATTTCCGTCATGGCGTCTATTGGTGAGCAGCACTACAGGATCGAAACGACGGCTTCTGCTCCTCCACAACAACCTCCAAAACGTGTCCGAAGGTTACCACCAGAAAAGAGGCAAAAAGTGTCGACTGCTTGCGATTCATGTAAAAAGAGGAAATTCAAATGTACTGGATCTAATCCATGTGACTTATGTGTGAGAAAAGGTTACGAATGCACGTATACCGTTGTTGACAAACGTTCGCTTAAAAGCGAACGTCTATTCAAATTGAGGGAGCAAAAAAGGATACAAGAGGAAATGGAGGCACAGCGCAGATTGGGACAGAAACAGCTCGAAACTGGCGACAGGTCTGATTATTCACAGACGGTGACTTCGGTACAACATTCAGAGCTTCTACCTCAACAACAACAACAACAACAACAACAACAACAACAACAACAACAACAACTGGTTCACCCTTACCATGGACCACAAGGTTTTCATCTTCCCATTCCTGCTGCCGGGACTACTTACGTTGTTCAACAACAACAGCCTTATCCCAATCAGCAAGTGACACCACCAGACGCACCACCGTATCATCTGCCGCTACAAAATTTGCAACCCTATCAAAAAGTACCACCCTCTCAGCTGTTTCAGGCTTCACTTCCCCCGCCACCAACACAGATGTATCAACCACCACCTCAACTGTATCAACCACTAGCCCCGCATCTTCCTCAAGGGCCACAGAACTACCACATGGGAGCACAATTACCACAACCACAACCACAACAGCAACAGCAACAGCAACCACAGTATCCATATTATGCCCCACAACATCAGAGGTTATCCATTTCAGTTTCTCCTAAAAATCCACATAAATCATATCAGCAGCAGCAGCAGCAGCAGGGTCAAGGGCAACAATCAAGTTCCCATCTTGAAACCAATCCAATGTATCATACCGGCTCTTCCTCATATCAGCAAGTTTCTTCAACTGGCGTAAATCCCGATAATGGTTTGAGGGGACTTCTAGGGTCTCATGGAGGTATGGGATCGTTACCGCCCTCGCAACGTAAAACACAAAGAGACTCTTCCAGTGCTCACACCCAACACCCACCACTACAAACGCACTCAAGTGAACCAGCTTATTATAGTAGTGCATCACAAGTGCCACAATTTGACCAGAGTCATCGCCCACCATCTTTTTCTCAGAGTGAAAGCTTTGAGCGGGAAGAATCAAGGTCTGGCCCTCAAGCAGGGTCAAACGCTGCCAAATTCCAGACAAAAAGTCAATCCGTTGCACTGGTGGAAGAAGCCCATCAGCCAGGGCTGAAGAGACCCAGTATCCTCACACCAGACTCACCTGCATTATATACTATTGATAAACCGAGATCCAACTCGATTCCCAAGTTTCTTCAGCCGTTACTTTCTTTTCCGCTGTCACTTGACAAGGAAAAACATGCTGGCGGCTCCAAAGTAGCTCAAGACATTGGTGGTGCTAGTGGTGAGAATGCGGAATCAGCTACGAGAAGAACACGCAAACCAAAGGTTTCTGCTCTGACCAAATTGAAGAGTAAAGCTGAATCAAATGCAATTATCGATGAAGAAATTGCCGATGAAGTGGGGAACGAAGTCGATTTACTGGAGTCGAAAGATGGTGTTTCCAATCAAGCAGGTAAAAGCTGCATTTTGTTGAACGACAAATCGGGTACATTCAGGTACATGGGTGAAACAAGCCCACTTTCTGTCTTGTACGAAACGAGAAACATTTTTTACCTGTACGTGGGGAAGACCAAATTGACGGAAGATTTACGTGGGTGTCCCGTTGTTGATAAACCCAATGAGATTAGGGCCGAGGTAGTGGTGCATTTACCCTCATCTCGAGAAAGAAATGTCTACATTGAACAGTTCAAACGGAACATTAATGACACTTTTTTCATTTACGATATGGACAAGTTTTGTCGTGAGATTGTTGACCCAGTGTATCTTGATCCTACAAATGTCGAAAATCAAACAAAACTAGTTCAGTTGTATTTGGTTTTGTCCATTGGTGCAACGTATTTTGCTTTCAAGAACAAAGATCCCGTGGCTGACTTGGGGGCTCGTTATTTTGAATCGGGTCTTTTGGTGTTTAGATCGCTTTCCGAAGATTCAGAAATGTGGTGTGTGATTACCCATTATTTACAGTTCCACTACTATCAATCCATATTGAAGAAATCAACCGCATGGATTCATTTGAATTTGGCGATAAAGTTTGCTCAATCACTCGGGTTGCATCGTAATTTTATTAACGAGCAATTCTCCAAATTGACTGATGAGTGTGAGTATAGAAAACGAATCTTTCGGAGCCTCTATTGCAGCGACCGAATCTCCTCGGTTTTTATTGGCCGACCATTGGCGATAAATGATTATGATTGGGATGACCCAACAAGATACAAGCAATCAAAATCGTTGATTTCATCTAGTCTCAGTTTCAATGGTAAGTGTCAAATTGAATTGACGAGAATCAGTCATTTGATTGGCAAGATTGTTGCCAATTTCTACCAGAATAGAATAATTGATATCGATAGAACTAAGAATTTGGCAGTTCAGTTAAAATTGTGGTCCAAGAACCTAGATCCATTACTTGCAGTAGAAAATTTGTTTAAACCACACGGAATCCCGCATGATGAGGATGGTGGCAACACTCAAATTGTTTTGATGATGCATTTGCTACAATTGTTCGCTATTATGTTGCTTTGTCGGCCACTTTTCATGTACGATGCTGTATCTCATGTCAATACCGCTTTCCCCAAAACCAACACCTTGAAGGACAAGTCGACTTCGAGGCAATTCATTCAAGCAGCTACAAAAGCGTCGATTTTGGCTATTAAGTTGATGAACCATTACATCAGCACCACTTTCAAGGAGGTTAAACGAATGGAATGCTACATCATAATAACGTGTTGTTTCTATAGTTCCATTTTCATTGGCATCAGTGTTTTGAATGGTAACTACCAGTTCGAAGCTGAGGGAGGAGAGGATGAAGAGTCAGTAACTTATACTGAAACTGAAATGATGAATTTGTTGCACAACGCAGTACATATCTTGAGACACTACTCAACTTGTAACAAAGGTGCTGAAAGGTATGCTGAAATCGGCTCAGACTTAATCGGCGCCTTGGCCAATAGACACAAACAGAGAACGACAAGAACAAGTGCCGACGAAACAATCAATACCGGCGAGAGCAATGCTAATTCGGCGACATCACTTGCCGAGGTAGACGAAGTGTTCAACTATTTCAACTTCACAGATGATGCTAATGCACAAGATTTGCAAAATTTGATCGATTTTCAACAATTTTTCGTGTCACTGGATATAACCAGTGGCTCTATTCCAGATTCTAGTAATATGCCATATGATTATGGCAATTATGATTTATTTTTTGGTGATAAATATTAATGGGGGTGTTGGGAAACTTCTTGATTTTACACGAGCTGAGCTGCTTCCTTGGGGCTCGTATGTGGATGTTTATATTATTCAGTTCTTTTTAGGTGCCTTTTTTTTTATATATGTATTGAATGCATGGATCACCTCAGCGGTGAAGACTAGATGTGGCCAAACTATTGCCTAAGAATGAGCGCTAAGTTAACATGTGTCTCATTTTATTTCTTTTTATACTGTTAGGACCAATTATACACTGCCTAATGGAAGAAAGCAAATTGCGCTTTCGAATTTGGTGAAGTGTTTTTTCTCTGCATTTTTTTTCTTTTTTATTTTTTTTTTTTTAGATCGCAATAATCTGGATACGGCTCGAACATTCCAATTTTAAAAAACTTCTACATCCCGGGCGTTTATTATTCCTATAGCTGTGGCTCCCTCACTGCGCCTTCCATAAACCCCTCCATTAGCATTTTCCACCGCATCTGGCTCCGAAATGATGCAGCTACACCTACTACTATTTCCATCAACGATTCTAACATTCTTTTTCTGGTTTTTAAATCCAGTCTTGGCATCCCCAGGAGATGACTTGTATGCATTTACGGACTGTGTTTACCAGTGCGAACAAATAACGTGCTATAATAACCACTACTACATTGAACAGTACGAACGAAGACAAGAATTGCTAGATCAAGGCTATGAATTGAATTACTACAACCCGACTTGGCAATTTGTCGAGATGCCCTTGCCGTGGCATTTACGATTACTAGGATGGACGTGTGAGCTGAATTGTGATTATCAATGTACGCGAGTGATTACCAATGAGAGGAAAAAACACGAAGAGGAGATTTACCAGTTTCATGGAAAATGGCCATTCTTGCGTGTTTGTGGAGTGCAAGAGTTGATGAGTGTTTTGATGTCGTTGGGCAACTTGATTGTAAATTATCGATATGGGTTTAGGAAGATCTGCCCAATTATAACAGATAAGAGTTTACCATATTCGCTTCGAAAACAGTACCTTCACACATTTGTGGTCGTAATAATTACCATGCTTGCTTGGACAGCATCAGCAATTTTCCATACACGAGACTACCCAGTTACTGAACATTTGGACTATTATTTAGCGGGAGCGACAATCTTGTCCACCTTCCATGCGTTGGGCTCAAGAGAGTTTTCATTGCACAAACGTGAAAATCAAATTTACCAATGGGCATTTTCCACATTGTGCATCTCGGCATATGTTTACCACGTTCAGCGATTGTACCGAGACTGGTCGTATACTTACAACATGAGAGCCAATTTGACTCTTGGCGTTTTCCAAAATATATTTTATTGCCTAATTGTATTCAAGCTATATTCGCGATACTATTACCTTGAACAAAGCACGAAACAAACTAATCAAAATCACTTGAAGTACATCGATTTCAAAAGAATTCTTTTACCCAGTTTCTACTCCGCGAGTGCGAAACTTTACGCATTGTACCCGTTGTTGTTGTGCACTATAGTTGTGTTGGGGTCTTTATTGGAGATTTTTGATTTTCCGCCAATCTGTTACGATTTGGTCGATGCCCATAGTTTATGGCATTTGGTTACCATCATACCTCCTTATATGGGCTGGTATGATTGGTTGGTGTGGGACATTAACGAGAACGTATGGCCAGACGTGTTGGAGGAGGAAGAGACAACCGGAAGGAAAAAAGCCGAGTAGAATAGTTCATTGGACTGAAGTTGTCAATATTTATTCTTATATACATTGTAATTAATCATTCAAATCTTCTTCTGGTGGTACGTAAGGCGGTGGCTTGAAAAACTCTTGATCCTTTGTCACAGCAGCTTTGAAGCTTTCTCTATCATTTACAAATTGGTACAAGTACTCCAACTCCAAATCATGAACTTGTCTACCCAACATGACCATGGTATGCAACGGCTCTCCAGAATCGTATTCACTCAACTCTTTTAAAGTACCAGCTTTGAAGCTCTGTGTAGGAGCACCCAATCTCAGTATGGCAACACATGGAGTGTTTTCAGTATATGCTTGCTCTTGTCTCAACTCCTCGACTTCAATCAATTGGCTGGCCGCAGTGGCAATATCCATATATCTAGGAGGTTCATAAATCAACCTGCCTCTTGCCATATTCTCAATACTTTGTTCTTTGACTTTGATATCCAACAATATCAACGTGTGTAATCCAATCTTCCTATTCTCCATAATCTTGTCATAAAATGAATCTGGTTTCCATGAATCAGTGAAAAACACCAACGAGATTGTCTGTCCAAATTGATACAACTGTAATCCACACGCTCCAACCGCATTCATTATCGATGCATTATGGATTGTCTCAACCTTAATTCCCAATTCTCGTGCTCGCAAAACCAAATCAGTATGCGTTGTAGCTCCAAATGGATCACCGACCACCAAAAATGCAATATCTTCCGTATCTGCGTTTTTCAAAATCTCATCACTTCCACTTTCAACCAATTCACGATCGGCAAGAATGATCTCCCTTCCATAATATGATTCAAGTGATTCTTGGTTAGCTGCCATAAGAATTGACGTGTATGCTTCCAAATACACACGTGAACATTTCTTGACAGTTTCAAGACCCCTTACGGTAATATCAGACTCATGCGAAAGTCCCAAGCCTATAAGGTACAACATTGACTTTTGATTAAAGGGTTTGCATGGATGAGGTCTGAATGGGAAAAAAAAAAAAAAAAAAAAAAAAAAAAAAAAAACAATAAATATTTTGGGCATCGTGATGCTGAGAACAGATGGGATATACAAGTAGAGGCGACCTCAGCCATTACTAACATAGTGATTGTTATCTATAAAACACTTACATATCGATAGTGGTAGGCACTGCTTTGTCGCCGACATACTGTTTTCACTTTGGCATATTTTCTTTTGGCCAAACTGCCTCACAAATCGCAAAGACGTTCAATCAATTTATACAAATCAGAACTACCGTATCCAAATTCCTCAAGTAAGGTGTGAAACTTCTCTTTGCACAGCATCAACATGTCGTGTGTTTCCTGCATCGTATTCTCATCATGCAAGTATTTTACTGCCTGTTGCAACAACTCTGGTTGCTTACTTCGTAGTTTCAGTGTCCTAAATTCGTAAAGTAGCTTGTGCACAGGCGAATTCTCCGCATGTAGTTCTTTACGTAAATTCATTAAAATAGGAAGCGACAACTTCCCCTCAATCAAATCCTCCCCTGCAATACCTTTCATGGTTGAGTACCGCGCGTCCACCAAGTTCAAGTAATCATCTCTTATTTGGTATATTATCCCAGCTAAGTTTGCAATTGCAAGAACTTTGTTGAGCTCGGCCTCCGGTAGAGGTTTGGCTGTGAAGGCATCAAGTAACTTTACTGATAACCGAAACAATCCACCAGTCTTGTTTTGGACCATTCGCAAGTATTCTTCTATTGTGGGTAAAACCTTGAGTTCGGGTAGGTAGTCTCGCCAATAAATATCAAAACCTTGGCCCTGGTGCAAATTTATCATCTCCATTTCGAATGCGTCACACACATCTTGTTCACGCTGTTGCAAATCAACATTAACATCTGGGCTCAAATAATATCTACTCAATAGATGTGAAGCTAGTCTCATTGCTTTAAAATACATCAAATTGGCGCAATTTATGGTCAAGGCTGTCCCATATTTCACATGGGCGGACGGAAATCCACGACGATATTTTGAGTTGTCTTCGATATCGTCGATAAGTAACGACGAGTTGTGAAGTAGCGATATGATGTCATAAACATGATTCACGGCGTAAGCTGTTTTGTCATCAAAAAATAGCTTCTGAAACTCTTTAATGAAATTCCTTCGGATGTTATTGTTATTACTAGGCAAATTACTCAAGTATTCATATGGTTGGAGAATCGGCTCTTGCGTATTGGGCGTTCCATCCCTGTTCAAGAGTGTTTCGGATGAAGACTGTCCGTTGACATTTATGATACCCTCTATATCTATCTGGTCTTTCATAATCTTAAGAGGTAAAAAGCGTAGATACCGGGATCACGTAAAGAATACTTGTGACATAAATGTATGCATAATGCGCACGCTACCAGTGAAATTTTAAATGTAGACTTACACGTCATAGGTAACAAGGATTCACATTCACAGACACAGGTTAATTTGCCCCTCAGTCCAGTCATTGAATACACATCCACAATTGCACATACAAGAGATGGACTTTTTATGGACAAATCTTCCTCCAGTGACAAAGGGCTGGTGCGTGGCGTCGATGACCATATCGACACTTGTCACCATGGACAAATTGAAATCTGTAAATCTATGGTTCATACCGGGCAAAATATACAACCAGAACCAAACATGGCGACTAATAACTTCATTTGTGACATTTGGCGATCTCAGTATGGGATTTGTTTTCCAATTGTGGATCATTTCTTCTTCGTGTCGAGCGATAGAAAGTCTTTACCAAACAAAGTTTACCCAATTTCCGTTATACATTGTTGACGATTTGTCTAGAGAGCAATTGGGTATTTTGAGACAATTGATTGAAAGAAACAGGTCGATTGACTTCTTGTACTTTATTATGCAAATATGCGTGTCAATCATTGTTTGTGCCACGATACTTTTTTACAAGATGGGTATACTTTTACCTCAATTGGGACTCGTTTTGATTCTGGTGTTTCAATATTATAACTCCAAGTTGACACCATTGGAAATGGTTAATTTTTTTGGATTTCAGTTTAGAAATATGTACCATCCATATTTTGTGGCACTCGTTAATTTGTTAGTGAGTAGTGCAGGGGCTGGACAGAACTCTGAACCAAACCAGAATCGAAGTGGTAACTTTGGTCGTATCGCGTTGTGGAGTATAGAGTCAGTATTGAGAAACCCGCAAATATGGTTTTATTTTATCAGTTTTGGCTTGGGCCATCTTTGGTGGTGCACTAGGGAAGTCATTTTAGGAAGTATGCATTACAACGATGCAGGAGATGCAACGAGTCTAGATGTTGATGAAAGAAGTAGAAGAATCAAGAGGAGACAATTGCTCAAACAGAATGGTGTTTGGAAATTTGATTTGGTGAAGGAGGCGTTGGTGATTTTGATGTTGCCTCCATGGTACTGGATTATGTTGTCGAAAATAAAGCAGCAACGGCCACTTGGGAATCGTCGTCAACGTCCGATGCCTATTGAACTAGAGGATGCCCTACAGGAGGATTTGGGAGAGCGTGTCGAGGAAGATGGTGAAAATGCAGACGACTTAGTCGATGAACATCAAGAGGGGAATGTCATGCAGAATTTACCACAAGTGGATTGATAAGTACGTGGCGGATGTCAAAGATTTATGCTTAAAACCATGTTACACAGTTCCACTAAGTTTTCTGTGATGCAATTTGACTCCATCTGGAATCTTTGGTTTGGTTTTTTTAGTCTTTTTTTGCAACAAAAGTTTTTTTTGCAACTCCATAACAAACTTCAAAGTCAAAGTTTATTCCTACATTAAGTTCCACGCGTCGTCATGAGCCATCCTGTAATTGAAAGTCGATCCAAACCAATAGCACCAAGAATGACTCGATGTTGGAACCTTTATGATCGGTGCCAACAGTACATTGAACAAAAGCATATCCGCAAAATCCAAAGACATATATCTATCCTCCACTCTCAACTTGATGAGACGAAGCAATTGCTTACATTGCATAGAAGAACAATCAAGGAGGTTCATGACATGAGACATTTCCTTAGCCGTGTAATCAAGATACAGATGTTAAAATTGTTCAATGATTGTCTTTCACCTAGTGGCTCATCCAAAAATCCCCTTGAATTACTTTTGACTAATTGATTCCCAGGAAATGATTGTTCAGTGGCTATTACCGCCACTTGAAACCTTTTACAAGCAAGCTGAGATGATGTGTTCGATGGGATTTGCCAAAAGGACGTTGCTCTATTCTGCATTCGAATTCCGTGACGATTTGGACAAATTAGTAGGATAAGAAGATATCTGAAATTGATGATTACAAAAAGGGTATATTGACATCGAAGGGGAAGATAGAGGAGTTGGAGGAGAAGTTGGTTACTTGATTGGCACGTGACAGAAATGACGCATAAAACCTGACTAAGAAGACTGTGGCTCAGAAGAAACTGGTGAGCTTTGCTCAATGATGCAGTCTCTTCATATATCTATGCATGTACTGTCAAATAGATTGATGAAAGTTCAGTAATCATTGCAGTCTCTCTTATGTGTAAACCTCCTTATGCAATTTGTTGCGTGAATTCTTATTGTTTTTTTCTTTTTCTTTTTTGCAACACATTTCCCACTCAAAAAAACAAACCACACCGAAGTTCAGCCAACATGTCTTCCTCTCTGTTCTCCTCAGGCAGTCTGAGAGGGTGTGTTGTAGTTGATGCTGCCACCCCAACCACTGCCATTCCAGCTGCTGCTACTCCAAATGGCTCTGACCCGCTTCCTCCTCTTCCTCATCCTCCTTCAATTGAATCCACCACCCCACAATCTCGTTGCAACGATCTACCAAACCAATTCCACCAATTCTTCAACGACAACTCTCTCGACCTTCTCGTACACCAAGTCCATGACCTTAAGCTGTCTACAATCGAGGGCCAACGTCAAATCCGGGCAGTGATGAATATGTTCCATTTCCTCTCTGAATGTAAACGGGAAATCCTCGATAGCTTAGTTACGATAAAATCCATATTGGAAGCCAAGTCAGGGGAGGAGTTGCAATCGATTAGAAATCGGTTGAACTATGCGGTTGCAAAAGAGGAAATCTATTCTGAAGTTGTTGGGTTGTTTGAATACATTGTGAGTACACCCTTTGATGAAAATGACAGATCAAGTCAGTGGGAAGAGTGCGATTTTGACGTTGCAGAGGAGTGCGAGGAATACCAATTGCAGAATATTGAACTCTCAGCTGCTAGGAATTTGAGTGCCATGAGGAAGTTGGTGCGACACTTGAATCATGAGGTTCATTCAGTTGCTCCTAGCACTGGCAACCGGGATAGTGCGCGGGAAATGCCAAGAGAAAGGCAACCAAACGTGGTGGACACATATGGGGTGGTTTTAAGCTTTGAATTGGTGCAGGATCCACAACAGCAATTCGAGCCTATGGTTGAAGGAACTCAAATTCCTAAAATTGAGCAGATTAAGGAGATTGAGGAGACTGAAGATGAAAGTGGGACCGGTGTTGCCAAAGGCCAGGTTGCAGAGATTGACAGCACCAAATCGTCTAGAGTTGAAGCTGTAGAGAACCTGCTTCAAGGAGTGAATCAAGTGTTGGAGGAAGATTTGACTGAGTTTGCTGGGGAAGTTTCCAAGCACGTTGTGGGTGAAGCCATCAACAACGTTGAGGCGGCTGCAAAAGTAAATGTTGTCGCTCCAACACAGATTGATGGTCCGGACGACGTTAATGCACAAAGCATAGTAAAGGAAATTGTTACTGAGGTTGTACGGAAGGTTGGAACGGAATCTATTGCTGAGATCATTGGACAAGCTGTTCATGACTCGATTGCAGAGGCTATCGGGGAAGAAAAGGAAGCAGAAAATTCCAATCAAACCGTAACTCCCAAAGAGAAGATAGCTGATGATGCTGTCGTTGCAAACGTTGTTGGAAAAGTTGCTGAGAAGCTAGCTCTGGGTTTACTCGAACATGTTGAAGAGAGCCTTGTGGAAGAGTTTAACGAATCTGTCTCTGACGTACCTTCTCAAAGCATCACCACATCCAATGGTCAAGAGATTGAGTGTGTTGCTGAAAAAGCTTCAAGGCAAGAGCACCAAGCATTCACTGGCTCTAACTAAAATTCAAAGTCTAAATATCTAGCTAATAAAAAATGTGTAGAAAAACCTATTCTAGCAACATCTACTTACCAACATCCTTCAACTTCTCCAACTGTTCAGCCAATCCAACAGGCACTTCAACAGCCTCAGGAGCATCATCAGCTCTCTTCAACCCTTTAACATCAGTCTCTTTCTTAGTTTCCTCCTTTTGTTTCTTTTCACTAGGAGTCATGACCAAATCAGCAAAATTCAACCTTGATCCCTTGTCATTAGCAGAAGCAGCGGCAGCAGAAGAAGAAGTAGAATCATCAACATCGTCGGCAGTTTCATTCCATTCAGCCAACTCCTTTTCGTGTTCTCTTTCAATTGCAAATTGAACTGCTTCCAACACATCATTACATAAATGTTTTGGTTTGTATTTAGGTTCGGTACCTTCTTGATAAACACCAGTCTTGACCAAGATGGAAAACCACGAGACGTCGTGAGAATTGGCAAATCTGATATCGGACTCAGGAGTATCTCCAACAAAGTAAACCGTGGATGCTGGTGGCAATTGCAATGTGATTTGGTCGGGTTTGCCAACTTCGGCCAACTTGGCAAGATTCTTCTTGGCTGCGTTGTAGTCTTTGTGTGCTTGTTTTTTCGAAACGCCGATATTGACTTCTCTTTCCTTCTCTTCTGCATCCAATGCATCTTCATCTTCATCTTCATCTTCGGAGTCAGAAAAGTTGTAACTTTCCAACTTCTCTTGATTGATGATTTCTTCACCATCTTCATTGATCAAAATATCGGCATCTTTGGCATTGGGATCATTTATACTCAATTTTTTCAAATGCTCATCCAATACACCTTGTCTCCAATGACTCAATACTTTATTGGCAAACTTAAAAGTTCCAACTTGTGGCTTACCAAATCTATTCACCTTCAATTCTTTGCCAGTGTGTTCACGGTACAAAGCAGCAATGGAAACTTGTAACGCACCCATACCATATCTCGACAATTTATAATTTGTAGCCCAGATGAAATCAGAATGAGCGAAATAAATCTGTGGACCTTCGTCAAATGTAGTAGACTGCGTACCCATAACTCCCTTTTTCGATAACAACAACTCCAAGATGATTTGTTGATCAGCGGCCCAGTTTCTCGAATCGGCAAACACCAAGATGGCATCGATTGGAGTCTTGCTGAAGTCGACATCTCTGGTACAAATCTTCTCCTCCTCGGTCAAATCATGGTAAGGAGACACAGCTGGGTTCCATTTCAAGATGTCCAATGGGGTGTACACATTTTTGAATCCATATGATTCGGCAACATTACGACAAACGTTACCAACACCACCTACAACAAGAACATTTTCATAAACACCAACTAGATCCTTCATTGGTGTGTGTCCTTGGATAATTTGGTCTGGGGTAATAGTGCAGTTCAATCTTTTGCTCAAATCGTCAGCTCTTTGCTTTTCGGGTTTACCACCTCCATTGGTGACAAAGATTGAGGGGACTTTGATATTGTACTTGTTTTCACCATTCAACAACTTCATGGCTTCAACAGCTTGAGGAATAGTGTTGGGCCCTCTTAATATAACCCCATCAATATCGAAACAAAATGCATACGACGCAACTCTTTCGTGATCAACCACATCCTTCTTATTTCTCTTGATGATGGATGCGTTTCTGGACAATTTGGCCAACGAATCAACTTTTTTCAAATTGGCAGAAGATGATTTCTTCAAGTTACTATTGCTTGCATTCTTGTTTAATGACGATGACGATGACAATTTTGTCAACCCGTTTTGCCAGTTGTTTAAATCCGATAATGAAAGTGAAGAAACCCTATGCTTTCTTGATTGTGGGGTCAAGTCATCAATACCGTCGTTGTTTAAATACGATTGGAACTGAGCACCACCATCCTCTTCAATAACTTGCTCGTTCAGTTGTTGTTGTTGTTGTTGTTGTTGTTCTTCTTTCGACATGTTTGTAAATTGAGTGTAATCAAGTTATGAGTTTGTACTTGTATGTACTTGGCTGAAATCTATTTGATTGATTGGGACTAATGTGTGAATAAGATTAAAGAAGGAAGACAGGAGAGGGTTAAATAAATTTTACAGAACAGGAAATTTAATGATCCTTTTATAATGCGTTCGTTGTCCTGTGGATTATTTTTTTTTGTTTGTTCTTGTTGAATTTGGCGCTTTGACAAAATAGAAACGGAGCACAAAGACGGAGAGGACAAGAAAATCAACTACGTAATGCAAGTTTAAAAACTTCTTTGGCTTACAACATTCGGTTGTTTATGTTCGGTGTTTCGTAAATCTTTGCTCTTTAGCAGTAGTAACTGGACCAAACCGTCCTGCAATAGACATAATGAGGAGGGGGGGGCGTGTTGGTGAGACTAATAAGGGAGTTCAATACGAGATAGCAAAACTGAGTTGAGTCTGATTTCAAAGGGCGGTCGGTAGTTAGACATCTTGGTTGCAGTCAATATAACATCAACACCTTAGGTGAAGTTCCCTATATTTATTCGGAGAATGCTACATTGACGTCGTAAAACACCGATAGGCAGATATTATACTCGTGTTGAAGATAAATAATCGTACAAGATAATAAACTGCAAAGGTTAGAGAGAAAAAAAAAAAAAATTTTATCACTGTAATACTTTAAAGACAGTAAATTGCAACGTCTAAACTCCATACACCTTTACTGGTTGTGGGATAGTATATACTTGTTGGTATTCCACCTTCAATATTAGGCTATGTTTGATATGGTACATAGTAGAGTATCCTGTATATAATACTTCTACTGTGGGTAGTGTAAGAAAGTCCGAAAAATTAAACAATACAAAATTCTAGTTTTGTGTAATTATGCATGTTTGTCTATGATTGCTACGGTTTTATTAGCCACCACGACAACCACTACTTACTACTACAATCACCATCAAATAAAACAGTCTGCCATGTCTGTATTACAAGTAGATGTAGTAATTATATGCAGCCGTAGTAAGTGTCAACCTGTATTATCAGTTTAAGTGTGTCCTCGACATGAGATAAAATACTGAACAGAGAGATAACGCAATTGAGCATTACTGATGATATACTTTCCTCTGTATATGCATAGTGCGTAAAATATCAACAATAGCTTATTTGTAGCTGCTGCATAGTTTGTATTATTCTGTGTATTTTGTGTGGTTTGAAACCAAACAGTAAGTCTGATGTGTATGTCTATGGGCTTGTGTATCTGTATGTAAGAGAACACGTTCTATCTTTGCACTGTAAAAATGGAAGTGGAAGAGGGAACTGTTTGTGTTACCAATGCGAAGAAAGAGTTGATTTTATTTTTTTTCAATTGTATTGTATTGTATTGTATTGTTTTGTCTTTTGCTGAAGTCCGAAGTCCATTTCAATGACATAACAGATATAGAGAACTTCACTGCTTGTGTAGCTATAGGATAGTTCTCTTCCGAACTTCTCCTTCTTCCTCAGCCACGGTTTCAAATTGGCCCTGAGCAGTAACCCAAAATTTTTGTATAGAAACTTCAATCTTTTGTTCAAGAAGTGCATACTTTTGTTACAAGACTGGACTTGAAACTTTCATCAAATCATACCTATACTACCCCTCCTTTGCAAACTACTACACACACACACGCTTGCACACACGCATTCTCTTTCTCACTTTTGGTTTCTGTCTCTCTGGTTTTGCACTCTCGGCAATAAACCCTTGGCAATAGTTTCTGATGTTTGCAAAATTGTTTTTAACACCTTATGCATTGTGTCTCTTTGACAAGACCCCCCATCCATTTGAGACATAATAATGTTGTTGATGATGATGTGATTATTGCTCTGTCTAATGCAGAAGAGGTAAAAACGTAGACAAGAGAATACCATGTGATGAAAGTGCAATGTTGGTTGTACTCGTTACCTCTCAACATGTCAAAATCGAATCTGGATTCTCATATTTAGAGACTAAAGAGTTAGTTGTAAAGTGGGGGCGTATAAGCAAGATCAAAACAGCTCAATGGGTCCAAAATGAGAGCTACTCGTAAAGTTCAATATATTGAAAGATGCCCATAAACAAAATAAAAATAAGCTCTAAGAAATTATATTCAAATTCCACAACACAGATTTGTGTATAAATATAAACAGACACTCATACGCCACAGACAATATTTCATGCTAGCTGACTATATCTATGCCCATGGGTAGGTACATGCAGCATCTGGATATCTGGACAGAAAACATGTTCAACATAATGATTAGGTGTACAAGTCAATACCCCATGTGATACAGAAAATCAGTATGAATGCAACATTACATAATGATTACGTAGCACATATAAAAAAGTCACTCTTCCGTAGTGAGTTGGTAAAAACCCACCTGGTTGGTAAAAAAAAAAAAAATCCAACCCCGAAAATTGCAGACAAACCATTTCTTAAAATTGCTAAATTCAATCTCACAAGTGCACTAGTCTATAATTCTCAAGTGTAATTGACTAAAACACTATGACCAATATACTGCTCCAATGTGCTGGAATTTGACAATTTATCCACCAGTCAACACGTGAGTACGCTTATGTAATTCTTACATAAGCATATTGGTGTAAATATTACACAAACCTCCTATTTTCACATCTCTTCTCATTCACTCACTCTATATGTATATTATTTTACAAGCGTTACATTCAATTTCCTTTAGTTGCTCTAATAACTTCAATTTAGTTTTATATACCAAATTACATGTTAGCTTTTACTTCAATTCTTCTTTGCATCTTTGATTAAACTTTATTGTTGAAGTGCATTTTATCTTTGCCAAAGTTGCAGTCACAAAACTCATAGAATTGGCTTGTGGAAGAGATTGCTGTTGAAATACCACAAGCTTTGCCTTTTTTCTAGATAATACGTCACAACCACATATCATCATTTTCTATTCAGATATGGCAGTCGCACGCGGTACTCAAACATCTGCATCACTTCACAATAGCTACACTGTGCTGAACCCAAGAAGAAGAGTGGGCAACCCCTACATCACCACCATTGATTTCATTTCTATTGTCATTGGGCTCTACGGATACCACGAAGTCACGTCATTCCAATTACCACCACACTTGAAAGACGCAGGCCACTGGCAATTCCTAACCAACTTGTCCCTAGTCTACTCCCTTTTCGTATTCATTGTTGGATTCGTTGCTCATGTAACCAAGTCGCAAACATTATTCCTATTCAAGAACAATTTGCACCCCATTGGCTTGGCTTTAGAGACAATCGTTGCTGGAGTGTACTGGCCATTACGCTTATTCTTTCTTCATTTATTGACTAAGGACCCTGACAATTTCAATTTGCCATTGGTGACTGACTTGTGCATCCACTTGATGCCAGTTACAAGTTTACTTGTTGATTATTTGGTGTTTATGCCGCGTTGGACAATCAGTGATAACACCGCATTGGGATTCGTGGTGTTGTTGACGACTTTTTATTGGTTCTTGTTGGATAACTTGATTGATGTTGAAAAGGGCGGTAGTTATCCGTATGAGTTTATGAATGTTGAAAAGGATAGTCAACGTATTGGTGTGTTTGTTGTGGTTGCGGTTGTTGCATTTGCTCAGTTTTTGGTTATGAGACGGGTTTATGATTGGGTTGTGGGCAAAACTGAGGAGGCTTCTGAGCTTATTGATGAGGAGCTAGATAAGAAAGAGTTGTGAGGAAAGAGCATGGTTAGTAGATAGAATTTTTATATCTTTACCAGGTATAACAATTTGGGTTATACCTAGACATGGTTTATACTTGTAGATGTTCGCCTTAGAGAAGATATAACGATTCAATGCTCACTTTTCCTTTACGAATATCACAATCCTTGGGATCGGCACATAATACACTCTTACAATTCATATCAAGCAAGTCGATTCTTTGTTCATCGCTCTGTTATACCTATTTACAAAACTCTGCGCCTTTCAAAGCTTATCCACCCACTCCATTCCATCCCTAGCTCCCTTCATCCTCACCCTTACCCTCACCCTTACCCTCACCCTTACCCTCACCCTCGTCTTCTCTTTAAAAAGTCTTTGGAGCCAACGATACAATCTTGTTATAATTCAAATCCCTCAACTCCTTAGCAACAACCGAACTAATCCTCGTTCCCAAAGGTTCACCGTTCTTATTAATCAACACACAAGCATTATCGTCAAACCTAACTACCGACCCATCCGGTCTTCTAAAAGGAGCCCGCTGCCTAACAACAACAGCACGACATATATCTCTTCTCTTGACTCTATTCGATGCCTGTGCAGCTGCTGATGATGCTGAAGACGATGATGAATCAACATTTGTTGGTCTTGCTTGTTTGACGACACAGGTGATTTGGTCGCCGATTTGGGCACACGATTTGGGGTTGTGGCGGAGCACTTTGATGCACTCGACTACTTGGGCACCGGAGTTGTCTATTACGTTGAGGAGTGTCTTGAGGTAGATCATTTGGGGTACTGCTTAGTCAAGTTGGTGAAATTTTTTTTTTTCTATCAAAACATTTTTTATTTTTTATTTTTTTTTTTTTTTCGTCTTCACCAATACACACTCCCCCTAAAGAATATGCTCAGAGGGTGAAAACTGCTACATTTAATCTAGTGCCAATGCTAGTTGCGACCAGAGCTCAGCTTGTCAGCGATAAACCCACTAGCAACGAGCCGCAACTATTCATAGCCCTGTAGCTTCTAACCTCCTTATATACTCTACAGTTTCAACAACTTTTGATATTTATCTCTATTCATTCTCACACGATGTGGGTATATACTACTATACTCTAGTATTTCCACTCATAGAACACACACACACACCAGCTACTGAATACAAAAACAAATGAATAGCCTCAAAGCAACAAATCAAAAAGTTCAAGTCAAAGGCAAAAGTGAAAAAAAAATAGGTCTCTCTGTGCGTGCCATTCACCAGAAACAACACCAACAGTGAACCTTATTTCAACTCAACAAAATGCCTTACTCTCTTCATCAACTTACAAGGTCTTGTCCAAGAATTCGACAATTCTCTTGATACCAAAGTATTCCTTGTCGTTGATTTGGGTGACCTTCAAGTTTGGATTGTCTTCAATTTCACCAAGAACAGCGTTTTCCAAGAAAAGACCGGCATCGTGAACACCTTGTGGTTCGATAAAGACTTCAAAGTAAGCTTCGTTGCTTCCACCACCGTTGGTCCATGAGTGCTTCTTTGGGTCGTAAACACCACCGGATTCAGCTGGTCTCTTCAATGGGGATCTCAAAGCGTATTCAGAGAATTCCAAGATATCATCCAAGAAAGATTCGTGTTCACCCAAAACGACAAAGACGGAGTAACCTGGCTTGGAGTAAGTTGGAATTCTGGCCCAGTCGGAGTTCTTCTTGTCTGGAGTGTTACCTGGAGAAACAGTCAAAGTTTGAACGTTGTTGTCGTTAACCAACAATGCACCTCTGTCTGGTTCGGAGAAGAATGAGTATTGAACAACATCTCTGGCTTCGTTATCGTAGTATGAGTGACCTTCAGTGTGTTGAATCTTGTCAGCGCCCAATTTAACCCATGGAGAAACCAAAATCAATGATCTTGGGTATGGCAATTCTGGGTTTTGTTCCTTGTACAAGTATTGAGTGAAAGTAGTAGACAAGTGACCACCAGCAGAATCACCAATGAATCTAAAGTCAGTGTTACCTTCCTTGGCCAATCTAGTGTAAGTAGCAGTCAATTCGTGCAATTGGGTCAACAATTCGTTACCGTAGGAAGCCAATGAGTAGTCCAAGAACAAGACAGACAATTTTTCTCTCTTTGATGGTTCAACCAAGCTGTAGATGGCAAGGATACTTTGAGCTTGGGTTGGAGCAGTTTGACAGTAGTATCCACCACCGTGCAAGTAGATAATGATTGGGTCATCCTTTGATCTGTTCTTAGCTTCAACCAACCAGATGGAGTTTTTGTCGTATCTAACATTGTAGTTGTTCAAACCTTGGGTGACTCTTGGGAATTGCCAAGCAGTCAATGAAAACAAAAATGAGTTGGAGTAGAATGAAACAATCTTAGCATCGAGAATTGGGAAAGCCAATGACTTTCTGCAGAACAAAACCTTCAATGATTGGGTCAAGTTGTTTCTGTATCTTTCATTGATACCACCCTTGTATGGGAAGGTGATGATGAGCCAAAGAGACTCGAAGATGAGACTAGCTAAAACTTGCAAACCGTGAACTGAAACCATCCTGAATTTGTAACAATTGTAGTTGATTCCTAATGAAGAAGAAGAAAAAAAAGAAAAAAAGAGATGAAGGAATTGAGTCAATTGAAGGAGGAATTGATGGGATATTTATATTCTTTTGGACAACGTAAACGATTGTGGAGTTTTTGAGTCTATAGAGCAAAGAAAACTGTGGATCCACGGATAAGTAATGCTATAGAACACTGCAACAAGCAAGAGAAGAAAAATAGAGCTGAATTTGTGATACAGAATTGAGATATATTTAACCGCTGTGCGCAGGGTAATGTTATATGCAAGAAAACCCCGAAACCTTAAGTTTGTAAATAGTTCCAATAATATAGAGAAGTTGGTGATACAAAGACGAATATCCCATACTGAATTAAAAAATAGAACGCTTATTAATTTGGTTTTCCATTAATTTTCCAAAATTGCTCTCTCCCTGGATAGAGTCTCTCGTGCTTTGTTTGCTTTCTCCTTTTTTTTATTTTTATTTTGCAACATTGACTTCCGGGAGTAATAGGGACTGGGTGGGTTTCTGGCACATGGCAACCTAAGCCATAATTGAGCAGATGCATGGATCTTCGTTTTGATAATAGGATTCTATATTACAGGAAGCATTGACTCAATTGAGCCTGATTTCAATTCTTTTTTTTTTTTTTTTTTTTGATTAGTCAATTGCTTGTAGTTCTAGTGGTTATTGTTCTAGACAGAAACGAACGATTGCTATCTTGCACTGACTCCTTACTTACCTAAACCGTAAGGCACACTTTGACAGGTTTCACAATTCCGGCACTAGTGCCTCGTCCTCGTCCTTGTCACCTCCTGCACCATCTCCGTTTCACTGTATAAGAGAGAGAGAGCAACCTTTTCGTAAAACACAGTTCGGTTGCAGTTACTCTAATACCCCCCCTATTCTCCTATAGGTAACTTTTCCAAAAGTAGTAACAAAACTCAATTGACGGAAATGGACAACTGTGGTTCTCTCTACAAAGCTCTTAACCTTGTGCGCCGGTTATCTTTGCTCTCACCCCAAAGAAAAAATGAAAAAGAAACACCCGTTCCGCGCTTACACAAAATAGCCAACAAACAATAAGCATACTTTAATTTTCATAGATGATCAGCTATTTGTACTGCTACAAATATTACACCCCCCTTCCCCTCCTTCCCGTAAATTGTAAAGTAGTTGAATTCGTTCGCTGCGTCGGATTTCACTTGGAAAGTGAAAAGACACGGTTATGCTATTTCACGAGGTTGATGTCTCATGATTGCTAGATAGTTGGTCTCGCTTGCAGGGTTGAGAAAACCTTATTTTCTACAAAGTCAAACAACAAAAGAACTCAATTGCAAATTGAAGTGCAAAACATGCGTGGGGTGGAGAGGAGTAAAATCAAAAAGAAGGAGGAGGAGGTAAGGTAGTGGAAGCAATGCTAAAATGATATTTTTAGCACTTCGTACATTAAGTTAGTGGTGTTATAGTTGTGCCGTTCTTGTGAAAGTAAATGTAAATGAAAATCACTTACTTATTCTCTAAAATCACAAAATAAATTAAAAACAAGAAGAGAAAAAACAAGAAGAAGATGATGATGTGAGAGAAGCAAATGTTGTTCAAACCACAGCACAGCTTTAGTTAATTGTGCATCTCTTTTGTGTGGGATTTTGAAGAGCAAGTAATGGCGTCATAATGCATATGCACTTCCGGAATTTACGTTTAACCACTTATGTATCCCCTAAGTCTACTTCGACGACTACTTTTTCCACTACTACTTACTAAACCCCGTGGAAAGATAAAACCTGAAAATTCGAAAGCAATTCAATACATTTGCGTCATTGTGTATGCATAAACACCCTCTCCATAACCAATTGAGCAACGTATCTGTAAGATCTACTTCAAATGTGCTCGCTATTCACACTACGAAAATCTAAAGATAGACAGCAACCCCATCCCAATTCTTCATTTCCTCGTTGGTAATTGTTACAGCCGTCGTGCAAAGTGAAGACCAAAAAAAAAAAAAGAAGAAAAAAAAAAAAGCCATCCTATCCTGGCTACATACTAAACCACAAAAGTACTTGAATTGCTATTCCATCTTTTTAAGAGACAATTGATTGGACGGTGCCCTGTTTTGTATCTTCGAAGGTTTTTGCGAGCTCAATTGAGTTTCAAAGTTGTTCGGAAGTGAAGAAAAAGTGGAATCTACTACCCGCGCTTATCTGTCTTTGTGTGTGTTGCTGTTGTTGTTATTGTTGTAGTGCTTTGGAAATCCACAGCCCTGCATCTTCTCACCTCTAATTACAACAAACACAAACACCATACAAGTTATTTCCTTTGCCGTGGAAGAGACACCAAAGTACGAAGCAACAACTTCTTTCTAAAATTAGGGTGGACAAGCTCACAGATAAACAATAGGGACCAGGAGTCTAGGTGCATATCATTGATTTGTCATAAATTTTAAGCTGGCATTCCGGTCCTTCTGTGACATTATTTGCGTACAATGATTGACTCGGTGCAAGACGGTTCCAATAAGCCACACATTGACTGACGTCACGTATCAAACACACAGCCACTACTTTTAGGACATTGTCGGCAGTAGTACATACCACTACAGAACTACAGAAGACGCTTGTATCTTGTCAAATCAATGGGGCGTCTTCTTCAACGCCCAAACTTCGTTTTTTTTTTTGATTTGTAAAGTTTGCGCGTTCGAAAAAATCAATCTAGACCATCGCGCAATCAAAGGGCAAAAAATAGCCAGAATCTGTAACCACAGTTGCAGCAAAGTAAACATTGGCAGTTAAAAGACCAGTTGACGCAGAAGTCGAAACTTTTGGATCTTAGCTCGTTGCTTTTGACATGTAGCAAAAGAGAGGGGTATTTCTATCTGCGGGCAGGGGGCAGGAACATCTCTACAAATAGTCTACTCAGATCATTTGTATCTTGCGTCACACGTAGTGACGTATTTCTATTCTTAGAAAAACAATCTAAATCTAATTTCAGAGCGTTGGGGACTCTCTCCATCGCTTATAACTTTCCATTGGTTGTCTTTGTCGTATCATCTGCACTCAACGTCTTTGCCTCTTCACCAACAACCAAAGTCTTGTTCAAAAAGTCGACAATTCTCCTTACACCAAAAAACTCAACTGCATCTAACGACTTCACTTGCAAATGGGGATTCTGCTTTATTTTCTTGATGATGTGACTTTCAAAGAACAAAACAGAGTCATGAACACCCCATGGCTCAACAACGACATCAACATAAGCATCATTCGTACCTTGAGTCTTGTACTCATGTACCTTGGACTCAATGGCTCCACCAGAATCCTGCGTTTGTGGAACCAAGGGCGACTTAACTGCATATTTAGCAAATTCCAAAATATCATCTCTAAGCAGTTCATGTTCACCAGCAAGGATGAATGTAGAGTATCCCTTGGCGTTAAAAGTTGGAATATCATTCCAATCACTAGGCTTGTATTCAAGATTTCCCGGAGAAATTAAAAGATCAGCGTGATTCTTATCGCCAAGCAACTCAATGCGTCTCTCTTCCTTAAATATCTGGCTTTGAATCATATCGCGACTTTCGTTATCATGGAATGAGTGGCCAGGAGTGATTTGGTGTTGGTCGGGAACAATTTTCATCCATGGACTGATCAACACTGCTGATCTAGGCCATGGCAAGCTTGGATTCCTTGCTTGCTTCAAGTACTGAAGCAATGCCACTGATAAATTACCACCGGCCGAATCTCCTAAAAGAACAATGTTGTCATTACCCTCGGCAGCCAATTTTTCATAAGTGGCAACCAACTCGTACAATTGTTCTCCGACTAAAGCGCCAGCCCCAACCAATTTGTAATCAAGAACCAAAACCGAAGTTTTTTGCTTCTTTTCCTCATCAAGTAAATGATAGAAACTCAACACTGATTCGAGCTGTGATGGCTGGGTTTCCAAAAAGTATCCACCTCCATGCGAATATATGATGATGGGGTCAGACTTGGACCTATTTGGAGCTTCAACAAGCCAAATACTCTGTTTGTCGAATCTCTTTCCGTACTTGTTCAACTTGGTCAATGCTGGGTGCACCAATTTCAACAATGTGTTGATGATGAAGTTGTTGTTCATTATTCCAAGGAACGCAGCATCCCCCACTGGTAAAGTCAAGCCGGTACGGAAGACTTCCATCTTTAACGAATTGACTAAACTATTTTTGAATTTCTCATTGACACCGCCGAAAATTGGGTATTTCAAAACGACCCAAAGGAGTCTTATTGGGATACTGAGTATGATTAAAAGACCTCTAAGTGAAAGCATCTTCTAGGTGGTGGTGGTGGTGTTGGTGTTGGTGTCTCAGGTGTTCTTGTTGGGTAGTTGACGAAGGAGTTGTAAAGTGCTTGGTGATGAATCGAGAAAGAAGTATCACGTCTAGCGGGTACCTGGATTGTAAAGGAGACTTGTAGTTATCTGTATGGGTTAATCCATGATGACGGAAATTGACTTCCTAGAGTATTTATATATATATATATATATATATATATTTAAACGAATGCATTGACAATGAATAACTGTGGGTGGGGCTGGGGCGGTTCTCGGCACAGTCAAGGAACAATTCACATGCCGAAACTCAACTCAACTCAACAAAAAAACATAAACTTAAACTCACCAAGTTTGTTAACAACTTGATATGGAAAAAAAGCTTAAAGTTTACTTTCCCTACAAGGTTTTTCTGACCCCCCCCCCCCTTCCATCCGCAATTGAGTATTTCTCAGCTGTCCACGTGGTGAACTACAACTACACCAGTTTTTGACTGGATATCCGTAGTTTGTGGGAGACCCTTATGTTTAGTACGAGCATTCGCATTCCACGTCAAAAAAAAAAATTATTTATCGCCGCAGCGGAAATTAAATCGTCAGAGATCTCAGACATATTTTCGAAAGTGGGGAAATCGCGGGACAGAAAGGATCAAGTCGGATGTGGATGCAATGATTTATCTCTCAACTGCGATTCCAATCAGAAAAAAAAACTGAAATAGAGCTAGTGAGCCTGTCAATCAACTTGTATTCTTGATGTGCGTGTGAACATGAGTGTATTTGTGTGCATCGCAAATTTGTAATCAGAAAAGTTTGTCCAATTTTGCAGCTAAATTTTATATTTCTAGGATGGAAAAGTTAAGCAAATGGTTCTCTTGAAGAAAGATTTGTCATTTATAAAGAACTCGAAGCCCATAGTTCAGTTTGGGATGCAACTCTTCTAGATTACAAAGTGCACCCATCTCTACATACAACGACTCACCTCCTTTGCAATGTCAATGTACATGACTCGCTATAAAGTTTCCACGAGCTTCCCTTGTTTAACTTTGACAGTTGTCAGCAATTCCTCTTTCTCCGTGCTCACATCCAACGTCCTGTTCAAAAACTCCACAATTCTAACCACACCAAAAAACTTCAGTTTGTCCAAATTTTCCAATTTTAATTGAGGATTCTTCTCCAACTTCTTACCGATATCGCTCTCAAAAGTGACAACATGAGCATGGAGGGCCCAAGGCTCAACGACAACATCAATATATGCACCATTCTTACCATCAGTCTTGTATTCTTGTACAGCGGAGTTGACAATCCCACCCGAATCTTTACTTTGGGGCTTCAAATTGGACCCAACTGCGTATTGCGACCACTCCAAAATATCATCTCTAAACACCTCATGCTCACCTAGAATGACAAATGTCGAGTAGCCCCTGTCGTTTAGAGTTGGAATTTCCTTCCAATCTTCAACTTTGTATGGCAAATTACCCGGAGATATCAAAATATCAGCATAGTTTACTCCACCGAATAATGCTTCAAGTCGCTTTGGCGTTCCAACGAATCGTGCCTCCAAATAGTCTCGATTTTTATTATCATGGTACGAGTGACCTGGACTCAACTGGTACTTCTCGGGAACCATCTTCACCCAGGGACTCATCAAGACTGTTGATCTGGGCCACGCCAATTTTGGATTTTTCTGTTGTTTTAAATACTGTAAAAGGACAATGGCCAAGTTTCCACCTGCTGAATCACCCATCAACACAATATTGTCATTGCCCGCTTCGGCCAACTTAATATACGTTGCCGCCAATTCATCAACGTGAGAGCCAATAGCGCCTCCGCTTCCAACCAAATGATAATGAAGTGCCAATACGGATGTTTTTGTCCTTTTCCTCTCATCCAACAAATGGTACATGCCCAAGATTGTTTCGTATTGTTGTGGAAATGGTCCTGCTATATAACCACCCCCGTGACAGTAGATGATAATGGGGTCCGAAGTAGACCGGTTCTTGGCCTCAACGAGCCAGATGCTTTGTTGATCATATCTCATTCCATAGTTGTTTAACTTGGTCAAACTTGGAAGCAGAGACTTTACTGTTTTATTTATGATGTGATCTGCACCTTTTCCAAGATAAATAAAGTCTCTAACAGGGATGTCTAACCCGATTCGGAGAGCATGAATCTTCACTGAGTTGAAGAGATCGTTTTGGAATTTCTCATTGACGCCACCGAAAATGGCATACGAAATGAGAGCCCATATTAGCCTCGCTGGTATAGTGAGAATCACCAAAAATCCTCGAAGTGAAATCATTGTCAAAAGTAGGATTGAGAATGCGTGATTAAGTCTCTGCTTGGCAAATCCTCTGTAGGTTGAGTCTTATGGGATGATTCGATCCACTTTCACACTGCTTAGATGGATGTGACATAATCTATGCTATTTATGTGGAACATTTTTGGGCCTCGCTTGTACATAGTGGACCCCACACATTTCAATTTCTTTTTAAGGGAGAGAATGTAATCTCCGCGACGGATCTTAAAATGTCAGATATCAGCTACTAAGTTGGCATGAAGTGGGGGTTCCCCACAGAGCGAGCCTTCCCTCAATGAAATACTCCTGAGTAAAACACGGCTGCCTGGCTACAGAAACTATACTTTAGCCATCGTTCGCGTCGACTTCAAAGAGATTAACCCTGAGAATACGAGTGTTAAAAGTCACCTCCAAACACAGCCATTGATCTGTCGTATAGACCTACTACTGCTGTGAACCTTTCATGGCGCCACACTCGATTGTAACGCTGTTTATAAATACTACGGTACATCTTTGATACTCTTTTCTCAATAACAAAAAAACACTATACAGAGTAGCACTTTGCTCAACTCTTACCCCTAATCTTCATCCTCTTGCGAGACAACTAGAGTCCTGTTCAAGAACTCTGTAATTCTCACTATCCCGAAATACTCTACTGGGTCTAAATCCTTCAATTGTACTTGTGGATGACTCTTTACTAAACCAGCAGCATTATGTTCGAAAAAAATGGCTGATTCGTGTATACCCCACGGCTCAACCACAACATCAATGTACGCACCGTCACTACCACTAGTCTCAAACTCGTGTACAAAAGGCTTGAACCCACCACCTGAATCTTGAGAAGGGGGCTGCAATGGTGAACCTAGCGCATACCTGGCCCACTCTAACGCATCATCACGAAACACTTCGTGTTCACCTGTTATAACAAACGTGGAGTACCCTTTGTTGTGTAATGTTGGAATGTCACTCCAATCACTAGCTTTATATGGCACATTTCCAGGTGAAATGAAAAGATCGGCATAGTCCTTGTTTCCAAACAAGGCAACTTGACGTTTCGGATCAAGCATAAAGTTTTCCAGAACCATGTCGTACTTGAGATTGTCATGGTAAGAATGACCTGGTGTAAGTTGGTCTTTGTCGGGAACAATTTTTATCCACGGACAAATCAACACTAACGACTTGGGCCAAGGAAGCTGTGGCATTTTTTGCTCTTGCTTCAAGAGCTGCAAAAACACAATGGCCAAGTTACCACCACACGAATCCCCCATCAAAACAAAGTTGTCATTACCTTCCAAAGCCAACTTTGAATATGTTGCAGCTAGTTCATGAACTTGAGTTCCAATAAGATGTCCATGGCAAGCCAAGCCGTATTCAAGCACCAAAATTGACGTCCTTTCTCTCTTAACTTCCTCAAGTAAGTAATACATGCTCAATAAAGATTCAATATGTTGAGGCTGCGTCTCCAAAAAGAACCCACCCCCATGACAAAAGATTATAATTGGGTCTGACTTGGTTCGGTTGTCAGCTTCTACAAGCCAAATACTTTGCTCATCGTACCTTTTCCCATAGTTGTTCAATTTGGTTAAACTGGGGTAAAGTGTCTTGACGATTGTGTTGATGACAAAGTTTGTTTTGACTAAAGCCAACACTGAACTATCCTCCACCGACAATGATATTGCAAATTTGCATATTGCCAACTTCAAGGCCTTTGCGAGACTGTTGTGGTATTTACCCTTTGCCCCGCCGTCGAATGGGTATTTAATGGCAGTCCAAAGAAGTCTAATTGGGAGACCCAAGATGATAAAGATACCAATGACGGAGACCATTGCGACAGTAGTTCAATCGATAGACGAATCAATCACTCGTTTCCTATCTCATTTTTGCTCTATTTATAAAATTTAATCCAAATCTCACTAGTTGAGGCGTTTAGACTATTTTAGATAAGGACTTTGAACAATAATGGGGCTTTCTGTGCGGAGTACTTTTAGTAAATTATAGATCATCTTGCACCGTCTCGGAAGAATTAAATTTCAAATTTCAGGGGGGAGGGGGGGCTCGACAGAAGCACGTGCTATCCATACTAAATCGCAATGACAAGGCTACAAAGTTTCAGTAAAAATTACTAAAAATAGATCTATTGAAGAAAGTGTGGTTTTACTTGTGAATGCCTCTCTTCACACCAACGCAACATTCAATGAGCACCCAATCACAAAACTTGATTCAAGAACAGAGCAATCTTTACTGTTCCCAAAAACTTTCTCTCGTCTATATCCTTCAATTTCAAGTTTGGTTGTTTCTCCAATGCCTTAGTAACATCATTTTCAAAAAGCAAAGGAGCAACATGAATTCCCCATGGTTCAAGCACAACGTCAATAAAAGCACCATTTTGTCCAGTAGTTTTATACTCATGAATTCTTGGATCAAAAACACCTTTCGAATCTTGCTTTGGAACGGTCAAAGGTGAGTCAAGTGCATATTGGGTCCACTCGCGGATATCATCTCTGAAAAGCTCGTGCTCGCCAAAAAGGACAAAAGTGGAATAACCCTTGTTGTTGAATGTTGGAATGTCACTCCAGTCGCTTTTCTTGTAGGGCAAGTTTCCTGGCGATTTCAAAAGGTCGGCATAGTTTTCACCACCAAACATTGCCTGTCTTCTCTCGGCACTTCTGGCAACAGTTCCACTCAACATGTCGTATTTCTCGTTATCATAGTACGAGTGACCTGGAGTGAGCTGATACGCATCTGGCACAATTTTAACCCAAGGACTAATCAACACGGCAGATTTTGGCCAAGGAAGGTTGGAATCCTTTTCTTGTCTCAAGTATTGTAAAAACGCAATTCCCAAGTTTGCACCAGCTGAATCACCCATCAAGATAAAGTTGTCGTTACCTTCAGCAACCAATTTTCTGTAGGTAGCAGCTAATTCGTAAACCTGGGTTCCAACATAGTGTCCATGACAGGTCAAACTGTAATCAAGCACCAAGATGGAAGTCTTTTTCCTTTTTTCTTCATCAAGCAAATAGTATGCATTCAAAAGGGACTCAACTTGAGCTGGGGCGGTGTTGAGTCTGTATCCACCACCATGCAAGTAGATCACAAGTGGGTCTGATTTAGATCTGTTTTCTGCTTCAACAACCCATGTGTTGAGCTTGTCGTAAGATTTACCGTACGATGGCAAGCTGGTCAACCTTGGGTAGACTGGTTTCAAACTGTTGATTACTTGCTGAGTTGATTTCTTGGCAAGATAAGCACTATCTTTAACAGGTAAGGATAACCCGAAGCGGAAAATTGTCAATTTCAACGAGTTGCGCAAATTGTTTTTGAACTTCAAGTTTGCTCCACCAAAGATTGGGTAACTGAGAACAACCCAAAGTAGTTTAACTGGAAGACTGAGAAGCTTCAAAATAGTGGTTACCGAAACCATTTTGGATCAGATCAATAGGTGAATCGAAAAAGGTGGACGACTCGAGGAGAAAAGGTTGAATTCGAAAAGGGGGAAAAAAAAATAAAAAAAAAAAAGTCTCATTGCACACTTTCTTCAGTGGACATTGTGGCTCATTTATGTATACGTATCTATGTGGTTTTAGTTGTGGTTTTAGTTGTGGTTTTAGTTGTGGAGGTGTTTGTCTTTAATGCCGGAGAGTTTTACACAAAATTATTTTTATTTTTTTTTCTTCAACGTCTCGTCTCCCGCGTTCCACCTTCCGCTTGGACTTTGTTTTATCCGTTGGTTACACTGTGATGGCTGCAAACCATAAAGGACGTCACCAACTGAGACAGCATGCAAAGGGAATAAGAGGAAAATGGTGCCAGATTCTAAATCTACAATAAGAAAATACGATTACTCTGATTGTCTCTTGTGATCAAAATACAAGAAACCAAGTTTTAACCAGACACAACCCCGAATACAAAACTCTGCAATAATTGTTCTCCTCTCTTTCTCTCTCTCTCTCCCCCCCAATCTACATACACTATTCTATTCTAAGTTAATTATCTCTCAAAATGCTTTCTAATCTTCACTTTTACGGAAAAATTTGGAAAAAGCTGATCGCGTTCTTGAAGTAGACCTAGATCTGCTCTCGTTAGCCAATCTTTGTACCGGGTTCAGCAAGTGAGAATGGTTGCTTCGTCCTCGCTCTTCATTGACCAAATTGGTATATGAAGAGTTTCTTGAGCTTGTTGGACTGAGGAATGAATTGACTTTTCGATGCAATGAGGAATGTTGTTGATCATCATTATGGCCCAGTGCTGCTGCTGCTCCTGCTGCCGTTGCCGTTGCCGTTGCCCCTTCTGTCTGTCCTTCGGCTGCACGCTTGATCCAATTGACAAAATACTGGTCTGAGTCGATTGGGTTTGCCAAAACTTCAACGTAATTGTAAGTTGGCTTCACAATTATAACTGGAACCAAAGCACATTCGAGAAAATGTTTCGACAATGACGACTTGCTCAAAAACCCTCGATGACTATGCTTGCTTTCGCGCTCAGTGTAATGGTGTGTTCCAATAACCATCATTGAAGGGGCATACTCGGCAATGGCCAATTTCAATGCTTTCTGAGGCTTGCCAATAACAACTTCAAACAACAACGCAACTTTTTTGTAATGGACATTGAGTTTTTCAAAATGGGCTACATTGGCATTGGCTTTTATTTTATCAATGGAAACGTGCTTTTTTTCATCCAAAACTTGTAAAATGACAATTGTGTCGCCATGAATTACCATTTCGTCAAATAACCACTCAATGGCTTTTGTACTCTCGACATCATTATTGAATCCCACAAGCCATGTCTTGTTGTTGCGTCGAAATTTGTAGTCCGGATACTTTCTCTTCAATGTGTATGATTTTTTGGGACCTTCGTCACCAGTGTCGAATGACACACCTCTTGATAAGCTTGGTTTAGTCAGTTTGGTCTGTGCCGATTTCGGCAACGATGAAAGAGAGGTTGAGGACGAAGACAACTGGGAGTTCAAGATTGCACTTTTGGGGGTTGGCGAAGTGCCAAAATTGAACTCATTGTCTTCAGCAGCATTGCTATTGTTAGGCGCTGGTGACAACAACGGCGTATGCGGAAGTGAGTTTGTTGGTGATAAAAGTTCGGGTGATATCAAGTTACTATGGGAATCATAATCGTCGTAGTAAAGTCTGCCTAGTAAATCCGACGAATCATTTTGTTGTCGATACAGTAGGACAGACTCATCGGAGGTGTGATAGAGAGCAGCGTTGAGCCTCGTGTTTCTTGCAGTTTCAGATTCTCCTTCGTCATCAGCGTGATGTTTGTTTGTTTTCAAGACCTTGCCTTCTGGTGGTGGTTTCGGTATCCGCGGGTGTGACACCTCGATATCTTCCTCATTCATGGATGTCAATAGTCACAGGTGAGAAAAGTAAGGTATGTCTGGTTGAGAAAACTAGAAAACCTTGTGACAAAGATGGTTGCGGAGATGGATTTTATTTTTTTTCTGTAAACGGCTGAACCAAGCGAATCAAAAGAAGAATTCTGTACAGCAGTGTAGATATATCTATACATTATATATACAAGAATAGACCTAGTATTTACTCAAAAAAAAGATCGTCCATTGTTCACCCCACTGTTCTTTTCAACAATCCCCCACAATCGATCCATTTTGATACCACCTATATCATCAACGATGTAAAACTCTCTTTTTGACCCATCCTCATTATTCTTTTCTTCCCAAGTAGCATACGGCTTCCAAAATCTGGGCTCAGGCGATAGTATCAAAGATGTGTTGCCAGTAATCTTTAGCAACTCGTTATACGTCTTTCCACCTGTGAAATTCAACTTTTCAACAATCAAGTTCTCATCTTTGACCAAATTATCCAATGTTTGAGGCACTTCTTTGTTATACAATCTGAATATCCTAGTGACATAGTCTTTAGTCTTCCATTGAACTAGTATTATGGGGATCACAGTTCCAGCCAACAATGTATATGCAAATGAATCATCAAATTGTGCTGACTCGTAAATCAATTTAGATCCGTACAAACCAACAACACCAAAACTTAGTGTTAGTCTTTTCAATATGGAAACATATTTGGAGGCTGGTGCTTCGTAAATTGGGTTATATGATAGTCTATAGTATTCTGGAAGCTTCGTTTTAGAAATCTTGTGTCTCTCTTGTACATATATTGGATCATCTTCAAGCGTTGGTGACCATGGATTGTTTTCACTAACCAACTCATCCGTGTCTACATTGGAATCATTTGACTTGAATGATTTGGCATTGAATGGGTTTTGAATTAGACGTAAGGAAGATGTGGTGAATGGTTGTTTGTATATAGTTGTTGGCACAATTTTGGCTCTAAATAGTGCTGAAGACGGTAGTAGTAATGGTTTTGGAAACATTGCGAGTCTCTCAGTTATATCCAATACGTAGTTACTTCGGTATGAAGTTGTAGGTGAAGAGATTGACTGTGTGTAGCTGTGGAAAAGCAAATGAAGCAGAAGAAGAGAAAAAAAAAAAAAAAATTTGTTCAAGGGGAGAAGAAGAAGAAGAAGAGAATCAACAATCATCGCATAACCCTCCTTATTATTTACACACCTTTCCCACGAAGTCAATCACTAGATATTTTGTTTCAACTGCTCTTTTTCCCCTATCACACAAACTTCCTCATTTATAATCAATAATGGACTCAAATGCAACTGAAAGATTCGTACCCGAATACCGCCGTACTAATTTCAAGAACAAGTCACGTTTTCAAAGTGATGAGTTGAGAAGGAGAAGAGAAACTCATCAAGTTGATTTGAGGAAGCAGAAAAGAGAAGAAGTGCTTGCCAAAAGGAGAAATTTCCAACATGAAGCTAATGATTCAGAAGATGAGGAAGATTTCAATCTGAACGGCACTCACAACAATGACGAACACCAATTTTACAACAACTTGAAGCAAGATTTACCCAAAATGATTGAAATGATTCAAGCTCCTGATTTTGAGTCCCAGTTGGCTGCAACTGTGAAATTCCGTCAGATTTTATCAAGAGAGCATAACCCGCCCATTGATTTGGTTATTCAACTGGGGGTCATACCAACTTTGGTTGAATTCATGAAGGACGAACATCCAGACATGTTACAGTTGGAAGCAGCTTGGGCTTTGACCAACATTGCTTCTGGAAACTCACATCAAACCAGGGTTGTCGTTGAGGCTAACGCAGTACCATTATTTGTTCAATTATTGTATTCTCAAAGTCTTGAAGTTAAGGAGCAGGCAATTTGGGCTTTGGGTAATGTTGCTGGTGATTCAGCTGACAATAGAGATTATGTCTTGAGTTGTGGAGCTATGGAACCTGTATTAAACTTGTTCAACTCCACTAAGATGTCGTTGATCAGAACTGCCACGTGGACATTATCCAACTTGTGTAGAGGAAAAGCACCGCAACCAGACTGGAACATTGTTTCTCAAGCTATTCCAACTTTAGCCAAGTTGATTTATTCAGTCGACTCAGAGACGTTGGTGGATGCTTGTTGGGCAGTATCATACTTGTCGGATGGAACTTCAGAAGCCATTCAGGCTGTTGTTGATGCACGAATTCCTCACCGTCTTGTTGAATTGTTGGGCCATGAATCCACCTTGGTTCAAACACCATCCTTAAGAGCCATTGGTAACATAGTCACTGGTACCGATTTCCAAACACAAATTGTCATCAACGCTGGTGTTTTACCTGCGTTGTCTCCATTATTAAACTCTCCAAAAGAAACTATTCGAAAGGAGGCGTGTTGGACAATTTCAAATATAACAGCTGGTACACCTGAACAAATACAGGCTGTTATAGACTCAAACTTGATACCACAAGTGATTAGATTGTTGATCAATGGTGACTACAAAACCAAAAAGGAAGCTTGTTGGGCTATTTCAAACGCCTCATCAGGAGGCTTACATAAGCCGGAAATTATCCGCTACTTGGTAAGCCAAGGCTGTATTAAGCCACTTTGTGACTTGTTGGCAGTTGCTGATACCAAGATTATTGAAGTTACATTGGACTCGTTGGAGAATATATTGAGAATGGGAGAGATGGATAAAGAAGCAAGAGGAACAGGTGTCAATGAAAACGCTTTGTTCATTGAAGAAGCTGGTGGTATGGAAAAGATCTTTGAATGTCAAAACAATGCCAATGAAAAGATATATCAAAAGGCTTATAACATTATTGAAAAGTATTTCAGTGATGAAGAAGATGACAATATTGAGGATGAGAATTTGGTGCCTGAAGCATATGGTAACTCGTTTGGCTTTGGCATGGATAACTCAAACCAGCAACAAAATTTCCAATTCTAGATGCAATGGGAAAAAAAAAAAAGGACACTGACCTCTTTTTTTTTTCAACTTTTTTTTTGCATTTGCCAAAACAGTTTGAATTTTTCATGTTGTTGTTACCCTCCAGCAAAAGCACACAAACAATTCAAGCTCCTTCCATGTAGCCAACTTGTTTCCAATTACAACGAATATTCTGGGTTTTTATTGGGTTGTGCGTGTGTCGTGTTATTTACTACCTATGAAAACATTCATAGGCTTTGAAGTTTGTGGTGATCTCTGTCGTTTGTTTTTGTATACGGTGTGCTCGTATATATGTGTCTTACTCTTCTTCTCCCCCCCTCTTCCTCGACTCTCTCATACAATACACGGTATTTATCTCTGGAAAGTTACGTAGATGATTTATTAAAAGCCATCCGAGTTCTGTGTCGTAAATACTCTGACGTCGTGTAATTTATTTACACGACATTGATATCTGATTTTCAATTTGTCCCACGTTTTTGTTCATCCAAAAGGTCTCTTCGAAGTAGATTGAAATTCAATGTCCTTGTCCAATAAGAGAATGTCAACTGAACAATCTTTGCCTATCCCTGGTACAGGGAAGCAAAGACAAGACTCTGATCCACAATCACAAGCACCATCTGGCGAAAGCGTCTCCAATGAAAAACATCCTCTCCATTCCATGTCGCCATTGTCATTATCATTACCCGAAAACGGGGAGACAACCACCATTTCCGAAGTTTTAGACACCAAGCCTACCCCTTCTACTGAAAAGGCTATTGCGTCTTTAGCTCCAATGTTGGAGACTTTTGCTCCAAAGACAAGTGCAGAGGATTCTGCATCTCGATTAGGTTCAATTTCATCATCTCCAGGCATCGCAGCAGCTGCTGCAGCTGCTTCTGATTCAGCTGTAGGAGAAGTGGAACCATTAACAGCGGAGAATTTGGGAGCTGCTAAATCACATTCAAATCTGGTGTCTACTTTTGCATCTCTTGACGGACAAAGACTAAACAAGACTATGTCGAATTCGTCAAGCACCTCAAGGAAATCATTCTCACAAACAACAAACAGAGAACCTGAACATACTGCTAAGTTGCCAAAGATTGGTAAGATTGGAGTATGTGCAATGGATGCAAAGGCTTTGTCGAAACCATGCAGAAAGATCTTGAATCGGTTGATTGAGAATGGTGAGTTTGAAACGGTTATTTTTGGTGATAAAGTGATCCTTGATGAAACTATTGAAAATTGGCCAACTTGTGATTTTTTGATTAGCTTTTTCTCAACTGGGTTCCCCTTGGACAAGGCAATTGCGTATGTTAATTACAGGAAACCATACATTATCAATGACCTTGTACTTCAAAAGGCTTTGTGGGATAGGCGTGTCGTATTGGCTATATTGAACCATGCCAATGTGCCTTCACCTGAAAGATTGGAGATCAGTAGAGATGGAGGTCCATATTTGGAGCTTCAACTACTTGAAAGATTGAAAGAGATTGGATTTTCGGATGAAAAAGTGCATGAGTTGACAAATCAACAAGAGCCAGATTGGGAAATGGTTGATGACGATACTTTGAGAGTTGGTGATAAGTACCTCAAAAAGCCATTTGTGGAAAAACCAGTTGATGGAGAGGACCATAATGTCTACATATACTATCCTAAAGCAACTGGTGGTGGTGGAAGAAAGTTGTTTAGAAAGATTGGGAACAAGTCATCTGAATTTGACCCTGATTTGGTATCCCCAAGAACCGATGGTTCTTTTATTTATGAAACTTTTATGGACACGGACAATTTTGAGGATGTGAAAGCATACACCGTGGGACAGAACTTCTGCCATGCAGAGACTCGTAAATCCCCCGTTGTTGATGGAATTGTTAGAAGAAACACCCATGGTAAGGAGATTAGGTATGTTACTGAATTGAGCGAAGAAGAAAAAGTAATGGCTCGTTCTGTTAGTTCTGCTTTCAAACAAACAATTTGTGGGTTTGATTTGTTGAGAGTGAATGGGAAATCGTATGTGATTGATGTCAACGGGTTCTCTTTTGTCAAGGACAACAATGAATACTATGATGCATGTTCAAGTATCTTGAGAAGTTTATTCATCGAGGCTAAGAAGAATAGAGATTTGTTGAAGAACCGCGTGCCAAAAAGTTTGCAAAATAGTCAATTTGAAGAAAAAGAACAGAAATGGGTATTCAAGGGAATGGTTAATGTTATTAGACATGCTGATCGTACACCAAAACAAAAATTCAAGTACTCATTCAAGTCGCCGCTATTCATCAGTCTTCTTAAAGGTCATACTGAAGAAGTGATAATTCGTGCCGTTGCTGATTTGCAAGTAGTTTTAGAGACTGTCAAAATTGCTGAAGAAAAAAATTTGGAAGATCCAGCAAAATTGAAACAGTTGCGAATTGCATTGGAAAAGAAGATGAATTTTCCGGGAACCAAAGTTCAAATCAAGCCCTCATTGAATAGTGAAAACCCGGAATTGGTTGATAAAGTTCAACTCATTCTCAAATGGGGTGGTGAAGCAACTCATTCAGCTAAGCACCAAGCTTCAGATGTTGGTGAACAAACGCGCCAAAACTTGAAATTGTTGAACCGTGAGGCGTTGGATGATGTTAAGGTGTACACATCGTCAGAAAGAAGAGTCATCACTAGTGCACAATACTTTACTACTTCACTTCTTGGTTTGACAAAGAATCCATTGCCAGATGACTTTCTCATTGTCCGTAAGGACTTACTTGATGACTCAAACGCAGCTAAGGACTTGATGGACAAAGTGAAGAAGAAATTGAAACCTTTGTTGAGACAAGGTGCAGAAGCGCCGCCGCAATTCACCTGGCCTCCAAAAATGCCGCAACCGTTTGTTGTCATAAAACGTGTCTGTGAGTTGATGAATTTCTATCATCAAATCATGAACCACAATTTCGAAACTAAAAATGTGGCTGAATTCCAATCTAATTGGTGTTGTGGTGAAGATCCATACTTGTTCAAGGAACGTTGGGATAAGTTGTTTCAGGAGTTTATCAGTGTTGAAAAGACGCATCCTTCGAAAATTTCTGAATTGTACGATACCATGAAATATGATGCTTTGCATAATCGTCACTTTTTGCAGAGAATTTTCGCATATGACCCTCACGATGAAGCGTTGTTGGCGAGATTGAGAGAAACGTGCGGTGATACGGTCAATTCATCGGGATTGGTTAGCGAGTACCCTATAAATATATTGGCCATGAATAATTTCAAACTTCCTGCAGACAATAACAACATTGGTGGGTCGGCATCCACCTCACATAGCAACTCAAGCACTCACTTGCAGTCTTCGAATACAGCTTCAGCTGGCTCTTTGGGTTGGGTGTTGAGTGGTGCTAATATTGGCGCAGGGGAAAGTGGTGGTGCCAATTCAAACAAGAATGCTAAAGCACCAGAAAATCCATTTGATTATCCAACGTATGCTAGGTTGAGAGAGTTGTATCGATTGTCAAAAGTGTTGTTTGATTTTATATGTCCCCAGGAATATGGTATAAAGGATGAAGAGAAGTTGGATATTGGTTTGTTGACGTCATTGCCATTGGCAAAACAAATCTTGTCTGACATACAGGACATGAAAAAAAATGTGTCCTCACCATCAGTTGTCAATTACTTCACCAAAGAAAGTCATATTTACACATTACTCAACATCATATATGGATCTCAATTGCCAATGAAGATTGCTAGGAACGCTTTGCCGGAGTTGGATTACTTGTCACAAATTGTGTTTGAATTGTACGAAGCTGATGATCCCACCAGTCCATCGGGTAAAAAACATTCAATTAGGTTATCTCTCAGTCCCGGATGTCACACGCAGGATCCATTGGATGTTCAATTGGATGATGATCATTATATTGCATGCATTCCTAAAATCAGCTTGACTAGACATTTGGATATGGATTTGGTTACACAACGGTTGAAATCGAGGTTTTCAAGGGTGTCATTGCCAAAGAAATTCACTCCTGTCAATATTTCAAGTCCCCTTGTTGGTGGTATATAGTGTCGTATTTTGTTTGGGGGGAGGGGGAGGGGGAGGGGCGATGGTCTTAATAAATTATTAGTATAAATTAATCTCCTCTATATATATGTATATATATATTAGCATATCTCTAATTACATTTGCTCAAACTTCTCCCAGTTATCAATAATCTTTTTAATCTTTTCCGATTTCGTCAACTTGTAAACATCGGTGAAGTATTCCTTTGTCAACTCAAATGGTTTTGCAGTCAAGTTGGGGATATATTTACCAATAAGATCTTGTGGTTTAACTGAAGACTTTGGAATCTTTTTACACAAGAATCTCTGGAATGGTTTAACTCCAGACATCAAATACGACGAATGGAAAGGAACATCAATACCCTTCAATGGAATCACAGCAAAACCTCTTTCCAATTCAATTGGTTGTGGTTTGGCCAATGTTCTTTGTTTCACCTCATCAATAATCTCATTGAGATGCTTGGTAACCTCTTCAATAGAAAGGTGTTCTTGCAACTTGACAATATCAACCTTGTTCAATTTGATAACGTTGAGTACATTGGTTAATGCATCCAACCCACGTAAATCACCAGCCGTAACATATTGTTGATTTTCAACATTATAGTTGACAATCTCCAACAACCAACCAGTCCGTTTAGAAGTCTCATCAACAACAAATCTCAAGGCGGCATCATTGAATGTAGGATTGACCCTACTTGGATTGACAGCACACATACCATAATTGGATCTACCCAAATCATCCCTGGGGACAGCAACTTGCATGGTCATACCACGGTAAAAGACAACATCAACCAACGATTCAATTGGCATGACATTGGCCAATGAACTCAATGCCGAGTATTCACCCAATGAATGTCCAGCAAACATGATATCCAGCGGAATCAACCCCTTCAGTTTGATATCTTCATAAGCTGCCTTTTCCATCAACGTCAATGCCGGTTGAGTGAATTGGGTAGCTGATAACAATCCAGTTGGAGACACAAAGGTGAATGAAGTTGAAGTTTCATCAATGCTCTTGAAAATCTTTTCTGATTTCAATTCTCCATCTTCGCCAATGGTTTCAAACATCATTCCAATATAATTGTCCCTGATTGCTCTTCCCTTGGCACCACCAAAGTGAACTGTCAACTCCTTAGGATTATTTTGAACAATATCCAAAATTGAGAAACCATAATTGTTGACAAAGTGTTTATCAGCTTTATCCCAAACTTCTTTAGCGACATCAGATGTGTTGTACAAGTCCATACCCATACCTTGCTCTTGAGAACCTTGACCAGTGAATACATATGTTGTGATTGGTTGTTCAATTTCCGCCTCTCCGATCAACACTGGAGTATCAGTTTCAATGTTCTTGGTCTGGAATTTGATAATCTTACGACCATTAATCATACCAGTATGTTCCATAGTAGTTTGTAAAGTATCATTTGGTAAGACCATTCCAACAAAATCACACTTGAATGCCCTGACTCTTGATGCAAAGTTATTGGCAGCCCATTCTTCCACCAATCCTCTAACTGATGCCGACGAGTACATTCCGTGAGTAATTGTACCTGGCAATTTGGCATAAGCAGCAAACACACGTGAAACATGGATTGGGTTGTAGTCACCAGACACAATAGCATATGGTTCATTAGTACTTGGAGCTTTTGAAATCAATTCTTCACTTGAGGAAAGAGGGATGGCATTTTCGAATGAAACAGCCTCTTCAATGGTCTTTCCATGACGAGCAAAATAGTCAGTTACTGGGTTACCGTAAGAAACTCCAGCTTCGTAATTGACCTCACCAACTTGAACAACTTCTTTTGTAGGCAACTCCAAATAGACTTGACCAGTAGTCTTGATTGATGAGTAGACATTGGCAGACTTGAACTTGTATAATGATTCACATCTAAAAGTCAATACGTCAAAATCAACATCTTTTGTCAAGTGGAACCATTCTTTTGATCTCAACACTGCTAAATCTTTGGATGAGTTGAAAGCAACTTGAACAGGTGTTTCAGTAACTTTTTGAAAAGTGTTTTCGTAATCAACATATTCACCACGGTACAAAAATTGTGAAGAAACCTCCATGACCGGGAGCGAGTCGCGGTAAATTGTACCCACAACTTCAACCAATTTACCACTGGGTTGGTTCAAAACTGCCTTTATTTCAGCTTTAGTAGACACGACATCATCCTTTTTCAACGGAGCAGCTCCAGGAATCATCTTGTACCCATTCGACAAGTGAACCAACTTCAACAAGTCCCCATCAACAGTCTTTGGGAAAATGGCCTTGATGATAGCTTGCCATCCTACAACAATGGCGAAATCCATTGGTGCCAATGTCACTTTACCTGGTCTGTTGACAAATGCTTCACATTTGTTACCAATAGCGTGTGTAAATTCGGCAATATCCTTACCAGTGATTGTAACTTCGTCACCCAAGATCTGTTCTTCAACATTGATGTCCAAATTGTATGGAATTTTCGAACCAAACCACAATTTCCAGTAAAACTCCTTGATTCTGTCATTTCTTGAATCCATGATTTCGACAATTGGAGCAAATCCGTCTTCTGGTTGGTACTTGTACAAAAATGGTAATGAAACTGGTGCACCATCAGCTGTTCTATGCTCAATCAAGGAAAATTGAATGATATTGTCCTTCAACAACTTGATTTCAACAACTGGGACCAAATCTCCCTTGACTCTTTCATAGGCGGTCAATGTGTGAGATGACTTGTTGATGACAACTTGTGAGTGTGGAGTTGGAGTCAATATATCATGAAGTGGGTTGGAAGCATGCTTAGAACCTTGAACAATTCTATCGGTTGAGATGATGGCTTGTAACCAGTTCAACTCGGATCCTTGCAACAATTCCAACCAAGCTTTACTTTCGGGGACTTTTGACTTGATCTCATAAACGATTTCAGATTTACCGTCAGTGATGGTGACATGGTCAACTGGTTTCAACGTTGTTGGTTTCCTTCCACCAAAGTATTCAACAACGGGGATTCTTGATGCATCGCCATTGTACTCATCTTGGAGTAATTTAGCAATATGTCCCTCATGAATTAAGTCCAAGATTTCACCAATCGGTTCATCAACTTTGTTGGTAAATTGTGAAGCAACAGGACCGTGCAAGATACAAGTTCTTTGCACGTCTTCATCAACGACAGTTTCCAAATCCTCGGATTGCCACAATGAGTCCTTTTTGAAAAAGAATTCAAAACGTTCGTCCAAAACCGGTACAAACGGAGCTGGTTTTTGAGTTGGTCTTGATGCACACATCAAGAAAAAGTCGCAATCCTCTTCTGAAATCAATTGCGTTTTGGCCAACGAAAAACGGTTAAAGAATTCATCAGTAAATTGTTGAGGCGAGTTTTGCAATTGAGCATAATTTTGAATCAATGAGACAGTATTGGCTTTAGTGGTGAATCTCTCTTCAACACGTCTAAGGTAATCAACAAAAAAGTTTCTCAATGAAAGATCAATCCATCTAGTTGATTTGTTGACATACATCAATTCAATCAATCTATTGGCAACCTCTTGATAAGTCATGTCTTGCAAATCACAAACACCTTGACTATTTTTACCAAACCATGGCTTTTGGAAATCTTTATTCAACTTGTCAATAATGTAGTCTCTTTTTTTGTTCAACGTTTCAACAAGTTTATTCTTTGGTAAATTGAAAATGGTTTCATCCAACTCCTTCCAAAACATGACAGCTTTAGTGGCAATCTTGTGGATAGGTTCTCCCATTTCTGATTTGACAGTGACAATACCTCCAGTTGGCTTTTTGTATGTTTGTTCCCACTTGGAGTCATCAACACCAGGACATTGCGCAATCAACTTCTTGGCTTCCAATGATGTTTTAGCTTCTTTAGCAGTCATGACTCTTGAACCAAACAACACACCATCAAAAGGCATTGGTGGGTATTTGAACTTCTTTGACCACGAACCAGTCAAGTACGGATAAGTATCATCAGCAGAACCAAATCCAGAACCAGCAACCAAAACAATGTTTGCACACCTTCTAATCTTGGAGTACATTTGAATAATAGGTTGATGGAAATCTTCAAAAGAATGGTGACCACCACCTCTGCCACCAGTCCATTGTAAAACAATGGGGAAATTTGGGTGGGCTTTGGCAATGGTGATAACTTGACTGATGGCATCGATTGAACCAGGCTTCAATCCCAAGTGGGTCAATCCCAAGTCTTCAATATATTCAGTGGCAACTTCCAATGAGGGAACACCAGCTCCAATGGTCAATGATTGGATAGGGTATCCTTTTTCTCTCAAGTCTTTGATCAATGGAATGCCCCATTGCAACATTCTTGGGTTGACATAAATCAAATTGATTCCCAACCCATAGCCAGGTTTGATGTTTGCAACAACCTTGTCTATAGCCTTGGTCATCAGCACGGGTTCAAAATAACCACCACCAGCAATTTCAATATGGTATCCGGCATTTAATGAAGCAGCAACAATTTCGGGATTGACTGTAGTTGGGGTCATACCAGGAACCATCAAAGGTGCTCTTCCCAATAACTGAGAAAACTTGGTGTTGACATAAGTCTTACCTTTGGAAGTTTTCACCAAGGTTGGTTTATATTCTTGTAGCCAGTTTGGTGCCCATTTAATTTGACGATCTTCTGATCTGTGGAAAATCTCATGCTTGAAACCATATTGATCGTCCAATGGGTTAGAGTCCAATGCACCAGCAATGATAATTCTTGCACCGGTACCTTCTTTATTTCTATGGGTCAAGATACCCAATCCCGAAACACCACCTGGTCCGAAATCAAGAATGTGTGTGGCTTCGTGATTAGTTGCCAATTCCCAATGAACAGGTAATTCGGTAATCAATTTTACCAACCTGGCATTCAAATCTGTTGCGGATTTTCCTTGCAAGTTGCTTCCATCAAATGTGTCATAGACTGGGATTTTCAATTCATTAAAGGCAATGTTTTCGATATCTTGTAAAACAATGTCGGTGGCGTCAGCTAAAAGATGAGAATGGAACGGACAGAAAATTGGCAAGAACCTGTTGGAGCATTTCAATTTCCGTTCACTAAATGGTATACGTGATTGATCCAAACCATTGGGAGCCTTGACATTTCTCAAGTTCAAATTGAAACCATACAAGGACTCTGGTGGACCAGACAAAACCAAGTTTCTTGCCCCATTGACTAAACTAATGGCAATATGTTTCTCCTTTGGCAAATGAGCATTTGTTTGTTCAATAAATCTTTCAACTTTAGAAGTTGGCAAGTCTCTTACTGACAACATTGGTGATGGTCTACCTTCACCGTGGTTCAATGAATCTTGCAACATAGTTGGTGGCAAAGTGGTTCTTGGGTAAGCACTCAAACATCTTGACCCAATGAAAAACATAAACGAACATGCCTTGATACCGTTGGATAAAAACGAGTCCCAAGATGAAGAAGCAGAAATGGCAACGGCAGTGATCAAACCTTGTGAATGACCAGTTGACCACGAAGTTAAATCTCTCAATTCGCCCGGATTCAACCCCAACACTTTACAAGTGACTGCGTAGTGACACAACTGAATCATACATATAACAGGACAAGAAACGGGGACACTTAATAAATAATCTTGATCGGGTGTGGTTTCGGGATGTTTCAACCATTTCAAGACATCCAACCCTTGGGTGTAAATCTTGTCAAATTCTGAATCTTGCTTAACCAATTGATTCAACTTTTCAGTGATGGGGACCAACAAGTCATCACCGATCAAATTGGAAGAAGTATTGTAAATGTCTCTCAATTCTTCAAAATAGTCATCGGTGTTACCTTGTCCACCAAAGATTGATGCCAATTTAGCAGTCTTCTTAGCTGCGTGGTATAATAAATTAGATTCGGTTCTTGGGATAGTTTGAACTGATTGGTAGTAATCTTTCACAAGATTCTTGATTTTGGATTGAGTTGTTGGGTATGATTCATCTTGTAATATCTTGACTGCAAATGAATGAATGTCATCGTTATTTTGTAAAAAAGTTGATTCAAAGTCTCTAATTGCGTGACGCAAGACTTCGTCTTGTCTTGGTTGTTGTTGGCTTATGAAACCCAAGAATTTACCGTACAATTCAACTGGACTAGCTGGCTCTTCGTCACCGGCGAATCCTTCGGTAGGTTGTGGTAGCGTTTTTGAAAACTCATCCTTCAATTGTGAATAATTGGCGTATAATGAATGAGGAACTAAGAAAGTATGTTCAATTGATCCATGATTCAACTGGAAAGGTCTGTGAGTTGACATTGAATGAAAAAGTTTCTAATGTGCTTTGTCTGTTATGATGCTATAATGTAAATGTTGAACACGTCTTGGAATAACCTTGAACAAATATGAAAAGGATCAGATAACTAAGGAGAAGTGATGAAGGATGAAAAATTAGAGGATAGGGGAAAGAGTAGAATAGACTTACATATATTCCAGATCTATACACATGTATATATATATATATATATATATGTACATCAGGAGGTGAACTGAGAATTTTTTTTGGGTTTAACTTGAATCCCGTAGTTTATTTTATTTTTTATTTTTTTTTTATATTCTTTTTTTTTTTTGATGGGAAATATATGGTGGGTGCATATACTGTGTAAAGTAAATCTTGGGTTACAGGCTACTTTTAATCCAAAAAAGAAAGAAACGCCGGTTTCAATGGAGTGGTACAGGATATACACCGAATTATTTGTTGATCTAAATGCAACAACAAACCCATATTTTGTATCCCTGTTGGCTTAAGAAAAGGTTTCTGTATGCAAAGTGGGTTTTGTGTCATCCAACAAAAATAAAAGAAAAATGTTTCTCAATAAGGGTCACGTGCAACATTCAGTATCGATATTCTTCATTATCGGCTCCTATCGGCTCCTATCGGCTTTGATGGAATCCTGTTTCACCCAGACAATTAGGAGGGGGGGGAGCGAGCAGTTGTTTGGACAAGACATAAGTTCCCACGAGAAGTAGGTCAGAGTAGTTTGTGCTGTTTCGACGACTACATAAGTTTAACTTAAAAGTGTCTAGCTCTGAGACAACCCCATTCGTGAAACATGTGTCTCGTAAGCTCTAAAGTTAAAAGTTGAGGCCAAAGATTTCGGACTTTTATCTTTCCAATTCACACAAAGTACGTGTATTTTTGGTATGCCACTACTTTTGTTAGTGATACTTGTCTTTTTTTTCCAAAGAGCTTCAGATTTTGTTGGTTGTTATATACAGGTTTATCCCAACAATCTTTTCGTATTCCTTCAGCACTGTTTGTGTAACTCAGCCACTTCGCAAAAAAAAAAAAAAAAAACAAAAAAACAAACTCACCAACAGAAATCTTCAAAGTTGAGTTAGATTCAGCCACTAATTTCCAACAGAAACTGTACGTTTCTAGTGACAAGCCCACAAGAAACAACACTTAAAAGCTCTTGCAACGTGTAGATTTAACCAGATCGATTTGTACGCAAACACAATGTATCAGAATTCATACCGGATCATTGTAGTCCCGAGATGTAAGCTGGACTCAACACGAGAAGGCTTGTTTTAAAGCCTTCTTGCTTCTTGCACTATGTTACACTGCAATATCAAAAATCTCTCTTTTGTTGCAAAGCACTGTTGAACACTCTCTAAACTAAGTTATTTTTATTTTTTTAATATGGGCAGGTGTTGGACACGTGCTGCGCTACAGGGCCACACCAAAACTCAAATTTGGATGACGTAATTACTTGTAAACGAGTCAATGCCTACAGAAGCTACTTAGATTTAATGGAAATCAAAATTAACGGGCATCTAACAGGTATATCAAGCTGGATGTATTCCCAACATATCTTTGCAAAATCTGGCAAAAAAGGAGGAAAATTGCAAAATAATTGTTGCAAAAAAAAAAAAAAAGAAATTTACAACAACGTTCATTACTCTACATGGTATTCAACTTTTTAAATGATACTACTTACATGACCCAATCTCTTTTTTAGCAAAGTTTACAACTCCTGAATATCGCTTTCTGTGGTATACTTGACTTGAGCCAAAGCAATAGTCCTTTCTTCCAAATCGTACTTGACATATGCACCTCTCAAGAAGTTCTCTCCCAATGAACCATACCCATAGTCATTTTTGATTGCCAAAAAACATTTAAGCAGGGGTCTTCCGTCGACAATACTCAATGGATACAAAAAGTTTGAAATTGGCACTGTGATCGATATGTTCTTTGGGAAATTGAAAGTCAAGGTGTCTGTTTGAATACAATCGACAATATATCCATCACCTTGGGAGTCGTATGTTCCACCAATCTGTTTGGCGATACCCTCAACAACGTTCAATGGCAAATAGCTGAACCCCAGACCCGTGTCCAAAATGACCAGGGTTTCGTTTGAAAACGTTTGTCCGTTGATGGACACTGAACTGATATTGACGGCTAAATCATCTCCTTCCAAAACCGGAAGCTCGACCAAATCACCCTGATACTTGGCGTTATCAACACCACCAAATAAGATGGAACCAGTCGTACTCTTGAGACTATTCAAGTACAATGAATAAGCAACTTTGTTGATATACCCTTGCTTCTTTAAACTGACTGGGAAATTGTCATAAGTTGTACCGTTTTCAGTGGCTTCAAGAGGAAGCAACCCAACTCCCAAGACCCCATACTGAGAAGACGAGGTTTCTGCTAAACCAAACTCCTGATTTTTGACGGTAGCACCACCAAATGTGACCGTATCAGATACATATGATCCATTAGCACCAGTTCCATCGGCATAGATGATTGCAAAAGAGTCAGTCAAGTTCTTGCCCGTTGAAGAACCTTTCAAAGAATATGAACCATCCAACTTACATCCGAAATTGGCACATTGTGCATCGGACGCAATGACCCACAAATCACTCGATCCAGTGTCGAATAAAACTCTATTTCTTTGATTTCTGGATCCGATTTCAACCTCAGCCTGGTAGTAAACCAACCTGTTCCCTAATGGAGCGTCAACATATTTCAGACCGTTACTTCTCTTTGAAAGGTCCCCCAAACCACGCGTGGTCAAATTGCTGCTGCTCTCAAATGGATTTGTACGTGTAACGTTGAATGTACTTGAAACTACCTTACTAGGCTTTGAATCGACTGGAGCACCATTGCATAATAACGCACAAGAAAGCGTAACCAAACCGCTTTGAAGCAACGAGTTTAAGGCAACCATAGTAATAACAGTATCTGATGATATTTGTCAGAAAATTTGGGTTGACACAACTAAAATATTCTGAAAAGCTACAGGCGCTCTTTTATATCCAGCCGGTTGCTCTTGAGCGGGTGATATTAGGCAATCAAAGTGACCCCGTGCATTGATAGAACTGTGGTGTCGTGCCATCCGCTTCCAAATTGACGGTTTCTTGAAGGAAAAGTGCCGTTACATTGTCAACCCTCCTTGAACAATATATACGGCATCAATTGTAAAACAATGAAAAAACAAAATAAAACAAAACAAAACAAGAAAACAAAAGAAGAACGGAAGCAGCGACCGGAAGATGCGATCAACGACTGAAAATGATTTAGACTTTGAATAGCCCGGAGGAGATTGAGCGGAGATGAAGTAAGAAGTGCCAAGCATATCTTTATCACAGAAGTGATGAAAATGTTGTCCCAGGTTCCTGCATTGTTCGAGGTATATTGAAAACGAATATTTTTCCATCAAATTTTCCATTTCCGCTTCTGCGTTCGGCACGTCAAAAAAAAGGTTTCTTAGCGGAACGTTTCCATTGTTACAAAAGATTTTTCACACAATCTATTGTTTGCTCAAATGATTATCTGGCGCCACAGTTACTGCAAAAAAAAATGCTTACCAATTCACAAAGTCTGGACCATTTTGATTTGTTTGTCGAATGTGGTGATACCCTATGATGCCGTGTGATGCCGTGTGATGACTTAGATATAAGAAGGCTGTCTTAGTTTCTTATTCTAGTATAAATGGAGAGCAAGCTGCCTCTTCAACCAGTCCTCGGTTCCCTTGTACTCTAGTAAGCAACTACATCCAACATGGTTTTAATTGGATCATTTGGTCAGAAAATACTGATTGCGTTATCTTGTGCTCTTGCTTGCAATGCAGCTCCTGTTGAGAAAAGATCAGACAAAGTGGTTCAATTCGGTTTCAGTGTGAGACGTGACGAAGGGGGCTATGAGTTTGATAGACGTGATTATTTTTCATCCGACTTGAAGAATGAGAGGTCTTACTATGGTATTGAGATTGAGGTTGGATCAAATAAAGAAAAGAGCAATTTGTTGTTTGATACTGGATCTAGTGACACCTGGGTTGTTGACGCAAATGCCGTTTGTGTTGGTGTCAAATGTAAAGACCATGGGGTTTACTCTGTTGAAAACTCCACCACTGGTAAGCAATTGCATAAAGATTTCCGCATTCACTATGGTGACGATACCTCGGCCAATGGAACTTATGTCACAGATACTATTCGACTCGGTAATATCACCGTGAAAAACCTGGAGTTTGCTGTTGCCAATTCAACTTCTTCGGAGTTTGGAGTGTTGGGAATTGGATTCACAACGCTTGAGCAAACTCACGACAACTCAACTTATGATAACTTGCCAATTACGTTAAAGAAGGAAGGATATATCAACAAGGTAGCTTATTCATTGTATTTGAATTCGCCAACCAGTAAAGAAGGCTCAATTTTGTTTGGTGGAGTCGATAACGCAAAGTACCATGGTGAGTTGGTTGACGTTCCAATTGTTTCAAACACGGACTTGGAAGTTGAATTGGACTCGATCACAATCGAGGGTAAAAAGTATTTCAACCAATCCAAGATACTTCTTGATGTTGGCCTGACTTGGTCTTATTTGCCCACCAAATTGTTCAAAGCTATAGCCAAGAAAACCCATGCGAAATATGATCACATTTTGGATGCCTACGTGTCCAACTGCCACCACAAAGGTAATGTGACTTTCAACTTTGCCAATAATGCTGCGGTCGAAGCACCACTTTCAAGCTTCTTTGTCACTGTTGCCACGTACAATAGCTACAAGAGATCAGAAGATAATCGTTGTGTCTTGGGAATCTTCGGTGATGACGAGTTTTTCTCCTTTGGTGACAACTTCTTGAGAAATGCTTACGTAAAGTATGACTTAGAGGATAAAACTATTGGCTTGGCCACTGTCAGATACACCAATGAAACCTCAATTGAGGCATTGTAAATGGACATTGGTTATGAAGAGAAGATGTTTTATTTGTGTGTACGATTCGTTTTTTTTTAAAAAAAAAGTTGGTCCAGCGTTTGCATGTGTTTGCAGAGTGTAGCAAGTGTTTCTTAAGATAATACAGTAGACCTAACTCAATCCGGTACGATTTGAAAGGGTCTTAATTCCATCTGCTCTTGTCACAACTCCTTGATTGAGGGAAAAGAAAAAAAAAAAAATACTGTCAGTTTTTACAACCAAGTAGTCCATCACCAGATTATAGAGGTCTACAGAACGATAGGAGCTTCCCACACAAACAGCACCTTATTGCACCTTAGCGCTCCCACTCTTCACCATTGAGATGTCACGCATTGTCCTCAAGTCTTCGTTTGGCTTAGGTTCTCTTGGAATCGCGTCTTATTTCTGGAACTTTGGAAAATCGTCAAGCAGCCCATCTCCAACATCCAGTCCACCGACCCCTTCTTCCAACTTGCCAAGTCCTACAAAACCTAATGGCAGCACGGCAGTATTTGATCCATCAACAATCAATCCGGAAGCGTTTTACAAGTATGGTTTCCCTGGTCCAGTGCATGATTTATCAAGTCATTCAGAATTTGTCAGCTGCTACGATAGGTCCAAAAGAAATCCATATTGGGTTATTGAACATCTTACAAAACAGTCGATAACTCGTAATTCTGATTCAGGTGATCGTAAAAAATCGATATTCAAAGAAGATGAATCCATTCCATTCAAATTTAGAAACAAATTGCGTGATTATTTCCGAAGTGGGTATGACCGAGGTCATCAAGCTCCGGCTGCGGACGCCAAATATAGCCAGTTAGCCATGGATGAAACCTTTGTATTGACCAACATCTCTCCACAAGTAGGTGATGGATTCAATCGTGATTACTGGAGTCATTTTGAGGATTTCGTTCGCAGATTGACCAATTCTTATGATAATGTCAGAGTCATGACGGGTCCATTGTACTTGCCAAAATTGATGCCTGATGGGAAATATAGAGTGAGTTACGAAGTTATTGGATCACCTCCAAACATTGCCGTCCCTACCCATTTCTTCAAATTGATTGTTGGAGAGAGAGTTGGCGATGATAAGATTAGTTGTGCTGCTTTTGTTTTGCCCAACGATGTGATTGAGAATAGTACTCCATTGACTAGCTTCCTAGTCCCAATCGATGCGTTGGAGACGTCAACCGGGTTGGAGTTGTTGCAGAAAGTGCCATATTTCAAAAAAAAAGATTTGTGTAAAGAAGTCAAATGTGAAATTATTGTTAGAGAATTTCCCAAGCAGGTGAATAACGTATTGGCTTTACCCAGTGGGAAATAGATGTGGAGAATAGAGGTTACTTATGGATAGGTGAGTAGGATATGCATTGTGTTCTTGCAATTTCTTTGGAAAGGGCAACGTTGAACGTGTCAGCAGAGGCTAGTGGCGTCCGTGGGCTTAAAAGCTCTCGATCTAGATCTGGAATCTCTATCTCACATCGCACGATGAGAGAATTATAAAGTCAGATAAGTCCATCCTATAAACACCACCTTCTACAACGAATCAATCAATTGAAAATTAATATTAAAGTAAAAAATCTATCTAATAAACATCCATTGGGGGTTTACTTACATCTCCAGCTAGGTATTAAAAAAAAAAAACCCGAAACAACTCCTTCAAGACAAATTAGTTCAACGGAAATTCAATACAAAGCTTCAAAGACTTCGCAACGCTTTTTTTTTTGAACGAAAACAAAGGAAATGGTCACCCCATTTCCATCCCTCTTCTCTTCTCTCAATCAAAATGAGTCATATGATGGTAAAAAGGGGTATCTTACATCAACAAAGCGCAACCAGCAGCAACGGCACCAGCAATGGCGAATGAAGCACCAGAAGCAGTCATACCAGCATTGCTTTGACCAGCACCACCTGTGGAGTTAGAAGCACCACCAGTAGAGTTACCAGCAGCACCACCGGTAGAGTTTCCGGCAACACCACCAGTGGAGTTACCAGCGGCACCAGCAGTACCATTGGCTCTCTTGACAGCAGTAAAGATTTCATCTCTTCTGTGGTTGTTTCTGACAGCAGAACCAGCGTTCTTCAAACTGGTCCATTCAGATGGGGAGACGATGACGGTGGTGGTGGTTGGGTGAGGAGTCTTGTTGAATCTACCATACTTGTGGGTGGTTTCAGTAGCGTAGACAGTTGAAGTTGGTTGTGCGTTGGTGTCTTTTGGTCCCTTACCGGCCAAGACGGATGAGACAGTGAAAGCAGTAGCGATGATTGAGTACTTCATTGTTGATGATAATGGATTGCTGAATAAGTGTGTGTGTGTGTGTGTGTGTGTGCTAATTGAAAAGAAAGAAAAAGAGAAAGAGAAGAGCAAAAATATGAGAAATGTTGAAAGAGTGAAATATAAGTTTTACTTACAGAGTGTGTGTGTGTGAGGTGAATATTATTAATTAAAAAATTGAGTGGATTGAGAAATTTTTTCTTTTCTGTTCACTTAGCGCCTAATTTATTCTTAACAGTGTGTTTATTGTTTATTGTGTATTGTGTGTTGTTAGTTTAATTTCTTTTTTTATTTTTTTTTTTTGCTGCTGCTGCTGTTTGTTGCATGCTACACAAGTGGTAGTGTACATAAGCACACTATCTAACAACACAAAACAAGCTTACAGAGTTTTTAATTCCCTCAACAGCAGTTACCTAATTGGATACAATACACAACAACAACAACAACAACAACAACAACAACGGAAACCACATGTATCCGAAAGTAACCAAATATAACAACAGGTTAAGAAAAAGAAAATACACAGTTATTATTGGTATAGAGCACACACATACTGATATATTGTGGCGCTCTTGGACCAATAGACGAGCGAAACACAATGGTTGGTATAAGTAGAAAGTATGGTGTGCATCTAGTGTCAGAGATGATAAACACACAACCTTTATTGCACCATCTGCAGAATGCCACGCAAAAGTAGAAATAAGCGCTGTACACACACACACACACACAGCTCGTACTCCGATATTTACACACTTGTTTCTTCTTTGTCAACAGCGTCCTCACATTGCTTGCAACTGGACCTTATACAAGTTTCTTCCCCCCCCCCCCCATGACTTTGTTGACTTCAGATTGCTTCTTGAGCATTAGTAAGTCGGAGGAACACTGTTTTCACGTGTAGAAATGCATTGCATTGCATCATATTTTCATCTGTACACGACTTTCGTAAGACAACGGGAAAATGTAAATTTTTTGTGTTCCGCTACTCGGTTGTAAGTAGTTGATATAACCGAGCCAGCTTACACAAAAGGTATGTGAGTAACCGGCGTTAAACCAATGCGTGAACGGAATAAAATCGGAGACAGGCACGGTCCACAAATCGTCACCTAGACAGTGGTTTTACCCTTGTACCGCAAACTTCTATTTATCCCTAGTAATTTCAATGAACGGATTTAGTATCTACAGACTCAGTTTTGTATCGATTCGATTGGTTAGACAGAATATCATTACATGTTGAGGTGTTTGCCGATCAAATTTTACAGGTCCCTCAAGTATCGGAGTATCTCTTCTATTCCCACTGTTCAAGCGTTAAAGAGTAACTTTCTAACCCGTGTATGTTGCAAGCAAATCGTAGTCAGTCCTCGCATCTGCTATCTAGCCTCCGGTAACTCGTACAAGCTAGTTACACCACTTCTCTGGGCACTGTCTATATCCAAGTTGAGGCTTAATCAATTCTCCGAGCGGTTCGAAAACGTCATCCTCTGCATCTTCATCACTTAAAAATACTCTGTTCAAACGATGACACTTTGCAACCATATCATACACAAATTTAATAAACGCCTCTCGGCCTTCAAAGAAATGCAATGCAAGTCTACTCACCGAAAGCAACTGTATGTTGGGACAGTTTATGAAATCAGCACAGTCTGAAGCAATGTTGAAGGTGTTTACATGTAATACTTCCAACTGCGGCAAATCAATGACAAAAGGTGGAACCCCCTCGACCAACGCCTGGCTTATGTCTAATACCCGCAATTTCTTCAGATGCTGAATGCTTCCATGGATGGGAGTCTTCTGTATATGTGCAACAGACAACACCTCTAAACTGGGAGGCAAATCATTTAAATCCATCTCGTCATAGTTAGCACTGGAAAGAAACAATGTCTTTAAATTTTCAAGCGGCCCCATCTCGGGCCATGAGGCAAAACTCGGATGATAAAACTGAAGATGAAGATGGACTAGTGACGCAGGTAGTCTGACGAGGTCGCGATCAGGCGGATGAACATTCGACAATTCCAAAGTATACAAATCGGGAAGATGAGCAAAATCCAAAGACTTTAACCGAGGAGGACAGCCATAAGTGTAGATGATCAATTTTCGTAACCTTTGGAAAGAATCGGGCACTTGACCAATACACTGGCCATCACACTGCATAGTAATATATTTCAATGAAGATGGGAGCAGTTTCCAACTGAATGTAACAGCCACCGGCACCTCAAACGATATCCAAGTTAAATTGGAATGAGCAAAATTGTGATTTTGCAATTTATTGTACCACAACATAAGGCGCTGTAAATGTAGAGGGATATCGAACTCGCCACTATGTGTAAATCGGTTGTGATATAAATCCATACTCTGCAAATATTTCAATTGCTTCAAATTTGTATTTCTCATTGAGCTCAAAAGGTTCCTTGATAAATCAAGACTAGTTAAGTTCAGGGGAAATTTGACATCGTCCATAGATTCGATACCAGAATCCTTCAATGTCAACCTATTCAATTTCTTGCAATTGGCTAACCCGGACATCAACCTACTGCTATTCAACTTGTAAATCTTTTCCACCACCAACGTTTGCAAATTGGGAAGATGGAATTTAGGTCCAAAGTATATTCCTTGATGATTTTTCAAAATCAAAGTCCTCAACCGTGTCGGTAGCTGGAACTCGTCTTCCACCGCAAGTAGGAATGCGCCGCTGTCATACACAAATCTTACCGCTTCAAGAGAGCTTGTGCCCGGAATTTGGAAAACCACTCGATTTCTTTCCATTAGTCTTTGCTGACAACTTTTGAAACTAAACTCGAGATGTGTCAATGTAGCTGGAAATACTGGCGTGAAAAACAATACCAAATCGGGACAATCGATAACTACCAATTTCTGGAGATTGGTCAACACTTCTATCCCATTCAAGGACAACATTCTTGAGCATTGTATCGACACACTCTCAATTGTTTTTGGCAAGTGCATGTCCAGTAAGTGACTCATGCATCGTATTGTGACACACCCTTTATACTCAAACAGACGAAGATTGTCCAAATAAGCAACGTCGATCACGCTCTCTGCAAGATTCTTGACTTCAATCCGCAATTCACGGATTGACGTTGGTAATTTACATCTAGATGTATGTACATCAGTCAATTCCAACCTATGTAAAGTTTTTGGAATATAACGGACATGTTGAGGAAGAACCTTTCCAAGCCTCAATGTCTCAAGTCCTTTTGGGTATTTAGTCAATGACTGCTTCACTCCTAAATGTTTCAAACCTGGCCGTACCCCGACACCTCGATTGATATTCAAATCATGAATATCGACACCAAGAACAGCCCGCTGTACTTGCTCGTCGGTATTGTACCCGGCTACATTGACTTTGAATTTGATCCCCAGTAAATCCACCCCCAGGTCAAGGATCTGACAGATGGTTGTAATGTCCGATTCTACAACCTTGGGCCTATAGTTCAACCGGGTCCGTTCATGGAAAAATTTCTCAATACTGTAGACTACCGCATGCAGTCCCGTCCAATATTTCAGGACTTCCACCATAGGTCGTCGGTAGTTGATGATCATTGATGTCAATTCTGGCACATTTTCTAGATAGTCCATTGTATCCTCATCGTTCATGAGGTATAACAATATGTTGTCTAATATTTCCTGTGGTAGGAATGGTAGCCTTCTAGTGGCAGTGGTAGTTGTCATTATGCGTATGTGCCAAGTCCTTGCTGGATCGGATGCTCAATCTGTACACTCGTAAAAATGTGTTGATTATCCGTTATCTCCCCCACATGCACACATTACACAAAAGTATACACCGCCATTATCAATTCATGCCAGCTACAATGCGACGAATAACTAACCAACCCACTGTATACTCCTACAGCCCCTCTCCCCCCACCATTCTTGTAACTTTTGCTAGCGATTAAATATTATTCATTTGTTGACTATAAATTTATTAGATACGTCATAATATAGAAACAGTCCCCTCAGCCCCAAATCAGGACTTCAAAAACTGCGTAAAGTCTAGTTCGCTCCCCTCGTCCCCTTCCTCGTCACCATTACCGTCAACATGGCTTGGCGATTGTGGCGTTTGTATATCCGCATTGAACACGGGCACGCTGGTCTTGCGCCTTTGTGGAAGACTAAGTGTAGGAATGGTACCAGCACTTGATCCATGCTCGAACTTGTGATTCGAATATTTTTCATGAATTTGTGGTGGGAAACTCAACTCACTATCATCATTGCTAGTTGTGCTATTTGGTTTCTCATTCATCATTGTGAAATTTGATTTGGCTCCTTTTGGGTTTTGAGGTCCAAAGTTTGCAAATTCACCATTCTCTTCTTTTTCTCTCAATATCTTGGTAATATACTTGTCCTGAACTTTGAAAATATTCTCCTGAGTCGGTAGTTGAAACAATGGGAATTTCCATCTATTCAAAACTCGCCGCCAAGCTTTGTATCCATCAAGATCAACCAAGGCAGTACTAGCTGTAACCGAATTTCGTGCAATGCGCTCACTTGCCTCTTGAGTATTTGAGAATGGCACAGAACTGTACCTGTGTTGTTCAACGCTATTTTGAATGATGTTGTCAACGCGGTGTCGATGCTCCTTTTCAAAATTTCTCATGGCAGTATTCCTCCAAGGCTTTTCTCGAAGGAAAAATACAGTGGAATCAACAACTCCACTGAATGGCTGGAAAAAAGCACCTAAAACGTTCAACCAATAAACTGGTTGGTGGGTCTCCTCATAGTTGAACTGAGTACATTGTAAGATGAATGGGAATAACCAAAGAAAACAGTACGCAAACGGGTATATGAAAATCGTCTTCATCTGTTTTTCAATCACTTTCTGTCGCCTTTCAAAATGTTGTAGATTGATGTCCTTGATGGATGAATCAGTATAGTCATCTGCCAATTCTTCTAAATCGTCAACTTCATCGGTATCCAGTTCATTCTCTCCACCGCGAACTCTTGAACGGCCATTTTCAAGAATTACGCCAGCAGTTGCTGGCTTCCCCGTGCGTACTGAATCCTCCGGGATCAACATTTTCGGAAACAAATGATCCTTTATTGAGCCGAAAAAGAATTTCAAGGATGCAAAAAAAGTTGGAGATTCATTATTGAAATGACCTGCATTTCTCTGATGAATATTGGTGAAATCCCCACCCAATGATTTAAATTCTCTAACCACACGAATGTAAATCAAGCCATAGAATACAAAAATGGCCACAACAATACACCAACGCGGAACCCAACTCAACACTAACCTGTACCAGACAGGTCTCATTGGCAAATAGCACCAACAGACAAGAGAATCGTATCCCATGCTGTTAATAAATGCTAAACTTGCCAATACCAAGGGGATTAACACCGATAATGCATAAACCAAGTATCTCATCTTGTACAATCCACCTTCCACTCTATTGGAGTGAGCCAGTCGGGTATTCAACGAAGGTTTGAAAATCAACAAAAAAGTGTGCAAAGCAAATGCGAAAATTGCTATATCTGCTCCTTCAATCGCTGTAGCTGTGAAAAATCCCACAACTTGGCAGAACTTTCGGTTATAGTATGAAATCGAGTGCGTTAATACCCTACTTGGATAAATCAACAAAATCACCGCCTTCAATAAATCAAACAATAGCAAAAAGGAAATTAGCTGGTGACGAAAAACAAGTCGTTTCGGATCGATGGCTAGAAGAAAGTATAATGCCAACAACACTGCAGTAATGGATGCGCAAGATGAAGAGATGGCCACGACGCGAAATACGAAATTCTGGTGATGCGTGAATCTTGTGACTTGATTGTTGATAGCACTGTCAATTTCACTTGCTCTCTTGATGAAGTGAATGATTGAATCAATAATGGTATCACCGCCCGTTGTAGAACCTGTTACGGTAGATGCTGGGATCGATACAGCTGGCAGCGTAGTTGCTATTGTAGTAAACGTATGCAACGTATGTTGCCGTAGAGCCGACAACAGTTGAGACATCACCATACACCTTTTCTTCTATTGGAATTCAAACAGAAACAAAAAAAAAAAAAGAAATAAAGAAAGATGGAATAGTTATGATGGATGTAATAAGATGTCGCCTCTCAGACACTAAATGTGATGCATAACCAAGATCCCTTTATCAACACAGGATAACAAGTTGTGCGATCGATTTGAAAACTGCTTCTCCGCGACTCTTGTGTATAGTGAAAGACAGAAAAGTGATGTGATGTTTTGGAGGACGCAGGAGTGTTTTTTGAACTCTGGACGTTGTTTCTGGCTGTATAGTTGGAACACGCGAAGTTGGATGTGTGATTATCGCAAGAAGTTGAAAACTTTAGTCGAAGGATGATATATCCCTTTTTTCATTGACAAATTAATCTCAGTAAGTCTAGAAGAAATAAAACAATTAAAAGAAAAATAAAAAATAAAAAAACAAAATAAAATAAAATAAAAAAAAAAAATTTTTTTTAACGTTGCCTTGAGTGTTGCCCCCTTCATTTAAAATAGAGAGACTTTAAGAGCAATTCATAGTTTCCAGCTCACAGAAAATAGTTTGTGAGATGTGTACGCCTACTTTTGTTTGAGAGACTGCACCAGCAATGCTGTCTTCTTAGCCCTCTGTCGTTGTGATGTAGGCTGAATTAGACCACATGGCACAACATTTTTTTGTATAGCCAGTGAGAGAGAGGTCGTGCAATTGCAATCATTTCCCTAATTTATTTGCAACCAGCCGCCTTAGATACACAACTGAATTTCGTGCAACGCAACATATCCCATAATCATACCAGACACCCTACTTATCTCTGTCACAACGTTGTTGCAGATTCTAAGATTTGGTAAGATGGTCAGACATAAAACAATCTTTAAACCAATAAGTCATACATTAATCAAATATAAAATTACAACCGAAATTTTTTTATCAATCCGCTTACAAGAGCATTGGGATCATAATAGCAACAGCACCCGCAAAAGCCTTCAAGTTTAAAATATTAGTTGAACCACTATTTTCGAGGGCAGCAACAGTCTGGGCAGTTTCTCCACTATCAACAGGTTGTTCTTGTGGAGCTTGTTCTGATGCTACACCAGCAAGAGCTTGACTCTGTTCAGCCTCTGGTGAAGCTTCTTCCGGAGCAATAGCTTGTGGAGCTTCTTCTTCTTCGGCAGCAGCAGCAGCAGCAGCAGCCTCCTGTGAAGCTTCTTCTTGAGCAGGTTGTTCCTCAACAACTGCTTCTTCTGCTGGAGCTTCGTCCTCGGCAACAGCTGCTTCTCCTTCTTTACCTCCCTCAATCGGTGTTTCTGTAGCTTCAGCTTGTCCTTCTTCAGTAATAACCAAGTAAGTGGTCAAGGTGACTGTGGTATAGCTTGTAGTGTGGATTTCGGTTGTGTAAACATCACATTTATCGTCTGTTGAACATTCCTCAACAGTATAAGTAACGTCGGTAGTACATGGGACAACAACAGTTTCAGTTACATATGAAGCAGGACAGTAAGTAGTAATCACAGTCTTTTGAACAGTAACGGATTCAGCACACTTGTTATCTTCGCACGAGGTGATGGTAACAGTGGTTTCTTGAGTCAATGTGGTGAGAACGCTATCAGGAGCTTCAGTGACAACAGCTTCAAGTGATTTAGAAGTTTCAACCTTTTCAGTACAAGCTGCGTTCTCGTCACACTCGGTGACAGTAACAAGCACATCAACAGTTCTTGTAACGTAAGATGTAGATTCTTCAGTTGTTTCAGGAGCGTCAGTGGCAACAACCTCAACTGATTGAGAAGTCTCAACTCTTTCAGCACAAGATGAGTTTCCGTCACATTCTGTAACAGTAACAAGTACATCAACGGTGTTGGTAACATAAGACGTAGAGTCATCAGTAGCTTCAGCAGCGTCAGTAATGTCAGCATCGTCAGTTGGCTCAGTCTGTTGACTACCTTCAGTCGGGTCGGTTGGTTCAGCAGAATCAGTTGATTCAGTTGTTCCAGTTTCGTCCTCAACTTGAAGAGCAGCAACTTCAATTGGCTCACAGCCAGCACCAGTACCGGCATAAACAACATACCCAACTTCAACTTCACAAACAGAAAATGGAACAAGCTCAGCACGTTTAACAACTGAACGACGCTTCAAGGCAACTTGAAACTCAAGTACATTTCCTTGCATGCTCCAGCCAGATGAAGCATCAGCCAATGCAACAATAGACAAAGCACCATCTTCACCAATGCTTACATATTGATCCTCGCTAACTTTCAAGTAGCCATCTTCAATAGTGAAACCGACAACTTCTCCATTGGCAATAGTAATATGTACACCATCAGAACTAAATGCTTGTAAAGATCCAGACAAAAGTGCGACAATTTCGAATGGCTCTTCTGGGTTGACAGAATCTGTTGGAAGGGAAGCTTCAGCTTGCTCACTTGGTTCTGTAGCATCTGTTGGCTCTGTAGCATCTGTTGGCTCTGTAGCATCTGTTGGTTCAGTAGCATCTGTTGGCTCTGTAGCATCTGTTGGTTCTGTAGCATCTGTTGGTTCTGTAGCATCTGTTGGCTCTGTAGCATCTGTTGGCTCTGTAGCTTCCGTTGGTTCTGTAGCATCTGTTGGTTCAGTAGCATATGTTGGTTCTGTAGCATCTGTTGGTTCTGTAGCATCTGTTGGCTCTGTAGCATCTGTTGGTTCTGTAGCTTCCGTTGGTTCTGTAGCTTCCGTTGGTTCTGTAGCTTCCGTTGGTTCTGTAGCTTCCGTTGGTTCTGTAGCTTCCGTTGGTTCTGTAGCTTCCGTTGGTTCTGTAGCTTCCGTTGGCTCTGTAGCTTCCGTTGGCTCTGTAGCATCTGTTGGTTCTGTAGCATCTGTTGGCTCTGTAGCATCTGTTGGATCACTTGGTTCTTCTGGATCTTCAACAATTGGCTCCTCTGGGTCAGTCACTGGATCTTCAACAATTGGCTCCTCTGGGTCAGTTACTGGATCTTCGACAACTGGCTCTTCCGGGTCTGTGACAGAATCTTCAACAATTGGCTCCTCTGGGTCAGTTACTGGATCTTCAACATTTGGCTCCTCTGGGTCTGTGACTGGGTCTTCGACAATTGGCTCCTCTGGCTCTGTTACTGGTTCCTCTGGCTCCTCTGGATCTTCGACAACTGGCTCTTCCGGGTCGGTCACTGGTTCTTCAACATTTGGCTCCTCTGGGTCGGTCACTGGTTCTTCAACAATTGGCTCCTCTGGCTCCTCTGGATCTTCAACAATTGGTTCTTCCAGGTCTGTGACCGGATCTTCAACAATTGGCTCCTCTGGGTCTGTTACTGGCTCCTCTGGGTCAGTCACTGGATCTTCGACAATTGGTTCCTCTGGGTCTGTGACTGGTTCCTCTGGCTCCTCTGGGTCTGTGACTGGGTCTTCAACAATTGGCTCTTCCGGGTCAGTTACTGGTTCCTCTGGCTCTGTAACTGGCTCCTCTGGCTCTATTACTGGCTCCTCTGGCTCTATTACTGGCTCCTCTGGGTCTACTACTGGCTCCTCTGGGTCTGTAACTGGCTCCTCTGGGTCTGTAACTGGCTCCTCTGGGTCTTCAACAATTGGCTCTTCCGGGTCAGTCACTGGATCTTCAACATTTGGCTCCTCTGGGTCTGTGACTGGGTCTTCGACAATTGGCTCCTCTGGCTCTGTTACTGGTTCCTCTGGCTCCTCTGGCTCCTCTGGGTCTTCAACAATTGGCTCTTCCGGGTCAGTTACTGGATCTTCAACAATTGGCTCCTCTGGGTCTGTGACTGGTTCCTCTGGCTCCTCTGGGTCTATTACTGGCTCCTCTGGGTCTGTTACTGGCTCTTCATTCAAGACTGTATCAAAACGGACCAAGTTGTCTAAAGCAGCGCATCCGCTCGCTGCATCAGTACTAATGAAGTAAGGAGCAGCATCACCACAAGCATAAATTAGCGCATTGTAAACTAAAATTTCATCTCCTTCGTTGTTTGTTGAGATTGTCCAAGTATTATCAGTATCCAACTCGTCATCAATAGAATAAGTTTTCAACAACAAGTCAGCTGAGGTGACACCAATCTTGGTTGACTGATCATCATTCAAAATCAATTCGTTGTCATCATTGAATCTAAACCTTTGCTCACCATCAATGTCAACAAATTCAGCATATTGAGTATCAGGATTGATTTGGACATAAACTTCAGCTTCATTGATTGTAGCTCTAAGTTTGAAATTTTGATCGTAGGCTAAGGCACCAGCGGCGAAAAGCATCAAAAGAGTAGATGCCATTTGACTCACTCTCATTGTGGGAAAATTTAAGCTCTTAGCGATTGGGAAACTGGGTTGGAAGGGAGTGTTTTATTTGAATGAAAGACTGAATTGGAAATGAGAAAGATTTCCCATATACTTCTTGTCCATTAAACGGGATTTGAAGTCGTATTAATAGTCAGCCAGTCCTCCACCTTGCCATGTAAATTATTATAAAAGTTCAGACCAAGTTCAACCCCAACGAACGGACACACACGCACACACACAGACGCTTTTACATTCACAAACACACGCGGTACACGCATATCACACAAGCGGGAAATCACTCTGCTGGCTAAGCAAAAAAAAAAAAAAAACATGTGTGGTAGTAAAAGCAAACGAGTTGAAATAATATTCATCAATTGAAGTTGAATAATACCACATGGCGCTTCTCCAGCATACTTTCTCGTTGCTTCCCCTTTCTGGACAATCTAGTTGATGAAATAATAACAAAATTTGTAAACAAAAAAAAAAAAAACACGCAATTGTGATTCTGGTGTCTCCGCAAAAGTTGAAAAAATTATATCAGCGTGTGCTCAAGTTACCAGCCATTTTGAGTAGCCAAAGCACGTGTAAAGGCATTAATGTTGTATTATCGTGTATATCTTGGCATTCTCCTTGAAATAGCAGTTGCTTTTGTTTGGGGGGGGGGAGGGGGGTAGGCAATAGTGTGTTTATAATATCATGAACTCTTGTAAAGATATTTTTTTTGGGGGGGGTGGTAAGATATTGTCTTGGAGAAAAAAAGTTTGTTGCAGATTTTGTGCTTAGGTCTTACACAGTGCGTAATCAGAGGATACTGAAGAAGAGAGGAACCATCGTTTCGGTTCATAGAGTGTGTCGGTGGGGTATACTGTCTGTGTGTTTCCCCGTCCGCAACTTCATTACATTGAATTTGACTTTTGCGGTCCTAGAGATGTCGGTAGTGCAAAATTCGTGGCTATCGTATCGGTTGCGTTAAATGTAATAAATTGCCCAAGATTCAAGATTGAATATTGTCGTAAAAAAGAACAAATTGTGATTGCCGATTGCATAATAATATTTGTAACTCTAGTGTAGCAGACGGTAATGAAGCGATACACGAAAGCTTAGCTAATGAGACACTCAATTACACCACTGTGAGATATTAGTGGTAATGTGTTGCTGCGTACAAGTCCCAAAACACAACCCTTGCAACTCCTGGTACAAGATAGCACGAAACGCATAAGAAGAATGGTTTGCAAAAGAAATTTTAAGGTTATAAAAGGTTTCAAAGGTGAACATGTTGGGGGGAGGTAACGGTAAGGAGACCCTGTCGTATTGAGCACTCTACAGTGAATGGTGAGTCCTGTCAATATGAGCAAATCTCAGTATGTGAATCAACATACTACCGTAGATGAACGATTGTTCATTCAATCATTGTTTGGCCAGAGCCAAAATACTACTTAGTAGGCTACACGTGACTTTTATACGATCACATTCCACCTATGTAGCTGATGGTGGGCGATTTGAGAAGGACAGCTCACTTGTTGTAGCTAAAGTGTAATAAGAGAAGACATTCTGTTTTGCGACAAAAGTAGGGCTGTGAGACAAAAAACGTTGACAAGTTTGTTCCCAGAGTCATGGAGCGGATGGCAATAGCGATGGCGATGGTAATGATAATGATAATGGTGCATACATCGATGTGGTTGTTGGGCTAGGGGGTATACATGATACAGTTATTAGGGAATTGGAGAAATAACCCAATTTGAAGTTGGATCAGTAGGATAATGCAAAATATTTTGGAATTGTTAAAATCACAAAGTTTTTAACCAAGACGTTACTGGTTTGAGTTGAGCAGGATGTGCAGTTGTGAACCATTTCCAGTCACAGGAATTAAGTACAAAATTGATCAAAGTTGTAGAAGTTTGTGTTAGATGTAGTTGCTTTACCCCTTTGTGCTCCTCCATCTCTCCCATTCGATAACTCTTTGTCACTGTTTCCTTGTACTCATTTGTCGTGGTTCATTTTCGTCTGGGAAAAAGACATTTCACATGGTTTTGCACCTACACCCCCACCCCCAGAGTCTGCCAAAATATCAAACATTAAATCGCGCGTGTGTATTAGTATATATGTATAGGATTAATTATTAAAGTTAAACAGATCGAAAGCAAATCCAATTCCATTAAAAAACAAACAAAGAAAATCAAACAGTAGAAAAGCAGAAACAAACACCGCAACTAAAACCACCAAACCCGTTAGGAAAGAAAACCAAAGACCACAACTGGAAGGTGCTCGAAATGCAAATATGTAGAAACAAGTGGAAAAAATAAAAAAAAAAAAAGTTGGTTCAAACTGGTAGTGTGGGTGAATGGATTCCTGTGCATATCAGTGCGTGTTTGTGTGTTTGTGTGCAAATGCGTTAAAGTCGTAGTATCCGTCAAACATAAAAATCATTCTCTCTCTCTCTCAATTAACCGTTGATCCCGGGTCTCGGCTTTTCAGTGGGCCCATTACCACCACCGGTAAGTGCGTTGGAATTACTAATCAAATCTTCAACTGAAGTGGTTTGAGAAGTAGCAAAATTTTGAGGATCTTCGTCAAACACTGATGGGGTTTTGGATGATTCCGAACCCACATCCTCTTCATCATCTTCTTCAAGATTCTCCTCCGCGACTCCAATACTTTGTCCTCCAAGGAAGGAAAGAGATCTCTGTGATGACCTGGAGCGAGAGATGTTGCCCATTTCAAAACCTTCTTCCTGTGTGTTGCGGTCTTGTCCAACCTGCAATTGTTGCTGCGATAATGATGGGTACACCCTTGAGTAGGCAAAGTTCTCCAAATCACCTTCACCTCCCTCTCCACGAACTAATCGACTAGTAGTGGCCAAACTACCGCCTAAAGGGTCATCATTTGTAGCACTGTAATACTCCAATTCTGTGTATGACCAACGACAACGTTTGTTGGCTTTAGGTAAATACTTGAATTTGACAAATTCAAAAACCACCAACGATAGCACAGCACCGCCAGTTAAATCCACAAAATAGTGATGAGTCAAGTACATTGTGCTCCACCATAACCAAGATGCATAGAAAACCCAGAGAATCTTCAAACGGGGGAATAACCAACACATAAACAAAACTTCCATTATACAACAGCCTGAATGTAAAGATGGGAAAGCACCAAAAATGACGGGTGAGTTTGAAAATCCGGTAGTGTACATATCCACTCCCAACAATTCATCTATACGACCCAATCCACCCGGTGAACCATGCATGGTGTAGTTTGCTGGTTGTAAGCCGTACAAGTTCTTGTACCAAGGTGGAGCAGCTGGGAACATCAATTGAATCATGACACCAAAAAGATTCATGTATCCAAAAGCAAAACCAAATGATCTCAAACTCGTTGGAGGAGCAAAGAAAAACATAATTGCAGCAACAACAAAAGGAGCACCAAAATGGGTTAAACCATAGGGTAACCAAGCCAAGATATCCAAGCCTCTATTGGTGATAGTTGCCAACACATTTGATAAATCATCACCATACAAGATAGTTTCCATTGCTGGTAAAACTTTAACAGAAATGGCAGGTTTCCAAGAATGGGGGATTTTGGAACTGGTGAAATAAAAGCCCAACCATGTCAAGATGGGGAGTGCTGGAAGAAAGAATTGGGAAGTAGCTGGAACAGAAAGAATGGTCAACAAGCCAAGTAAAACGGGTAATTTGTAAACAATGGATGCAGGGTATATTATAAACACAAATAACCAAACACTAGAAAGAAACCCATAGTGCAAGATCTCTCCTTTGGTGAACTTGTGGTGCTTTAGTCTGTGAATACTAGTGCTGATGCTGGTATTGGTTTCCAAATCGGCCAATGTTGATGTTGGAGACTTTTCCAGTAGGAAATAGCTGTTGAAAGATTGATATGGTTTGCGTAGTATAGATGAAAACGAGGTCGATCCATTGTAATTGATGCGAGACATCTTTGATTAGGCCCACTTGTACTGTGTAAGTATGTATCTATGTATGTATGTATCTATGCTGTTTTGGTTGGTTGCTTCAAGGACGGGTTAGTGAATTTGGTTGTAAAGAAAATCCCGTCTGTTTTGTTTCGTGATTTCTTCTTTGATGAGGAAAAAAGGAAAACGGAGAACAAGAAAACAAAGTCTTTTAGTCCGTGTGTTGTGGGCTGGGTAGTGGTAGTCAGTCAGTCAGTCAGCCGTGATACAATCAGTACTGTGTTGATGAAGTTGTTGTTCAAGTACAAGTGGAAGATATACGTCTCTCTGTGTAGGATGAGGAAAGAAAGGTTTGACGGTTTAATATAAATTTGTCTGGAAATTCATCATCCATACTTTAGTTACTTACTTTACTTAGTGTAGTTAGTTAGTGCAGTCCTAGAGTAGAGAAATGAGAGAAAAATAGGAGAAAAGACTAAAAATGCGACATTTTGTTAACGACATAAACTACTACTTCTATTGTGTAAGGAGAAAAAAGAAAAAAGGAAGACATTTTAAAAAAGAAATTCAAACAAACAACAACAATCGGTCTTTGCGACTTTTTTATCGCTGACAGCAATTATAAGATTACATACGCACACTGTCTCTTTATCTCTTTTTTTCACTCACACATACACACATACACACACACACACTCTCTCTCTCTCTTTCTCTCTTTATAGACTAAGTTGTTGAATATACCCACCCTCTATACTCAGAAGAGTTGTATAGCATCTGACACTTCAAGTTGAGATTTGTTACTGTGTAATAGAAACAGGGACTCAAATTTATGTCACGTTTTTTTCGTTTTAGTTTGTGTGTCTTCTTCTTCTTCTTCTTCTTCTTCTTCTTTTCTTCTTTCTGCCGTAATTTTACGACACGACATTGAATTTCTTTTTTTTAAAAAAAAAAGAAATTTTTTTTCTCGGAAGTTAAGTTTTAGAGCCGAGGCGCCTTTTTGTTCCTTCTCACGTATGTTTTTCTGAGCAGCACATTCATATTGTGTTTATGCATGAGGATACATCATGTTGTCCTGCAGTCTCACCTTCCCTGTCCCTTTGAATATTCTCATTCCAGGGGGATGCGCTTTTCACCAGTTCTTTGTACCTGCATATGATGTTTATCAGTACACACGGATATCTCTTCATGTCTAACTAAATCAACTTCAATCCTTCTCAATCTACATGTCCATGATGCGCCAAACAACAATCAGTCTACAACTGAATATACCAGTTGGATCAAGACTTTTCTGTTGCAATGTCTTTCAATAGAAGTATAAACAAGATATGCATTTCAATGGGGAAGCCAATCTCGATCCATGGTCACCTCGATAACCTATCCTAAGTTAGCTAACACTAAGCCATCAAGTCATTTCGTTCTGTGTGTGTTTGCCTTCACACTCCACACCCACGAGGGTTGAAAAAAAAAAAGGGAGTTGCAATTTCTCGTGTACTGTGGATAATTGCCAACGCACTTCCACATCTCAACAACGAAAAATTCAACATCCACAATCGCAGTCTTTCCCTCTTTCATACAGCGTCATTTACACATACTCACTCACTCACACTCACACTAATACTACTCTCACATCATACAAACTCCCCCCCCCCTACTCAATCCATTATGCCAGTCGAAGAATTAGAAGACAGAGTCATCCTAACCGACGCCAACGACTCCTCCACCAAATTGACAATTTTAAAATTCGGAGCAACAATCATATCATGGCACCACAAGGGCCAGGAGAAATTATGGCTCTCCCAAGCCGCCAAACTCGACGGCTCTAAAGCAGTACGTGGTGGTATTCCCCTAGTCTTTCCCATTTTTGGTAAACAAAAAGATGCATCGCATCCAACTGCCAAATTACCCCAACATGGATTCGCTAGAAACAATTATTGGGAATTTTTAGGTCAGACTAAAGAAACCCCCTCCACGGTTCAATTTGGATTAGGGCCAGAACAATTGGATCCTGACACGAGATCCAAATGGCCATTTGATTTCACTTTGATCCTCACCATATCCATCTCGCAGGACAAGTTGCATCAACATATTGAAGTTGAAAATACCGGATCGACTCCCTTTGAATTCAATTGGTTGTTCCATACGTACTATCGCGTCGATGACATAACTGACGTTTTAGTTAACAACTTGGTTGACATTACTTGTTTTGACCAATTGATTGCCGAACAATACACGGAAAAATCACCAGTGCTTTCCTTCCATGAGGAATTTGACCGTATTTACAAAAATATTAACCAAAATCGTACGATTCAAATCATTGACAAGGGCAAAGTGTTGTATAATTTACATCGTACCAATTTGCAGGATTCAGTCGTGTGGAATCCGTGGACTGCAAAAGCGGCAGGAATGGCCGATTTCGAACCCAAGGATGGTTTCCACAATATGGTGTGTGTTGAACCGGGTCATGTGAGCTCAATGGTGGTGTTGCCAGCTAAGCAGAAATGGAGTGGTGCGCAAGAGATTGAAATTGGAGGTGAGATTAAAGTACAAGCAAATATTTTTGAATGACTGACGGGTATAAAATCGTATAGACTTTAAGAGACAATAAAACAATCCTTTCCTTTTTTTTTCTTTTTTTTCCTTTATTCTTTTCAAATTAGACTCTTTATTTGTAACTTACGTACGGGGGTTTATATATATATATATTGTGGTGGATATCTATAAGGCTCCTTCTCCTTTTTCACTTTTTTGACTATTGCACTTGTGTTATTGAAACTTCTCCTTGAATCGTTGATACTTGTTTAATGATTTCTGCGATGACGAAATTGTAGGTTTGTTATACAAGGAAAATGGTTGGGGTATAGTAACAGACTTTGATTTAGGTAACGATGATGTCTGCTTTGACGTAGTCTCTTTAGTAGTAGCACCATTTATTGATTGCAGATGATGATGGCTACCATTGTGGGTTGTGTTCAGCAGCTGCAGCAAAGACTTGAACGATGAAAAGGATTTTGATGGACTCATTCGAGAAATATAAGGTTGAGAAGATGGTGTTCCATTGGAATGCCTGCTTGACATTGGAGTAACTTTGTTTTGATGATGACGAGTAGTGGATGTGGGAGGCTGCATACTCGTTTTGGCAACTGTTGTTGATCCTCCTCCTTTTCCTGAAATAGTTGTATTGGTTGTACTGTTTTGATGGAACTGGGGTATCAGTGGTTTCCTTTGCAATTGTGGTATGCTCAGTTTTCGTTGCATTTGGGGTATCAGTGGCTTTTTTGTCAACTGCGGGATGCTTGATTTCTTTTGTAATTGGGGTATCAGTGGCTTTTTGTTCAACGTCGGCTGATTATATGTAAGCTGACTAGGCTTGGTAAATGATCTTGAAGAGCCAAATTTGCTCACACTTTGATGGCTGTCTTCATGCTGTGTTGGGTTCCCACCACCACTTCTACTTTTACTCGGCTCTTTCATCAAGCTAGGTATATTGCCACTAGTACTTAATGGCTTCTCCATTTGCAACATCAGCGACTCTAATGGCCCTGGACCTACTTGATTGTAACGAGTTGGAGAAGAGTTTACCACGCCCGCCATTTCCAACGAGCTAGGTCGTTTTTTCAACTGCGGAGCAATTTTTGATGGTGGTGCCACTCCTGACCAGACTTCCTTATTAGGCGATCCAGTCTCTGTAGTCTGTCTCAATATGGAATTCAAGTTGTACGACGCTTTACTTGGTGATATTTTGCTTGGCGATATTTTCCTATTTTCAGGCAGGTTCTGTATATCCGAATTCATTTGATGTTGTTGCTGTTGATGCAAGATGGGTATTGCAGTAATTTCATTATTTTCATTCAATGTTTGTCTTCTCTTGCTGGCACTTTCAATATTGCCAATATTTTTACCAGTGAGTTCGGCTGATGAAGTAGCAGCTCCTGCTCCTGCTCCTGTTCCTGCTCCTCCCCCCACATCAACTTCCATTGACACTTGCAGTTTCTGTGGAGAGGGTGTCTTGGTTCTATTATGTACTGAGTAGTGATGAGATATCGATTCCATTTGTTTGAATTTCGACATGTGTACTCCGCTATACCTTTTGTTTCTTCGTTGGCTCACTTGATCATCTACTCCGTACAGTGATGAAACATGCGACGATGAATGGAGATGCGTATCCGCAGTTAATCGTTGAGCTCTCATATGCAATTCTGAAAGTACATTGTTGGTCAATTTGTGTGAGTACCCTTTGCTCAACATGCTTGACTCAGTTGGTGACTTCAGTAGGTCAAGAGTTGGATATATTTTTGATGACAGTTGAGGTTGTGGTGGTAGGGTGGAGGTTACGTGCTGGGGCTGTTGCTGTTGCTGTTGCTGTTGCTGTTGCTGTTGCTGTACCAAATGCTGTGCCAAATGCTGAGTGGGAGATTGGTAGCTATAGCGAGCGTGGTTATCATCTTGTTGATGATGTTGCTTGTGATGGTCATAATTGATTGGAGATGAATCCAAATGCAAGTCTCTAATCTTTTTGATGGGTGTATTTAGCGATACGTGTTGTTGATGGTATGTTTCGGTCATACTCTCATAGTTGTTGTTATGTGGACTAATCTTTACGACACTTGTTCCAGCTAGTAGGTTTCAAAAACTGCTAAAGCACAAACCAGTTTTTTAACCCCCTGATGTACCCAGATCCATTTTCCTACAACTATGTTTTACTATTTCTTTTTTTCGTATTTGACGATGGAAGCACGATTCCCAATCGGGTCAAATAGTAAACAAAACATAGTAATAGTGCGCTACCTGATTGTTGATCACGTGTTGGACTTTCTATTTTAATGAAACACTAGGTTTGAAACCAACCTGACTCTCCCTAAATCATTTTGAAAAGTCTTGCTTACAGGTCGGTTTCAATTTTAGAGTATAGATTTTTGCTTTCGAGTGATAAAGCTGTTTCTTTTTTTCTTTTTACTTTGTGATGAAATTCGTTTCAATATGTGTGAAATCTTTGGAGTTTTCCGTGGAGAGACCTTAGGGAGTGTGAAGAGAGCAGTTCTCCTTATTAATGGTGATTGTAGTTGATTTCCATTACAAGTAGATCATAAAGAGTCCATACTACCTTGCGCTGAACGGATAATCCCGTTTACGGACAGCTCAATTACGGAAGAGGAGCTTTCTTGCTCCTTTCAGTGAATATGGATATACGGATGTTCGAAGGAAATTAGCCTCATTGCCAGTTTTACCCTTTATCGCTTTGCTGAGTAAATCAAACGTTTGGCTGTGTATCGTCGGTTCAAGGGTTGAAAGATGCAAAAGGGGCTGAAAAGTACAATAAAAAAAAAAAAAAAAAGAAAAATTCAGATAATGGAGGATACAGAAATTTATCAATGCCGAGGAAGTTTAGAATGCACAGAGTGGATGAAATCATATAATGGTTCTTACTGCTGATTTTCGCTATTATTATAACTTTCTTTTTTTTTTTTGGCTTCGATGCTAAATGTACATAAAAGCCTAGCTAGTTACAACTAGGGTAACGCTCATAGCTAGCAACGGAAAATGTGACTTTTGACTGTTAATGCTAAAAGTAGCTCTAATTACAAAAGTCAAATCGATATTTAGTACAGGAGTTAATGCACTTGTTACTATCTCAATTTCTTATTCTCCGGTTTCCAATACCCCACATTTAAAAACAATAGAACTAAAAAAAGAAATAAAAAAAAAAGAAAAAAAAAAGAAAAAAAAAAAGTTTAGTGTTGTTTGGCGACGGAGTTTTTGAAACAGGAGACGCACAATGTGATAAACAATCAAAAAGGAGAAAAGGTTTTACTTTTCCTCGGTCCAACTATAATATCCACAAGATCGTAATCACCCTACAAATGTGAAAACTCCGGGGGGGGGGGGAAGTTTTGATTCACTAATGTGGGTCTTCAAAAGAGATACTTTGTGTCAGTCTACTATCCTATATTCCTCATGGATGCTCTCTTGCTAGCCGATCACATGCAATTGTCAAAAGAAAAGCATAGCAGCACCAAAACAGTAGAGTTGAAAGATTCATTACAATCCCTGGCAAAAGGTGGATCTGGAATTAAGTCTTCACATATCTTCCGTATAAGATTCGACGTTCTTCCACCTTAGCTTCCGCCTCAGCTCTAGCAAGATTTCTTCTCATGATGACGAGAATCTGGTTTATCCTCGTTTATATTACTTATGTGGCGGTTATAGGACAAACGGGTTTGTGTGAGACAAAATAGTTGGATATCGAAGGAAATGAAGCAGCAGCGCAAAATAAATTGAGTAGCAGAAAAACCTTCACATGGGAGGAGTAGTGCAGGTCGTTCTTAATGTCACCTCACCCCTACTGACTTAGAGTCAGCTGAGAAGTTCACGGCAAAGTGGTTCTTTGTAGAGTCTAGTTGAGGTGTTCTCCACTCTTTACAAAGAAGAGATGAAACTTTAAAAAAATGAAAAATTTCAATATATCCGCTGTACACTAACAAATCTTCTTGCCTTCTATTATATTAGATAGAGCAATGTACATATATATGTATGTCTTTAATAAATCAAGTCGAAAAGAATGAAAGAAAGAGAGGAGAAATTTGTCTAAAGAGACAGAGGGATATCGGATAAGCTGTCTGTTCCTTCATCCTGTTCTCCTCATTTCTCAATTCTTATTGTAAATGTCTAAACTTTTATTATTTTTCTCTCTTTCTCTCTCTCTCTCGGATCAAAGGATATGTACTGCAATAATTTCCTTATTATAGAATATCCACCTCCATACACACATACTTCGGAGTTTTCTCATTTCAACAATTTTATATTTTTGTATTTTATTTTTCTCCGACGCATATCGCAAAAAAAAAAAAATAAAAATAAAAAAAATAAAAAAAAACACATACAACAGAAGAGGATTAACAGTTTTCCAGATCTAGTGGGGGTTAAGAAAAGAGGAGAGAGAGAGACAGACATATAGACATACAGACATACAGATAGAGGTTATATAAAGAAGAAGCAGAAAGCAAACAAACAAACAAACCACGCACACACACACACACACACACACACACACACACACACACACTAGTTACCTGCCTACTCTACTGTCTATACCTCGTATCTCCTAAAGAGTTTTTAAATTTATCAACTAAGGCGGATTTGGGTGCAGAAAAAAACTCCGAGGCTTGTTGTTTCATCGTGTGATTGTACATATATGAATACTACTCTGGTTATGAGCTTTTGAACAATTTTTTTAATTTAAGCTCGGTCCAATGCTGTGCGAAAGAAGATACACGCGGAGATACCTTAGCCATATGGTTACTTACTTGTTTTAGAGATACTGGTGTTTGTAAAAACTTCATATATTTACATGTCATAATAATGTAGTGCAGATGTTTATTGTTAAGATGATTCATTTTCCGATTTTCTCCGTGCACACAGTCAAGTGTAGTGTGTTTGTGTAAGCTTATCTAATGGAATACATACTCCGACAACAGAAGTAAGTAAGAAGTAGAAGAAGTAGATGAAAGTACACGATTAAAATTATTGTCAGAAGGAAAAGAGTCATCTGCATAGCGTTTAAACTTTGCTTTTGCTTTTGCTTTTGCATTTGCTTTTGCTTCTCCCGTATCACATTCAGCCGAGGGTCAAATAACCTGCACCTTCACACACTAACACACTCATTTGTCCTCTGCTGTACATTTTTTCTTTTTTTTTTTTTTTCCTCCACCATTGGTAAGGAAAACGGTACGGCGGGTACTCTATTGTTTTATGGGATGAGGCGGTACACTCCGAAATTGGAGGAGAAGTCCAAATTTAAAGAGAGAGAGAGAGAGAGAGAGTTGACTCCTTATCCCTAACTCTCGGCATGTATGTATGTATGTATGTATATATGTATGTGTATATATTTTTTTTTCTTCAGGCTGAACGGAAAACTGCAGCGGGAACTTACTGTGCCTACCCCCAATTCTCTTCAAAAATATCTTTTGATAGGGCATAAAAAGAATTACATACATTTTATTTCTTCCATTGGCAATTGAGGGGGGATCTTGAATGGTCTTATCGCAAGTCTCATGGCTTCGGAAATATGTACCGGCTCAATCTTTCCTCAACAGGCAATAGAAAAAAAAAAGAACAGCAATCACTCAAGCCGTGTATTACACTTCTACTTCACCTGCACCTGCACCTGCTTCTACTTCACCTGCACCAGCACCTGCTTGGTGGAGGCACGGAAATTATCACGAGCTAAGGAGACACTAACGGAGTTTAATGTAAAACGTTAAAAGGCTATGACTATATTTATCCAGTGGAAGAGAGGATGGGAAAACCCGTTCATACTGTATGCAGGAATATCCCGAATGTCAATTCCCCTCACTGCGCAGCGGACAAAGTTGCACAAAGCCATTTGTCTTTGTATTGTTCTCTTTTTTTTTCTCTTTTTTTTTGCAACTCTAGAGAAAGAATCACATTTACCCGTAAGACCACAAACCGTAAAAAAAAAAAACCATCGCTCAAAGGGAAATAAGGATTAGTAGAACTCTTTGTATAAATATAACATTTAATTCCTCCCTACCCACTTGAAGTCATTTTGTCTGTTAATCACACACATATATATATATACTTCACGCGAACCAAAAGTTCTTCTAATTTCCTAATTTGTAACAATTACTAAACTACATATATTCGTCATGTCAGATTTACTTAGTTATTCCATAATGCACCAACCAAGATCACCAACATCGTCCTATGGATCATCACTCAGTAGTCCAAAGTTGAGCTTCAATGCTCCTCCTCCTCCACAACAACAACAACAACAAAATGCAGTCTTACCACCCATTAGTGCACTCATGCAACAGCAACAGCAACAGCAACAACAACAACAACAACAACAACAACAACAACTGCTGCAGCTGCAATCACAGATCAGGTTACCACCCCTCAATACCTCAAACTATACATTGACTAGACCAAGGTTGTCAAGCTCAGGATCAGTCTGCTCAAACCTTACAGAGCCTGAATTGCCACATTTTCAATCAAGTAGAGATTCGCATCATGGATTGGGATTGTTGAGCTCAGCTATATTCTTGGACCAGCAGCAACACCAAAAGCAACAACAGCAACAGCAACAGCAACAACAACAACAACACCAAAAGCAGTACGATCTCCTGTTTCAATCAAGCTCAAGATCATCTTCGGTCCCTTCGTTAGCTTCATCTGCTTCTTCCATCAGTTCCTACCTGCCAGTATCACCAGCAACTCCCGAAATAGCCAAAGCCAACTTCCCACATCAGCCGACACCAGCGTCAACACCAAAATCCATCCCCATCACCACCACCACCACCACCACCCTTTCAGCATCGTTTTCGTCTACATCCACATCCTCAAGCATGTCGCCCAACAAGAACAAAAGAAGACAAAGACTCGGCCCATCTTGCGACTCGTGCCGCGCCCGCAAAGTCAAATGCGATGCCAAAATCACCATTCTCCCACCATCAACAGCCTCACTCGCATCAGCATACAACCTCACCCCACAACAACTCAACACGCTATCAGCAACACATAAGTTGTGCATGGGCGAATTCCAACTCCTTTACGTGAATGACAAATACATTCACTTCAAACAATGCCAATCGTGTAATGGCAAAAACATTGACTGTTGTTTCTCACAGGGGTTCACTAAGGAAGATATCTTGAGTAACAAGAAGAAGGTGAAGAAGTCGCTGAATGTATCTGGTAAAGTTGGAAAGGAGTCTACCAGCAGTTCCAATGCAAGCATCCGCAAGAAGAAGTTCAAAAAGAGTGGTGAGGAGACTGAAGTGTGCTTGAATAGATTGTTGAGCTGTGGCGCGTTGACTGAAGCTCAAGTGGGCATCACTACATGAGACAATTATACTTCTTTACTTGGAGAGGACAGAGTTGTAAAGGACAATTTGTGCATTCATTTTTCTTTTTCTTTTTTTTTTTTGTTTTCACTATTCGGTTCTTGTATTGTTTAATTCATTTTGGATTCTAAGGGGTGGACATAAAATATACATTTATATATATTGATGCTTGGTTGAAGGATAGATTTTGAAATTGGGAAGGGGGTGGGTGTTTGTGACTTTCCAATATTCAATCTCTTGTTTGATTTTCAGTTCTTGTTGCAAATGTTTGTCAGATTTTCTACTTTTTTCAGTTCATACAATCCAAAAAAAAAATATTACTTTAGGTAATAAAATGCATTCAGAGTTTGTTTCTTAAAATTGAACTAAAACTATATTTTCAAATCTCTCTCTGTCGTCACCAACACATTTCCCCACATGTATTCTGCATTCTGTATTCTGCATTCTGTATTCTGCATTCTGCATCTTCCTCCCTACTTCTCCATCATGTTAACGTACCCTCTCCGTCCAGCACGTTTACCCTTCCGTCCACCACCTCCAGTGCCTTCACTCAACGACAACAAATCATCCAATCCAGCATTGGCCAAACTTGCACCTCCCCCCACAGCAGCCCTTGAGTTAGGCTTAGGTTTAGGTTTGGGCGTGGGTCTCGGAGTAGTCAAACTCGATCCTCCACCCGTCGTATCAGAGGCAGACGTGGGTGGTACTAATGAATCGGAAGCTGCTGGTGGTATATTACCATGTGCTAATGGTGGCGGAGCCGCAGATATCGATGATGACATTGCAGCTGATTGTGGTTGGCTTCCGGCACCAGCACCAGTGACTGGCGCAGCAGCAGGCTTCTTCTTCATACTGGGTGGAGGTGGAGGAGCCTGACCTTCTTTCAATTGTTCCTCAATCGATCTTGACGAATCTAGCCATCTCTTGTGCTTCTCGTCATAGTAAAATGTATTTCGGTTTCCTAAATGTGCTCTAGTTGGCTTCTCCTTACCATCATTCTTACCGAAAAGACCAGTAAGCCAACCTTTTTCACCACCTTGTTTGCCTTGCTTTTGTCGTTTCCTCTCCTGTTCCTTAACTGACTCTGCTTCCAATTTCTGTCTTTCCAATTTAGCTTTTGCTTCCTGTTCAGCAGCCTTCTCCTTTTGCCTCCTCTTTTTTGCATCAGAACCCTCATCATCATCTTCTTCCTCCTCCTCCTCCACATCATCATCATCCTCTTCTTCTTCAATCACTGGCACATAATCTCTCACAGTATCATCTTGCACTTCATACTGTTGATACAATGCACTTTGCTGTGACTGTGACAATCTCGAAGAAAACAACCCACCAGCTCTACCCCCATTAGAAGGCCCATGAGCACCACCAAACACGGAATTGGCACGTGTTGTAGATTCAGGACTTCCAGGAATAGGGAACCCATCCAAAGCAGGACCTCTATTATTGGCATCAGTAAACGCCGTATTCATAAAGTTTGAAGATACTCCCCCCATGGCAGCGGCATCGTACCCGCCAACACTACCGCGTCCTTGGTTCAATCTCAATGGTTTCGCTTGTGGGGTGTGTAGGATATTTGTCGACTCAGCAAGTGAAGGATCCTCGAAACTATCATCAAGATCGGGTGCTGGAGGAGCAGAAGAATCATCTTGATCAATAATAGCTCTTGACTCGTGTCTTGCGGGCTCAGAATAGATACCAAAACTAGTGTCGATATTAGCAGACGGCGGAAGTTGTCGCGACGGAATGGATTCTTCCGCACTGTGCAGTTGTTGCGCCTCATTCTCCGCATTTGAAGTTCCATTTTGTTGTCCACTGGCCACCGGTGTTGGACCATACTTGTTGATCAGCGAAGTGGATGCTCCCGGACCGTATTTGTTTCTTCTTGATGCTGGCTTGGCCCCACTTCCAGGGGCGTATGGATTAGCTCGTATAGTTGAAGGTGCCGATTTGGTTTTCTGCACAGCAGGGGGAGGAGGAGGTGGTGGTGGTGGTGGTGCAGTGGCATCTGTTGTCTGTTCAGATCCAGCTTGTACTTCAGATTCAACTTGTTCAGAACTACGTTGCTCGGAGCCAGGTTGCTGCTCTTTAGCGTCCGACATTTCAAGAGACTTGGATTTCGCAGCTTGATGATCCCCTGGTTTACCCTCAAGCGGAACCTGTTTCTTTCTTGGTAATTTTGAAGGAGTAGTGTGCAGTTTGTCCACTTGATATTGAGATTGTGACACCGGTTTCAATTCGGGCGACTCCTTGATCGTTTCAATTTTCTCACCCTCTTCTCTATTCTCGTCCTCTGAAACACCAGTTGTGGTTGGTCCTGTTTGTTGGTGACTACCACCACTTGGAGCAATATTGGCTGCACTGTGGACAAAAACATCACCGGAAATCACACTCGATATAGAGTCACTCTGCCCATGTTGATGATGATGTTGCTGTTGCTGTTGCTGTTGCTGTTGCTGTTGCTGTTGATTAATTGAACCAAGTGATGACGTAGATCCCTGGGCAGCGTAATTGGAGTAGGGGTAAGAGGCTGTTTTCCGACTAGACGGCAAATAGCCTTTACCTTTTGGAGAGGACTGGTGCAGGGCGTCCTGAATTGGGTTGAATTGTGACGTGGCATTGGCTTGTGTTGCATAGGGCGTATACCTATCGGATCCAGGCCCTGCAGTATGAGGGATTGCACCATGTGCGGTTGTGGCTCCTCCTGACGACACAGTATTGTTTTGAAACGATGAATTGGCAGCCAAGTTTGGAGGAGGAGCATACTTGTTGACAGAAGTAGACGACAGTTGAGAAACTAAGGGCGGTGCAAATGAGCTGGAAGTGACTCCAGCGGAGGCACCAAGTGGGTAACTTGCGTGATGTGTCACTGGCGGCTTTCTTTCAAACACATCTGGCGTCTTCATTCCCGGTGACAAGTGTTTATGCAACGTTCCCAAATCCAATGTGGATGTGTTTCGTGATGTTGCCGGACTGAATTTGCTGAAAACACCATTCTCATTGGTCTTTGGTTTGGCTTCATCACCAGCAATAAATTTGTCAATTTGACCCCATACTTTATCTAAATTCACTTTACTCATTTTACCCCCAAACCATCCACCTTGTTCAGTTGAGCCCAATTCACTCAATCTCATTATTAGATTTTGAAACTCGTGAATCAATTGCTGTGAAACAAATGGTGATCGATTACCCAAGGACTTGATAATCGAATTGATGTAATCGATATACTTTTGTGACTCATTGATCAATCCATAATCAGCCAAAGTAGAAGCATGTTTCAATTTTATGGGCAACAAGTGGGGCAACGGTGCTGACTTGCCACTTGTGGTTAAAACGTACTCATATAATTGGGTGTACATGGAGTTAGACCCAGATGAAATCGCAGTGAAACCTAGTTGACCAAGAGGCAATCCCGCGAGAATGAATGACACTTCTCCACCCAACTGATTACCCCGAGTAATTAACAATTTACCAAACTCAATCAAAAACTCCTTCGATTTGACGGTGTTGATCATTGCAACAGAGGACACGATATCTCTCCAGTGCAAATCAGCATAATCTCCCTCACTAACAACATTGGTCAAATCCTGAATGACGCTCTGCACATTTCCTGCAAGAACCTTCAACAAGATTGGCATGATATGCAAAACCTTATTGTTGGCTTTAGAAAATGGGAATGCGTTTCTTGCGTATTCAGAGGCAATTCTTGCAAAACTCTGGGCGCCATTGAAATTAGCAAGTACTAAAGCCATCGACCAATCGCCCTTTGTGATTGCGTATTCCAAAGCCTTGTCAATATGGCCCGCTTGAATCAATGCAAATACAGAATTGATACTAGCGCTATCCAACTTGTACGCATTGGCGGTCCCTCCAGTCATTGGGAAATTCTGAATATCAAAATTGATATTTGGATTCAAAATGAGACATATTTGCTTTATGCATTCATGAGAAGATAAATCACCATCAAATTGAACGAGTTGTGTCATCACGCCATTGAGAACAAGCTCATTTTCCCATCCGTTGATGCGCAAATATCCACTTGCCACATCTAACCAATTCAAAATATCCTTCTTTTTCAGTTTGCCCTTTACCAATGGTCCGGGGAAGTTGATGTACAAGTCCTTGTCCTTGCACAAGTTGGTAATGGGCTCAACACTAACCACTGGATGGTCATACGCTTTGTTAACTCTGACCACGGCGACATTTTGTGAACTGCTCCAGTTGAATATAGGAAATTGTCTATGCACTAACTCTTCTGGGTTGACTACTTTGGGAGCGGTTTTGTAGATGTTGCTGTTTCTTGCATTTGAAAATCCACGTACCCTACCAGGCGGTGGTACAATGCTTGGAGTCGTTGAGACTGGCTGTGGATGTTGATTGGACAACGACGGTGAGCCATCGCTGACAACAGGGGAAACCATTGGTGCATATGGATTGATTTCTTTTCCTTTACCTCCTACAAGTGAATTAGTTCTATTGTGACTTTTTGGTTGATTCAGTGGTGCATAGGGTCCTGCATTTGGAACGTACGGGCTGTTGGCATTGGGCAGTCCTGATCTTCCCACATTTGTATTGATTGATTGCGACGCTCTCCTGGCTCCGCCCACTGGAGCAGTAGTGGCATGATGAGATGTACTGACCGATGGGAATGGCTGTTGTTGTTGATGCTGATGCTGATGGTGATGCTGTTGAGCCTGTGATAATGGAAGCGTTCCTGCAGCAGGAGGTGCATACATGTTTGATGGCGGGGGCGGCATACCAGCCTTCGGATGCGGACCTCCTTGTTGCATAGAAGGTGGATGTGGATGAGCATTTGTTGCTGGCTGGTGATGCTGCTGTTGCCCTGGAATGTTACCACCGCTTGGTGGAAATGAATATCCGGTATTGGGATTCGCGTCATTATGTGGCAAAATCACACCTGGTTTGGCAATACCACTATGACCAATACTAGGCACCTGCTTCTGCAAAATGGGAGAAGTACCGGATTTAGGCATATATGGGTTCACCGGAGGTGGCTTATTACCAGCTTTGGGAAGCGGTTGGCTTTGCGGTTGAGCTTTATGAAGTTGGTTTTGTTGTTGGATGGGTGATGCAACCGGGTGATGTTGATTGACAGCTTTGACTGGTGCAGCGGCTCTGGCAGCTTTTTTAGGCTTAGGCAAATCAGTGTCTGGAAAATCTTCAAAAAAGGATTTCTTTTGTTGCGCCGATGGTGCTGGTTTCTCTTTGGAAGAAGCATGTGGCTGAGAGTGAGACGAGGATCTCGACAAACTCGAAGCTTTATGCAGCGGTGGTGGAACAGGAGCAGTAGCAGCGGCACCGACACCGACACCGGCAGCAGTGTTTGTTGCTGAATTAAGTGTTTCTATGGAACTTTGGGAAGTTCCTGCTGTAGGTGCATATTTGTTTACTGAATGTCTTGGTGCAGGCTTGACTTTGCTGACAATCAACTCTTCAGGAAAGTCATACGCATCGCTCTTCTTTTTCGATTGTGCCAAGTTTTGTGCAAATAAGGCAGAGTCTTGCTGTTGTTGTACTTGGGGCCCCGAAGGTGCATATAAATTGTGTCTTTGGTGTTGAGGATTTTGTTGTGGTGTGTACAGACTGGGTTTCGGTTGTTGCGGAGTGTAGTTGGATTTCAGTTGAGTAGGTGCTTGAATCGGAGGCTCTTCTAAAAAGTCATCATCGAGTAAGAGATCATCGTCCAATTCCAAATCTAAGTCAGCGAGTTTGTTAACGAGATCTTCGGTGGGCTCCTTGTGCCTTGAATCAAAAGTATCGGCTTTTGTGGAATCGTTCGATTGTTCAGTATACTTCTCAGTGGTAGCACCATTGACATCCTTTTCAGTTGTGACGGCATTTTTCTTTTCATCCAAGTTTTGAAAAAAGTCTGCACCATCATCTTGGAACAACTCCTCCAATTTGGACTCAAGTTTGGGTTCCTCGGTCGATGGGGTGTTGCCCGGGTGGTCTTGTTGATTCAATGATGACTGCTCACCCTCGTCAACGTGAAGTGCTGGTGAAGTTTCCGGCTCCTTCGAAGATTTTTCAAAGTGTTCTAGGTCTTCCTTGGCACCCGCTTCTCTACTCGATAGCCAATCCAATTCATCTCCATGTTCTGGACCAAGTTGATTTATATCTTTCTCAATAGGAGAAGCATTAAACAAGCTGTCGTGATCCAAATCAGTGGTGTTTGCTTCCGGCGAAGTCAGTGGTAAAGCATAATACTTGCCATCACTGTCATCATTCAAATTATTGTCATTATCCACATCTTTGCCTCCAATTTGTGGTTGATGTTGCTCACCCAAGTTCAACGCTTGGGCAAATGAGTGCCCTTCATCGTTATGTACATCTTTGCCTATCGGTTCCTCAGCTTCCAAAGTGTCCTCTTGCGGAGCAACTTCCATATGTTCAGTTGTATCAATACTACTTCGAAAAACCTCCCTCGGTTGCGGTACAGAAAGACTCCTGAAAAAGGAATCCCCTTCATCATCATCATCATCATCATCATTATTATTCTTCGCCTCATTATTATTCTTCACCTCGTTTTGAAAGAAATCCGGTTCCTCAACTTGCTCCTGTGCGTGATCATCATGATTCTCTGTTTGATCTGGAACTGGATAATCGTCATCATTCGATACCTCCTCACTGTTGGGAGGGTGACCTTCGTGTTCAGGGTAAGTTATATCGTCTATCTTTATATTCTCTTGCTGCTCATAAGGAGTAATTGGATGGTTTTGTTGTATTGATGCAAAAAAGTCGTCCTCATGATCACCAACAGCTTCTTCGCCTCCCCCACTTCCTCCAAACAATTCATCAATTGAGGCTGTTGATTCTCGTGCCGACATGTTTCAAAGAGTTATGCCTGTAGTATTCTCTTTACTGCTGATATTACTGCCAGTAGAAAACGAAGCTCTACTTGACTTTAGCCTTCAGTTTGTTTTGCAATAGTTTGCTAGGTTGACTGTAGGTTAACTGCCCGTTGAAGAAAAAAAAAAAATAATAATAATAATAATAATAATAATAAAAAATAGTTAATACTAATAATACATAACAATGTTAGAGAGAGAGAGAGAGAGAAGCAAAAGGTAGTGTAAAGAAGATCACAATAATACAGAATTGACGTGTTGGTTTTTTAATTTTAATTTAATGTCGCGACATTGCATTCACAAATGGAATTTAATATAACACTAATTGCTAGGAATGACTAGATTGAGATAGAACTGATTGGATGATGTTGAGATTCTAACAGCCTCAGTTCGGCTCCTTCTTTCAAACAGAGCTCCTTCATTGTGTGGGAAGGAATGAGACATCCTCTCCTTGATTCAAATAGATTTATCGTGCATATTGTAGTTGTCGATACATTTGAAGCCAGTGCTCCACACTGACCCATCTTATTGTAAGCTCATATGCTGAATCAAAAAGGATGGTGACTATATAATCTGCTTTTCAGCACCGAGCGATGCGAGATAGATCAAAGTGTATTCAAGACTGAGGTACTTTGGTTTTAGAGAATGAGTCCAGCAATTGTTTGTTTTGTATCTGAACCTCATGTTCATGCTAGGTCCCGCCACACATGCTCCTCATTTCTTCGTAGACACGAGCATCTGTGGAACCTAACACTATCAGTTATCCATTGGTTCCAAATAACGATGTATTTGTGAATGATACAATACAGGGCTCAAGCAAAAAGCGCAAGTGTTGGTCCCTTGGATAGGTGCTAGTCTCAACTATGATAGTAATTGGGACGTATTAACAGCGCCGAGAACTCTACACTTGACACCTTTGACAGCTCTCACTAATCTACAGCAAAAGTTTTGGTAATTTTTCCCCATTTAAAATTATTTAAGTTTTTCTTTTTTTTTTTTTTTTTTTTTTACTTTATGACGAGCGGGGGATTGTTTCTAATTAGGAAATAAACCTTCCCAATTAGGAAGTGACACAACTACATTCGTCTTCGTCTAAATTTAATATTTATTTATTTTTTTTTTTTTCTTTATTAATTTCTACGCTTCGTCCTCTTCTGTGAAGTTGATTGATGATCGTCATTGTACAAAGACGACGCCTTACGTTTATGTTGGAGAAGATAGCACTTTCTTTACTAAAAATAGAGCATTGATAAGATGTATGTGTACGATCAATTCAAGGTGAAGGAAAAGAGAGCACAGCAGCGAGCGCGCAAGTCAATAAGTAGAGAGGAGGTCCCTACAAAAGTGCTCATAGGCTAATAGAGTGGAGTAGGAGAATAAAAGAGACAGTCTTTGAGACATGTACTGCTTCAAAACAGTTGATGCGAGGATATGTTGCGCTGTGCAAGTAGAGTAGAGTGTAATTTGGTTTGTTACCATATTGGTTTAGAAAACACAAGTAATTATTAATCTGTTTCTTTTTTTTTTGTTGGGCAGGAGGTGTGTACGCTAATCTGTGTGTGTGTTGTGTTGTGTTGTGTGCTTGTATGTGCTTGTATGTGCTTGTGTAGAGTGCTATGGTTATATGTACAGCAGTGGAAGTTAAAAGCACAATCACGCACTATGCATTTTTGAGTTACCAAATACAAAACAATACAATATTACAATACAAATATATAACCTTCATCACCACTTAAATCTCTGTTTAGAAACCACAACAATTCAACAAACAGACATATAGACAAATAGACATACCAATCAACAACTAGCTTAATACTCAATACAAATACTTACACGCTGCACACTACACACTACATACTACACACTACACACTACACACGCACGCACACAAGTTATAATAATACAATTGCATCGACGTACATAATTATCCTGAAGAACGCACACCACACACTGACTCACACAAGTCTGAACACCCAACTCACTTAAAGATTGACAGCCTTAGATCTGAGAAAATTTATTAATTTCTGTATTGTGTTTTGAAAGTCAAGAGATCTGAGATTCATCTACCTCATATAGCTCGCTATCTCATCAACACCATAGCCAGACACAATACCCACAAGAGCCATGCTGAGACTAGCTACTCCTTCAGAACTGCATAACACGCATCAGCCCCACCACCATGAGAACAACAACAACAACAACAATAATAATAATGATAATGATAATGATAATGATAATGATAAGCCTAACCCCACAAGCATCACCTATCATGGTGACTCACACATCGATGCCAATAGAGGGCTAGCCTCGTTTCCGTTGACACTGGATCTCAACACTCATCTACCATCACCCTTGCATCAGAATCTCCAATTGCCTTCTTCTACATCCAACTCTCAATCGCCATCACCAACACCACCTTCTGCTGATGCATTACCTCGCTCGATCTACACCAGTCCAAATAGATCTCAATCGGATAGACTACATGAAAAGGGTTTAAAGATTGATGTACCGCCTAGTGAACCTGCCATCACGGAACAGCCAACACAACTTCACTCCATCAGGTCTTTGCGTACTCTACTTGGAGAGCCATTGTCGTTTCAACAAGAGCAAGGAAAACAACAACAACAACAACAACAACAACCAAGTCATGGCACTACTGTTACGACATCACCTACTAAAACTAAACCTTTAAACAATAACACAACCGTTCCATTGCAGGACATCACCCAACTTCCTACACCAGTTTTGCCGAATGATTCATTTGCAAATTATAGTCACTACCAACAAACATTGCTATCTTCGCCACCAAAAAGAAGAGATTCTGCCAGTTGGTTCAAACCTGCACAGTCTGTATCCCCAAGAATCATTTCCGACTTTAAGCCAATTGCTAGAGCTCACAGTTTGAATACAGGTAAAAGGACAGTTTCCAATCCAGTCGAATTGAAAGGTATGACTAGTGCATCTAGTACAGACTCGTCTACCAGCACAGAAAATAACAATAGCAAACGCAATGATCAACCACCATCTAGCTTGGAGTCACCAATCACTCCCACCACCTCACCAATCATTCCAACTCAACAAAAGGCAGCAGCAATCACTTCCAAATACGATAATGTGGAATTTTATTCTCGCAGATTCCACACTACTTTCAAGTTTGTGAAAGAGTTGGGCCAGGGAAATTTTAGCACAGTTGTGCTAGCAAGAAGTCTCAATGATGAAGTTGCAATAAAAATTATAACTATCCCAGAATCCAAGTCTCAAATTGTTAATTTCAAATCCTTCATTCTCCGCGAGTTAAATATCCTTTATCATGTGTCATATCATCCATGCATTACTTCATTGTTGGAATATGAGATTACCCTAGACATCAAAAGGGACGACATTGAAGCAGAAACCATACCGGAGGATATTGATTCACATGATGGACAGGGCAGTAGTAGTGCCAGCAGCACCTATTCAAGAGAACAGATGCCAGAAAACCGAGACCAACTAATTTACATCAACTATTGTCACGGGGGCAATCTATTGAGCTTTTTGCTTGAGCACAACCAATCAATGAATGAAAACAATCTCAATTACTGGATCTATGTACACCGTGTTGTATGTGAGCTTATTCTCACCACCTCATTCCTCCATCAACAAAATGTCATCCATAGAGATATCAAATTGGAAAATATTTTGCTACTTTATTCTCCTGAAGAAGTCGATCAAATTTTTGCTTACAATGAAACAATGTCAACTCCATTTATGAATTTGAGTGATTTTGGATTATCTAAAAAACTCGCCGCTCCTGGCCAATTGCTACAAACCAGATGTGGATCACAAGACTACATTGCTCCTGAAGTGCTAATGGGCTTGCAATACGATGGACGCTCAACTGACACGTGGTCCATTGGTGTCCTAGTGTACTCCATATTGGAATCAAAACTCCCCTTTGATGTCCGTACGCCATCTGCAGCAGCAGCGGATGCAGCCAACTCCGGAATCTCGCCCTCGGTATTGAAACGAAGAAGATCCAAAAAAAACAGCACTGCCCATCGAATTGCAATGATTGATTGGGGATGGCAAGATATCAACGATCGAATCAATAATGAGGGTATTGATAAGGAAATCAAGTTTCTTCAACAACAATTGAAACTGTTTGTTGACACTGTGTTGGTGCGTAAAGATCGACGTCCATCAGTGGGCCAAATTTTGGAAAGGGAGGAGTTTAGTTGGATCAAGCAAAGTGTTCCCCAAGCAATTGTCTATTTCAATCAGATGCAGTAAAAATGGCACCTATCTTTTCGCAAGGGCTACCGAAGTGTGTTCCACATCTACATCCTTCCTAAATTTCCTTTCGCTAATGTTGTATTATATTTTCACTGACTCGATGTGATCAGATTATATATATATATATATATATATATATGTATATGTATACGTATATGCTAATATAAGAGTGATGTATTGGTGAAGAGCACAGTGGATACCAGGTGGTGCTGATAGAGAGTTGCAAAATTACAATAGGCGACACAACAACTCAAGACGAAAAGAAAACCAGAACGAAAAAAAAAATAAAAAAAAAGAAAAAATAAAAAAAAAACTTCTATATACGGAGGTACTACAACGATCAACTAGAGGTTGAACACTAATAATAGGTTGCACCAACGAGCAATCAATTATCCACAGTAGCTTTGCTTACTCACATTCATTTTACCACAACTTCAAACTATAGAGCACTGTGAGAGACTTTTTCGTTTGGACTGTTTTGCAAAATAAAAAAATTCCGAGATCCCACGGAAAACACGTTGAATTATCATCAATCATTTGCATCTACACAGCCTGTAGACCCATCAATAACGACAACCCTTGTTGAACAACAATGGGAGGTGATCCGCAAAATGGAACTATAGCTGACCTGAGGAACGGGAACCTGGGTTCGGTCTCCATATCCAAACAGGACCATGAGCATCAACATCAACATCAACAGCCACCAGCAATCCCTCACATCACAGCGAATCTAATACCTTTATCAAACATCCTCAAGTTTTACGCCCAAGAAGCATACAAACAATTAACAGCAGCCATAGAGAACCTATCAACCAATGTCGAAGACGAATCCGACGTGAGGCGCAAAAAGTACTTTCTCGATATAATTGTTTCCCTCCGACAAGATCTCCTCAAAGTGTACACTTTAATCAAATGGGCCAGTGTATCACAAGACGTTTCCAAACTCATTGATTTACTAAATTGGTTCCGATTACAAGATTTCCAATTTGACCATCTAATGCACCAATTGGCAGGATTAAGTGGGTTTGGTGGTGCCAAATTACCCAATTTTGATATCGAAACTGCTTTGGAAGTGTTTTACAAAAAAAGACCCATTTTACCGTCGCACAACTATCTAGAGCAACCGAAAGTTAGTCTGCGTAAAGTGTTGGAAGTATTGCAAGATTTGAACTTGGCCTTGATGACTAAATTCGCCTTGATTGAAGTACCTAAGCAATTTGAATTTGAAATCAAGGATGGTCGTGCTTACATTGATGTTGCTAAAGAATTTCAAGTATGTGTCACTATGGCTAATGATGATTTGAATCAAGAGTCTCCCTTTTACATGATTGATTTCAAGTTTTTATTTGGTATTGATCAGAACGAAACTTTGGCCACTTTTGGTGCAAATGACCCAGTGGTTACGAGACTACCGACGCAATCGTATACCAGGTTGGAAAAAGTGGCTAATCGAGTTTTGAGTGTGCTGGGATTGCATGGCTTGTACGACTTGTTACACAAGTATGCAATTTTTTTCAAGGTGTACCTCGTTTACAAACAAATTCGAAGTTTGTTGAGTACGTTGAAATGGAAAAATAGTTTGCAAATCAAGTATACGATGGGGAGCTCTTTGATTGTGGTGAACTATTGGTCACTGCATTTTTTGAATTCAAATTGGAAGTCGTTTATTGAGATTGGAATTGATCGGAGTTTCAACTTGACTTATAGATGGTATCGAAATGGGGAATATGTCAGTGATGAAACTGTGAAGACGATTGTGCAAAACCGAGAAGAAGAAGAAGAAGAAGGGGATGATGTTGTTGGCGAGGGGAAGAAAGAAGGCGATGAGAGAGAGCGTGATGGAATGGATGACGACACCGATTCTCTCTTTAAAGAGGGGAGCGGTACTGGGACACCCAAAAACAATGTGAATTCATCCACTGCTGGCGTCCATATTGAATCAATCATTTGCTCGTTCATGATATCACATTCTGCAGGTATTATGAAGACGATCTTCAAGCTTCTAAGGTCTAAGACCACTGGAAGTATTGCAATGATTGATGCCCATCGAATCCAGTTTTCCGTGTCACCGAAAAAAGTTGCTGTGTTGGCTATCAACCCATTAACGGGGTTACTATATTTCATTAATCCCACGCCCATTCAAAACCGGTTTTTGAAACGAATCAATTCCCCGCCGCCATTGTTCTCGAAGCAACAACAACAACAACAACAACAACAACAGCAGCAGCAGCAGCAGCATCTTGTCACAGAGCATGGTTTTGCTGAGGGCGTTGTCTTCGTACTACAGCAATTGATGTTGGAGACATTCACCAGAGAGGTTAATAATTACTTGTTCACTACCGAATGGATCCACAATAGCATCATTAAGTTGAATGACGTCGAAGTGGGCCATTTATTGGAGTCGATTGATAAAACGAATACCAGGGACCAGATAACGGTTCAGTTTTTCCGTCGAAAGCATTGGCCATCCACTTGGTTTCTCATAGTTTTGGTGAATGGGTTGACTTCAACTACCGCGTGGTGGGTGGCACGTATCAAATCGGTTGATGCTAATTGGGTGATTACCTATTTGCAAAATTTGGTGTACAATCCCAATTTGGATTATCAGTTTTTCAAAGATTTGGGATATTCAACGTTTAAAAAGATCATTAATCATGTAATTTTGGATGAATTGCATGCCAATGGGATTACATATGATTATGTTTTGGGTGATGGTGAAAAAGAAGATGGGGACAATGTAAAACAGGTCAAGGCCGAACTTGCTGATCTTGGTTTGACAATTGCAGTTCCTGTTGGGTCAGGAAATGGATTTGACAGTGGCGACAGCAGCATCGAAGGCGGTGGCAATGAGGGTCCAGTCTCTGTGATTTACAAATCAATTATCAAATTGCAAAATACAAATTTGATCCCCGTTGAGAATTCGTCACTGCATTTCTACTTGCAGGTGCAACTCATCAATAGAGACAATGTCATCAAGATGGATTTGAACTTGTATGGTAAATTGAAAAACACGTTTGTTAAAAACTCGCCCGAATTGGCCAAGTTTAATTTAAAGATAGATCATGACAAGCACAACCTCGAGATTGCGACTGAGGTTGATTTGAACATGATCATCAATGACGGTTTGCAACAGCAGCAGCAATCGCAACAGCAACAGCAACAATCACAATCACAATCACAATCGCAGTCTCATCTACACCAAAAGCAAGGCTTTTTGGATCCCATTTTTGATAATTTGCATAAATTGAACAACTTGCTTCAAATTCTTGACCAGTTGAATCATCACCATGTGCAAATCTTGGACAATTCAATGGACAGCATGGTGATCAAGGTGAATGACACCATTGATAAACTATTGATTCAATTACCTTTGAATCCCCAGGATGCGATTAAGATTAGTACTGTGGATACAAAACCCTGGGAGATTGAGCTTATTATCCACTTCTTGAACCAATATTTGCAACTGACGAAATCAAATAGTATTGTGCGTGTGCTTCATTATCTTGATGAGTTTGATCCAGTTTATCATGCCGTAAAAAAGGTGCAAGCATTGCTCAATGGCCGAGACACCACCTCCCAGTCCAATTCCAACGTGAATGGTACCAGCAATGGCAATGGATTTGTTGGTGAGAATTTTAAGTTGAGTAATGGACTAAACAAGATACACTTTGATGCCGTTTTCAAAAACCTCAATCTGATTCAGTTCATGTTCAATCTATCTTCAACCATAGCCAATTCGCGCAAGATTCAAAAGGACAAAATCTTGATTTCATTATCATTCAAGAAAAACAAATTCAATTCAAGTGGTTTAAATTCACCAAGCGGTGCCAGTAACAACAACGGCAATCATCACGATTTAATCAAGGTATCATTAAAGAACAACCTCAATTTGAAAAATGTCAAGTTCAAACAATTGTTTGAGTTGATCTTCAAAAGCATCTCTGAAATGGAACGGAATGAACGCGATGAAGTGATCAATTTGCAACTGAGTCATTTATTGATTAAATTGAATTATGACTTCTTGATTAGTTGTAATATGGTTGAAGAAATGATGGAGCGGATTGCGAAATGTTTTATCGAGTACTTGAGACAAGAGTCAAGGTGAACTCAATCATCTGGACACTCAATACAACATAGAGTAGTATCTGAATCGTTGAAACTACATGTGTATAGTTTACTCTGTACCATACTTGTATCTAAATAAAAAACTATCCGGCCATCTGTGCATTACACACTAAACGTATATATACTTGGTGTTGGCATCAATTGAATCCTTCAAGCACCCTCAACGCCCGCTCCAAACGTTGTATCCCAGCATCGTACCTTTCCCGATCCAAAATCATATCCGAGCTCAATCTCGATAAACTATCAATAATCTTTTCAATCAATTGTTTCTCTCGGATGGGGATGTTCAAAGTGGCAAATTCTTCGCCAATTATGGTTCCATTCATACTTTCCAACAACGATACCAAGGTTTTGTAGCTGAATGGCTTTAGTTCTGCAGAGTGACCTGATGTTGCGGCACCAGTTACGGAAGACGATAAATTGGAGCCACGTGTGTGTCCTCCTCCTCGTTGCAGTTTGGCTTTTTCTTTACTGTGTCTTTTGTGTTTCCTTGTGCTTGGTGGTTTTTTTAAATCTTTTGATTGTTGCTGGTGTTGTGCTTCTTGAGCCAGTATCGCCGTGGTTCCTGATGCTGGTGCTGCCACGTTGTTGGTGGTGGTATTTGTTATATCTCGTGCTGGTCTTCGGATTGAGTTTTTGACGGATTTGCCCCGTGATGGATGCCTAATTGGCTCATCAATGTCATAGTATCCATCGTCAAATTCTGGATTTTCATCATTGACGTAGTACCCATCTCCGTGGTCAGGACCCTCGATTTGTAAACCTTCCTCATGTTGTTGCTGTTGCTGCTGCTGCTGCTGCTGCTGCTTTTGTTGTTTCTGAAGGTTGGTCGACACATTTCTTGCTCTGCGTATGTCATCTTCCGATGGACGTGGCGGTAATGACGCATCACGTTTGGGAATAGTGATATTATCTGACTCGTTCCCAAGCAGACTGTGAATCTCATCATCCACTTCAATGTCTTCATCCTCAACTGCCAAAGTCTTCAACAACGGGGTCATTTTAGTGGATGATGTGCCTGTGCTATACCGATGAGAAGGAACTTCAGGTCCGCGTGATTCAGTCTCAGATCTAACATCATCGTGGGGTCCCGTAGTATCATACACGGCAACATCATCATCTCGAATATTCTGCTGCAACGCCGCAGGCTCATTGACAAGCTTCTCTGAACTGAATGTGGACATTGACGATGCGTCTTGCATCAACCGATCCAAGTTATCGGTAATATGCATGGTCTTCCTCCTTGCCGCTTTGTTCGTTTGATGTACGCCAACAATATCGGCAGAATTGGTCCCTGGTGGTAGCATTGACGTAGGACGTCTTGGGGAACGTGCGGGTATAGCTCCTTCAACATTGGTTTCAAAAGTCTTGTCGGGATTCAATTGTAAAGTATCTGGTGCGTTTGTAGTGGGTAATTTCCCCATCAAGATTGAACTTTCATCGTAGTCGGATTCGTCATAGTCTGATATTTCATCCTCCACTTCGCCTTCCTCATCTTTGTCGGCATCATTGGTATCTTGGGTGAGTGGCGAAATTGGGAGCGGTGGTTTTCCCGGGTGCAGCATGGTCTCAGCCAGGTCATCAGTATTGACAGACTTACTCTCTGAGGCGTCGTTTATCAAATTCCTAGCTTTCTTATTCTTTACCTTTTTGATTTTCGTTGAATCCGATCTTTGTAAAACAACAGGTACTGCTTGTGCACTCAGTTCTAGTCCTCCTGAATATTGACTGATATTACTAAACACCGAAGCCCTATTCAGTGCTCGAGTCAAGTTTGATGGCTGTTGATGTATTGGTTTAGCTAATAGACTCTCGAGACTTGACGTATCCTGCAACTGTGATAATTTGACACCAACCGTTTGTTGGTAGTCACGAGTTTGTATAGATTCATTCGCAGATGGTGCTGGAGACTGAGAGCGGTTTTGCGTGGCTGATGATGATGTTGTTGTTGTTGATGATGATGGATTAACAGTTGGCGTTTTGTTGATATTGGACTCTGACTTCAAGTCGGGATTAACTATGTGCAAATCGTGTTGGGCTTCTTCATCTTGCCTACTCGTGCCCTTACGGTCATCGACAGATTCAATGTCACTGAGATTGCTAGGTGGTAACAGGTCTGTTATTGCTGGAGACTTGTTTGAGGAGGCGGAGGAGGTTTCAATGGACTCTAATTTCGGCTTAATCACTGAAGCTGAATAATCATGAGCATTGTCGTAGTTTGAACTTGCACTTGAGTGTCTTGAAGGTGATGGATCAGTTGACATGGTGGTTAATGCAAGAATTGAGTGTCAGCTAGCAAGACCAATGAGTAAAGACTTGTCTCCTGTTAAAGGTGTATAATTTTCCAAATCATTCTTGGATCTTTGGTTTGTTTGTGTTTTGCCTAATTGGGAAAACGATGGAATATTATTGTGTGTGTCGTGAACTGTAATTCTATTTTTGCGTCATTGACTTTTTCCGACACTCTGCTAACTGACATTGTCATTCATTCATCTCTTTCTTTCTCTTTTCTCTCTTTTCTCCATATACTCCGATAAGATGCAAACCCGAAGAATCTCCAACAGAAGCAATATGGAGTCAAATACAGACTTTGTCGAATTGACAACTACCAGAAAGAACCTCGATTTAATATCCGATGTCAAATTCTCCAAGAATAGTCAATACCAATTATTGATTGGTACTTGGAGTAGTGATTTGCTATTATATGATTGTCGCTCATTTACAAACCATCCTCATGAACCATTGCCACGGGATCCTATATGCGAATTGAAAATTAGTGATACCCCATTGAGCATACTTTACCCAGGTAATAACAATTCCAACAGCCAAGCTCCTCCACTTGTTGGATCACTAGACGGCTCTATCCGACCGGTTGACTTTGAAAATGTCAAGCTTGGCAAGAACATCGGTGAGTCATTTGAAGGTGAGGATGTGAGAAATGGCATCAATCATTTATGTCAAGGTGTCAATAACTCTGTAATTGCCAGTTCATTCAAGGGATATTTGCAACTCTTGGATCAAAGATTGCAAAAGCCCTTACATAGTTGGAAGCATGAGAGAAAAGTTTTGACCATGGAATCCACTGAAAAATACTTGGTTCTAGGATTGGCGGGCAATACTGTTGAATTTTATGACTTGAATTCGTTGGGCGCTTCTTCGTCAAAGCCGACACCAGTCGAGACTAGAGAGGTTGGACTCAAGTATCAAGTCACCGATATCAAGGCATCCCCTGACCAAAGCACAATTGCAATGTCATCTATTGATGGTAGAGTGTCTATTGAGTACCTTGATTTGCCACAACACGAACAATTGGAAAAGAATTTTGTGTTCAAGAGTCATCGACATTTTGATAAAGAGTCTGGAGCCGACGTAGTTTATCCAATAAATTCCATCGCATTTAGAAAGAACGCCAGTCGGAGCAATTTGTTATTCACTGCAGGTTCAGATGGATACCTTTGTTTGTGGGATATAAACAAGAGAAAACGTTTGAAACAATTTCCCAAATTTCAAACTTGGGAGTTTGATGGCTTGCCTCTGGAAGAAAGTACGACTGAGAGTATTGCTAAAATTGATGTTGCCCACACCGATGATTTAATAGCAGTGGCTACTAGTGATGACAATTATAAAAGAAGGCGGCGGTTGTCTGAGAGTGAGAACTCGAGATTGCCCAGCCGGGTGTACATCAGACACTTGAAAGACTAAGGGAGTCGAAGAGTTAGTCGACGCAGGTCGTCGTTAGGCTCCAAGTGATCAGCAAGAGGTGGCTTTGTATTTTCTTTTCTGGAGGAACAGCGTAGAGTAGCCCGGTTGCAAGTACTTCTTGATAGTATGTAGTGTAAACAACACACTACTATCTTTAAGCGCCAGTTAGATGAATCAATACTTGAATGTTCAAATGTAATTGTATGTACAAGTATTCGCCTCACTGAAAGACTGTCTAGTCTCATCCACTACTGTTGTCTTTGTACCATTCTCGGTTATTATTCTAGTAAACGATGATGCGATGCGTTTTGAAAAAAAAGCATACTGATAAATCGATCAATCACTACATCCGGACTCCAGTACAAACCTCGTACCTTAACTTCGTAACTCAGAAATGACTAATGTACCATCGCTGAAGGTTGAATTTGATGAGTCCACCGCCAGATATCTCGACTGGCTCAAAACCCACAACGTTGACATTTCACCCAAAATCACCATACATGACTACACATCAATCAACCAAGGACGTGGGGTTATTGCATTGGACGATATCAAAGAGGGAGAAATCTTGGCCACGATTCCCAAATCTGCATTGATAAACGTCAAGCAAAACCTTCTTGTTCAAACCCACCCCAACTTGAAACAATACCTAATGAGACTTTCTCATTGGGATGCATTGATAATCATACTATTATATGAGTTGCGCAACAAACAACAAAGTCAGTGGTTGGCTTATCTCAGTGTCTTGCCGCAACTGGGGTTTAACCAGTTGATGTTCTGGAGTCTGAATGAGTTGAACTTGTTGCAGCCGAGTTGCGTTTTGGACAGAGTTGGTAAAGAGGCCGCATTTGAAATGTACAACAAGACGTTGGATGTTGTTAATGATATGAAAATTGAAGAGCTTGATGATGTCAGTTTTGAAGAGTATAATGTGATTGCCACGATTATTATGTCGTATTCGTTTGATGTTGAGTTGACAAGATTGGAGGAAAGGGAAATCAGAGATCAACTTGGTGTTGAGGATGAAGAAGGGACCGATGATGACGCTGTTGATGAGGGAGATCATGTTCCTGACTTGGTGAAGCATGAGCATAATGGGAGCGATGGATCTGCAGAAGTGAAATCATTACTTGAGAGAAACGGGATATCACTCGATGAGGATGAGGAGCCCCACTTGCATGGAGAAGCTGAGCAATTAGGACAAGTTGACGAAGAGGAGGAGGAGGAAGAGGAGGAGGAGGAAGAGGAAGAGGAGCAAGAGGAGGAAGAGGAGGAAGAGGAAGAGGAGGAAGAGCAGGAAGAGGAGGAGAGTGATGACGAATTAAGTTCTACCTCTCCAGACATACTCAAGGACAACTGCATAAAATCCATGGTCCCACTAGCAGACACGCTCAATGCGGACACAAACCACAACAACGCCATAATCAACTACGAAGAAAACAACTTGGTTATCACCAGCATCAAGCCCATCAAAAAGGGACATCAAGTCTACAATACATACTCCAACCACCCTAATGGGGAAATTTTACGCCGATACGGCTACGTTGAGCCACAAGGTTCAAAAGGAGATTTTGGCGAGATCCCCATTTCCATCATTTATCAATACTTTATTGAGAAATACGTGGTTCATGAATCTGAGTTGGCTCACTTGCTTGAACTAGTGGGACAAGTGTCTTTCCAGGAACAAGTTAATGATAATGGGGATGTAGATGAAGATGAGGGCGAGTTTGAACTAGTCTTGGATTCTTATGACTGTTTTAATACTGGTGAAGTGACTATTGAATTGGTGTTTTTGGTGCAGTTGCTAACAACTTACCTCACAATACAACAACAACAACAACAACAACAGAAGCAGCAGCAACAGCAGCAACAGCAGCATAATGAAAGTAACCAACTGCATGATCAAGTTAAGTGGGACTCGGTGAAACGAGTGTATCGAAAAATCTATCAACTAATTGAATCGAAAAAGGTGACAGTTGACCTAATTAAGAATTTGCAAGAAATTTTACTAGTTAGATTAGATCAATATCCCAACTACGCATCTGAACCATTCGACAATGACACGACTGCGCCAGTGGCCAAGGACGCAATGGCGAAAATTGTACTACAAAGTGAATTTCATTCTTTAAACACTTGTTATCAAGATTTACAAAAGACAGTCGAACGCACCTTGGATTCCACTGTAAAAGTTATACCTGATGATAAGTTGGTTAGAGCAATCACCAAGACTGGTGATAAAGAGCACGGCAGAGGTGAAAAGAGATGCAGTGAAGACAAGGAAGTGAGTTCAAAAAAACACAAGAAGAACAAAAAATAACAGCAAATAACAGCAAATAAACAAGCATTGTAATCGTTGAAATTAAGGAAAGAGTTACGAATCTCTATATTATTAAATTTGATATCTACTCCTTTCCAGTTAGATCTTCAATAGACGGATCGGTGCTTTCCTTCTCTGACAAGTCGACTTCCGAATGTGTTTGTGATTTTACTTGTTGTCTTTGTTTCACTTCATCCAAAGTCTTTACAATCAAAGGTCGAGGTCGAGACACAACAAACGCAGGCTCCATAGGTCTTGGCTGCTGTTTATTAACCATGTTTCTCAACTTGATTCCGAAAGCCAATGATGAAACCTTACCCTCTTTGCTAAAGTGTTCGTTGTTATTATGATTGTGATTGTGATTGTGATTGTGATTGTGATTGAAATTGTTGGTGTTGCGATGAGTATAGCTGTTGCCAGTGCTGCTCGAGCAATACGCTTCATGGAAAATTCCATTGGCCAATTTACGACTCTCCCACAATTCCTTCACCTCAGGATCAATTGCATCATTGACGAAATACTTTTCATAAACTTGATCAATTTCCCGTACACGATAATCATTCTTCAATTTCCGCAACTCTGATTCTTGCATCTGTTGGACAAATGAAGACTGGATGGAGTTGGTATCAACACTGGACTGGTGATCCTCAAGGTCGATGATGTCAGTCGATGTGGGGTTGTTGTGATTGGCAAGTCTGGTTCCACGACCACGGAAAAGGAATTCCTCTTCGCTGATTGATGACGCACTGTCGTCGTTATGGCCGCCGTTGCCACTGTATGGAGACAGTAACGAGTTTCGATGTGACGCGTTAGTCATGTGCCGCATCAATTGGTTGAATGGTGAAACCACGGCAGTATACTCAAATTGCCGTTCATATTCATCATGACTGTTGACAGTGTTGATCTGTTGAAGCATGACAGAATGGACATTCACTCGAGTTTTGTGTATCGATATGCATGTTCTTATCAACCAGTATATCAATTGGATGATGAATACAACAACCACGACGGTGTGAATGATCAACTGGATGTAAGCAACATAGGTCTTGACGGCCTCGCTGGCATTGACGGATCCAATAAAGGGGATGCAAAGTACTGTGCACAAGAATCTAGCCACAGGGAGGATGAAATGTGTTGACCAAGGAGCTACTGGCACAAAGTATGGCTTCAAAGTGAACAAGACAACCAATTCAGCGACTGAAGTCACAATCAAACATGTCACTTGTGCAACACCACTATTTTGAAGGACGCCAATAATTATCAGATTGACAACCATGATTGCAAGGTCAAAAATTGCATAGCTAACTCGTTGTGGTTTATACTTGTGGTACAAGAACGACCATATCAAGATGGATTTCAAGTTTGTATACAATTTTGACACATTGGACGACGTTTTAACTTTCAACTTTCCATAAAATGAAACCAAATAATGAAACACAAAGAAAAGGACAATGCCAATCCAAACGGCAAGTAATATAGTTGCAAATGTCAAGGTGACATTGGGGATAACCAAATATTTGTCGGCGTGATGGTTGTTCTGCAGAGTGGTGCTGTTGTTTAATAGCGACCCAGAGTCAAACAGCCCTAGTACACCCACACTTTGGTCCTGCCAATTGGGTGATACTGTGGCCTTATTAGTCATTTGAACGCGATCACTGTCGGCATCAGTGTATCCGGCAGTTGCGTTCCAATTGAACAAGTAATTCCCCCACGCGCTAGGCACTGACTCTCCAAAGGAAAACAATTTGTGAGGAATTTGCAATTGATCGTACGATGTAGTGAATGAAAGGGCACCCACTTTCAAATCATGGAAATTGGAGAAATGGCGATGTTTGCCATTCAAATCTGTGGCAGCTAGAAACATGAATAAACTCAACACAAGAAAGGGCATTCCAAAGATAGATATCCAAATCTGGAAAATCTGTCCCGTTATCAAATACAAGTTCTTTTTGGAGAAAAACACAAACGCCGACGGATTCTTGACTAGTGATTTATGGTAGTGTAGTTTCAATATTTCATCAAGGTATCGTTTCATAAACACCAACACTTGTCTAGCAACAACCGATACCGCCATGACCATTCCTAAATCTGCCATGAAATTGGGCCATGTGTCCCCCACTTGTGTCCGTAAGTTGTATTGCGTCAAACTGGACAAGCCTCCAGTTGCAAGAGTTATGTACACCCCGTCATCCGATTGCAAAGCATGACGAACTGGATCGGCTTTGATGACGATGAAATCTATCAATGCACACCAAGAAATCTGTCCAATCATTGGTTGATAGAACCCGGGATATTGTAGGTCCAATCCGCCAAGAAACAATGCATATTGTAGATAGGTTATGATTCCTGACAAACTTGCATCTCCTTGTTTTAAAAGTTTGGCATTGCATATTGTGGATGCTTTGAAAAGATAGGGGTTGGTAGACTCTTGGTACGAGGAACATGTCACGGTGAAGACGTTGACAAAGACGGTAATGACCAAAAGCGTCAAGGTCCCAATGTTTATCACTGCATCGATAAACTCCGGCTGTATCAACGTGATGTATGATTTACTGCATGCAAGAATATCTCTGGAATAGTTGTTGTCGTGGACAATAAAGTTGATCTGGTACGACCCCAATCTATGGAAATGTTGACTTATATCAACCTCATATAATAATAATATTGAATCATTGTAGTATAAGGGACACTGTACCAATTCACCAGTGGCATTTGAAAACAATTCATCTAGCGTCAAATTGGAGGATCCCAAATCTGTGTCGTTGAAATGTCCAATCAACGAGTTGTTGCTAAACGTGTCTTGATAATGTAGTCCAGACACATCATCTTTAGAAACTGCAAAATTCAGGTTATTGCTAGAACTTTGTGAGAAGCGTGGTCCTTCTCTATATTCAAGGGTGTCTTTTACAGCCACAAAGTCGCAAAAGTTTGTCGTCTCATCCATAAATTGGCGTCCCATATAGCTCACCTTGACTTGTAACTTTGTGTAAAAGCCAGTTGTTGTGTTGTAGTCGGTAAAAGCAGGACTCGTGTCGCTATTGTTTCCAAAATAATTGATCACTTGGGAGTTGATAAGAAACTTTAGCTTCTTCTCATCGGGATCCATGGCAACATCAGTAATGAACGGTCGTAGATTGAATAGGCCATCGGTTGTGTGACAAATCAGACTATCAACGAATGTAGATACAGCTAATTGTGTGAAAAATGCGAAGTACAAAATCGTAAGAGGTAGTAGTAGGAGTAGGTTTGGCCGATACATGATTATGGTTGACGGGATTCCTCCTGTTCTTTTGCTTTGATGGTGTGGTGCTGCAAGTTAAAAAAAAAAAAGTAAATAATTTGAGTCACGCAGTAGCCTGTTTCATACCCTATTGATGCGCTTATTTAGCATATGGTCCTCGCACACCCGTTATAAGCTATTGGCTGCTGAGTAATTAAATATAGGTTGTTATATATCACAGTCAGGTGTCTGAGTGTATTGGTTAATAGACGTTGGCGTGTGTGTCCCTTTTCCTCTCCCTCTCTTTCTGTGTGTGGCTCTGACAAAAAAAAAAAAAAAAATATTCTGAAATAGTTGTACTGCATATAAACAACTGAATGATGAGATCTGTAAAAAGTAAACCTCTCTTAATGTCAAGAGTACCCAAGACTAATTGACGAAGGGCTAACATCATTACACCATCTATTACTGTACAGACCTTAATATAAACGTGGAAATGTTTTCTTCTCCGTTGCCGAAACAAAATGAACTCTCTACTTCAACACAAAAAACTTCCTAAGCTGGCAATCAAATGACTTTACCATTTCTTGTAAGTATAACGTGGGTGGATGTGTGTGTGTGTGTGTGTTGTTGTCTGGGTCATAATTTTAAGAAAACACCATAGACAAATCGAACGATTCTCATTTCCAAGTATTACTCAGTGTATAAGAAGAACGGCGAACTGAGCTTTGATCTTAGAACACATGACTCGAAGTAACTCCGATGCTACCACTTACTATCACTTAAGCGAGCACTACCAGAATTAAAGACTGTCGAGCTGCACTGTTCTCATTACAAAACAGAAATGCAATGATGAGCTGCTTAGAGTAGTTTCCAATCATACACACTCATTTCAAATGCACACTTATTAACCCCATACTTTATTCTCGTAAAAATATTATACATGTTGTATTTGTATTGTAAACGCTTTTTGGGTGCAAAAAAAAAAAAGAAAAGTAAAAAGAAAAGTAACAAGAAAAGTAAAAAGGGCAAATGTGACAGGTGAGAAAGCAAGAAGAATAAGAAGAAAATACACAAACACAAAAATCTATAACCAAAAACAGACAGGACATAGACAAGCAAACTACAGAGACAAAAAAAAAAAAAAAAATTTTTTTCTTCACACGTGGATCACATACCTCATCGTCCCTTCACATATCCAAGCTCAAACCTCAATTGACTATAGTGAATACTCAAGATCAACCATGTCTCAAGGCACTTTATACATTATGGAGCAATCTCCAAGATCATTCATCTTGGCAGATATCATCAAACACTACAAATTAGATGTCAAACTCACCACTGAAAAAGATGCCGCTTACAATGCCAAATTCCCATTGGGCAAAACCCCAGCATTCATTGGACCCAAGGGCTACGCATTGAGTGAAACCATTGCCATTGCTACCTACTTGTTCTCATTAGTTTCGAAAGACCAAATTGGTGGTTTGTTGGGCAAGAACGGTCAGCAATACGCTGCTATTGTGAAGTACATCTCTTTGTTCAATCAAGAATGGATTGAGGCTGTAACTCCAAACTTTTACATGGCAGTAGGCAGAGCACCATTCAATAAAAAGGCCAATGATGAAAACTTGGCCAAGTTGGATGTTTTGGGAAACATTTTGGAAACGAGATTGAATGATTTCACATTCTTAGTTGGTGAGAGATTGACGTATGCTGATTTGTTTGTTGCTGCTGCGTTGACATTTGGCTTGTCTACTGTTGTCGGTGCTCCATTCTTGAAGAAATTCCCAAATGTCGCTAGATGGTTCAACACTGTTGCCAAGTCTTCGTTCTGGGAAGGTAGATTTGATTCATACAAGCCCGCTGACCCACCGTTGGTCTTCACTCCACCAAAGAAGGAAAAGAAGGAAAAAGCACCTGCTGCTGCTGCTGCTGCTGCTGCTCCAGCCAAGAAGGAGGCTGCTCCAAAAGCTGCTGCTGCTGAAGAGCCTGCTCCTGCTGCTGCTCCAAAGCCAAAACACCCATTGGAAGCTTTGGGCAAGCCAAAGGCTCCATTGGACGAGTGGAAGAGAACTTACTCCAACGAAGAGACTAGAGAAGTTGCTATCCCATGGTTCTGGAAGAACCAATACGATCCAGAAGAATGGTCATTATGGAAGGTTGACTACAAGTACAATGACGAATTGACTTTGACCTTTATGTCAAACAACTTGGTTGGTGGATTTTTCAACAGATTGTCGGCTTCTACCAAGTACATGTTTGGATGTATGGTTGTTTATGGAGAAAACAACAACAACGGTATCACTGGTGCCTTTTTGGTTAGAGGACAAGATTATGTTCCAGCTTTTGATGTTGCTCCAGATTGGGAATCTTATGAGTTCACCAAATTGGACGCTTCAAAAGAAGAAGACAAAAAGTTCTTTGACAACATGTTGGCATGGGATGAGCCAGTTGTTGTCAATGGTGAAAAAAGAGAAATCTCCGATGGTAAAGTTTTCAAATAGATTTTACGTTGTTATAATAGCGATAATTTTGAGACCTTTATAGATTCAATAAAATGAAAAAAGAATCGCCAAGTCTGGTTGAGACAAGATATAGTTTGTTGTGTATTTCGTTTCACCCGACTATGTACATGTGAACACAAGCCTTCCTCCTGTTGTATTCCATTTCTTGGTGAAAAAAAAAAAAATGTGACACTCCCTTACACCCAAACAGCAAAGCATTTCCAACTTCCCTATCCTTTCCAGCTCCCTCTTCAACCCCAATCAAAACCTCTTTTCCTCCTCCTTTTCCTCCTCCTCCTCCTCTTCCTCCTCCTCTTCCTTCTCCTCCTCTCTTTATCTAATCATTAACCTTTCCTCTCAACTTCGGATATAGTCTCGAAGCATGATAATTAATAGTACTTATCTGCTCCTTCTCCGGCTTGAAAGTCTCCATACACTTCTTCAAATCCTTTTCAAACCCAGCACAAACGGCATTCCCCTCGCCATTGGAAGCCCAACAGTTTAATAAACTCGACATAAATACAAAACATTGGTTTGTCGACTTGCTCAAGATGGGACGGCGCACTTTGAGTCGCGGGAGTGGTGGGAGGTTCTTGGGTGGTGGGCCGACTTTCTTGTATGGCATTGTGGATCGTGTGAGTCGGATGCCAAAAAAGTATTCTTGTGTTGCACACTGATTAGATGAAAATTTGAAAGAAGGGTTGGAAGAAAAAAAAAATAAAAAAAAAAAAGGTTGAAATAAAAAAAGGGCGTGCACTTAAACTCAAGAAAATACATATATAAAACTACTCTCACACCGCTTACTCTAGCAAGTCTTCCCCGATAACAGCATAATCCACACTAGACGATGACTTGCGCAATTGCTGACGATGTTGACGGGAAGCAGCAGCAATACCCCTTGGCTTCCTCAGCACCCAATAAATCCGCTTAAATGGCGACTTCTTATACGGTGAATAAACCACAGCTTGTTTATGCTTGAAATTTGTCTTTAACAAAGGTAGTTGGATCGATGAAGATATAGTTGCCGCTGCCGAGGATGCATTGAGTGAGTTCTTTGTGGTTTTGAAATACCTCCATAATCTGAATTTTATAGTATGGCCAATATTCTTAATCACATTCTTCATAAATTTCTGAGTATCTCTAGCTCGATCGTATTTGATCTTGAACAAAATATCAATCTTGTCTTCGATATTGATGAGAAAGAGCTTGAATAAATGATTGATCAAATGTCGTTCGCGTTTTTTCGTCAATGGAAGCATGAAATATACGGGAAGTATACTGAAACTCTTCCAAATGTAAACTGTTCCTCGCAATTCCTCCTTTACGGCACAAAGAATGTACTGGTTAGACTTGATGTAGTCATTGTGGGTATCACTGCTCATTAAATGGGCATTTGAACTTTCAACTGTCGTCTTAATTTCCTCCAACAAAGACTTCTTCATTACGCGAATTTCTTGTTCGATGCGATTGGTAATTTGGTGGTTATTCAACTTCAATCGATTGTAATCCTCAGTGTCTCCAATTTGAATATTGAACCTGGGGAGACCTAATTTACTAGTCAAATATGCATGTGTTGCTCGTTGAGCTGTTGCTGTTTTGGAAGTGGATGGGGAATAGATTCCACCACCGGAATAGTTTTTATTTTCATAATCATACAATTCCTTCAACGGCGTGACAAACGTAGGATCAACATTCACACACCCATCCCTTTCCATAAAGTTCAAATCAAACTTCTTGAGGGTGATTTTGGAATCAAATGCCGGTAAGTCTTGAACAAACTCACGTGGCAACACTGGCTTGTTTGAGGGTAAGTGTGGTTCCTTGCGCAAGGGCATTCCGATAAAACTTCGATCAAATCCAACGACATTATATGGATGTTTCATTTTGTCATTGACGTATTCATGAATCACACTTTCTGGGTTAAATTTTTCACTCTCATTACGTCTCAACATTTTGAATTTCGAATTTATTCCCCGCATAAATTGACCCAACTTCATCAAATCGTTTTCATAATCGTAGAAATACCGCTTGAGAAATTTCTCGTGCAATGCTGGATTTGAATCTAGCTGTTGTAGTTGATCATAAACCTCATTAACGCGTTTCATATCTTCAGGATTCAAGACATCTATTTGGTCAGGCAAGTTGCGTAGTATCCGTTTGGAATCCACAAAATGTGGATTGTGAAATGACATGAATGGTTTATCGCCATCTAATCCCATTTGAAACAAAAACTGTTGCTTGTTCATGACTGAATAACTCTCAAACTCCTCAATATGATTTGTCGGTAGAAGAGACGACTGGCTAGAGTCTTCATCGTCATCTTGTTCCCCCTCTTGTTCTTTTGAATTCTTGCCATTTTTTGACTTGCTCTTGTTGTGTTTTTCATCTACTGGCTCGATGTCGCCCTTCTGAAACAGATCTGCCAAGTTCTTTAGTACTTTTTCGTCCTTGTAGGAGACGCAAGAAGGATGGAAACAACGCCTAGGGGTGTGATAATAGTGCAGTAGAAGTCTTGGTGCCTTGAAACGGAAAGATAGTGACCTCAACATGATGCCTGTTGGTGGTATATATAAAAAGTGTCTTTTTTTTTAGATATAGTAGAGGCCTTCAGCTGTGGTAATATATTTGTAGTCTTGAAGTTTATAAATGCTAAAGATTTTAGCTTGTCTGATAAGAGAAGCGTTGAATGGAGAAAGGGTGAGATTACAAATGTGATTGGAAGAAGAAGAATCGAAAGAATCAGTGTGAGTGAGGGTTATATGCAGGAGTATTTTAACTGACTATATCTACACACATATTTTACACAAGTCTTCTTAAACAACACACATTTACAACTGGATACTCTGGATAACTAGTCTTCAATATGTATCTGTATAAACCTGTCTATCGCTGTACTCCCTTTGTATCTATATACCTCTACTACTTCTGTATACACACTATGCAAGATCCTCTTTCAAAAGAACTGCGATACTCGGACAGTAACAAAACAAAATAACTAACTGATACACAACTGTGGCGCATTCAACTGAAAATCGCCTGATAGTTATTGCCTGATGGCAACACAGAGACAGCAACGAACAAACCAAGAGAGTTTGAAAATGGCAAGTCGCGAGCTGGGATGCTGCTTCGATTACGCAAAAGTTAAGAACAGGTGTGTGAAACTACACTACAAGAGGAAATTACATTAGGCTGATTTATAATTTTTCACGTGATAAGCATGTGCTCAAATGATGGGCCCATTTTTGAAATTGTACAATCTACTATAAACTGAAAAAAAATAGACCGTGTGAGTATGACTCCAGTGTACATAAGCTCAGTAGTGTCAGCTATTCCTTCACTTATACTTCTCTCAACGTAGCTTTCCTTCTTTCTCGCTTTGTGGTATTTGGTAAATCACCACAGGGTGTTGCAAAATAACTGAAAAAATGTTTCCCTTTTCCTAATGCAACTGTAGATTTTCGTGCAACTAGAACCATGCATCGTGGGGACCTGAGCCAAAGCTTTTTTGCTTTATTTTGATTGCTTGTTGATTACTTTTTGTATTCTCGTGTCTAGAGTATCAAATTGCTTTGATGTTTTGTTTTTGACAATAGTGAGAACCCCTTGTGTGTTACACAGCAAAAGGGAGTTTCGACAGAGGAACAATGTGCGATCTCGAATACAAATATCTTTGTCATTTCATTGCCACTTCTTTCTTTGCCAAATTTTGAGTTTGAAATTGATGGGGCAGAATTGATTTCTTACCCTGATCTAATGACGTTGCCAATGGATGGCTTTACGAAAACACCGAGTGCACCATTGTTGCAGGTGACTACGTGTGGCGATGTCCTTTGGCACTATCGAGTGCAATTGACTTCCTGTGACATTGTAGCAGAGTCTTGGGTATTCATTTCAATGGAAGAAATAGAACGGTTGCAAAAAATAAAGATTTTACGTATTGCTAGAAAAGAATCTCTTGCAAAGTTTGGTATAAAAATATACTGCAAAAAGGTTTCGACACCGCTTCCTCTTTTCTTTCTTAAACGAGCTTTCAAAAAAGAGCATTTGTAGAGTACCCGTGCAGTGGCCGCATAGCCGGTTGCCATTTTTGTCGTACACACGTTCAACGTCACAAAATCCAAGATCTCATTTTAAACTTGCTATGAATTTCAAAAAAAAAAAACGTACAATTGGAACAATACGCGAGATGAGATGAGCAAACATTTCTGAATAGACTACAGTAGTAACGATCACTCGCTTACATTACGGTTTGCATGACTTGTAGAGAGAGAGAGAGAGGGAGCGCGAGAGGGAGAAATTAACAAAAGAAGCTGTTTCGAATTGGAAGGACTAGTGTGTGGGTCTTTTCTTATCTTGTCCTTGAGGAATGTGAAAATTAAAGTTATGACCATATCGGGTAATGATGTCATGTGAACGGAAAAAAAAATAAAATAAAATAAAATAAAAAAACAAAGATGAAAACTCAAAGGGGTTCATATAGCCACAGTTTTCAGATCATTAGTTTTGATGAAAGGTGGTTTGAAAGACGAGGCTGGTGACAGTAGAAAGACTTATGTGTGGCTATAAGTTGTTCTATATTCCGTCATCCGAATGACGTATTTAAAGTCCAGGGCTTTTTAATTTTGCTGTTTATTGTCGTGTGGACAATTATGCGTAATTATTCTTTGTGTGTGTGTGAGTGATTAGTAAAATGGTTGCTATTCTCTTGTATTATTAACAACTGTGAATGCTACCAATTGTATTGAAAAAAATTTTGTATGTAAATCTCTATATGTGTCTATATATATATATATATCAATAACCACACACTCACACACACACACCCCTTTATTCACTTTCTTGATTTTTTTTTTTTTTCCAATCGTCAATTGCCACCACACACAGATTCAACTCTTTTTCTACTTGTCTTAAAGGATAACTATACCACTCAATTGGCTCACAAGAAATAGTATCAGCAATCATGCCATCAGTTCCACCATTTGACCCATCCTTGTCATCATATGAGCAACTTCATGAAACCTCATTAGGTGAACACCGCCAGCAACACCAACAATCTTCTCACTCTTCCCATGCCTCCAATCCTTCTCATGGAGCACAAGGCTCGCTGAACGTCCAGCACGAGTCTGCTATCCCTACTGGCTACTCAATTCCACCTCCAATTGGTGAAACTAGCTCAAATTATTCTAGTGGACCAACCCCTTCAAAGAGTGAATTGCATCAAGGTGCTACCACTTCTACTTCTAGCTATGGTCACAACAGCAACACCAACAACAACAACAACAAATCCACCTCGTCATCACATGCTGCTGCTGCTGCTGGTGGTGCTGGTGCTGCTGGTAGTACTGGTAAATACACTGGTTCCGGCTCTGATGCTGGTGCTGGCTTATCCCACACTGCTACTGGTCGTTACACCGGATCTGGCTCGGGTTCGGGTTCGGGCTCGGGCTTGACCTCCGGTTCTACTGCCGGCTCCGGTGCTGGTTACACTTCCGGAGTTGCATCTCATGCTACTTCAGCATTGAAGTCAGATGCTGATCCAAACCATCCAATTCACGAAGCTGAAGATTTCTTGACCGAATTGTTAACTTGGAAGAACCCAGTTTACACTGGTAAAGTCCTTGGATTTACACTTTTTGGATTGATTCTCTTCAAATCCATTGATTTGGTTCGTATCTTTTTCAAGGTTTCCTACATTACTTTGTTGTTTTCGGCTGGAGCTGAATATATTGGTAAAGTATTCACTGGTCAAGGGTTTGTTTCCAATTTTTACAAGAATTACTCAACTTCTTTTGCCAAACCTATCAACAAGCATCTTTTACCTTTGATTGGTGAGTTGAATGTTGCTGTTGAACACCACTTGAACTATATTCTTTACTCAAGAAATGTTGAAACAACCTTGAAGTTTGCTGGTATTTCATACATCTTTTATCAATTGACTTCAGTTGTTTCTTTGTTTGCCTTGACACTTGTTTCAGTTATCTTGTTGTTTACTATTCCACCAGCTTACCTTGCCAACAAGAAACAAGTTGATGCATTTGTTGGTGAATACACTGCTTGTTTCAAACAACAAGTTGGAAAAGGTGTTGATCAACTCCATGGCGCTTTAAAGCAAACTCCAATTGGTCCTTACTTGCAAAAATTTGCTCCAAAGAGAACTGCCGGATCAACTGTTGGTGACTCAAAGGCAACTTCTTATGGTACCGAAGCTGATACTCATGGCGTCAATGTCCATGTACCTGTTGGCTCTACCACTTCTTCATCATCCACTACTGGAGGTGCTGATTTGAGAGAAAGAAACACACAAGGATCTGCCAAGGGTACCTACTATTAAGTTCAATGCCTCAACAAGAGCATTGTACTTTTTTGTTCACTGTGAAGAGGAGTTGAAAGAACCTATTGCTGGCGAGCTCAGCTCCGAGAGATTGAGAATGATGACCTAACCGGCTTGAGCTTGTTTCGTTTTGATGGCAATGTATACTTGTACTTTAACTTAATTCTAGCTTGTCACATTTGTTATTATTTTTATATACAGACAAAACGCACAAAATTTTACTGTTGTAAAGCATTCGGATAACTTACTTCTCTGTTTTACTACTGCTATATGTCTCTGCCCAGCCTTTGTCTATTCACAATCAGCTGGGTTGGGCAACCTCTTGAAACAAGCGACCCATTTAGATCCCTTGTTTCTTTCAACTTTTTGTCCCTCTTCAGTCGAATTATACATTATTTCAACACACTTGTCTTGCGACTCCCACTCTTTACTCAAGCGTTCAAACAACGGGTGTTGTTCCAAATGCATAACCATCCACTGGTGCAAATCCTCCACGTCAGTGATTGTATATATAATCCCACCTTCCTTCAACACATACGCATACTCGCTAAGTAAAGTATTAGTAATGATTCTCGCCTTGTGTTTACGTTGCTTGAAATGAGGATCAGGGAAACAAAAAAACATCTTGGTCAATTGTCCCTTTTCAAAGAAATTGGGCAAAAACTTCATGGCATTACCTCGAATGACTCCGATATTGTCGTACTTGTAAACGGGGTCCTGCTCGTGCAACTTGCGCAATGCCATAATTCGATCTTCAACGTATTGCGTCACTTGGACCCGGATCTCCATTCCTAGTATGCGCGAGTGGGGGAATTGTGGACCCAAATCAATCATTAATCCACCAAACCCACATCCAATGTCGGCTATTTCCACCTTGATCCCGTTTTCAGATGTGGATGGTGAAGGACCACTAACAGCAGTGGTGGTGGTGGCAGCAGCAGCAGCAGCAGCAGCAGTGGCGGTAGCAGGGTATATTTTGGTCCAGTCCATTGCCAGAGGTGCAATTGGGTAATCTAAACGATGGTCGGAAAATGGATTCGAGTGAGCTCGCTGACGATAGAACCTTTTACGAGGTAACTCCATCAAGTCCGGTGTCAGCTCAGTGGTGGATGCTATCGAATCTGACTGAGGCAGTGACTGGGACTGGGACTGTGACTGTGACTGTGACTGTGGTGGTGGTGTAGGTGTGGGTGTGGGTGATTCTATACGCACTTGCTTACGTACATTTTCCATCGTTTCTCGATATAGTTTACGTTTTGTATCGGCATTCCTGTTGTGCTGCTTGGTAGTTGGCTTCTCTTTGGGAGATTTCTGTGAGTCTTTCTGTTGCGGTTCTGACATCTTGTGGGTTAGCGATGCTAGTGGAGTGTGAAGGCGTGGGGAGGGGGGGGAACGATGGTTCAAGTGATGAGCTTTCTTTGTAAGCTCTGCTCAAATTTTTTTGGTTTTTTCGCAGTTGGTATAATGACCAATTTGTGAGACAAATCAATCTCCATAGCAGAAATGAATACATATACATATAATATAAGTATATATATATATGTGTGTATGCTACGTAAGAAGAAACTTCCAAAGAACCAATTGTACTTCCTTGTCTCCTCAGTGGGGAATAGAACTTCACTAATGTCCTCACCTTTTGTTGGATTCATCGTAGCACCGATTGGCGGAAATACATTTGATGAGGAAGTTAGCTACATAGGGTCCTGTCTCATGTGGGTCGGCATCCCCAAATACTGGGCATAGTATTGTGGGTTTAATCCATTGATATCATCAAAATTTTTGAGTGCAATTCCTTCATAATTAGTTTCATACCCATGGGAGGGGGGGGGAGGAAGTCCAATCCATGTGTAAGCTGTACATTGCTATTACCGGCTCCATTCTAGTGGATCACTGACATGTTCACAATAACACAAGTTAGAGAATTCACACTAGACTATTTCTCACCACAGTCAGCATTTTACAGTTTCACTGGTTTGCTTCCCTTGATAGCCAAGGTGATTGTTTTGAATCCAAGTTTTGTAGATTTGGAGTTCTTTAGTATTCCGAGAATGGTTAAATCTAACGCATTGCACTTGCATATACACGCTAGAACTGGTAAACAGTACTACGAATCTGTAAAGCACAACTACGCCAGAACAGTTTGGAATACGGAAATGTTTGATGATTGTGTCATTTTAGGCGGCGTCAAAATCAGAACGTGAGAATGTTTTAGGAAGGTTGGGTTTATTCAAACCCCTTTCCTTCTTCTGGATTTTGATGAATTGTGTTGTGCTTGTGTTTACTGCGTCAGTTCCTCACTCAAGAGAGCTGTGGTCCTTCGCCCCGCCCCTTCACTCACAACACTTGACTAGATGATATGCACTTTTGCAGACAAAATATACTTGCCACATTCCAATTCCGGTTTGGTTAAACTTTGATTCACTGGTTGTTTGGCGATCTCGCAAAATTAACTGCTACTGCAAAGCACAAAATGACTAGTTTTATATTGGAAACTTTCTTCTTCTTCCTCTATATACATGTAAAACCTTACTATTCCTTACTTGGATCAAGATCTTTGGCTCTTTGTTCCATAGTTAAGTAAACCATATGTCCCGGTGTTTCCAAAGTCCTGACCAATCCTACACCGCCCAACATTGTCAACAAACCAATTAATTGCCCCTGTAAGCCTTGTTTATTAGGTAAATCCTTAAACTCATCAATCTGTAATCTATTCATAAATGACTTTTCTACTTTGGCACCAACAACAATCAATTTTTCGTTCATAGACTTCAAAAGCTTGAGTATTTGTTGCACTTTGGAGGGTTCACATTCAGATACACTAATACATGCTGTAGGACCAACAAATAATGGCAACAAAGGATGAGATCTCTTCTTGTTCTTCTTTGTCATCCCCTTGCAAGCTGGGTCGTTTTCATGACTCGATTTGAGATACGTTTGATAAAGCGTGTTCTTCAACATTGTCAACTTGGCACCACCTCCAATCTTGGTTAAATCCTGTCTGATCTTCTTGTTTTCGGCTTTATTCAAATTGTTGTGATGCACAAATAACAAGATTTGATTGGTATCATTAAGATGCTTGTAGCTATCCATGAGATACGTCTTTCTCGAAAACAATGGCTTCTCAGTGGCTCGTTGCAAGAATGTGACATGTTCTTGAGTTGTTGGTGTGAATTCGTTGTGTGCTGACGTGGAGGAAGAAAATGGGTGACGAAAAATTGTCGATGGTATAAGTAGCCTCACTAGTGAGGACCTTCGTATAGTTGTTGACCTGATAATCATCTTTTTCTCGCTATCTGCTTGAGAAGGTGGATCTCGTACCTTTAGTTAAAGTCTCTGCACGTTGATATCGTGGTGGAAAATTTTTCGTCTCTGTTTTTTTTTGGTATCGTTCATCGCTACCTTATCGCGTATTTGTCCTTTGAAAAGAGAGGGGGGAGGGAATCCGGTTTTCAATTGATGGAACTATAATGGCAAAGCCGTGACCACGCAACCATCCACAACATCACTGTGTTTAAAATCGTCGCCAGTTGTGTAATCACTTCCAGACACGGAAATTTCTAGCCAATGATTGAAATGAGATTGATGTCTGGGGGAACTCGTTACATTTATGGATAAGGTTACGCTCGTGCCACGGTAAATTTTGGAGTCCTATATCACAAGGTGGGAGATGGCAAGGTAAGCTAGACCGATACTGTACAGGAAAGATTTACAGAAGTTGCCCTATACACCACCCCATGTTATCATTAGTAGTCTTTGATCAAGCCAACATTCACGAGCGTTTCAAAGGTTCAAGATTCTACGAGCACGAGCTTTACTACGATGAGTGGATATCCGAGAATCTATGTAACTTCATCATTACAGTTAGATGATGTTTCATAAACAGATTCAAGCTACATTCGCGTGGACTACTTGCAATACTACAACAAAGAATTGACGACGTAAGCAAAACCAGATGTTATATCAACTGGATGGCCTAAAACACTGGCCATATCAATACAAGATGTACAAATAGTATGCAGCAAGGATACAATAATAACGTCCCAGTATGGAACTAATTTTATGTGTGCAAGATAATACATTTGGAACCATCTATGTTATTTTTTTTGATATTTTTTTGCAGACTATAAAAAAGGGTTCCCAAATAATTGCAAAAAAAAATTTACACCTCTTGAACCTCTTTTCCCTTCAACCAATTCCAACCATTCCAAAGCATTTTAGCATCTACTTACAAAATGCTTTCTTCCGCTCAAGCCAACAACGATGCTCCAGTTGTTTCATTGAGCAGTTCAGCTTTCAATACGTTATTTCAAGTCAAGTTCAAACCCAATGCTGATATCGATTCCATTGTGCCAAACTATCAACCAGGAAATCCCATCATTTTAGACTGTCCAGGAAGAATCATCATTGAACCAACATTGCAATCACACTACGAAGATAAAGAGAATGTTTCTGACCCATTAACCACCCAAACACCAAGCAGAAACATCCAATTTGGTACCCTGGATATCCATTCTAGTCAAATCCCGACTATCTATCACACAGCGTTACAAAATTATGAACTTTCAAATCCTATCAACAACAACAACAACAACAGCAACAACGACAACAGAAGTAGTGTCAATAGCATTTTCAACGTTTTCAACATTGATAGGAACAAATTCAAAACCACACATGGAAACAAGTTAGAGGATAAAAGACAAGCAACCACTCATTTCGATCCACCTCAACAGGAAGATGAGTCTGTTCAAGCATATGCATCTAACAAGGCTCAATTTACATTAAATGGTGTGTTTCCAACAGTGGTTCACCATTCTGCTCCAGCAGAGGAAAGAAGAGCTCTGTGTTTTCAACCAAGAGATAGCAACCTGAAACCACCCAGTGATTCGAAACCAAAGCAAACTCCGAAATGGATCAGCAAGATACTTCGGAAGCGTGGTAAGAAGGCTAAAAATGAAGTGAGAGCCGAAAAGGTTGTCCTGCGCTTTGTTCCAATTGGGGAGATAGAGCATGAACCAGTTGTGGAGATGGTGCACCATGAACTGCAAAGAGTCGAGCTGCGCTTTTACCCAATTAATGAAATGGTAACAGAACCCAACTTAAAGCCAAAAAAGACACACAAGATTGGTAAGTTATTTGAAAAATGTGTCAACAAGGCAAGAGATCTGAAGCCAGCACAAGGTGTGCGCAAATTGCTTCACAAAAAGGGCAAGAACGTCAATGCCAATGAGGCGGTGAATGAACAGCCGCGGTCAAAAGATGAACCAGTTGTCCCAGAAGATGCTACGCTGTCTGTCAATTCACCTCGATGGGATCAAATACCTCCAGAATTATTACCAAAGAGAAGGCAAAAGTTGCTTGGTAAGTTGTTTCACAGGTCTATGAAGATGACAGAAAACAAGACCGAAACAATGGTGGAGGAATCCATTGTGGAGGAACCGCAAGCTCCTGTACGTGAATCAAGAGATACAGGAGAATGGGCAAACATTTTATTTCCAGCAGTCAATGACGAAACACGTAACTATGAAAGTCAAAGGAGACAAAGTGTACAATATGAAGCGGAGACTAACAATTATGAAAGTTACGGTGTACAAGATGAAGCAAGATCCAATCATGAACGTGAAGTTGTACAAAACGTGGTGGGTCCTTGGAGGAATTTATTTGTGCCTCAATTTGACAATGAATCTAGTTACATATCACTGTCATACCTCGACGAACCAGAAGATGAACAGAACGGATACGTTCCTTTTGCCGATTACATCGCTCAAGATGAAATATACTGGTATGGAGAATATAATCGACAATGAAAGAGTTACAGATGGTGCGAATTGAGTCAAGTTGAGAAGAGTTGTGCATGTTTAAGTCCGTTGATCAAGTGCTGGACCATTCCGCTGGAACAAGAAACTGGCAATCCTTGGTTAAACGCACTGTCTTTGAGACGTGTCGCAAGGATCCTCGTTCCACAATGGCTTATAAGCTTGGTGATGACAAGTTGAAACACAGCTGAAGAAGACTCAATTCTGTTGACTGGTGCATTTGAAAAGCACTTTAGCCGTTGTCATAAAGTCGATTACAAGTACCGAAAACAAATGAAGCGATGTATGTCATCCTTTTGAACCTGTTTAATGACACTGCTTTGTTCCAAGTTGCGTGAAGGGTGCTGGTCTGGCCAACTGGTATCTGGACCCAAGGAGGGGTGATTGCAGTGGAGTGAATAATACAGGGAGATCAGGGAGAAAGTTTTAAGGGTTCGTGTCAAGACTGATGAGTTAGTGAAGTGAGGCATCGTCTGTGTGTGCGTGTGAAGTTAAATCTGTTGGTCAATGACAGTTCAATGAAGAGACGTCACATTCCTGTTGGAAGTCTTGTTGAGACTAGTCTGAGTTGTTAAAACTTTGAAGTTCAAATTTGCTACAGCAATTTCTTTTTGCATTACCATTTTCATATCTTTCCATGATTTGATATCGTTTTTTTCTAACCCTCCTGCTGTTCTGGGATCCTCTATGTCTCTATTGTCGTTTGTCTCTCTTTCTTCTCTTTCCTCTTTGTCCTTGTAGTTTCTACAGAAACTAATAACAGCGACATCAACTAGACTTTTAAAGCCGTGATCAATAGCTGTACCACTAGCAAAATCGTCAGACAAACTATTAACAAAACACAACCGGATCATCGGCAAAATAATTTTTAAGTGGTCTTCAACAGCGTGCTCCATGGTACCATTAAAAATCAATTTGTTCTGGGGTATCAATGGAAGGATCTTTTGCAACCACTTCACCTTCTTCCTCAATATCTCAACTGGTCGTGGGATATTGCATCTTTCTTTTTTACTTTAGGGGACTGTAGGGTCCATTATTAAATGAGAGATCACAATCTAGGACGGATCTGGGTCGAATTTGGGAACTAGACTTAGGGACTTCATTTTGTTTGGTATCGGAATTATTTTTTTTTGGGGGGGGGGGGGCATTTGTGGATTACAATTGGGCTTAAAACTTGATACTTGGGATCTGTAGAGTTCTTGTTATGATATATGTTAAAACTGTTGTATTCTTTGTTTCTTATTTTGTAGTTTATGGTGGTCGTCTTGGACTGTTGATTACCGTTTATCGATTGTGTTTGGCAACAAATGTAGTTGGGAAATGGGTTTCAAGTGAGAGGACTAGACATGCTTAGGAGGCCACCATTATTTACAATATCCTTATGTTCACACATACACTCTCTCTCTACATCTCTATTCTCCCTCTATTCTTTCAGCCATGGAACATGCCAACGCCACGCTGTTGCAATATTTGTCTTGCAATAATGAAGGAACCAACTACTTTTTAATGCACAAAAAATAGCCCACGCAGAAAAATATATTCTCTTCCGATGATACATATCACCCACATCCCTTTTGAATATCTACGGCCATCCACACTAACAATTGTACACATACTAAACCCTCACACGGCCACTTTAGAAATGGATGATCCACTTTTTCTAGACTTTGTACAAAAGGTCCAGGCTGGAGAACAACGGAGATACGAAGCAAGTTCACAACCCCCTCAATATTATCACCAGGTCCATAGCCACAAGAATCCTAAATCGGGAGGAGTATTGAACAAAAGAAGAGCTTCTAATGAAGGATATCAGCCACGAAGAAATGGTTTTGAGCCGGATTTCAAGAAACGCAAGTCTTCTGACTCTTTGAAAGTCGTTTTGGATGGGGAGAGGCTAGATATGCCCAAATTTGATGCTGCACCACCAAAATCCATTGGATTTCTTGATTTACAACGTGTTGAGCATGCCACCAAAAGTTTACAAAAAAATGCAAAGCTTATTCTTGCACAAGCTCCTGATGCAATTCAATTGACGGAGTTGCTTAACTCAAGAGATATTGATAGTGCCACCAGAAGTGACTTGAAACAAAGTAGTTTGATGGCTTTGGCATCAAGATTGAAAACAAAGTACAAGTTGGGTGAAGCCTCGTTACTAGACGAGATTGTCAATGAAACTCTTATCATTACTGATGAAGATAACGAGAAATTGGCCCAGTTGGTCACTGAGCAAGGAGCGAATCCGCACCAACTCGAAATGGCACGTGTCGTTGCAAATGATATCTCACCTAATGGAACTGAAAATACTTTACCTAGATTACCAGTTATTGATGATGTCCATTTGTTTGAAAGAGTTTTTACCCACAAGTCCAATGTAAACAACAAAACCTACCTCAATGATCGAAACTTGATAAACAGTCATAATGAAAGATTGGAGTTTCTAGGTGATTCAGTGTTGAATAACTTGGTTACTTTAATCATCTATGAAAAGTTTCCTGTTAGTTCGGAAGGCACTTTGTCACAAATCAGGTCAGAATTGATCAACAACAAAGTGTTGAAAGATTTTGCCATTCAATATGGTTTCGATAAAAAGTTGAGGTCGTCGCTTTCTAAAGAACTGATACAGTCTGGTGAACAAAAGATATATGCCGATGTGTTTGAAGCTTACATAGGTGCATTGAGCTTAGAAAGAGGGCTTGACTTGGCTGAAGTTCGAAAGTGGTTGGAGCAACTTTACAATCCTCTACTTGCTCATGTTGAACATAAATACGTGACTAATTTTGTAGATAAGGAAGCCAAAACTGAATTGTACGCTCTCATTGGGAGGGCCGAAGCTTGTCCAGAATATGTTACTGTGGTTGAAGGTGATGGTTTGGAGAAGAAATTTGTTGTTGAATGCAGGATGGGGGATGAAGTTTTAGCAACAGGTGAAGATCGCAATATCAAGACGGCAAGTTTGCGTGCCGCTGAAAATGCCTTGAAAAATACTGCAGGCTTGGAGAAATTCGTGATTGCAAGGCAATCTGTTGAACGTCCAGTTCGAGAATCCCGAAATGAGCGCTTGAAGGAAAAGAAAGCTGAGAAATTGAAAAAATTGAAAGAGCAAGAAGAAGCGGGCGACAGGAGTGGTGAGCATGAAATTCCAAGACGTCCTGATTCTCCCATCCGTACCTCGATGTTTCCCATTGCAGTACGCGATAATGTCGAGGTTGATATCGATGCTAAGAACAAATTATATGCTACCTTGGGTTTGAAGACAGGGACTAAGCCGACTTATATTGTCAAGGAATCAAAGAATGGTCAACACACTGTGCAATTGTTGGCTAGACAGTTGGTTGTTGCAACAGCCACTGACACGTCCAAGAAAAAGGCAACTGCGAGAGTTGCTGATGCCGTTATGAAAGATCCTGAAGCTTTGAGAGAGTTGTGCAAGCGATTTGATTAGGGTTTGATTTCTGGTGGAAATTGCTAAGGTGCTAGTTTTCCTTATACTTGTTTGCATTGTTGAATAGAATTGCTTTTGTGTGATGGACTCATTTACTGTAAGATTTTCAGTTCTTTTTGCAAATGTTGTGTGTTCCTTGTATTTTGTTGTACCTGTCGAATAATATATGCGGACTCCTAAACTGGCGACCTCCATTGCAAGTCCTAGTTGCCCAGACTATACGTGACTAAGAACTTGGAGATAGCTTATGGTTTCGTGTATTGGGTGCATCTTACAATACGCTGCAAAAAGTTAACCAAAGAAAAAAAAGAGTATGGTCCCTAGCAGGATCGAACTGCTGATCTTGGCGTTATTAGCACCACGCCTTAACCAACTGGGCCAAGGGACCGATTTGTGCTGAAAAAACTTTTCTGTTTTTCTCACCGCTCACTTATATTGCACGTGCTTAATCATATTTACTTCCCTAAGAAAAAGACAGAGGAAGTTATGTTATGTTTGGATCTCCAACATTCGCAACAGACAAGAGTATTGAGAAGGGTTAGTCTCGTTCGCGTATTAACTCCCAATAACGTAACCAGATGTAGAATTACATGACACTTTTTGGGTATACTAGAAGGAACAATCCCAAGCTGTAGTTTACGACAAGCATCGTAATTTCAAACGTAGCAATTTCAATTACTCATTACATATTAGAGTATTAAGGTACAGGTACACTACGACAGTGAAGGTAGATACAGTTTGTTCCAATTTCACGTGGTCGTCACTGCATTTTTCCCACCATCAAGAACCATTCGGGAGAACTTCTTCTCTAGTTCGTGTTCCAAAAGATACGCTTTGGCGTCTTTCCCATACCTGTAGCCTGTCAACTTCTTGTCGGTGCCTATCGCGCGGTGGCAGGGTATAACAATAGCTATCCGATTTGCCCCACATCCAGCACCAACCACTCTTGCATGCTTTTTCAGCAAATTCAAGTTATCAGCAATCTGACCGTACGTTCTTACTTCACCCACGGGTATGTCCATTAATTCTTGCCAAATTTTGCGTTGAAGACGCGTCCCAAAGATCATTTCAATAGGTATGTCCTGTGGAATTTTCGGATTGAGAAGTAATTGCTCGAACTTGTCAGCAGTTATCGAGGTCATAGTCTTGTCAGGTAATGTGCTTAGCGGCTTCAAATGAACGTGTTTCTGGCGCAGGAAATCTTCGACTAAAAGGTTTTGTAAATTGGTGATGTTCTGACCTAATGACGCGTAGTATAGCTTGCCCTCGCGATCCAACACTATCATAGCATCATAGGGGGTAGAAGAAATGTACGTGTAGTAGAGATGGATGTTGCGTCGAGTATCAGTTTTCATTGTCAGCGTGTATAGGTGCTTGTAGTCTAGTGAGAAAATTGCAGTCAATTGAGAAATTACTATTTCAAATTTCGTTTGAACTTTATGACTCAAGATATGCGCCGCTTTTCAGAAAACCTGCAGTTTGGTTTCAAGGACAATATTAAGAGGATGTTAATGAATTGGCTGTAGTTATTGGATCTTTAAAGAGTGTAGAGAGCTCCACACGAAGATGATAGGACCTAAAGCACATTAACTGTAGTTGAGGCAACAGAATAATGGTTTTGCTCAAATTTGTTGCAAAAAAAATCGAATGCAATTAAAACAGAAATTACAAGAAATACCACAACACATTATTGTATCTGACACTTCCATTGATCAAATCCCAAACTGCAAAGCTTGTTTGCTGAAAGTGTCATTAATCACGGTTTGATAACACCTTTTGGTTCTCCTAGCCCCCCCTTCCTCCTCCCCAGTCGCAAGTGAGTTCAGAAAAGGACAAGTTCTGTTGGCATTAAGTGGACCATCTTACTTCCCTTAGCGCTATGCCACTACCTATGGGCAATCTTCCATTCATCATTTGTCGAAACGGCATCTTCAATCAGCCCCATCACCACTCTGTGGCTCTCAATTTCTAATTTCACCATAAGCAGGTAGCGCCACAATCTCTTGTGAAAATCTTTTTTTTTTTTTTTTTCTTTCTTTTTCTTTTCAAAGAAGGTTTCAATAGTCATCACTAGAGCAACACCGTTCCTTATTTAAGCAAACTTCCTAATTAAAGATGTCGGTCATTGGAATCACTTTTGGAAACACAACCTCTTCAATTGCCGTTGCTGCGGATGGTAAAGTTGACGTTATCGCAAACCCAGATGGTGACCGTGCAATCCCATCGGCATTATCCTACGTCGGTTCTGATGAATATCACGGTACTCAAGCTTTGTCAAGATTGATCAGGAACCCAGAGAACACTATTGTTAACTTCAGAGACTTCATTGGTAAGAAATTTTCCGAAATCAATGATGAGTTCTCCTATGGTGCCAAGCCAAAAGATGTTAACGGTGAAGTTGGATACGAACTTACTATAGACGGAAGACCTCAAACCTTAACCATCAACGAGGTAACAAAGAGGCATTTCAAGCAATTGAAATCTGCTGCCGAAGATTTCATTGGTAAAAAAGTGGAAAGCGTGGTTTTGACCGTTCCTACTGACTTCAACGAACACCAAAAATTAGAGCTCACAAAGATTGTTGAAAGCGCGGGTCTCAAGGTTTTGCAATTGATTAATGAGCCATCTGCGGCATTGTTGGATCATTTGTCACCGGAAGATAAATTGAGCGAGGACAAGCTTTATGTCGTTGCTGATTTTGGTGGAACCAGATCCGACGGAGCTGTTATTTCAGTACGTGGTGGTGTATTGACTATCCTTGCAACCGCTCATGAGCACGGCCTAGGTGGTGACAAATTGGACACTGCTTTGTCTGAATTTTTCGCCAAAGAGTTTGAGAAGAAAACCAAGGTCAATCCAAGAACAAATGCAAGATCAGTTGCTAAATTGAAGGCAGAGTCCGTCGTTGTTAAAAAGACTTTATCAAATGTCCAAACATCCACCTGTTCCATAGAATCATTGGCTGATGGATTCGATTTTCACACCAGTATCAATAGATTGAGATATGAATTGACTGCTAGAGATGTGCTTTCAAAAATGACTGCATTTGTCGAAAAAGTCATCAAGAATGCCGGTTTGGAAGCTTTGGATATTGATGAGGTGCTTTTAGTTGGTGGAACTGCACACACGCCTAAATTGGCCTCTAATATATCTTATCTCTTCCCTCAAGCAACCAAGATCATTGCCCCATCATTGGATCCTAAGGCGTTGAACCCTTCAGAGTTGATTGCTCGTGGAGCTGCATTGCAAGCTTCATTAATCGAAACTTACGACGAATCGGAAATTGCTGAGTCTTTGCAACCAATTGTGGTCAACACTCAGCATTTGTCCAAACCTATTGGTATCAAAGACGCCGAAGGAAACTTTGTCCCAGTCTTGGTTGCTGAAACCGCCTACCCTATAAAGAAATCGCTTGAATTGACGAACGGAGAATCCCCATCTGTTGTTGTTGAATTGTATGAGGGCCAAAGAACTGTTAAGGAGACTGTTATTGAAGCAGAAAAGAACGAAGATGAATCTGACGAGGACTCAGATGAAGAACCAGAAATTGAAAGAGAGGTTGTTTACAAGGTTGGCAATTTATTGGCCGAATTCTCATTGAAAGACTTGAAACCAAACTCAAAGTTGGAGGTTGTTGTCAACATCACCCAAAATGGTGTCTTGCACGTTTCTGGAAGAGAGTTGAAACAAGGTGCAACTGCTGTTAAAGGTGAAGTTTCTGCTCAGTAGACAAAACTCATACCGTGAATAGCTGTATTTAAAGAGATTAAATGAATAGACATTACATCCTACATGGAGTAACATGTTTTTGTCAGATATTTTTGGTACTCTCTTTATGTATCGATTGCTTTTCCTCGCAATACTTTAAATATTATTATTTTTATTTTTATTTTTATTTTTATTTTTTGTTTTGCTTCTTTTCTCCCGCCGTATACGACAAGGTGGCACACGTAGAGTTGTTCCCTTCAATTCAAACTATAAATAACGGATAGGACTTCATCAGATGGACAACTAGCATGGGCAAAAAGAAACAAGAAATGGCACAGGTCTACAATGGTTCCAAGAATGAGTTTATATTTGGAGAACAAGGTGGCAAGGGCAAGAATTTATCGTCATTTTTGAAGAATTTATCATTGACTGGACCCAGCAATAGTAACAGCCAAGAATCGATTGATGAGATGAACAGCACTATCTATGGTAGCTTATCGTACAGCAAGGGACGAAATGGATCGAACCCAATGTTGAGCCACGGTGCAGGCTTTTCTACGCAACCACCCATCAAAAGAACTACTTCCATGGGAGCGTCATTTGTTAGTGAGCATCGTCGAGATGTGTCTCCTAGATCAGCAACAAGAAATGACCGACATGTGAAAGAAAAGTACACTGATTTGGATGATGACTGGAATGCAGAGTTACAAGACGAAGTTTCCAAGCCCGTGGTTCCACCCCCATTACTAGACTCCTTACATCCAGATTTGACTGTACCGATACCGGCCCCTAAAAGTGACGTAAAACAGTCTTTGGACGAAGAGGATTACAAAACAAAAGCAGAGGTTAACAAGCTTAACCTTTTGAAAAACAAGTATGCAAAGTTCAAGTCAGTTCTATCATCAGAAACGATCATTAATATTCAAGAGTTGAGGCGCTTGTCCTGGAACGGTATCCCAAATGAACTTAGAGCATTATCATGGCTGTTGCTATTGGGATATCTACCGACGAACAAGTCAAGACAGAGCTCAACCGTGAAGCGCAAGCGTCAGGAATACCAAGAGGGGATTAGTTCCATCCTGGTTGGATTTGACGAAAACTCGAAACCGGAGACAGGCTCAAATGGTAACAGAGAGGCTTTGGTTTATCATCAGATCAATATCGATGTCAAGCGAACGAACCCCACGATCAAACTATACGCAAACAAGAGCACGCAGATGTCGCTTCGAAAAATTTTATTCTTGTGGGCAATGAGACATCCGGCAAGCGGGTATGTACAGGGTATCAACGATTTGGCTACTCCATTTTATCAAATATTTTTGAATCATTATCTATGGCAGCTACAAAAGCAGCAATCAAAGAATTCAAAGGGTAATGACAGCGACGACAACGATAGCGATCTATCTATTCCGGGATACTTGTCAAGTGGTGAGGACTTGGAGGAGAATGCATTGCTTGCAGATAAAAACTTGGAAAACTATACTCTCGAAAACTTTGACACGAGCAAGTTGAGTCAAAGAGTGGTTGCTATCATCGAGGCAGATACGTATTGGTGTTTGTCAAGATTACTCGAGAATATTACCGACAATTATATCCATGAACAACCAGGTATCATTAGACAGGTTAATGAACTAAAAAATTTGGTTTCAAAAATCGATTACGATTTGATCAAACATTTTGACGTAGAAGGAGTAGAGTTCTTGCAGTTTTCATTTAGGTGGATGAATTGTTTGCTCATGCGAGAACTCCCTATTGATCTAATAATACGCATGTGGGACACTTATTTGAGTGAACAACCTTTGGGATTCAGCACTTTCCATACATATGTTTGTGCTGCATTTTTGATCAAGTTTAGCGGTGATTTGAAGACGAAGGATTTTCAGGAAATCTTGTTGTTTTTACAAAATCCGCCCACGTTTAATTGGAAAGAAAAAGATATCGAGCTCATGCTTAGCGAGGCATTCATGTGGCAGACATTGTATAAAAATGCGGCTGCACACTTGAGGTGATTCCATATGCCGTTAATTCTGGCTTTGTGCTATTAGACGAGCACGTTTATCGAGTAGTGCATAGTTCTCAGAACCTTCAGGACTAAGTAGCGATTCAGAGTTGGATCAGTGTAGAAAAGGGCTTATTCAGTAAATAGATTCATTGACATTCAATCAACTTGCTACAGAAAACTATTGTATGTGAAACTGCTGTGCTCTATAAAAGAATAGTCTTTTCCCAATCGATTAAGAAGAAGCAGAAGAAGAAGAAGAAGAAGAAGAAGTCAGAAATTGCGCACACAAATTAAAGTTTTTAAATTAATTGTAACAAGATCAGCGACCATACACCCTCACTCATCTTTGACTTGATATATTCAGCTACAACAACAGAGCTCTTTATTCGTTGAAGTAATCTAGAACCACACCACCACCGACTGCTTCTATCCATACCTTTAAGACTTTGTTCACTCAATCATGTCAAGACCAGCTGGAAGAACTATTTTGGCATCCACCATTGCCAAACCTTATCAAGAGGAAGTCATCTCAGCTGTACAAAAATTAAGCTTCAAGCCTACTTTGGTTGGTCTTTTGGCAAATGAAGACCCGGCTGCTAAAATGTACGCCAATTGGACAAGCAAAACTTGTGAATCTTTGGGTTTCAACTATAAGTTGGTTGAAGTTAACAAAAACGATTTGGAAACATCTTTGATCAAAGCCAACAGGGACGACAATGTGAACGGTATTATGGTATATTTCCCTGTATTTGGCGACAAGCAAGATCAATACTTACAACAATTGATCTCCCCAGAAAAGGACGTTGAAGGATTGAATTTCTTGTACTACCACAATTTGTACCATAACGTGAGATTTTTGGACCCGCCCAAGAACCAACAGAAGTCAATATTGCCTTGCACGCCCCTTGCAATGGTTAAAATTTTGGAGTATTTGGGTGTGTATAATAAAATTCTACCATATGGAAATCGTTTGTATGGGAAAAAGATTTTAGTGGTGAACAGGTCGGAAATCGTTGGACGGCCGTTGGCAGCACTACTTGCTAATGACGGTGCAACAGTCTACTCTGTTGACATCAACAATATACAGCAGTTTACTCGTGGTGACGATTTACTGGAGCATAGACATTTGGTTGTCGATTTGAAAGGGGATGAGTATACAGTGGAAAAACTCGCACCACAGTGTGATGTTATTATAACAGGGGTTCCTTCTGAGAACTACAAGTTTCCAGTCAACCTAGTGAGACATGGTACAGTGGTGATTAATTTCTCTAGTTCCAAGAATTTTGACGATGAGATCAAGCAAAGAGCTGGCTTGTATGTACCTTCTATTGGTAAAGTCACCATTGCTATATTACTCAGAAACTTGCTAAGGTTGATTGATAACAAGAAGATTAGAGCTGGTGAAGTTGCAGAGGATGTCTGAGCTGAAGTCTTAAAGCGAATCCTCGGTCGTGTTTGAGTGATCAAAATTGTATATTTATAGTTGTTAACGTTTTTATTTTTTGTTTTTTTTTTTTTTTTTTTTAGATCGAACAGAGACAGAGACAGAGACAGAGACAGAGACAGAGACACACAGCGGAGAAAGATAAAGTGGAGTTTGTGATAAACACACATATACACGACCGACGTGGTAACCGACTCGACACTATCCAACCTATTCAGCTAAATTGTAGAACGTTTCAAGAACTGCCCCCTCTTGTATTCAAAAACAACCACAAACAAAAGAATATACAAATCAAAGAAGGGCCACACTTTCAACGTGAAATGTAAAGATGAACCACGATGACTCAAAGAATTTCCATAACTCCAAAAAAAGGGTAGTGCAGATAGATCCCTTAGAAATAACGGAATCGTTGGGGTTCCAAACGTACCGAAAGGGTGTTCGAAAACCGTGGACTAAAGAGGAGGACACTGAGCTTTCAAGCTTGGTGACAAATGAATTCCAACAAGGTAGAGACTTGGAAACGATTGACTGGGACAATCTCGCCAATGCCCTTTCGCTGGATGGTTTGAGGAAGGGCAAGGATTGCAGGAAGAGATGGAGCAACTCTTTAGATCCCAATCTTCGAAAGGGAAAATGGACGCCTGAAGAAGACGAGTTATTAGTCAAGGCGTTTGAAAAGTTTGGATCTGCTTGGTTAAAGGTTGCGCAAGAGATCAAGGGCAGGACTGATGACCAGTGTGCGAAGAGGTACGTTGAGGTTCTAGATCCCAAGACCAAGGACCGTTTGAAGCCGTGGACGGAGGAAGAGGATCTATTGTTAATAAAGCAGGTCAAACTCAATGGCACCAAATGGAGAACCATATGCAGTGCCTTTGAGAGCAGACCATCTTTGACGTGTCGGAATAGATGGAGAAAGTTGGTAACGGAAGTTGTGCGTGGGAAAGCAAGTGTTAAAATAAAAGAAGCGGTGGAGAGCGTTACAAATGGAAATTCGTCGTCGGTGTTGGAAACATTGAATCGCCAGCAAGAGGAGCTTGCCAAGTCGCAAGCAGAACCTGACCAGAGAGGGAACGTGAAAAGACGGAAAACCAAGAACGTTGCTGCGCACCCACAATATCCGTCGGCTCATAATCCACCATTGAGTACAAAGTCTGAAACCGAGTGGCTCTATTCGGTTAACCAAGGCTCGAACAATCGTTTCCCTGGCGCTCAAAGTAAGCCACACGTGGGGTCTATAAGTAGTAGCGAGCACGTGAGACATCTAGTGGAGTATGCCAAAGCCAATGGGGTTGAAATTTCAATACATCAACATATTCACCATCATTACTCCCAGAACTCGAACACATCGCTAGGTAATGAACTCACATCTCCTGGAAGCTCCACAACCAGTGGAACACATATTCTAGAGCCGGAAGAACAAATTTCGCGATTCCAACACTTTAATTATCTACCACCAATGACGCAAACTCCCAAGTTGAATTCTTCTACTGAACAACTGAAAAAGAACGACACAACTCAGCATCACCACCACCACCACCATCATCATCACCATACAGAAAGTGGTGATAAAACCCAGTCTCAACATAGGGCTAAATTCACAGGCGATGCCGACTCGATGAAGGAGTCCAATCTTCAGAGATTGCTAAACGCCGAGGAATACGACGGGGTTCAGATGGCGTCCGAAGCAAACCCATTGACGCCGTTGACACGAGCAGCCGAGATAGTTAGGACAGCAGCAAATGGATCCACATATACCGCAGCAGGTGATTTTAATAATAATAATAATGATTTTAGTGGTATACAAAAGAGCTTTTCCTATGGTCAGCAAGCCAATCAAGTCTCAGAAAATTCAGAATTTTGGAAACTGGCCAAAACTGCACCGCACCGCGAAATCAGGCATCACCAAAACGGCGGTGGTGGAAGAGAGCATTCTATAAATAATCGCACAAGTTCCAAAGTTGGAGATGCTTCACACAGCTTTGGACAGGTGACTGCTTCAAGCCAGAATGTGTTGCACTACCCTGATAACTCATCAAATGGAGCCAATAACAGACTGCAATACCAGTCTGGATATGCAAGCCATACTAACAATGATGGTGAGAGGGAAGAAGATGCGTTGGCAAGAGAATTAGAGGAAGCCGGTGTTGATGAAGATGTCTTGAACTCATATGGATTGTTCTACAATGTTTACACAAAGGAAGGATCGACATTTCCAGATGCACAACCCAACCAACAACCGCAGCAACAAAATGCGTATGGAAGAGACGGAAGCTCTTATGATCAGTGGGGTAGTGATTTCATCATACCTTTTAATCCATCCTAGGCGCCTCAAGAAAAAGGGACATGCTAATTACACTGACAAGGTTATATGTATCCAATGTAATGTATACTTACGAATAGAATGATCTTTAAAAGTAGTCACTCTCTATGTTTGTAGTCTTGTGTATGTTCAGCGTTTTATTCTTCGAGCCACAAGCTCCCCCCAACAATGCACCTGTCAAACAATCCACAATCATCCTGCATATAAAGTTAAGCGAGTTTATAATTTTTTTTTTTTTTTTTTTCTTCCTCTGTTCTTGTTTTATTCTCCTTCTCCTCCTCAATCTCTTTCACCTCTTCTTTTGCTTTGTTTTTTAGTTGACTACAATTCACAAGGTTGTACATATATATATATATATACCTTGCATACGGTATAATCCACGCTTACACTCTTCATACACAGGAAGCATTTATGCCAAGATCTAATTCAACTTGTTCACGATAGGAGCACCACCATGTCGGATGATACACATAACGAAATGAAAAGTGAAGCTCATGCTCATTCGGCCACCTCCGTATCGCAGGAGGCCAAAGATAGCAGTAGCTTGAACGGTGACAAGGCGACCGTAAGTACGCCAAATGACAAACTCAAAGACCGTAAAGTGGGAAGCTCGCCTTCAAAGAATACAAAGAATTTGGAAATAGCAACACGAGGTCATCACGTACTTGACCAGCCCACAGGCGAGAACCCACCACCAAATAAAGCCAAGAAAGCAGCTGGTGATGGAAAAGTCCATGAGACAGGCGCAATGTCAACTGAAGCACGCTCGTCACAGATATCTTCGGCAAGTGGGCCTCACAGGATAGGATCGAGCCAGAGCACACTATCAAGTGGAAGCACAACTCCATCGAGGCCGTCTCATGCATTACAACCAAACTCACAACTCAGCCGAAGTACCATCAACAACATTAACAAGACTTTGAAGGCTAAGCAAAAGATTATACATGCAACGGAGCCACACCTGAAAAGCACTACACTCAACTCAAACAAGGGAGTCAAATCTCCACAGTCATCGGTGTTTCCAACAATTTCGCCTGGGCCAAGTAAGATTGACTTGGAGCTGTCGACACAATCGATTCCCACTTTAATGAAGAATAATGGCATCACTTCCCCCACATTGAATCACAAACCTGGGACTAAATCAACAAATGATGAGAATGCCAAGCACGAATTGGCTCGACTACCTCAGCCATCGCTAATGTCTCTCCCCCAGTCACACGCAGAGGGCCAGTCAAGACAACAGTCCCAACCGGTACTATCGTCAGCTAACTTTACATTGCATCCCAACGTATCCAATTTAAACACTTCTTCGTCAGCAAACTTGAACGAAAGGGACTCAGCAAATAAGCAAGCAAAGCAGAAGAAGATAGCTAAGCAGAGCTCCACCAAGACTGATTTTTTTGCCGCAAAACTTGCAAGTGCAGTGGATGACGTCGAGAGCAGTGATAGTGACGAAACTTTTGTTTACGAAAACAATGACGACACGTTTGACACCACTAATAATGCAAATCAGTTGAACCCCGCAGATGGGGTTAGTACCAATGGGAGTGTGAGTGGAGGCTACGCGTCTCATCCTGGTGCGAAACGACCCCCTTCTGTTTTAGAAGCTGACCAACTCAACGATTCAAAACCTCACAGGTTGATGTCAAGCAAGGCTCCATCCATTGCAAATTCCATGAATAGTCAAGTGCATTTGGATGGCCATGGGCTTAGAAGACCAGTACAGGGGCGTGCCCTCTCTGGTACTTCCATCGGTGAAAATGCTCCTCGGAGCCCGCTACATGAGGGTGCAGCCTCAGATAGAGGCTCAGTTCAAGAAATGGGACTTTCGCATGGGGACAGGAACAATAGGACTGTGAGTGTTTCTCACTCAGCAAATGAGGATGATACATATTCTTTTCAAGATAGTGAAGGGGAAGTTGGGAGGGGCGCTTCCACTGAGGATGACGGCCTAGACAAAACTCATGCCATTCAGGGAAATTCATCAGTAAATCAACTACTATCACAGCCATATCTCCAGAACTTACAAGCTCCGGGTGACCCATCAACGACACCATCTATATCTAGCAAGAATGTCACCAAAAAGGAACCAAAGTCGTCTACAAACTCCTCGAAATTGAGGTCCACAACTTCGAAACTATTTGATAAAAAGGGGTCGCAGCCCAGAAGGTACAGCACTATACCGGATGATATCGATATTGAGGATTTTGACGACGAGCTAATTTATTACGACAATAGTGTCAAATTCCCTCACCCTAACGAGTCGTCATCATTGCTCAACTCGAGCCAGAGAATTCCGCACTATCGATCGATGAATTTGAATTTTCCAAGAACTAAAGGCCAAAGCAAAAGGTTTTTGTCTACTGGGCAGCCGTTGAGCCCCAAGGATCAAACCACAAACAAAGAAGGAGCACACATTTTTCCTTTCCCTTATAATGAGCAGCAGCACCAAGACTATTACTACGACATCGATGAATTCGATCACAAGCAAAGGTATAGTCCTAATTTCGATCTCCCAGAGTTACCTATGCATAAAAAGGCTTCACGAAACTTCAGTCCAGTTAGTTACCCGTACAACAATGGAGCACACAACCCACTTTTTATAAATAGAGAACCAGAGAAACGATCCAATTGTGTGCGGTCATTCATATACACTCTTGTTTGTATATTAGTGGTGCTTACTTTTGGATTCATTTTGGGATTCGTGATGGCAACCACAAAAGATTTGACTGCAGTTAGCATCAATTCCATTGAAAACCCAATTGTTAGCAAAGATGAACTAGTTTTCAATATTGTGGTGGAGGCATTCAACCCGGGTTGGTTTTCGGTGGAGATTGGCGATGTTGAGTTAGATTTGTTTGCACGAAGCGGGTATCTCCCCGACGAAGGGGGTGTTGATGTTCAAGAGAGTGACTCAAAAGTTGAAACAGTGAAATTGGGTACCATCCACTTTTTGGAATCTACCATGACTTTCAACGGTGGGTTTTTCTCTAGAGAGTCTACTGTTCAGAAAGCAGAGGTTAAGTTACTACATCCCGGAAAGGATGTGACGGAGGAAGGTTTTCGCGATGACGGCGGAGACGAGCTGGACAACACAAAGAAGTGGGAAATTATAAGTGAAAATCCGTTTGACTTAATTATAACTGGAGTGTTGAAGTATGATCTTCCCTTGGTTTCAAATACGAAGTCAGTTGTTGTTAGAAAAACCGGTTACATTGATCCTACACTATTCATATAGAAATTGGCTTGGCTTTGAAAACAAAAAATTGGGCCTTATACTTTACTATATTCTGTATACACACATCCTTAAATTCTCAATGCCACGTCACGTATCTTGTCTTCGTTTGGCAGCAACAATTGTCGCCGTATCAATTTTACATGATGACTTCGTGGTTCGAATGAGGTCGCACGCCCATTTCCATTATTGGCAAAAGGGTCTGTGATCATCAATTTGGAATCAGGGGGATGTACCTCAAATAGTAGCAAAAACTTGACCATAAACACATACATCTCATAAAGGGCAAAGGAAGACCCCGAACACATTCTTGATCCAGCACCAAATGAGAAATGCTGATTTATTTTTGCGGCAAAGTTGCTTTGGCCTCTTTCGTCGAGCCACCTTTCGGGCCAAAACTCAAGCGGACTCTCAAAATGCTCTTCATCATTGTTCGCAGCATACGCATTCAAGAACAAGTGTGTGTTTGCAGGAATTATGACGTCACCGTGTAGGAATGGCTTTGTTGTTGTTCTTGGGAGACTCAATGGAAGGACGGTAAAATGTCTCAATGTTTCCAACACTAAGACATGAACGTAGGCATTCTCGAAATTTGCTTCACCCAGTTGTTCCCATGCCACTACAACATCTCCACTACAGTTGTCAAGAATGTTGTGGATAGCTTTAGACTGATACATCTGCCCAATCACTGGCTGTGAAAGTATTCCGAGCAAGTAGTTCAAATTGAGCGGTGTATTGTCCAAACCTGCACTGATAAAAGTCAAACAGATGCTATAGATTTCAGCCTCGCTCAATCGCTTGCTGCCCCTTTGAGCCAATAGCTGGCCAACAAAGCTATTTGTGCAATCGTTATTGTCGTTGCCGTCTTTCGCACCCTCTTGAAATCTCGCGTATAGCTCATTCATGTACCCATTTCTCGTTTGCCCGCATTCGACTGCTTTGTGAGCATTTGTCAACTTTGGAAAATATCTCAACAATGTAACTGAATCTTCGATGTTTGATATGGGTGACCTCAATCTGATTATTTCACTCTCGTTGCGTATAATCTCATCACACAATGCATGATCCTTGCCAAAACAATCCAAATGCAAACCGTACATCAAAAAGACGCTACATCTCAAGGTGAAATACTTCAAGTAGGTTGCTAGGTCGATATCTTCGTTTGCGGTGACTTCAAGCACCAACTTTCCTAAAATGTAATCGATCTCATCACAAATGGTCAGCTTCCGCAGCGATATCGATTTGGAATTTAGTAGTTGAGAAACGGCCCGTTTTTTTCGTTTGTAAGTCATACTGTGTGGTGTTGAACCCACAGTAAAGCTCTGGTACGAGCTCACTAACCCATGAAAAGTGTAGCTCATGGGCCTAGAGTTGTTCTGGCACGAGTGGTTCATCCACATGTCAACCGCATCACTATATGAGTTCACCACAATGACTCTTTTGTTCCCCAATCTTATTTGAAACACCGGCTGATTGTAGCGTTTTGCCCAATTCATGTACGATTTGGCTGGGTTGCGCAACAGCAAATGCAAATGACCAATTATTGGCAATTCCCCAGGTATTGAAAAGATGTCTCTGATCTCGGCAGGTTGATAGACGTAGTCACAAATAAACACAGCCACCAAAGGCAAAATAATTAGCAAAAGGGAGCAGGTAATGAAGCGACCCCAACTGAAACTGATATCGTAAGGGTAGGTCTCAAACAGAGTATCCCATGACATGGGCAGGCTCCTTTCTTAATGTTAGCAAGGGGGAAGGTGACGAAATAGCAAAATTTTTGTTATGTTCAGTGTAACAGTTTGGAAAGTAGTAGAAGGCAAAAATAAAAAAAGGACATGAACAAAATGACGATATGTATTGAACAAAGTATAATTACAGAACTTTATCGGCCGTATAATGAATCAAACCTCATGGCACCCTTAAGCACACCAAGTTCAAACCATTTCCTCTTTTTCACCTCCCAAATTTTGATCTTTGTAAAACTCCCTTTGCGCATTTTGTCTTGCAAACTCAGTTTCTTCAGCAATAAGCTCATCGAGGTCATAGTCATAGCTATTTGGATCGGTATTGAAATCCAATTTTTCAGCTTTCCTTCTTCTCAAACCAGTTTCATCGCCAGCAAAGTTTTTCAACTTGATCTTGATTGGTATATCATCTGAATGGACTTGAAGTTTTTCCTTCAACACACGAGCCTCAGTCTTCAAGAACCCCTCATTGTCCTGATCAGTCAGTTCATTTGAAAGTTCATCTGGTGGCACGTATCCGAATTGGTAATTGTCTTGGGGCTCATTCTGTCTCTGTTTGTTTGTCGCTTTGGAATGCTTTTCGTGATGACGATGAGTTTCGACACTAACCTTGGTCAAGCCCGACAAGGAAGGTAGAAGTAAAATAAGAGCAACAAGAACAATTGCAATAGCTATAATGAGAAGAAACATTTGTTGAGGATATTATGCTGATGTGGAGGAATTTTCACAGTCACACA